ACCACGCCGGACATTCTTCCGCTGGGGTACACGTGAGGGAATGTCCCTGGGGCACACCCTACGGGCAGATGCTGAGTCATTACGTGTGGTTCCTCCAACGTTTCTGGTCCTGCCAAATCGCTCGCAAGAGGACGGGGCTGTGTGAGCTCTCGCTGTCACCCAGAGCTCTTTCCGTCGCTCTCTCATCTGCCCTCCATGGGCAGCCTGAGAAAGGCCCGGTCATGCACCTTGGCCTGAGTTCTCTCCTTCAGTAATGACCCTAAGCCTACGAGGCCGGCATTCCCACACCACGTTTACAGGGGTCACAGAGGTCCGGGAGTCTGCCCACGGCCACGCCAACGACACGCAGCCCCGCGCCTTGACCTGACCCAGCCTGGCCCCTCTGGCCCCGGGAGCTGCACCATCAAGGTCCTTAAAGACTCCGAGCGGGCACAGAGGGACGGCGGGAGACACCAACGCTTGTGAGCCAGGGTGCTAAGCTAAGGGAAGATGCAAGGAAGCCTGTGCCAGTCACCTTCTTAAATTACGAAAGTCACCCTTCATAGCAAAGAGTGTCTCGAACACTAACGTATAAAGAAGGAAAAACAGTGAACTAGACCGGGTTAGAGGGGAGCGAGGAAATCAGAAACGAGAGGCGTCTGGATGCCTAGGGGAAAAAGATGTCTCTGTTAGCACAAGAGCTTTGGGACAACTTGCTCTTCCAATCACGTATCCATTTGCCTTCCAGTTACTAGGAATCGGCGACCCTCTGGTGGCCCTTGCTGCAGGACCCCGGCCCTGCTTCGCCCTCTGCCGGGACGGGGACCTGAGTCCTGTGCAGCAGGGGGCAGAGCACCCAGATGGCAGAGAAGGCCGGTCTGCACCTGACTGCAAACAGCGGAGGGACAGAGAGGAGAGGCGGGTGGAGGAAAGAAGAGGAGGAGGGAAACGTGTTCCGTAGCTGTTCTCCGCTCAGCAACCAAAGGGGCTCCGAGTCCTCGCTGCCGTGGAGCGTCTGTTCTGCGATGTACACATTCGGGGCACGCGGCTCCCCGCAGTTTCTAACGCAAGTTCCCCTCTCATCTCAGAGCAAGAGAAGAAGCTAAGTAACCAGAACTCTTCTAGTTGAATTAAAGGAGAAAAGTGCTCAGTGCCTGTTCGCTTTGTTTTCTCTGAGACAGACGTGCCGGAGAGACATTGGAGGTGCGAGCGATCGCTTCGCTTCCAACGCTGACCTCCCAGATGGAGAAGGCAGAAGCGAAAGTGCTAACGCGAGCGGCACGGAAGGAAGTCGACAGGAAGCCAGAAGTGTGGGGTAAGTGAAACCACTTTTTTTTTTTTTTTAAATCCTCACCTGAGGACATTTTTGTCTTCATCTTCAGATAGAGCAGAAGGGAGAGAGGGGGAAGAGAGAGAGAAACATTGATGTGAGAGAGACACATCGAGTGGCTGCCACCCACATGACCCCAACTGGGGCCGGGGACAAACTGCAACCGAGGTACGTGCCCTTAGCGGGAACCGAACCCGGGTCTCTCTGGACCGCAGGCGGACGCTCTAACCGCTGAGCTAAACCGGCCAGGGCCTGACCCTTTCTCTTTGTCCCATAGCTTCTTCAACCAGAAGGTGCCCAAAAATGAAAAACATCTTCCCCCGACCCCCAAATATACACATTTTACCGTGGCTTACCCGTCTCTTTGTTTTATACTAAGTGTTACAACCGTGAGTCAAATACGCGAAACACCGATGAGAACAGAGGCCGTGGGCATAGGCCCTATCGAAGAAGAAGGCCTCCCTCGCTATCAGACTAGGCGAGGCCACAGCCTGACCTTTGCCACCAGATGCTGCCTCCTCCCCAACCCCACACCCCCAGCCCACAGTAGGTCCCCCACCCTTTAAGACAGCAAGTCATTCATTTCTCATGGGAACCTCTCAAAACCCTGCTTGCCCTGGCCAGTGTGGTCAGTGGTTAGAGCGTTATCATCGAAGGGTCACCGGTTCGATTCCTGGTCAAGGGCACGTACCTGAATTGCAGGTTTGATCCCCTGCCCTGGTCAGGGTGTGTGTGGGAGGCAACCAATTGATGTGTCTCTCTCATATCAGTGTTTCTCTCCCTCTCTCTCTCTGTCTCGTCCTCCCTTCCTCCCTCTCTCTAAAAATCAATGGGGGGGGGTATCCTCGGGTGAAGATTAACAGAACAACAACAGAAACAAAACCTGCTTGTGAGTTTCCTGCTAACCACCCCCTTCCATGGGAAGAGCTCACTGCATGGTCACTGGGGGAAAAGCGAATGGTCCCTGAGGTGATCAGTTCGCAAGGATGGTCGCAGGGGATGGTTTGGATGCTTGGGAACGGCGTGGCTGGGGTCTGGATTCTTCTGGAGGGTTTCAAAGACAAGGAAGAGCGTAGGCAAGTCTGACCGAGAGCGTACGAGGGGACTCAGAACCCAGCGTGGGCTGTTGGGAAGGCCTCTAGGCCTTTCTCTGGAGCAAAGGACAGAGCGGGGTTTCTGGACAATGAGCCCAATTCGCCTGGTTGGAGGGAGCCAGGCAGGACTGAGGCTAAAGTCACTTCGTTAACTTTTAACTCCCCTCTGCCTCTTCCCTCCTTCTGCTTCTTTTTGTCCCACAACCTATTCACATTTTGCCATTGCCGAGCAATTTATTTGTCTCACGCATCATAATTATTTGGGAATTTATTTAGTGCATCTCTGCTAGCACCTGCCACACGTTCGGTGCAGTATCGCGGAACACAGAGACAGATGGGAAAGAAGGTGGTTTTCCTGGCTCCGTCTGAAGTGTTAGCCATCTTAGCAGAAGGCGGTTTTGTGTCTTCTGTGTCTTTCGCATGGTTGTCTTTCGTTTTCTTCTTCGCCTGAAAATAAAGCTCAGCGAGGCTGTGTTTCTCCTTGAAACTGCTCCGTTAGGATGGACTGAAGCGAAACGTGCCTACTACTTGGAGAGAAAGCATGCGCTGTGTCAGCCTCCGGATCTCCTTCTGGCCACAGGGGAGTTCCTGAAGTTCCCAGGGGGTTGGCCCCCGTCACCTGGCTCTTTCCGCCACCTGTGGGTCCTCCTCCCTTCCGTCTCCTGCCAGCCACCTGCCTTGTGTTGTGACTTTGTCCCGAGTCTTTTGTTTGGTTGCAGTGACCTCTCCCCTCGTGAACTGAGTCTGACAACTATGCCCCAACTCCTGGTCCAGTGTTCTAACCGCGACACACCAGGCTGTAGCCACTGGCTACATGTTTTCTCTGGCATCTTCCCTTAATTCCTCCCCTGGTGACTCTCTCCTGGTAACTCTTTCTTTTTTTAAATATGTTTTTATTGATTGTTTTTTTTAGAGAGAGAGTTAGAAAAATGGATGTGAGAAACATTCGTTGGCTGCCTCCTGCACGCCCCCTACTGGGGATCGATGCCCTGACCGGGAATTGAACCGGGACCTCTCAGTCCATGGGATGACGCTCAATCCACTGAGCCACGCCGGCCAGGCTGTCCTAGTAATTCTTAAGCAACTCCTGGGCAGCACCAGTGTCTTCTATTCTTCTATGCTCTTCTGTCCAAAAAGTGTGCCTATTCAATTTTTTCCGTCTTAATATCTTGAGGACCTGACATACCTACAATGAAATACACAAACCTTCCATGAACAGCCCCACGAAAGTTTGTGTATGATTTTCATGAAGCCTGAGCCCAGGTCAAGAAAATAGAGGCCATTCTGAAAGGCTCACTTGACGTGTCTCAGGGACGAGCAAGTCCCCCCTCGCCGCCCCAGCCTAGGGTGACCATGGCTCCGATTCCTGCCTTTGCAGATGCATCCCGCCTCTTCCTGAGCTCTGTAGACACGGAACTCTACACTGGCTTCTATTGCTCAATATTAAGTCTGCGAGATTCTCCTCTGGTGTTGCGTGTGGCTGAGGTCGTGTGTTGCCTTTCATGATAGGAATGAACATGATGTATCCATTTTCCTGTTGATGGCATTTGGGTTGTTTCCAGTTGAGGGCTATTATGAAGAAAAGGTTTCTTTTTAATATTAATCCTTATTAGAAAGTGATAAAGAAGGACCTTCCTTTTGAGCCTTTCTGAAGGAGACTCAGAGTGATGCTTGGAGGTCCTTTTCCCCATCCCATCTGAGCAGAGTGGGATCCAGAAGGCCCGACCCCACCGTCTGCCTCTCCACATACTTGGAAGCAGACATCTGGTCCCAGGCAACACACTGAGTCAACCTTCTCAACAGGGGGAGGGTCGAATCTGCTCAGGCTTGTTAAGAGGAAATTTCACAAGCTGAATGCATCTGCTAACATCTAAATGTTGAGTAATGCCGACTGAAAAATTAAAAGGCAGCCAAACAACCCTTTGGCTCATCTTTAAGTCAACTGCAGTGCATTGAAAGCTTGTACTTTTTATTTCTTCTTTTTTTTTTTTTATCCTCACCCAAGGACATTTTTCCATTTTTTGTTCAGATAGAGTGGGAGGGAGAGAGAGGAAGAGAGAGAGAGAGACATCGACGTGAAAGGGACACATCGAGTGGCTGCCACCCACACAACCCAACCAGGGCCGGGGACAAACTGCAGCGGAGGTACATGCCCTTAGCGGGAACCGAACCCGGGTCTCTCTGGACCGCAGGCCGACGCTTCAACCGCTGAGCCAAACCGGCCAGGGCTTGAGTCTATTTCTAAAGAGCTAACAATGAGGCCTATCCTAGAGAAGGCTAGGATTTCAATTGGCCCAGGTAGGCGGCTTTTCCCATTTTCTCAGCCGGGGTGTGAGGATTCTAAGACTCTCCAAGGACCCTTTGAACTCTACAAGCCTGGTGCACCTGCTGACTGGACCTTCCAGTCAGGGCCCTGTGGGGGCTGGGGCACCTGTGTGATGTCACGGAGCTTTGTGAGGCAGCTGGTGCTGTGTTTTAAGTTCTACCCTGCGGGCAGGACATCCCAGCCCAGTCAAGTATTTTCTCAGAATCCAGCTGCCGTAGAGTCAGCCATTCAGAAAGTAACTCCATCTTTCAGGTCATTCCAGCGTACATTCCTGCCTCTGACTCAGAAAACACATCGGTTGCAAAGCAGCTGGAGAGGTGGTCTCGGGGGTAGGTGAGTGAGCTCCGAGTGTTGGGGGCAGGAGCAGAGGCGGGCGAGGTTCCCCACGCGGGGTCTGTGGAAACAGCGCATCGAGCCGCTGAATCGTGAATGAGATGCTGGCTCTGTGGGTGAGGGTGAAGAAGATCTGATTTTGCCCTGGCTGGTCTGGCTCAGCAGTTAGAGTGTCGTCCCACGGACCAAAGAGTCGCGGGTTCGATTCTGGTCAATGGCACGTACCTCGGTTGCGGTTTGGTCCCTGGCCCTGGTTGGGGTCGTGTGGGAGGCAACCAATCGATGTGTCTCTCTCACATGGATATTTCTCTGTCTCTCTCTCCCTCCCTCTCTATCTTAAAATAAATGGAAAAAATATCCTCAGGTGAGGATTAAAAAAAAAAGGAGATAAGAAGATCTGATTATTGTAAGGAGTGATCACCCCCCCCCCCAGGTTACTGGGCCTCCCGGTGACTTCAGTTCTTAAAAATCAGGGCCAATTCTTATTATCTACAATGTTTATTGTGCTTCTTAAGATGTTTACCAAGTGAAGGTGTTATTTACTAATAAAATTAAGTAGGAAACAAAGCCCTTCATGCTGTCAGAAAGCTGTAGGTCTTGCGTGGGGATCGGTGTTAAGATTGTCCAAGGCGCCCTGGCCGGTTTGGCTCAGCAGTTAGAGCGTCGGCCTGCGGTCCAGAGAGACCCGGGTTCGGTTCCCGCTAAGGGCATGTACCTCGGTTGCAGTTTGTCCCCGGCCCTGGTTGGTTGTGCAGGTGGCAGCCACTCGATGTGTCCCTTTCATGTCGATGTTTCTCTCTCTCTTCCTCTTTCTCCCTCCCACTCTATCAGAACAAAAAATGGAAAAAAAATGTCCTCAGGTGAGGATAAAAAAAAAAGATTGTCCAAGGCAAGCGAGGGGTACACGTACAGATGCCCCACAGAGACACTGGTTATGACATGATGTAAAGCAGGGGCACCTTGTCCTGGCTCTAAAGACACATTTTATTTTATTTTATTTTATTTTTTTAAATCCTCACCAAGGACATTTTTCAATTTATCTTCAGATAGAGTTGTGTGTGGGGGGACATTAATGTGAGAGGGACACATCGACTGGCTGCCTCCCGCACGACCCCAACCAGGGCCGGGGACTGAGCCGCAACCGAGGTATGTGCCCTCGACTGGCATCAAACTCGAGACTCTTTGGTCCACAGGCAGACATGCCAACCACTGAGCCAAACCCGCCAGGGCTAAAGACACATTTAAAAAAATTTTTTTTTCCTTTATTGATTTTCGAGAGAGAGGAAGTGAGAGGGAGAGAGATAGAAACATCGATGAGAGAGAACACTGATTGGCTGCCTCCTGCACGCCTCCCACTGGGGATCAGGCCCACAACCTGGGCATGTGCCCTGACTGGGAATCGAACTGGTGACCTCTTGGTGCAGGGTCGACGCTCAACCACTGAGCCACACCGTCCAGACTAAAGACTCCTTTTAAAACCAAGTCAAAGAGCAGTATTATCCTAAGCGAAATAAGCCAGTCAGAGAAAGACAAGTATCACATGATCTCACTTATGTGGAATCTGATGAACAAAATAAGCTGACAAACAAAATAGATCCAGAGACGTGGAAGCAGGGAACAGACTGAGGAACCTCAGAGGGAAGGGGCTTGGGGGAGTAGGAAGGAAGAAACCAAAGAGCTGATATATATACACACACACACACACACACACACACACACACACATATATATATGCATAACCCATGGACAGAGAAAACAGTGTAGTGAAGTGGGGGGCAGGGAGGAGGGTGTCAATGGGGGAAAAAGGAGAAACATCTGTAACATAAATAAATTAATTTAAAAAGTTTTTAAATGAAATAAAATAAAAAAAGAATTAAAACCAACTCAATGCCTGTACCCAGACTGAGCTCAGGGTCCTGGTTTCTCGATGGGTGTGCAGGCGTGTACGCATGTGCGTGTCAACGCTGGGGTTTTTAAATGCATTTAACATTGTGGTTGCTGTAGGTACACGTCATTACTGAAATACGTTCTACAAATTCTGTGTTCTTCTAGCATGTGAAATCAATACACTGTAGAGAAGCAAATAATCGAGCATGATTTCCTTCTGAGGAGACAGAGTTGACAAACCCATCCCAGACCTCCTGGATCTGTCGTTTGGAGGCAGAGGTTTGTGGTGTGTGTTGGAAGTGTGTGTGGGTGGGGGTGGTGATGACATAGTCCAGACAACTGCAGGACCTCTGCTTTAAGAAAATGGAACCGTGCCCTGGCCAGTTTGGCTCAGCGGTTAGAGTGTCGGCCTGTGGTCCTGAGAGACCCGGGTTCGGTCCCCGCTAAGGGCATGTACCTCGGTTGCAGTTTGTCCCCGGCCCTGGTTGGTCGTGCGGGTGGCAGCCACTCGATGTGTCCCTTTCATGTAGATGTTTCTCTCTCTCTCTCCCTTCCTCTCTCTCCCTCCCACTCTATCTGTACAAAAAATGGAAAAATGTCCTCGGGTGAGGAAAAAAAAAAAAAATGGAACCGCCCGGCGGAGCGGCTTGGTTGGTTGAGTGTCGTCCTGAGCACCGAAAGGTGGCCAGTTAATTCTGGTCAGGGCACATACTTGGGTCGCGGGTTCTAACCCCACTTGGGGAGTGTATGAAAGGCAACCAACTGCTGTTTCTCTCACATCGATGTCTCTCTCTCTCTCTCCCTTTCTCTCTCTTTAAGTGTGTCTTTGAGTGAGGATTAAAAAAAGAAGAGAAGAAAAAGTAATATAAGAAAACACAGATTAGTAAAATAAGAAAATTGGGGAGGTATATTTTTATAGATGTTCACATCAAAAGAGAGTTTTCCCCCAATTTTTTTTTCCTTTATTAATTTTCAGAGCGAGAGGAAGGGAGAGGGAGAGAGAGATAGAAACATCAGTGAGAGAGAACATTGATTGGCCGCCTCCTGCACGCCCCCCACTGGGGATCGGGCCCACAGCCTGGGCATGTGCCCTGACCGGGAATCGAACCGGCGACCTCCTGGCACGTGAGCTGATGCTCAACCAGTGAGCCTCACCAGCTGGGATTCCCAAATTTTCTTAATATGTAGGATCCCTCTAGAGAATATAGATTTATTTTATTTTTTCAGTAATAATCCTATTATATGAATCCAGGGGTGTATTTTCTATATAAAATTTAGTTGGCTTCTCTCACCTATATCCTCTTTTAACTGGTTTCCGGTTGCTTTTGGATCTTGGAAAAAGTTAACATGAAAGTCTCTCAGGGTCTAAACACTTAACAGGAAGATGTGGTGGCTGTTGACGTGGAAACAGCTCCATTCTGTTTTTAGTTGTTTTGTTTGGTTGGTGGTTGTTTTGTTTTTTGTTTTCAGTAGTTTTAACCCATCCATTTCCCCCAGTTAGAAGTTATCTTCTTCTCATATACATTTGATACTTCTTCTTTGATCATCAAATACCTCGTTGTTTAAAGTGTTATTTGTTCCATCAGTGAGCCTTTCCTGGGCAGCCAGGATCTGTCAGGGTGGCCAGTGCTGTGTCCTGGGAGGACGCTGCTATGGTCACGAACTCTCCCTCATCCGACCTTGACCCAGTCACGTCAGGACTCCGCCCAGGCCCAGACCCCTGACTCTGCTGGGTGAGCTGCCTGGTTCCGTGGGGAAGGCCCTCTGCGCCCTGAGTGGGCTGTGCTGGTTAACTAGACCCTAGTTATTGATCTGGTGGCTAGGATGGGACCTGAGGGGTGAGCCTGAGGGAGGAGGGCATGTGTCGCCTTGCAAAGCAGAGGCCTCTCCAGCATCCTCAAGTAGAGGGGGACAGCTGGCCTCCCCCAGGAAGGAGGGAGCCATTTCTTTAGGCCCAGAGGATCCCCATAAATCTAGGGTTTCAGACATGTCCCACCCAGACGTCCCCATCCTGAGTCTCTGAGTCTTCCGCCTCCCCCGGACAGAAGACGGGCCAGGGTTGAGACGTCAGCCTTCCTTGGAGCTCTGGAGCCCTGTCGCTAGACCCTGGGCATGACCTTCAGCCTTCTCTGCCCTTCGGTCACAGGGCAAGTCCCTTCACATGCCACGCAGGAGGCCCAGTTAGTGATGAAGCACCCTCAGCCTCTTATTGCCTTTCTCAGATGCACCCGTAGCATCCTGCAACAGCCCCCTAGGCCACGGTATCTACCTCCCTACTCCCTGCCCACCCTGGGACAGCCCTTCCACCAGCATCCCATCCCAGGTCACCGCCACTGAGGTTCTGTTTTTGTTTTTTATCCTCACCCGCGGACATTCTTGCATTTATCTTCAGATAGAGTGGGAGGGAGAGAGAGAGAGAAACATCAATGTGAGAGAGACACATTGACTGGTTGCCTCCCACACGACCCCACCTGGGGCTGGAGACGAACCGGAACCGAGGTACGTGCCCTTAGCGGGAACCGAACCTGGGACTCTGGTCTGCAGGCCGACGCTCCAACCTCTGAGTCAAACTGGCCAGGGCATCACCACTGAAGTTTTTATTTTTTTTATTTTTATTTTTGTTACAGATGTTTCTCCTTTTTTTCCCCCATTGACACCCTCCTCCCCATCTCCCCCACCCCATCCCCAGCTTTGTTGTCCGTGTCCATTGGTTATGCATACATGCATATAAGTTTTGTGGTTTATCTCTTCCCTCCCCACACCCCCCCTCTTCTGAGGGTTGTCAGTCTGTACCCTACTTCCACGTCTCTGGGTCTACCCTGTTCCTCAGACTCTATGTTCATTATATTCCACAAACAAGTGAGATCACGTGGTATTTATCTTCTTCTGCTTGGCTTGTTTCGCTTAGGATGATACTTTCCAGGTCCCTCCATGTCGTCTCAAAGGATAAGAGATCTTTCTTTCTTACAGCTGCGTAGTACTCCATTGTGTATATGTACCACAGCTTTGTTATCCATTTGTCTGATGGACACTTGGGCTGTTTCCAGATCTTAGCTATTGTAAATAGTACTGCTATGAACATAGGGGTACATATATTCTTTCTGATTGGTGTTTCAGGCTTCTTAGGGTATATTCCTAGAAGTGGGATCACTGGGTCAAACGGAAATTCAATTATTAATTTTTTGAGGTTACACCATAGTGTTTTCCATTGTGACTGCACCAGTCTGCATTCCCACCAGCAGTGTACCAGAGTCCCCTTTTCTCCACACCCTCGCCAACACTTGTTTGAGGATTTGTTGTTGGCGGCCATTCTGACAGGTGTGAGGTGACCTCATTGTTGTTTTAATTTGCATCTCTCTGATGATTAGTGATGATGAGCATTTCTTCATATGTCTCTTGGCCGTTTTTATGTCCTGTTTGGAGAGTTGTCTATTTAGCTCCTCTGCCCATTTTTTAATTGGGTTCTTTGTCTTTCTTTTGTTGAGTTGTATGAGTATTCTATATACTTTGGAAATTAACCCCTTATCTGATGTATCATTGGCAATGATGCACCACTGAGGTTTTAACAAGGACACTGCCACGGAGTGCCAGGGCTGTCGGAACACCGCCTCTCCACCAGCAGTGGGGTCCTCGGGGCCAGCCAGCCAGGCAGTGACCAGTCCCCAAGTCCCACTTTAGAGTCTCATTTCCAGCACCACATGCTGCAGATGGTCACCTTTTAACTGTGTCCTCACACGGCTTGTCCTTTGTGCTTTACCCCGGGGGTCTCTTTGGGTCTCCTTATAAGGACACCCGTCACATTGGATCAGGGCCCGCCCATATGACCTTGTTGGATCTGTTACCTCTTTAAGGAACCTATCTCCAAATGCAGTCAGTTGGGAGTTAGTCCTTCAACATATGATCTTTGGGGGACACACTTCAGTGCACGACAGCATTCCGTTCCAATTGAAAAGCGAGATACTACACGCCGATTGGATTCTGTGGGTGTCTGTCCGACCCGGGCCACAGGTGTACTGTCTTCAAGGTGACACACGAGAGTCTCTTTGGGGTATAGTCCTAGAGATCCACACCGTGTGCGCGAATTCAGTGTAACTGGATCCCGCCAAAACGGCTGTTCCGGTTCACAGCTCCATCGGTGCTGGACATAGGTTTCATTGCCCGTTCGTTTTGCAGCATGCGATATCGTGTCTTTATGCTTTTAACAGTCTGATTGATGGCAAATCAGATTTTAAAATAGAGACCTATACTGTCACCCCAAGATGGATTGAACTGAGCATGTATAAGGGATGAGTAGACCTTTCACACTATAGCTTTGTGCTCAGGAGTATGGTCCAGTGACCTTAAATGCTATTGTACATTTTATAAGCATGTTACACATTTTGATGTAACGTAATCTCACGAATATCAGTTCTAAGAGTTGTCAGTGATAGAAAAAAGCACACTATCTTATCCAAGTATATGATAAGCACCGATAGCAAAATGATAATCTAGAACACTGAAAACTGAATTTCAACCGAGTAGATGAGCCTACAAACCACTGAAATATCTAACGTGGCTTCTCTCAAATCCTCCCGATTTAGGAAGTTGAACAATGGGCCCTCAGAAATGCTAGGTTTACGATGAGAAATGTCACAGTCCAGTGTCTACTCTCTGGGACCTTGGTGCTGGGGATCTTGTCGGCTCTGTTATGTATACGTCTGCACCTCTATCACGTGACCCAACAGCAGAAGACAACCCAGGAGCCTCCCTTCATTTGGTCCCTGGATAAAAAACTGCAGCAGCCGGTACCAAGAGAACCTGTGATATTCGAAAGACCTGAAGAAAATAAAGCTGAAAATGACGGATCAGTTCTTAAATTCGGTATTTTTATTTTCTCTGTTAGCAAGTTTAAGGAACACGGTATTCAATATTTGGAAGAGAGAATGTCCTTTTCAGACCCATTCTATTTTCAAAGCGTGAAATATTTTTATATACGGTATACAGAAAATCATGAGATGGGTGTGTATGTATTTAGCACCTGAACGTAACAATTTTTAAATGTAGTTCGTTATACTTGTTTCTGGTAGCTTTTTGTTTTTCACAAAAATAAATGTTAAAATGGTGATGTTTTTAACTACCTATTATCAAAGTGCTGGTAGTAAGCTAATACTTAGTGACTCTAATCATTTCTTCTTGCAGCTCAGGATTTTAACTATACAGACCAAGAAGTTATTCAAGGCTTTTTAAAATATGGGTTCAATGCTGTTATCAGTAAAAAACTGGGCAACAGGAGACATGTGCCAGATACGAGGAATGAAATGTATGTTTCTCTTGTTTTTATTTTTATTTTTCGTATTGAGATATAATTGACATATAACTTTATATGTGTCTCGGGTGTACAACATAATGAATTGATATCAGTATATATTGTGAAATAATCACCACAATAAATCTAGTTAGCATTGGTCACCATACATAGTTACAAAACATATTTTTTTGTAATGAGAACTTTTTTTTTTTTTATCCTCACCCGAGGACATTTTTCCATTCTTTGTTCAGATAGAGTGGGAGGGAGAGAGAGAGAGAGAGAAACATCGACGTGAAAAAGACACATCGAGTGGCTGCCTCCCACACAACCCAACCAGGGCCGGGGACAAACTGCAACCGAGGTACATGCCCTTAGCAGGAACTGAACCCGGGTCTCTCAGGACCGCAGGCCGACGCTCTAACCACTGAGCCAAACCGGCCAGGGTTGTAATGAGAACTTTTAAGATCTATTCCTTGCATCTTCTTTTTTTTAAAAAATATGCTCTTATTGATTTTTTTTAGAGAGAGGAAGGGAGAGAGAGATAGAAACATTGATGTGAGAGAGAAATACGGATCTGCTGCCCCCTACACGCCCCCGACTGGGGATCAAGCATGTGCCCTGACTGGGAATTGAACCGGGACCTCTCAGTCCATGGGATGATGCTCAGTCAGTCCACTGAGCCACACTGGCCGGGTTATTCCTCAAAACTTTCAAATACGCAATATAGTACTATTTAACCTGCAGTCACCGTGCTGTATGTTACATCCCAGTACTTATTTATTGTATAACTGGAAGTTTTTACCTTTTGACTGCCCCGCCCATTTTGTCAGCCCCTGCCTCTGGCAACCACCAATCTGTTCTCTATATCTATGAGTTTGTTTTTTTGCAGCAGGAATATAGGGGATAGTACGGATTTGTCTTTCTCTATCTGACTTATTTCACTTAGCATAGTGCCCTCAAGGTCCATCCATGTTGTTGCAAATGGCAAGATTTCCTTCTTTTTATGGTTCCATTTTTTTTTTGTTGCAATTTTTATTAATTTATTATTATTACAGATGTTTCTCTTTTTTCCCCAAGACACCCTCCTCCTGATCCCCCCTCCTAGCATTGTTGTCTATGTCCATTGGTTACGCATACATTCATGTAAGTTCTTTGTTTTATCTCATCCCTCCTTCCAACCCCCCTCCTCTGAGGTTTGTCAGTCTGAACATGGTTCCATTTTTTAATGGAACTTTTTATGTCTATATATATCATTTTATATATATATATATACTGTATATATAAAATGAAGACATATATATAAAATGAAGACATATATATATAAAATGAAGATATATATATATATATACACACACACACACCACTTTTTTTTTAATCTGTTCATCCACCAATGGACACTTAGGTTCATGTCTTAGCTATTGTAAATAATACTGCAATGAACATGGGGGTGTAGATATCTTTTCAAGTTAGTGTTTTTCTTATCTTCAGATAAATACCTATAAGTTGAATTGCTGGATCATATGGTAGATCTATTTTTAATTTTTTGAGGAACCTCCATAGTATTCTCCACAGTGGCTGCACCAATTTGCACTCATTCCCACCAGCAGAGCACCAGGGTTCCCTCTTCTCTGCATCCTAACACCTGTTATTCCTTGTCTTTTTTTTTTGTTTGTTTTCTTTATTGATTTTTAGACAGAGAGGAAGGGAGAGGGAGAGAGAGACAGAAACATCAATGAGAGAGAACATTGATTGGCTGCCTCCTGCATGCCCCCCACTGGGGATCAGGCCCACAACCTGGGCATTTGCCCTGATGGGGAATCGAACTGGTGACCTGCTGGTGCAGGGTCGACACTCAACCAGTGAGCCACACCGGCCAGGCTGGTTTGTTTGCTTTTGAGTTGTATGAGTTCTTTATATATTTTAGATATTAACTCTTTATCAAGTGTATGATTTGCAAATATTTTCTCTCGTTCACTAGGTTGCCTTTTCATTTTGTTGGGGGTTCCCTTAGCTATGTAGAAGCTTTTTAGTTGGATGCAATGCCCTTACTTATTTCTGCTTCTGTTGCCTTTGTTGGAGGGTGTCGGAACCAGGATTGATGTAAATAAAGTTACCACCTGTGTGTCCTTCTAGGAGTTTTATGCTTTCAGGTGTTGCATTCAAGTCTTTAATCTATTTATAGTAAATTTTTGTATATGATATAAGACAGTGCTCCAGTTTCATTCTTTTGTATGTGGTTGTCCAGTTTTTCCAACACAATTTATAGAAGAGACTGTCTTTACCCCATTGTATATTCTCGCCTCCTTGTCATAAATTTATTGATCACGTAGTCACGGGTTTATTTCCTGGCTGTCTATTCTCTTCCATTGAGTCACATGTCTGTTTTGATGCCAATGCTATACTGTTTTGATTACTATATCTTTGCAATATGGTTTGAAACCAGGGAGCTGAGATCCCAAAACACGAATCATTTTCTTCCTTTTATTTATGCCTGCAGGTGTCTTAAAAAACATTACCCAACCAGACTGCCTACTGCAAGCATTGTCATTTGTTTCCACAATGAAGAATTTCATGCCTTGTTTCGGACAATATCCAGTATCATGGCCCTCACTCCACACCAAGTCCTTGAAGAAATTATTTTGGTAGATGACATGAGCGAATTTGGTAAGACAGAACGCTAATAATCGACCTCATCTACGCTGAAAGCTGTCTCTGATGGCATGTGATTTATTTTCCATGAGCAACAGTTGAGGCAAGCATGGAGCTCGAGGCTGTTGCTACACTGGCGGGGGTGTAAGAGCTGGTCCCCTGCCCTTACGGTGCTGGGCAAATGGGGTGGTCAGCGCTGCCCCGAGGTACATGTAGGAGCACCAGCCTGGTCTTTAGAAGTCATCGATGACGTTCAGGAAGAAGCGATATCTAGACTGAGGTCTGCAGGGTGAATTGGAGTTACCTGGATGGGACAGGAAAGAAGGGGTATTTTAGGCAGAGGAAATAATGTCCCAAGGGCCCAGAGGCAAGAGAAAACGTAGTGAGTTTGGAAGAGTTCTGCAGTTTCTGCCTGAGTATAAAATTGAGGGGAAAGGTGGACATAAACGCAGAGCTGTAAGAAGGTAACCCCTCATGAAGGGCATTGTTTGAACTTCATCTGGAGACAATGGGGCGCTGTTGCAGGCTTAATGCAGGGAGAAGACATGAGCCAGGTACTTTCCATGAAAGAATTGTAACCGGACCCGCTACAGGTAAGTGCTTATTTCTGTTTGCTCACTGGTCTAAAGAACTGGGATACTAGTATAAAAATCTGATTAACTATGCCTCGCCCTTGACATCAGTTGTCTGTTCTACCACATTAAGTACAAACCAGGGGCTAGCCCAGGGGGACAGGATCCAGATCAGTGAAAAGATTACAGGTCCTTGAGCAGATTCTTAGGATCTGCAGGTCCCTGGGGGGTCCATTTCACATGGAAGCCATGTATCTGTTTACCCCGTCACTGTGAATCTGACCCACAGTGGGCTGGGAACTAAAAAGACAAGGGCAGACAGTAGGAGGAAGAACAGAAAGGAGAAGACACTCCAGGTGCATCAATTCGAAGGTGGAATATGACTCAAGCTAACGTCAGCTGCATTTAGGAATTCACACACGACGGTATTTCTGGAGACCACTCAGATTGAGCAGAGTACTGTTTGTACACGACGGTATTTCTGGAGACCACTCAGATTGAGCAGAGTACTGTTTGTTTCTAGCCTCGTGCACGGGAGGGAATGTGGAGACACGCTCAGATTCCTTATCCGTAGCAGGGAGCCACAAATTTGGCCACATGCTGGGCAGGAAGTCCCCCAAAAAGCCATGAGCAGCCCTGGCTGGTTTGGCTCAACAGAGCATCGGCCCGCAGTCCAGAGAGACCCGGGTTCGGTTCCCGATAAGGGCACGTACCTCGGTTGCAGTTTGTCCTGGCCCTGGTTGGGGTCGTGTGGGTGGCAACCACTCGATGTGTCCCTTTCACGTCGATGTTCTCTCTCTCTCTCTCCCCCTCCCATTCTATCTGAACAAAAATGGAGAAATGTCCTCAGGTGAGGATTTAAAAAAAGCCATGAGCTGGGGCAGAATGGGATGTTTTATTAGACTGTGGAGTTCTGCCTTCTCACCCAGGCCAGGGGTTGTGCGCCATGGAGATACCATCTCAGGATGATCACGGGACATGTCCCCAGCCTTTCAGAGCCACACCGTGGGTTCAGAGACATACCTAGTGCCCTGCTCAAATTCATCCTTTAGGCAGGAGAGGACTCACTGCTGATGACCAAGAACTGGGTGTGCACCAGACTAGACACCTCTCCTTGTCCTTGTTCCACAGTCACCTGGCTTGTGGTGACTTCACCTACCCCACCAAGGAGCTTATTCTTTGACTCTCACAGAACCTCAGCCCAGAAAATACAGGAAGCGGGGTATTCTGTGTTCCGATGGAACTCAGGCTCGACACACTCCTGCTTTCAATTTTTAACGGCTTGATGTGGGCTGTCGGAGATTTTCTGAACTACGGCTTGTCTTTCCCAGCTGACACCGGTAGTCCTGCCAATGGACTCTGTCGCTTGGGGAGCAGGGGACAGGGACCCACTGAGTTACACGAGAGACATGTCTTCCACCTTTCTCAGAGTCCTGGTCCCTGCTGACTACAAGCCAACAAGAAGACGATGCTTGGGCAGCTCTCCATGTCAGTGATGACTGTTCTCAGAATGGCGTTCCCCCTGAGTCTGGCCCCCAGACTTCTTGTGTCCGGGATGTCAGACAGATGTTTGTGGACACTGAGCCAAGCTGCCGCCCCGCCCTGGGCGTGCCTCTGAGCAGGGCCCTGGCACTCTCTTTAAAGGTGAGGCAGGAGCCCTGGCCGGTTTGGCTCAGCAGTGAGAGCATCGGCCTGCGGTCCAGAGAGACCCGGGTTCGGTTCCCACTAAGGGCATGTACCTCAGTTGCAGTTTGTCCCCGGCCCTGGTTGGGTCGTGCGGGTGGCAACCAGTTGATGTGTCCCTTTCACATCAATGTTTCTCTTTCTCTCTCTCTTCCTCCCTCTCTATCTGAAGCTAAATGCAAAAGTGTCCTCTGGTAAGGATAAAAATAAATAAAGGTGAGGCAGGAGATGCCTCCACCAAGAGGGCAGTGAGCCCGCTTCCCTTGATCCCCGCCTCCTGATTCCGGGGACTCGGGAGCTGAGACTCGGAGACCTCTGCGTTCTCCTCACCTGAGCCGCCTCCATCATCATCACATTAACCTCCGAGGACTGAGCGACTATTAGGTGCCGGGCTCCATGCCGAGTGTTGTGTTTCTTCCTCTCACTACGACACGGCCCGGGATACAGCGGGTATCACCACGGGAGGGAGCTGAGCCGTGGGTGGTTGCCACCTTGCCTAAGACTCAGCGCCAGGGAGAGGCACGCTGTGAATGGTGGCGCCGGGAGGCCCCCCAGACCCGGCAAGGGCCGTGCGGTCCAGCGGAGGCGTCGCCAGAACAGAACAGCCAGGCTGGGCTGGCGCCGAAACCCCTTCCGTCCGTCCGTCCTCACTCAGGATGCTCGTGTCTTTCCCAGCGAGAACCTGTGTGGCTTGGCGGGTTCTCGGGGATCGGCCACCATGGGGCTGAGTGGTTTTCATGTCTGCAGCTGTCCTTTATATATTGTCAAGTCTTGGATCTTTTCTCTTCCCCTAGATGACCTGAAAGAAAAACTAGACTATCATCTGGAAGCGTTTCGGGGAAAGATTAAAATAATCAGAAACAAAAAGAGAGAGGGGCTGATCCGAGCGAGGCTGATCGGAGCGGCGCGCGCTTCAGGTAAGGACACTGGGCACGTGACCTGGTGCCCGCGCCGTGGGACCTTCCTGCCCACGCGGAAGCCATCTGCCCCGAGAGCCTCCGTGTCCACTGGCGGAAACAGACTGGACGTGCATGTGAGCCATGTGAGAGTTTCACTTTCTTTTGACTCTGACAACAGGCTGCTGCTTCAGAAGGTCAATTTGTTATTTCAAATAGAAAGTCGCCTTCAAGGGTTTCAGGTCAGCCCCTGCTTACAGGATGAGTGTCCCCAGCTACAAAGTCTGAGAGGTAGCTGCATGCTATTGGAACCCACTGGGGTGCTCTAGAGAACCAGGCCCATCAAGCAGCGAGGGGAGAGACTTTTGGGGGCCACTGGGGCTGGCGGTCAGCCGCCTGCGGCACAGGAAACGCTGGAGCCAGGAAGGGCCCCCGTTCAGGGCCTCCGAGGGGCGCTGTTTGCTCAGGGTTCCCCACTGGTCCGGCTGAGCCTTCCTGAAGCTCTTTCAACCTGAACCTCCTTCCTTTCTCCTTCCTCCCTTCCCAGGTGTCAGGCCAGACTTGGGGTTCACACTCCCCCCTCTCCTCGTCATCCTTTACAGACATTTCTCGCAGTAACTCTTTCTCCTCTCATGTCCCCTTGGCCTCAGAGGCCGTGAACAGAGGCCCATCCTGGCTCCCCTCCTGCACCTGCCCCCCTCGCGCCTCCACACAGAGTGCTCAGTCATTGTCTGGGCGCCGGGGCGAGCAAGGCCTTGGTGTGAACACAGTACTAGATCCAAAGACTTGGAAGCTGTCGGGTGGGCTCCTCACAGGAGGTTCTCCTGAATGGAGACCTGAGCAGCGTTCTCCGTAGGCTGCCATCTAGAGCCGCGGCGGAGTAAGGGGACAAGGCCTGAGTGAGGACAACCCTGCCCCAGGAAGGTAGCATCGCCTTGGGCAAGGCAGCCCCCACCCTCGCCAAGGGCAGGCCGCTCCTGGGGAGGGCTCAGCTGAGAGCCCTGAGCCGGCAGCACTACTGGGGGATGGTGCCAGGGGTCTGGCAGGTCCAGCTGTCTCCTTTCAGGAACGGGAGTGTCCTGGGAATTGCATCGGGCCACGATGCAACCCGGGACTCCTTACTGAGCAGAAGGCCAAATAAAAGCAAAATCTGATCTTCTTCACCTAAGGATATTCTTCCTCCTCCCCCTCCCCCTCCCCCTCCCCCTCCCCCTCCTCCTCCTCCTCCTCCTCACAAACTGCAACCGAGGCACATGCCCTTAGCGGGAACCGAACCCGGGTCTCTCAGGACCGCAGGCCGACGCTCTAACCGCTGAGCCAAACCGGCCAGGGCCGTACTCTCTTTATTGTCCTGAACTTACTTTTTAAATTTAATTTTAATGTTTTGGAACGTGTCCCCTGACAGTCCTTAAGACGTACATCAGTTTTTAATGGTAGTGCGGCCTTATGGATTCCATGAATGGATTGCCGTAATTTGTTTAGTCAGTTTTCAATTGGTGATTTTAATTTTTTACTATTACTAAAAAAAAAAAAAAAAAAAAGCTGCACCTGCCTTTCTTGTATCTGTTCGGGCAAATGTGTGCTTGTGCTTATGGGGTAAATTGCTAAAAGGAGAAATCCCGGCCAGAAGGGAATTCTTGCTGTAAATGTGGGAAGATACTGCCAAATTGTCCTAAAACACCACAGCAACGAACCGTCCCACCCCAGGGCGCAAGAGGGCCCTGGACATTTCTAAACACACATCCTTTTATTTCGGCTCTGCCGTTTCCTCCCCACAATCCCTAATCAGAATAGACCCTCATTAAAACTCCAACTCACAAGCAAAAATAGCCCGGCCGGTGTGGCTCAGTGGTTGAGCATCGACCCTGCACCAAAGGTTGCCGGTTCGATTCCCAGTCAGGGCTCCTGCCCAGGCTGTGGTCCCGATCCCCAGTGGGGGGCGTGCAGGAGGCGGCCAATCGATGTTCTCTCTCATCGATGTTTCTCTCTCTCTCCCTCTCACTGTAAAATCAATAAAGGAAAAAAAATGTTCTAATAATTTTTTTAAAAAGCAAAAATAATTATGCATCTTTGCATTGCGAGGGCAATACAAGAGAAGGTGTCCTCACAGTAAACACTCAGTTGAGTTGGTCGGTCAAAGCCACGCTAAAATATTTTGAATCGAATGCCAGCTTGCTTCTACCTGCTTCTTTAGAGTCTTCCCCAACCTGCTCCCTAACCCTTCTACATGTCCAGAGCACATGGCCTCCCACATTTTTGATACAAAGTAATTTCTTTCCTTCCTTCCTTCCTTCCTTCCTTCCTTCCTTCCTTCCTTCCTTTTCTTCTCCCTTTCTCTCTCTCTCTTTCTTCCTTCCTTCCCTCCTTCCTTCCTTTCTTTGTTAATCCTCACCCAAGGATATTTTTCCCACTGCATTTTAGAAAGAGTGGGAGTGAGGGGTGGGGGAGACACAGACAGAGAGAAACATCTGTGTGAGAGAGACACATACATAGGTTGCTTCTTGCATGGATCGAACCTGCAACCCAGGCATGTGCCCTTGACTGGGACCCTTCTGTGCAAGAGCTGACACTATCCACTGAACCACACGGGCCAGGGCAAAATAACGTATGTGTTTCTTGTCTCCCCCTCCAATGGACTTGAAAGCACCTTGGGAGCCAATCACATAGCAAAAGCTCGACAAATCAGCTGCACTGGGCTTTGATTTGGGTTGTCAGACGTGTCATCCATGTGGACGGACACTGGTCCTGTTCTTGCCTCCCCAGGGGACGTCCTGGTTTTCCTGGATAGCCACTGCGAGGTGAATAAGGTATGGCTGGAGCCCTTGCTGACTGCCATTGCCGAGGACCGCAGAATGGTGGTGTGTCCCATGATGGATTCCATTGAGGGCGACACGCTGAAATACAACCCCTCCCCTGTTGTAAGAGGAGCTTTCAACTGGTACCTGCAATTTGAATGGGACACTGTTCTGTCTTACGAGATGGATGGACCAGAAGGACCCACTACGCCCATCCGGTGAGATTTCCTCTGGTTATGGGGAAAGAGCACAGGTGTGCTGGTACCTGGAGTGGGGAAGCTTTCAGAGATCACATCTTCAGTTTCCTGGGCTTAATGATACGTTGTTACTTACCTTGTTTCTGAAAGTTACCTTGTTTCTAGATGTCTATAACAAAATAATAAACGGAGTAGGTGTTGAATTTCTTCCACTGAAAATGAGCATCTCACACCTCTATTAACTCTTCACGTTATTTATTTTTTATCCTCACGCGAGGACACTTTTGCATTTATCCTCAGACAGAGCGGGAGGGAGAGAGGGAGGAAGAGAGAGAGAGAGAGAGACATCGATGTGAGAGAGACACATCGACTGGCTGCCACCCACACGACCCCAACCGGGGCTGGGGGCCAACTGCAACCGAGGTACGTGCCCTCAGCAGGAACCGAACCCGGGACTCGCTGGTCTGCGGGCCGACGCTCTAACCGCTGAGCCACACCAGCCAGGGCGGGCCTTCACATGATTCAATCCAGTGTTCAGGTCTCAGCTCTCATTCACTGGCTCTGTCTGCCGAGCTCTCCCTCCTTCCTCTCAAAGGAACGTGCGTTCTTCCCTTGGCCTCCTGACCACCACCGGGCCTTCCCCCCGCCTCGCCTGTCCCTCCTTCCCATCCTCTTTGCGGATTCCTCCTCTTCTCCCCCACCTCTTACTGTTGAGGTGCTCTTGTCTCAGCCCTGTGTCCTCTTCCCCACCCCATCCTCACAGAGCGAATCTCATCCTCCTCATACTGATGACACCCATACCTATGCCTCCAGCCCCGACCTCTCTCAGGACGCCAGAGGCATCTGTCCGACTGTCTACTGGCCCCTCTCCTTGAATGTCCCACACTAAATCTCCCCGCCCACCCCTGCCCCACCCACCACACTCCCATCTAGCCATGGCAGCTCTGTCCTCCAAGTGCCCAGGCCAAGGGCATAGGAGTCAGTGATGACTCTCTCTTCCTCCCGACACCCCACATCCCACCATAAGCAAGTCTGCTGGCTCCATCTTCAAAACACATTAAGAATTTGACCACATCTCACGGCCTCCTTTATCATACCTTTCTGCAAGATCCCATGCCTTTCTCTGGGACTTTGCACAACCTCTACCTGGACTCCCTCCTCCCACCTTTGCCTGTCGACGCCCTAATGTATCCCTAGCACATTATGGATGCTTAATAGATACTTTGGTTTGCTTGCTTGTTTGTTGTTCATCCTCACCCAAGGATATTTTTCCATTGATTTGTAGAGAGAGTAAAAGGGAGGGAGCAAGGGGGAAGGGAGAGAGACAGAGAGGGGAACATCAATGTGAGAGAGACATATTCATTGGTTGCCTCCCGCATGTGCCCCAACTGGGGTTGGGGATCGAACCCGCAACCCACGTATGTACCCTTGACTGGGAATCGAGCTCTTGACCCTTGGATGCGTGGGCCAATGCTCTAAACACTGATCCACACCGGCCAGGGCAGTAGATACTTTTTTTGAACAAATGCATGAATGAATGAATGAACATGTAATTACTTTTAAACTAGTTTGGTGTGTATGGGCCCTGCCCTTGGCAGACAAAAGAAATGCTTTGTAATGTGACAGTTTTTCCCAGAAGTAAATAGTGCAGTTCACTTAATGCCCTTCAAAGTGGGGATCTCTGAACTCCACCATCCAGTTCAGTCACCATCCGCACAGGAGACTTGCAGCCTAAAGATCATTTTCCCGCCCTGGCCGGTTTGGCTCAGCGGTTAGAGCGTCGGCTTGCGGTCCAGAGAGACCTGGGTTCGGTTCCCGCTAAGGGCATGTACCTCGGTCGCAGTTTGTCCCCAGCCCTGGTTGGTCGTGCGGGTGGCAGCCACTCGATGTGTCCCTTCACGTCGATGTTTCTCTCTCTCTCTCTCCCTTCCTCTCTCTCCCTCCCACTCTATCTGTACAAAAAATGGAAAAATACCCTCGGGTGAGGATAAAAAATTAAAAAAAAGATCATTTTCCCTCTGACCGAGACAACGTCTAGAAGACAGGGTGGGGCAGACATGGGTTTACGGTTGTGAGAATGCCAGACACCATTTATCCCTGTATTATTATTTATTAACGATTGTATTACTTTCACCCCGCCCTGTGTACATAATTTGGCTAGAGCTAAGGGAATGTTATGCCTACCTTCAGGTAGGTATAGTTTTAACTTAATACCTGTACTAAAATATACATTAAGATGATTTCAACATTATTTAATAGGGTTGTTTTCTAGTTTTTACTATGTTATCGTTCGTAGTCAATTTAACTTTGCCAAAAAAAAAAAAAAATCTGTAACAACTGAGTCTGAAGAATCACTTTAATATGTATGTGCCCCGTTTAGGTCCCCTGTCATGGCTGGAGGGATGTTTGCTATCAATCGGCATTATTTTTACGAGATTGGGCAGTTCGACAAGGAGATGAACTTCTGGGGAGGAGAAAATCTGGAGCTTTCACTGAGGGTGATTCAGATTTCGTTGTTAGTTTTTAAATAGTTATCTTTGTACATGCAAAGTGAAACCGACTGTAAATCGCATAATCTGCTGTGACGGTTATGCCATTTTTCTCCATGAGTATCTGGTACCACTCTGGTGTCCCATGAAATATATGATGTGTGGGACTTCTTGTAAAAAAAAAAAAAATTTAAAGTATTGCATAAGATATCCGATTTTCCTACCATATGTTATTTCCAATGTATGATATGTCAAGTTAATAGATTATTTAATCTGTTGTGGAATCTTTTTTTTTCTTTTTGTTAATACTCACCCAAGGATATATTTTTTCCATTGATTTTTAGACAGTGGAAGGGAGGAAGGGAGGAGGAGGAGGAGAGAGAAAGAAAGAGCGAGCCCTGGCCGGTTTGGCTCAGCGGTTAGAGCGGTTAGAGCGTCAACCTGCGGTCTGGAGAGACCCGGGTTCGGGTCCTGCTAAGGGCATGTACCTCAGTTGCAGTTTGTCCCTGGCCCTGGTTGGTTGTGTGGGTGGCAGCCACTCGATGTGTCCCTTTCACATCAATGTTTCTTTCTCTCTCTCTTCCTCTCTCTCCCTCCCACTCTACCTGAACAAAGAATGGAAAAATGTCCTCAGGTGACAATAAGAAAAAAAAAAAAGAAAGAAACATTGATGTGAGAGAGACATCGATTGGTTGTCTCCCACATGGGCCCTGAGACCAGTGCTGGGGATCGACCTGCAACCAAGGTGCATGCCCTTGACCAGAAATCGAACCCTCAACCCTCAGTCTGAGGGCCGGCGCTCTAACCACTGGGCCACACCAGCCAGGGCTGGAATCTCTCTTTTATGCTACCGATTGTCGTGGTAATTGTAGTGTGGCGGAGACAACAAAGGATTAGGAGGTCCGGTTGCTTTCTAGTTTTATCTGTCCCACTACATCCATGAGCTATCTTAGGCCTTAGTTTCTCCATCTGTAAAATGAGAGGACTTGGGAAGAAGATGTCCGCATCGTCTCCTGACTCTTAAATCCTGGGACCCTTGCTACAACACGGATGAAGCTGGAAACCATGAAGGTAAGTGGAAGGGGCCACACACAAAACCACTTATTTACACGGATCCATTCATATGCAATGTGCAGAGTAAGCGAATCTATAGAAACAGAAAGTAGACTTGTAGTTGCCGGGGCCTGGAGGAAGGAGAGAGACTGCGGACGGGTACCAGGCGTCTTAATGGGGCAGGGGTTGCACATGTTCTAGAATTAATGGGGATAGTAGCACAATCTTGAGGAATCAATGAAAAATCACTAAATTCTATGCTTTAAAAGAGTGATTTCTTGTCCCGACAGCTGTGGTTCCGCGGTTAGAGCATTGACCTGCAGACCAAAGAGTCATGGGTTTAGTGGTTGAGGGTTCAATCTCCAGCCAGGGTTGTTCAGGAAGCAATCCATCGATGCATCTCTTTCATATCAATGTTTCTCTCTCACTCTCTCTCCCTTCCTCCTTCCCACTCTCAAAAAAAAAAAAAAAAAAGAGTGATTTCTTGTGGTATGTGAATTATATCTCAATTATTAAAAATAGATTCCACTTTAAAAAAATCCTGTATATTGGAGCTTAGCATGAGCCCAGTTCTGCTGCTGTAAGCTCCTTGGCAGGTCATTACTTCCTGTGTCTCAGTTTCCTCACCTGTTAGGTAGGAAAAAATATCAGTGCCATTCGCAGAATTTTGTGAGATTTCATGAAATAATTGGGGTAGAGAATAAAGTAGAACAAAGTAGATATTCCTGGAGAGAGAGAGTCCAACAAAAATCTAAGCTACGGCCCTGGCTGGTTTGGCTCAGCGGTTAGAGCGTCAGCCCGCGGACCAGAGAGGCCCGGGTTCGGTTCCCGCTAAGGGCACGGACCTCGGTTGCAGTTTGTCCCCAGTCCCGGTTGGGGTCGTGTGAGTGGCAACTAGTTGATGTGTCTCTCCAGTCGATGTTTCTCTCTCTCTCTCTCTCCCTCTCTCTCTTCCTCCCGCTCTATCTGAAGATAAATGCAAAAATGTCCTCGGGGGAGAATAAAAAAAAAAAAAAATATATATATATATATATGGTTCTATTCAAATGTTTATCGTATGTGCATTACAGGTACTTGTTTTTTACTCAATTCTAGGCTGTGAGCTCACTGCTATTCCTCTTAACATTTTTTTTTAAGTCCTCAGCTGAGGATCTTTTCCCATTTATTTTCAGACAGAGTGGGAGGGAGGGAGAGAGAGAGGGAGGGAGAGACACACATCTACTGGTTGCCTCCCACACGACCCTGACCAGGGCTGGGGCCAAACCACAACCAAGGGACGTGCCCTTGACTGGAATCGACCCCCCCACTCCTTGGTCCATACTCTAACCACGAAGCAAAACCGGCCAGGACCTCTTAACATATGTTATCTTTTTCTTTTCTTTTTTTTAATCCTCACCCGAGGACATTTTTCCATTTTTTGTTCAGATAGAGTGGGAGGGAGAGAGAGAGAGAGAAACATCTATGTGAATGCTACACATCGAGTATTTGCCACCCGCACAACCCATCCAGGGCCGGGGACAAACTGCAACCGAGGTACGCACCCTTAGCGGGAACCGAACCCGGGTCTCTCTGCACCACAGGCCGACGCTCTAACCGCTGAGCCAAACTGGCCAGGGCTTAACATACTTTAATTCTCACTTTTCTCTGTCTTGTTTGTCTCTTTGCCCAAACAAGAAAGTTGGAGTGGAGGAAACAGATTAACTGATGAATTTACAGGAGCTGATTAACAAGTGATTACCACTACCCATGCAGTTTAAATTTTTCCATCTGTCCCTTATACTGTGAAGTCATCCACAGAGATCATACTTTGAATTTCATGTTATCTTAGCAGGTATTACATTGTTTGCTGTATTTCTTTGTAGTATTTTCTTTTTCCGACTTTTTTTGTTTTCTCTCTTCTGTTTTGGATGTTACCTCCCTCCTCCTCCTTTTGGCTGGTTACTTCATTCATGTGTGTGAAAGTTCTTTCAGGCATAGACTTATGGTGTAAACCTTCAGACATTTATTGTGAATAGAGGAATATCTAGAGCAGTATATTTTCCTTCCAAGCCCCCAGGTGGCAGCATCCTGTTAGTTATTTTCTTTTAATTTTTTTTTTTCTTTATTGATTTTAAATTTTTTTTTTTTTTTAATCCTCATTCGAGGACATTTTTCCATTTTTTGTACAGACAGAGTGGGAGGGAGGGAGAGGAAGAGAGAAAGAGGGAAACATCGATGTGAAAGGGACACATCGAGTGGCTGCCACCCGCACGACCAACCAGGGCCGGGGACAAACTGCAACCGAGGTACATGCCCTTAGCGGGAACCGAACCCAGGTCTCTCCGGACCGCAGGCGGACGCTCTAACCGCTGAGCCAAACCGGCCAGGGCTTCTTTATTGATTTTAGAGAGACAGAGGAAAGGAGAGGGAGAGAGACAGAAACATTGATGAGAGAGAACATCAACTGGCCTCCTCCTGCACGCCCCCCACTGGGGATCGGGCTCACAACCTGGGCATGTACCCTGACCAGGAATCGAACCGGCGACCTCCTGGTGCTTGGGTCGACGCTCAACCCCTGGGCCACACCGGCCGGGCCTGTTAGTTATTTTCATTGCTTGCTTCCACTCATGCCTTCCCTTCTGATCAGCCGGTGTTGTGTAACACCCAGGCCTTTGCCATCTCCCTCTGCCTGGTGGATCACGCCTATTTCAGACTTTTTTTTTTGGTACGTGCCCCTAGCGGGAACCGAACCCTGGACTCTCTGGTCCACAGGCCGATGCTCCAACCGCTCAGCCAAACTGGCCAGGGCGATCACGCCTATTTCATTCCATTGCTCTGAGAATATGGTGTACAGACCCTCCCCTTTTCAGGGCCTCATACCTTAAAAAGCCTGTTTTTCTGTCTCAGAATAAAATCAATTTTGTGAGTGATGCGTTCATATTTGAAACGTAAGTGTATTCCAGCTCAGCCAGTGTGGCTCAGTGGATTGAGCATCCTCCCATGAAATGAGGAATCCCGGTTCGATTCCCGGTCAGGGCACATGCCTGGGTTGCAGGCTTGATCCCCAGTAGGGGGCGTGCAGGAGGCAGCCTATCGATGTTTCTAGCTCTCCCTTCCTTTCTCTCTAAAGGATCAATCAATAACAACACATAATAACAGAACAAAACTGTATTCCTTTTTCCGGCTCCACATTCCCTCCAGCTAGTGAAGAACAGCTCATTTATTACTCAAATGTATCAATTTTCCTCGCTTCAGTATTTTCCACCGCTCCATTCCTAATGGCCCTTTCCTATCTTGTGAGTATCCTTGGGTCTCTCTTTTCATAAACAAACGTTAAAGCACTCTCAGGATACTGGCGGTGGGCTGGAACCGCGAGAAGCAACCTTGTCTCTCCGGAGAAGAAAAAGATCCTCGATGTCTGTGTGTGCTTCTTCATTTCTCACTTCCTCTTCAGTCCAGTAGACCAGCATCAGGGGGCCTTCGGCATCCAGAAGCATCGTGACAGTGACGTCCCTCGGAGATGGCCTTCGGTCTTCCGCAGACTTGAGATTCCTGCAGCATTGGACACCGCAGACCAGTCTTTCCCCAAAGTTTTCTTGGCTTTCAGGACAACATTTCTGGTCCCCCTTCCCTTGCTTGGTGGTGCTCAAAGTTTCCTTCACAGGAATTTCTTCATCTGAGAATCTCTTAAACGTGGGTGTTCCCAAGACTGTCCTCGTCAACTCTATCTTCTCACCTCTTCCGGGCTCGGGGCTGACCTCAGCCACTTTGCACCTATGAACCATCACCGTGGCTAACACAGCACAATATTTTCTGATGTTGTTGGAGAATATCGTAAGACACGTTTATCATGCCACTCTTCACTCGCGATCAGCCTCAGAATTGGTCAAGGATGACAGAGGCAGAATCATTGTGTATTCAGATTGCTTGCGATGGGGCTGGGTTTCCCGAGTTTGAATCCTGTGCTCTGCTACTCACCAGCCCTGGGTCGGTGCAAGCTGCTTGCTCAGTCTATGCATTCATATCTCCATCTGTAAAATGGGCATGATCACGGGATCTACATTATACGGTTGTTGCGAGGACAGAATGAAATAAGACACTTAATAAACGCGAGCCATTGAGGCTTGTAAAGAACAATGCGTCAGTTGCCGATTACTAGAAAACACACCTGACTGTGTTTTCTGTTTCTCTTCTGTCCAGATCTGGATGTGTGGAGGCCAGCTTTACATACTGCCCTGCTCTCGAGTGGGACATCTTAATAAATGGAGCAACCGTAATACTAATGAATCCAGAAGAGCCCTGATCTATAACAACCTCAGACTGGTGCACGTCTGGCTGGACGAGTACAAGGTAAAGAATACAACTCTGGCCCTGGCCGGTTTGGCTCAGCAGTTAGAGCGTCGGCCTGCGGTCCTGAGAGACCCGGGTTCGGTTCCCGCTAAGGGCGCGTACCTCGGTTGCAGTTTGTCCCCGGCCCTGGTCGGTCGTGCAGGTGGCAGCCACTCAATGTGTTCCTTTCACATCGATGTTTCTCTCTCTCTCTCTGTTCCTCTCTCTCCCTCCCACTCTACCTGAACAAAAAATGGAAAAATGTCCTCGGGTGAGGATAAAAAAAAAAAAAAGAATACAACTCTGGTTTGAAAACATGGGAGTCCACAGTGGGGCTTGCTCTGAAGAAGTCGTCTACTGCCTTTCCGGCAGCAAGTTTTGTTCCTTTCTCTGTGTTCCTGTAGTTAGCAGTACCCCTTCCCCTGCTCAGCCACTCGCCTCCAGACCCTGTTCTCAATGAGTTCACTCTAGGTGGCCACACTCACGCCTGACTCACTCTTTCTTTCCTTCTTTCCTTCTTTCCTTCTTTCCTTCTTTCCTTCCTTCCTTCCTTCCTTCCTTCCTTCCTTCCTTCCTTCCTTCCTTCCTAATCCTCACCCAAGAATAATTTTCCATTCATCTTCAGATAGAGTGGGGGGTGGGGGAGAGAGCAACACCGACATGAGAGAGACACATCGACTGGCTGCCTCCTGCATGACCCCAACCGGGGCGGGGACAAACCGCAACCAAGGGACATGCCCTTGACCGGAATCGAACCCATGACTCGTTGGTCCACAGGCCGATGCTCTAACTGCTGAGCCAAACCAACCAGGGCAGCTTTGCAGGTATTAAAGCGCTCAGTGCTCACAACTTCATGAGGGTAGGGGCCAAGGTCACCTAGTTAATAAACAGCAGAGCCGGCATTTAAACCCAGGCTCTCTCTGAGTCGATTTGCCCTGAGCCGCCACACCACCCCCCACTTCTGCAACCATGACAGTGTTGATTGGAATGGGGCAGCGAGGGCTTTTTGTCCTTGAGTATCACTGAGAGAGTAAGAGGCAGGGGCTAAACCCCACCTCCGCATGGTCCATCGCAGCTCATACTGTCCATACGTGTGGGCTGAGTGAGTCCCAGGTGGTGTGTACCGATACAGAGGGAATCAGAAGGTTGTCCGTTGTTTTTTACAAAGTTCATATGATGCCATGATTGAATTCCCAAAGACTGGTTTTGTTTAATGAAACTCTTTATTTACATTTAGGAGCAGGTGTTTTCACGAAGACCTAGTCTGAAATCCTCTCCCTATGGAAACATTAGTGAGCGTGTTGAATTAAGGAAACAACTGGGTTGCAAGTCATTTCAGTGGTATTTGGAGAACATCTTTCCAGAACTGGAGGCATACAAAGGAAGCCAATGAAGGAAAACCAATTGTTCTCATTAATAAAGAGGTAAAGAGTCCGCTAGTCCTTCAACACAGAGAAGACTAGAAGTTTGGAACATCATGAGATTGTATGAAATGCAATAGGAAATACAGCCAGTGTGCTCTACAACAGACTGCCTACCTTTGCTCCTTGGACGATGACCGTTGACTACTGTGTAAACTCATCTGCCACTACATTTCTGGGGTGGCAAGACCTTGAACGTTAGAAATGGACGCTGTCACACAGCTAAGACTCTATCATATAATTATCTCTAATTGTTTGCCAAACTCACTTGGTCCTGATAGATCGACCATAGGGACTGCCAACTCAATTCCTACTCCAGAAAGGTGACCTGGCCCAGTGGTCTCAGAAAGACATTCACAGAGAGCCTTGGTTGGTAATTCCCACTTTGGTTCAACCTAATTGAACCCCTTTCTTGCTGCCAATGTAGATTCTGGTATTGACACCTTGCTTAGTTGGGTTTCTGAGTTTCTGATGTTCAGTACACTTGCCTGGGTGCCCCGGTCCAGTTCCCATTTGTTCCCGTCTGCCCTTCTGTCACTTGGAGACACTCCCTCTTCCCCACTCCTGATTTTGCCCTTTTCATGTCTGCTCCCTCCTATGGCCCTGGCCTACAGCTCTCCTGACACTTCTTGGATTTCGTGCGCTGTTGATAATCTCTATTCTAACTGACTTGAGGACTATTTAGCTGGGATCAGGGACGAGGCAGCTAGGTTCCTAATCTCTCCTGTACAAACACACTCCCAGATGTCTCAAGTACCTCCTTTCGGTTAGAGGGCATGTCTACTGCCTCTCAGCCTGCTGTGATCGGTGCAACGCAATGAAACTACAAGCACACGATGTTTGGAGTGAGATCGAGCTTTGCAAGAGAGCAAATGCCCCGAATCTATGGACGCAGTCCCTTTTATTTGCATATTGGTACCCCCAGGTTAAAATTATTTCCTTAATGCCGAAAGATCATAAACCCTTATTCTCATGCAAATGAAGCACCCAATACACATGGGCGGGCCGGGTGAGCGTGCTTAACACAAGGTTACAAAACGTCCATCTTCCATCCCCCCAACCCCACAGGTGTCTAGGAAAGGGAAATACATTTAACTTGCAAAGACAGAATGAGAAAATAAGGGAAGGAAGACATGGAAAGGAGTAAAAAGGAGTGGACGAGACTTAGGACAGCCTTAGCTGGAGAAGACATAAGCTGGTTTTTACAGCAAGTAACAGCTTGACTCATCTGTGATGCTCATTCAATCTGTAAATGAGGGGTCATCCAAGCCCAGGTGTCCTCCTAGGTGCTGGGGTGCAGCAGACAACAGAGAAGCCAACCACCCCTCCCTTCATGAGATAATATATACAATGCAAAGGAAAAAACAACAACAACAGTTTGCAATCTCTTTATACCTATGTATTTAGCAAAATACAAAAATCTACTGCAAGAAAGACAGTAAACACCTGTGCTTGTATGTTACAGATGGCCAGGGTAACTTGAGTGAGCCTTTAAAAGGTCAGCGTAGCAGCACAAAATAAGAACAACATTATCATTATATTCTTGGCCCATATTTATACCTTGCCTGCTTCTAGAAATAAAATACTAATTATAACACACCCATTAATCTGTTCAAATTAGAGTAAAATTCAAAATAGAAAATCTGTAGCAGAAGAAAAAAATTATAGAAGTAACACCATTTTTCTAGTTAAAATGTGAGAATTTTTAAGTAAGCATAAAGGAGGATATTATAAATATCTGCTTTGTGGACAGAAAAAGACAGGAACGTTTTCTTATAGCTCTGGGCCTAAGATTGAGTCAGCTTTGTAGTAATGTAGTCACTAGATAGCATGAATAAGTCTTAGAAATGATGTCGCCTGTTGCTTAAACAACCTCTTCTTGAATACTGTTTTGGTTGCCCCTGGAATAGAAAACAAATCAGAATCAACACTCATTTGGTGTGATCGGGAGGACATCCCTTCTTGCCTGTAGGTGGCAATTTTTGTTGTTGTTGTTCTCTTATGGAAATTTAAAAATCTGATGTGTATCCTGCAGCTAGTTGAGAAAGGATCTGCTGACTTGATCAAGGCTTTTCACAAAACACCGTTCTTGGTATGATCAGATGCTCAGACAAGCCCTAAGTTAAACCCATACCTCCAGGCATTGATCCTAAAGAAAGAATGAAATAATGAAATAATTCAGAGCGAACGTTTATTGAGCTCTCGTCGTCTTCCATGCCCCTGGTAAGCCCTGCTGCATGGCTCATCTCCTGTCATCCGCACAACATTATGAGATCCGTGCTCTGCTTACTACCCCGGTGCACAGGTGAGAAAACTAAGGTTAGAATGTGTCCGAGGTTAGGGCCGCAAGAGGTAGCACATCAAAACACAGGCTGCCCGGTTATCGTTGAATTTTGGATGAACAATAAACCTTTAGTATCGGGGCAGTCCATGGGACACACTTACACCGCAAAATTATTCTTTCTTTGGAGTTCCTATTTCAGGCCCGTGTTTCAGCGGGCGGCTGTATCGGGGGCCAAAGTAGCATAGTCCCTACACGAGCTAAGCAGCCCAACCTCAAAGACCCCGGGTTCGACCACAGTGCTCCCCCGCACAGGGCGCTCGTGTCATTGGCGATCTCGGGAAAATGCACATTTTGCCGTATAAGTAGGTGTTCAGGACGGGAGCCTGACGCCTAAGCTTCCGCCCTGCAGCAAGCTGCCAGGGGAGGCGGCTGCACGTGGGGCGGCTCCGCGCATGCGGCCCTCTGCGCATGCGGCCCCTGCGCCCCGCCCACATGCGTCCCCTGCGCCCCGCCCACCGACGCCCGGGGTTTTGCATGGCTCCCGGGAGCGCATCGCCTAAACCTTGACGTTTCAACCTGCATTTCTTTCATCCTAAGTGACGCTGACCACGTTCTCGCGTGTTTGAGGGTATTTGTGTCTGACAAAGCTCTTTATCAAAGAGGAAAAAAAAACACAGCCCCAAAGCCTGCGCGGGGCAGGACGCCCGGCAGCGGCCACGCGCGCGAGGCCTCGAGAACGTTCCGGACGACGTCGGGGCCCGCGGCGCGCGCACCTGCGGGCAGTGACGTCACCCGCTGCGCGCGGGGGCGGGGCCTCCGTCACGTGGCCTCGGCGGGCGCTCTCGCCGGAGTGGAGGCTGCAGCGCGGGCACTGGGCCCGCGGCGGCCCGTGCGGCTCGGACCCGGGCTGTGTGGGAGAGAAGATGCCCCAGCCCGAGTCCCAGAAGGCCGGTCTCCTGCGTTGCCCGCTTCGGGGTGAGTAGCGCGCGGCCGGGCGGCAGCGTCTGGCCCCGCGCGGCCACCGTCCCCCAGCGCCGCAGGCCCCCGTTTCCGGCGCGCGGCCCCCGCATCAGGGCCCGCGGGTGCAGGCTGCCCTCGGCGGGGCACGGCCGGCGCGTGCGGCGTTGCAACCCCCGGACACGGTGCTTCCGGGGGGTGCGGGCCGCGGAGACGCCGGAGACCTCGGCGCCCGCCCCGAGGGACTTCCGGTGGGGCGCGTGCTGGGGGCGGGGGGGGGGGGTGCGGCTCGCCGGGTCGGGCCGCGGGGCCGGGCCGCCGGAGGGAGCCCAGCGGTGCGGGGGAGAGTGCCCGTCAGAGCGGGGGCCCGCTGCGCCCCGAGTCCCCCCGAAGTCCCCGTTCCCGTCGTCAGCAGTAGGGTTCGCGCGGCTGCTCTGTGCCGCCGGGATGGGAACCCGGTCCGCGCCGGCATTGGTGGTGGACGTTGCCCTCGAGGTCTCACCCCCCAAATAATAGTAATTTATTATTATTATCATCGTGTTCACAGCTGCTTTGTGCCCGTCGGGGTTTGAACCTGGTCCACGCGTGACATTCGGTTGACAAGACATTGTCCTCAAAGTCTCACCCCCCAAATAATAATAATTATTTTATTATTATTATTGTCATCAAAGTGTTCACAGCTGCTTTGTGCCCGTCGGGATTTGAACCCGGTACACACAGGGCAGTTGGTTGATGAGCCCTTTGCGGGTCCCCGTTAGAAGACAAGGATGCTTTGCCCCGCACGGGGTCGCCCCTCGGTAAAGCCCGGCCCGTTGGGGTGAACGTAAAACGCCAAGGCCCCTCCCGCAGCCCGACAGACCCTTTGAGGGGCGCTGCCTGCTGCCCGGCGCGGGGTCGTCCTGGGAAGACCCCCGGCTGCTCGGCTTTCCCAACGCGCGCGAGGGGCGTTGTCTGCTGCCCTGCACCCCGGAGGCGCTGGGGTGCTGCTGCCCCCCCCAAGCACCGTTGCAGACCCACTCGCCTCGAGGCTTCCCTTTTATGTAGAAACAGCCTGTGCGCTGCCGCCTACGGGCGGGAGGACAGACCGCTGCCCTCCCTGCGCAGGCACTGCGGGCGTGGGGGCGCGGGGCCCCATCTTCACATGACCTTTCGTGCTGTTCCTTGCAGCTTTTTTTTTTTATCCTCAGGACATTTTTCCACCTTTTTTTTTATCATCCTCACCCGAGGACCTTTTTCCATTTTTTGTTCAGGTAGAGTGGGAGGGAGAGAGAGGAACAGAGAGAGAAACATCGATGTGAAAGGGACACATCGAGTGGCTGCCACCCCCACGACCCAACCAGGGCCGGGGACAAACTGCAACTGAGGTACATGCCCTTAGCGGAACCAACCGGGTCTCTCTGGACTGCAGGCCGACACTGTAACCGCTGAGCCAAACCGGCCAGGGTCCTTGCAGCTTTTTAGATTTATTTTTTAACTTCAGAAAAGGTGATGGTAAATTATGTGTAACACGACGTTTATCATTTTCCCCACTGGAAGTGTACAGTTTGGGCGCATTAAGTACATGTACCATACTGTCACGGTCACCACGGTCCATTTCCAAGTTTTTCATCACCCCAAACAAACTGGCCATCAAGCAGGAACTCCCCGTCCCCTCCCGGTTCTATCGAATTGGCCTGTTCTGGACACACAAGCGGAATCCCGCAGTATCTGCCCTTTTGTGTCTGGCTTATTTACTTACGGTTCAAGGTCCACCCATGTTGTTGCACACAGGAAACTTCATTCCTTGTTGTGGCTGACAGCACTCTTCCATAGCTGTATGAGGGTGGTTTCTCCATTTTTCTGTTCACCGACATGGGTTGTTCCCACCTTTTGGCTACTATAATACTGCCGTGAATATGTGTTTACAGGTATGTTTGAGTCCCTGTTCTTTGGATAGGAATTATAAATTTAACTTTTAAAAAAAATTCTCTATGTTTAGAGAGGGAAAGAGAGAGAGGGAACATGGATAGCTCTCATCTGTGCCCTGACTGGAGATCAAACCTGCAGCACCGGAGAATGCTCCAACCAACTGAGCCCTCCGGCCAGGGCTGTTTAACTTTTTGAGGAACTACCAAACTTCACATTTTAAAACTTACTTCTTAAAGACCCTCGTGCCTTACTAATTGCTAAATCTGATGACTCCCACCTTAACTCCCTCAGCTTGATCTCTCTAAATAAATCTTTGTGACACCTGGTGTTGCTGGTCATCGGACCCTTTCAAGGTTCTCCGACTGTGATTCTTCTCAGGTCCTTGGTAGGCTCTTCCTTCTGTGCATGAGAGGTTCAGAGCTTGCTCCCTAATCCATTTTTGCCCTCTTCATTACTTAAACCATAATTTTGATGTTTATTTTTAACTTCTATCAGAGGCTTAGATTTGCATTTCAAGCAGTGGGCATCTCCATACAGTATTCTCTTGAATGCAACTGTTCAAAACAAAATTCATTTGTTAATGCTCTTAAAACTGTTCTCTCCATGTTTCCTGTCATTGAGACTTGAAAGCTGGTGTTTTTATTCTTCTTTCCCTTAGGGTCCTGTGTCTAGTCAAGTTGATAAGTGCCTCTGACCCGACATTCCATTGATTTCCACAGCTGTAGATCAAGCCATGATTGCCTCTTACTGGCATTTTTGTTACTGGACTCCCTGGTTCTAGATTTTTCTTCATTCCAAACCGTTTTACACACTGCTCCTACAAGTTTCTTCCTAAGATATAGTTGCTTATAGACGTTCCTTTTTGCCTGCAGAACATGTTAATTCTCCTCAGGGCCAGAGCAAATTAATCACCTTCCACTAACCTCATCCAGCCAGTGTGTATTCATTAGGCCAATCATTCTCCTTGCTATTCAATTTGGGAAGACTAAAAACAAACATGTTGCAATTTCCCAAGACTTGGGCTTTCTGTTTAAAATATTTCACTATTTGGCATTGAAATTTTAATCTTTGAAGTCAAACTTAAATCACATCTCAATTTTTGTAAGAAATTTTCTTAAGTTTTTCATACAAAATTAATTTCACCTCCATACTTGTTTCTATAAAGTTTGTTTATATCTTTATTGCACTTTTTAGAGTTTGCCTGAGTTTTTCATCTGATTTATTATTTCTTTAGGATTTTTGTTCTTAGAGAAAGTGAGATTACTGACCAGGGATATTAAGGTTTTTAAGTCTCCTGTGCCATTGTCAAAAGCTTTTTAAAAAGGCCCTGCAATTGCCCATGCAGGGTGGCTCGGTTGGAGCATCATCCCATACACCAAAAAGGTTGTGGGGTTGATTCCAGGTCAGGGCACATACCTAGGTTGCAGGTTCAATCCCCAGTTGGGGCACATATGGGAGGCAACTGATCCATGTTTCTCACATTGATATTTCTTTCCCTTTCCCTCTCTAAAAATACAAACATATCCTCAGATGGGGATTAAATATAATAATAAATGAAAAAAATAAGTGTCCTGCAGTTTATAATTTTATTACTGATAAATGCATCATTTAATTACTTATTCAGTGAGTATTAAAAATGCTAATTCAAGAGTTAGAAAATGTCTTTTTTTTTTATCCTCACTCGAGGACATTTTTCCATTCTTTGTTCAGATAGAGTGGGAGGGAGAGAGAGAGAGAGAAACATCGACGTGAAAAAGACACATCGAGTGGCTGCCTCCCACACAACCCAACCAGGGCCGGGGACAAACTGCAACCGAGGTACGTGCCCTTAGCGGGAACCGAACCCGGGTCTCTCTGTACTGCAGGCCGACGCTCTAACCGCTGAGCCAAACCGGCCAGGGCAAAAATGTCTTATTTTTATTTGCATGTCTTTACTAATTATTGAGACTGAAGACTTTTCCATATGTATTGCCAAGCTTTATCCAAGTTCTCTCATTTATCAACAGTCTGAAAAGTGCTGTATGTAGATTCCCAGCCCCAGCATAACAGAATAGAACAGGTTTTCTCAAATTTGGTACTGTTGCAATTTTGGGCCAGATAATTCTTTGTTGATAGGGCAGTCCTGTGCATTGTAGGATGTTAACAGCATCCCTGGCCTCTGCCCGTGAGATGCTGGTAGAATCCTCCCAGTTGTGACAACCAAAAACATGATTAGACATTGCCAAGAGACGGGGGTGGGGAGGTTGCCAAGTTTTCCCAGACGTTGTCAAATATCTCAGCCCCTGGCTGAGAACCACTGTAGTAGAATAGAGAGAGTGGACTTGGCACTGTGAGACTAACTTCACTGGCACAGTCCACTCTGACAACTCTGCATCTATCTACACTTACCCTTCAACATGCATTTCCATGTGAACATTCTGTTATCTAAAGACTAAATTGAAGAATTAATCTCCAATGAAACTTGTTTTAAATAATGAGGAGGCAGAAGTGAGGAGAAAACAGTTACTCTATACAAAAAACAAAACCCGCCCTGGCTGGTTTGGCTCAGTGGTTGGAGCATCAGCCTGCGGACCAGAGAGTCTTGGGTTCGGTTCCCGCTAGGGGCATGTACCAAAAAAGTGAAATAAAACAAAAAACCCAAAGAATCTGTGTTCTTTGATTTCATGCACCAGAATTAGCTGAGGACTAAATTGTGTAAGCAAGTGCATTACAACCCATAGAAACCAACATACAGGGTGGGGCAAAAGTAGGCTTACAGTTGTGAGTATGCAAAACAGTTTAATCTTGTATTATTTATTAGTTGTTGTAGTATTTTCTATATGAACAATTGGTAAACCTGCTTTTGCCCCACCCTGTACCTCAGAACCCAAAATCTTAATATAAGGGTCATGGTCAGAGGTGCATTTGTTGGGTGATACACACACACACACACACACACACACACACACACAGTTTTATTATAGAAAATTTAGAAAATATTAATATATTTTTTAAAAATCTAGTAGTCAATCTTTATTCATCTAAATCACACCTATTTTACCTCCTGTTGGCTAATTTGAAGCAAATCTCAGCTATGGGATTAGATGATCTTGGCAGTATAAAACAAGTTCCTTTTGACCTCTAATCTTCTAAAGTAGACTTTTAGTTATAGAATAGTTTTAGATTTACAGAAAATTGCAAAGATAGTGCTGAGAGTCTCATACCAAGATTCCGTTATTAACAACTTACATTGGCGTTGTACATTTATCAAAATTAATAAATCAGTATAATTAACTAGCATACATACTTGATTCTGGTTTCCTTAGTTTTTACCTAATGTCCTTTAAACTAAGGGTCCTATCTAGGATATCACATTACATTCAGCCAAGTTTCCTAGACTTCCCTTCTGTTTGTTTGTTTGGTGTTTTTTTGTTTTTTTTGTTTTTTTTGATGACCCTGATAGTTTTGAGGAATAATGGTCAGGTATTTTATAGCATGTCTGTCAATACGGATTTGCCTGATATTTTTCTCAGTGTTAAATTGGGAGTTTGGATGTTGGGGAAGAAAACCACAGAAGTAAAATGTTCTCATCACACCCTATCAAGGATACATATTCTCACCATGATCATCCATCACTGGGGTGAGGTACTGTTTGTCAGTTTTCTCCACTGTCAAGTTCCTCTTTTTCTCATTTTCTACTGTACTGTTCTAAAGGAAGTCCCTGTGCATAGCCCACATTTCAGGAGTGGAAGTTATGCTTCACTTTCTTTTTTTATTTTTTATTTTTTTTCTTTATTGATTTGAGAGGGAGAGGGAGATAGAAACACCGATGAGCGAGAATATCGATTGGCCACCTCCTGCATGTCCCCTACTGGGGATTTGGCCCACAACCTGGGCATGTACCATGACCGGGAATCGAACCAGCAACCTCTTGGTGCATGCGCTGATGCTCAACCACTGAGCCACACTGGCAGGCTCTCCCCATTTTCTAAATTGGATTTTTTATTGTTGTTGAATTGTTTGAGTTTTGTTTTTGTTTTCTGTTAACATATTTTGGATTCTGGCCCCTTATCAGAGGTAACATTTGCAAATATCTTCTCCCATTGGGTTGGTTGCCTTTTGGTTTTGTTGATTGTTTCTTTTGCTGTGCAGAAGCCTTTTAGTTTGATGTAGTCCTATTTATGTATTTTTTTGCTTTTATTTCCCTTGCCTTTGGGGTGAGATTCACAAAAACCTGAGACCAAGGTCCATAAGTTTTGTACATGTTTTCTTGTTTCAGGTCTTATATTTGTCTTTAAATCCGTTTTGAGTTAATTTTTATATATGGTGTCAGACAGCAGTATAGTTTCATTTCCAATGTTCCAAACGTCACTCATTATTGAAGAGGCTTTCCTTTCTCCACTGTATGTTTGTAGCTCCTTGATCGAAAATTAGTTGCCCATTTATGTGTGAGTTTATTTCTGGGCTCTCAATTTTGTTTCATTGGTCTGTGTGTTTTTCTGTCAATATATAATGTTTTGATTATTGTAGCTTTGTAGTATAATTTGAAGTCAGGGAATGTGATACCTTCACCTTTGTTATTTTCTCACAGGATTGCTTTGGCTATTAGGGTATTTTGTGGATCCATACAAATTTGATGATGATTTTTGTTATATTTCTTTGAAAAATGCCAATGGGAGTTTGATGGGGTTTGCATTAAATCTGTATATTGCTTTAAGTAATGTGGCCATTTTAACTATGAAATTATCTAACTGCATTTCCCAGAATGGTTCCCTGAGGTTAACTGACTGCATGACTGACTGTACATACGGTGTTTTCAGAATTAATTCTCCCTGGGAAACAACTTTGTCAACTAGAGTACGGTGCATATGCACAGTTCCATTTGCATTTAGTCTAGTCGGCTCCCACCATTTCCATCATTAAGTCAGCACCTTTTTTCCCCTATTCCCTTCAGTGAGATTGTTTTATACATTTGTAATAGTTAGATTTTTTTCTTCTCATTTTCTATTTTATTCTAGGGTCCCTTGGGCTCTTAAATAATTTTTAAAATTTGCATGCATGTTTTGGGCTCTTTTGTTAGGTAAAGTTTTATGGTTTTGACAAAAGCAGTGTTGTGTATCTATCTCTTTAATATACAGAAGTTGTACTAACCTAAAAAAAAAAATCTGGCCCTGGCCGGTTTGGCTCTGCGGTTAGAGCGCCGGCCTGTGGTCCAGAGAGACCCGGGTTTGGTTCCCGCTAAGGGCACGTACCTCGGTTGCAGTTTGTCCCCGGCCCTGGTTGGTCATACGGGTGGCAGCCACTCGATGTGTCCCTTTCACATCGATGTTTCTCTCTCTCTCTCTCTCTTCCTCTCTCTCCCTTCCACTCTATCTGAACAAAAAAAGGAAAAATGTCCTTGGGTGAGGATTAAAAAAAAAAATCTGTGCTTCACCTGTTTAACCCTCCCCACCCTTTGAGCCCTTGGCAAACAGATCTGTTTATTACCTCTGTAGTTTCACTTTTTCCAGGATATGGAAATGCCATATAATTGGAAGCTGACTTCTTAGTAAAATGCACTTAAGATTCTTTCATATCTCATGTGGCTTGATCCTTCCTCTCTTCTCACCCCTTTCTCCCTTTCTTTTTCTTTTTTCAAAATAATATTTGATCGTATGGCTGTATCACAGTTTGTTCATTCATTCACCTTTTGAGGAACATCTTGGTTGCTTCCAAATCTTGGCAATTATAAGTCAGGTTGCTAAAAAACATTTGTGTGTAGGTTTTTGTGTGTGAGTTTTGGTAGTTTCAGGGAATTGGTCCATTTCATCTTAAGTTATATTTGTAAGCATAGAGGGCTTTGTAGTGTTTATTATTATATGGTGATGAGTGGGTAGCCTGCCTAGAGGTTTGTCAATTTTACTGATCTTTTTAAAGAACCAGTGTTTAGTTTTATTGATTTTTTTTTTTTTTCTGTTTTCAATTTTACAGGTTTCTGTTCTAATTTTTATTATTTATTTTCTTCTGGTAGCCTTAGGCTTAAATTGTTCTTCTTCCTCGGGTTTCCTAAGGTGGAAGCTTAGGTTGTTTGTTTTAGATATTCTTTTCTAATATATGCATTTTAATGCTGTGGATTTTCCTCTAAGTTCTGCTTTTGCTGCATCCCACAAATTTTGATGTTATATTTTCAATTAGTTCAAATATTTTTAAATTTCTCTTGAGACTGTTTAATTTCCAGACATCAGAGGGTTTTTTGTTTTCTGTTACTGATTTCTAGTTTAATTCATTGTGTGTAAGAATAGACTTTGTGACTTTAAATCTTTTATGTCTGTTAAAGTATGTTTTATAGCCCAGAAAGTGATCTACATTGGTGAATGTGGGCTAGAGAAGAATGTGTATTCAGCTCTTGTTCTGGCAGTAAAGAGAGAGGGAGGTTAAGATTTCTGTAATCTTCTGATTAAGTCTCAGCCTGTGTCCTTCGCAAGGGTTCTCCGCTGGTGTGGCTTCCCCCCTTGCAGTCTGCTCCCTTCCCTAGCTGAGGAGTTCCCAGTCTTCCTTTAAGCCTTGACCTTTGTTGATTATCTTTTTACTCTTTAGATATGACCCTAAGGCTAGAAGGGGCCTGAGTGGGAGGAGTATCCTTTCCTGACCTTTTTTATGGAAAAGGCTCTGGGCTTGTTTCACAGTGATTACTCTTTCCCTCCCCTGCCAGATTCACCAGAGGGTCTTTCTGGGATCTTCACCTTCGATGTCACCTTGAGGACCTGCTGGGTTCCTGGAGGTAAAGCCAGCAGAAGTGTGCCTGTCCTCCCAAGACTGCATCCTTGGAGTTTCTAACTCTCATGCCAGTTCACACCCCGCCTCCAGCACGAGTTTATGGCTCCAGCAGCTTTTGCTCCAGGTAAGCAGATCTCAGCTGTGGGTGGCAATTTGCCCCGTAACTTCAGTTCTCTGATGGATCCAATGTATCATTAATTTTCAATTTGTCCAGCTTTTCTTGTTCTAAGGATGGAAATGGACTTCTAAGCATAATATCCTCTAGGTTCATCCATATTATTGCACATGGCAAGATTTCATTCTTCTTAATGGCTGAGTAATATTCATTGTATATATATGTACATCATCTTCATCCATTTGGACACGTAGGTTGCTTCCGTATCTTGGCTGTTGTAAATAATACTGCAGTGAACATAGGGGTGTGTATATCTTGTCAAATGACTGTTTTGGATTTCTTAGGATAAATACCCAGAAGTGGAATTGCTAGGTTGTATAATATGTAGTTCTATTTTTAATTTTGTTGATGTAAGAACACCAAACCTATGGAGACTTTTTATGATTGGGCCAAACAGGATAATCCTGGAAGTGAGATCTCAACAGAGAAAAATGCTTTCAAGAAATGAGTTTGTGCAGCTTTTATACATTTGGAATTAAGGAGAGGACATAGGGAAGATTATACATGAAGGGAGGAGAAAGCAAGGTTGGGATTGGATTATAGAATAATTAAGATCATGTTCTCTTGAGGATGGTCACCCTTTAGATGTACTTTGGGTTTAAAACCCTTTTTATGGTCAGAAGGAGAAAAAGAGATAATAGTTTTCATAATTTGGGGTGGGGGTCCTAAGTGATTGTGTACTATTCATTTTATGACCTCTATCAGGAGTTGTAGTCTGGAGGCCGACTGATCAACAAAGCTTCTTTAGTTTTGGAATTTACATTTCTTTAAGTGTGAGACATACCCTGCCACTTTCCACCACTCTTATGTTTCCTCTCTCTTTGCTCATTTATCTGCTTGGCTTCTGACCACACTTGATTTTATTACCCCTGTGATAACCTAATAATATGCTTTGTTTTGTTGGGATAAAGACATATGCATTCAGAGCATTTCCGTGAGTGGCACATGAGGTCAGAAAAGAGTTATTAAAATATGATGGATCCATCCCTGGCTGGTTTTGCTCAGCGGTTAGAGAGTCAGCCTGTGGTCCAGAGAGACCTGGGTTCGGTTCCCACTAAGGGCGCGTGCCTCTGTTGCAGTTTGTCCCCAGCCTTGGTTGGGTCGTGCGGGGTGGCAACCACTCGATGTGTCTCTTTCATGTCAATGTTTCTCTCTCTCTCCCTTCCTTTCACTCTATCTTAACAAAAAATGGAAAAATGTCCTCGAGTGAGGATTAAAAAAAAAAAAAAAAGATGGATCCAGTGGTGGATCCCAATAAAGCATATTAAATATTTATAGTAGGCCCTGGCTGGTTTGGCTCAGCAGTTAGAGTACCGGCCTGTGGACCAAAGAAGCGGGTTTGATTCGGATCAAGGGCACATACCTTGGTTGTGGTTAGATCCTCGGCCCTGGTTGGATTGTACAGGAGGCAACCAATTGATATGTCTCTCTCTCATCGAAGCCCCCCCCCCCCACTCCCCACTCTGTCTGGAGATAAATGGAAAAATATCCTCAGGTAAGGATTTAAAAAACATGTTTATAGTAGAATATATGGTTAGAAAGATCTGCAGTGTAATGATTCCATGAAGTAAATGTTTATTGTGAGGCCCTTATGAGGCTATGGCCACTTTCTCCTTATTGTCCTCCACTGGCCTTAAGCAGGGAGAGCTGCTCCTGCTCCTTTCTACCTGGGCATTTGACCAGACAGGGTATTAAAGAATGATGGTCAGACCCTGGCCATGTGGCTCAGTGGTTAGAGCGTCAGCCTGCAGACTAAAGGCCGAGGGTTCGATTCCCATTCAGGGGCATGTACCTGGGTTGCAGGTTTGATCCCCGGCCCTGGTTGGGGCACATGTGGGAGACAACCAGTTGATGTGTCTCTCTCATATCAATGTTTCTCTCCCCCCTCCCCCCAAAATCAATGGATAAAATATCGTTGGGTGAGGATGAGGATTAACAACAACAACAAAAAGAGTAATGGTCGTCCTCTCCCGGCCCGTAGTCATTGACCAGCAGGTGTCCCGAGCTTGGTTAGTGCAGGTGTTTTGCATGTTACGTTGTCTGTCCTTTCAGTGTTTTTTTTTTCTTTTAGCGTTTAATTAATTTTTCTTCTTTCTCCTATCAGCATCACGATGTGATTTTCCCCTGCATTTGAGATATAAAATAGAGACACCGCACGTGTTTATGTTCTCCTTAGATTTTCTTAGAGGAGATTCATAAATATCAGAGGGGAGTCAAAAGATATTTTCCAGGGAGCATATGATGTCTGGAATTTGCTCTGAACCTTTTCTCATTCAGTAATCTCTTATTTGTAATTATGAAGTATGTTGGTGGCAGTGTTTTCTTCTAGTCTTACAGGGTAGATAAGGAATGAGAAAGAATAAGGTGTACTTTTGTGTTGTCATCACCTGGTCATTTCACAGGGGTGTTCAGGAAGGGCACTGCTGTAAGTCAGTATTTGTACTCACATTCAGATTTTACCTCAGCTACAGTCATGTGTCTCTTCTGGACAAAGCTAACAAATGTTTGCTGTTTGACAATTTGGAATAGAGCGTATACTGACGAGAAAATAGCTGGACACTACTGAAAGGTAAATACTTAACATTTCAAGATAGACATTTTAAACTTCATTAAATATTATGAAAATTATCTTTTACTAAAGGAAATAAATGCTGTCTTGTTTAGTTAAATAGAATTGTCTCATTAGTCTTGTAGTAAAAACGTTAAACAGTTAAAAGGAACACAAATTTCAAGCCAGATAGTGGTTCATTGAAGAAAAACGGTTTTTCAAATGGTGCTTTTAGAATATTTGTTCATTGCTCAAATTTTATTCTTACATTTTTGACAAATTGATGGAATATATATATATATATTCCTTTTTATGTGCTAAAATCGTTTGCTTCTGAGATTCAAAGCCTCAAAGCCTAAATTTGTTCTTATATCTCTAAGTTAGGAAGTTTTTTCCTAAGAAATTTTTATTTTTTTTATTTTTTTTATCCTCACCCGAGGATATTTTTCCATTTTTTTTGTACAGATAGAGTGGGAGGGAGAGAGAGACAGAAACATTGACGTGAGGGGACACATCGAGTGGCTGCCACCCGCACGACCAACCAGGGCCGGGGACAAACTGCAACCGAAGTACATGCCCTTAGCGGGAACCGAACCCGGGTCTCTCCGGACCACAGGCCGACGCTGTAACCGCTGAGCCAAACCGGCCAGGGCTCCTAAGAAATTTTTACTTTGATTAAAAGAGACACACATGTTCTTTGTAGAAAATGTTTTAAATAAAGAAAAGTAACCAGAAAAATTATCCATAATGCCACTAACCCGAATCTATTAAATTTTTTTTTTCGGTAAGTGCTGATAGTATAACATTTTATAGCTGGTATAGAGATTAAAGATAAGGAGTCGAATTTACAGCAAAACATTAATAGTGGTGAGATTTCAGGTGGGTTTTTAATGTTTAAGCTTTTGCTCATCTGTATTTTCTGATTTTTTTTGGCATGACTGCAGAGCAAAATACAAATTCCCAGCACCTTGTATGGTGTCTGACATAGAGCTCCTACTGTGTTCTAGATATTAGTCTTTCCTTTAGGATTATTGCATGATTTTCAGAAGAAAAATGTTGGATTGTTCACTACATTTAATAGGCTATCACTGGGAGATTAATGGAATGATTTCAAGTATCATGTATGGAATGACATTGCATAACAGGAATGTGCCAGTGAACTTTACATAATTTACTTCATGGAGCATAATTTAGTAGCTGGTGTGTGATTCGTTCTTTGTTAATAGAAACTGGCTGTGAAAATTATCTCAAAATGGGTCTGCTTAGCTCAAACTAGTGTGCTGTAAAGAAATACCCCTCCCTTGCCGTGGCTGGTTTGGCTAAGCAGTTAGAGCGTCAGCCAGTGAGTCGCGGGTTCAGCGCCGGTGAAGGGCATGTACCTTGGTTGCGGTTCATCCCTGGCCCTCGTCGGGTCGTGCGGGAGGCAGCCAGTTGATATGTCCCTCTCATGATGTTTCTCTGTCTCTCCCTTCCTTTCCCATTCTCTCTCTCCCTCCTACTCTGGTAATAAAAAGAAAAATGTCCTCGAGTGAGGATTTAAAAAAACACACAAACGATCACTCGAATCTGATAATGATGCTGGGATTTAAACTGATCAGACTTCTGTGGCCTCGTGTGCCACAGCACATTCTGCTGTAACAACAGTAGATGCTAACAGCAGCAGTGATGTTTGGTTTGAGGTGTGCCGGTACTACAGGCACATTGTTCATTAAGATATCTCCAGTTCACGGAGCTGGAAAGGATTCTTCTATCACTAGTTGTATTTCTCCACAATCTGAGTGTTGGCAGCTCATTTTCCAACTACATCACAGACTTTCCAGGTCACTCTCTCAGGTACATAATTCCAACAGTTATTCAGCCACACCAGGACCTCTAATCCATTGGCCCATACATATTTGTCATCCTGCCCCATTTTTCCACATCCCTCCATTTCTCCTTGCTTGGCTTAGATCTGTGGTCTGTCCTTCTAATCAGCATGTGGATATACTTCTTCTCATTCTTCTGTACTTCCCTGGCAAAACCCTGACTCTCGGCTTACAGGGTCACCTGTCCCTGAGCAGCCACCACACCATGACTAAAGAAAATGTAAAATCACCCTGGCCAATTTGGCTCAGCGGTTAGAGCGTCAGCCTGGGGTCCAGAGAGACCCGGGTTCGTTTCCCGCTAAGGGCGCGTACCTTGGTTGCAGTTTGTCCCTGGCCCGGGTTGAGTTGTGCGGGTGGCAACCACTCGATGTGTCCCTTTTGCATTGATGTTTCTCTCTCTCCCTCCCTCCCTCCCACTCTATCTGAACAATAAATGGAAAAGTGTCCTTGGGTGAGGATAAAAAAATAAAAAAATAAAAATAAAATACTCTTAAAAAAAGGAAACATAAAACCATTCTGCCTTGTTTCAGTGAAAGTTCATGTACACAGCTGGTTAGCCTTTTATTCATTTATTTACCTTTGAAAAATATATTACAGTGATATCTAACTGCTGAAGTTTTGGCTTAATTAACTTCAAGTTTATGATTGAAAGAATTTGTTCAGTAGTTGTTTGGTATTAACTAACCTCTAAAGGTTTGCTTTGACCCTCCTTAAAAGCTGGGTATTAAAGCCATAGGTGATTGCTTATAGAAGGAGTAACAAACAGTATGAAGCAAAAGGCTTTATTGTGTAGATGCTGGATTCATTATTTGTTAGCATAGATTAGATTAAACGTTCAGCTTTCAAGTTGTGTTTGGAGGTTTTAATTTCTTAGTTAAATTTGGTGTTTGCTTTATCTCATCGGTTTTGAAAAAGTAATATTTTTACTATTTGGCTCTAAATAATTTCTGATTTCCATTTAGACATTTCTCATTTTTCTAGTTATCTTTTTGCCATTGGTTGCTTTTTAACCTGTGTGGTTGTCTTGTGACTAGAGCATGTGGTCTGTAAGACAGACGCAAGCACTTTGACCCCACTGGGCACACTTCCTTTTGACGGTCTTTGCTTTTGCTCTGCACTCGCAGGGACAACTCTTGCCCAGATCTTTGCAGTGCCCACTGTTTTGTTCAGGCCTTGATTCGGCGATCACCTTCTGGGTGAGGCCTAGCTGGCCACCTACCTGAAATGTCACAGACCCTCTGCTACTTCATATTGCTCTTCCCTGCCTTATTTTCATTCCTTAGCACTTTCTAATGTTACGTAACATGTTCTGAACGAATAGGGAGGAAGTAAAACTTTAAAGGATGTGTGCCTGGAGACAGAAATAAAAGAAATCTTAACTGTAAGGGAAAGGTTGGGTGTCTGGACTTGGCCTAGAGTGAGACTGAAGAGTTGTATAGTGTGGGCGAGAATGACACAGCTGGGAGTCAGGGTTGTGGTCAGAGTGTGGTTTTAGTTTAAGGCTTAAGATGAGTTCTGAATAATGATGAAATCGGGGTGGGGCAGGGTTTCTTAAATAGAATAGGGGTAAAGGTTATAAAAGGAACATGAATGAAAAAATTTTGTAGTTAGGGTTTTGAAGGGCTCTGAAAATTGCCCAACATGCTGGTGGGATTTGGGGTAAAGAAAAAGACGTGAGTCTGTTGTTCAGAGCTGCTTGATGGAACAGCCCTGATTGCCATCCTCTGGCCCCTCCCTGTGATTAAAGAAGAGATTGGCCGGCTTTCCTCTTCCTGTCCCTTCTGCCTGGGCCACTTCTGTGTTCGGGGTTGAGAAGGCCAAGGTGGGAGTGGGAAGGCCTGGAATAGTCTGAGAAGACAATCTGGACAGCCGTCTGGTCACAGAGCTGGAGGAGGGACTGCTCCCTGGACGCAGAGCTCCTTGCTGAGACCAGAGTGGCCTGTGCCGTCGCTCTTGCACTTCAGGGCTCCATGGCCTTTCCAGGAGAGGGCGCTTTTGTTTTTGATGTTGTTTGCTTGCTTTTTGCCCACCCGCTAGTGAATATTCTAGGAAGTTATAATGTTTAAATTAAATTTTAATGTTTCACCTAAATGTCTCTCCTCTATTCTTTACACTTTTGTTGCAAAGTGGCAAATTTGCAACTTTCTGTCTTATTTGCCTTGATGGCTCCATTCACTGCTTAGAGAACATTTTTCTCCACTTACAAATACAGCAGTTGTTTTATGTACGTGTCTTTCGTTTGACAGTGTGACAGCCGACACGACAGCAAGTGCACTGGTGCCTGGCTTTCCTTCTGTGCTGTCATTCCCAGCCGCTCCTTTGGTGTCACTGTAGTTTGGGTGCTGCTGGTTTGTTTGTTTTTCTAAGCTTTTGAATTGACATGTAGTAAAATAACTACTTGGTTGGCGGTAGTCAAGAAATTGAGCTGTTTATCCACCACCTCCTAGGCTTATGGTATAACGTACAAAATAGTTTAATTTTTGAAGTGGAACTTAACCGATGCTGATTTGCTATGTCTAGATTTTGAGGAGGGTGATACTATTATGTTTAAAATTATTTCAACTGTAGAAATAAAGAGTAATGTATTAGTATCACTTTGTAGATTTCTTCTGTGTGTACATTATTTCCATAGGGAAGTGGTTCTCCACCTTCCTAATGCTGTGATCCTTTAATACAGTTCCTCATGTTGTGGTGACCCCCAACTATAAAATTATTTTCGTTGTTACTTCATAACTGTACTTTTGCTACTGTTATATCTTAGGCGACCCCTGTGAAAGGGTCATTCGACCCCTAGGTTCAGAACTGCTGCCATAGGGTTTCTCTGCCCTAATGTTCCGTGAAACTGTTTTGTATTATGTACGTTTGTCTCTTTATAAAGAATTCCTCAGGAAGTTGTGTGATAAAGGATTCCTCAGGAAGTTGTGTGAGGCCTCCATGAAGACCATATATAATCAGAAAGCTTAGGAAAAATTTGTGGTGCTGTGTTGTTTATAGGACATCATAAGGAGAGGGAAAATAGAATTATTTGAACTCTTTTGGTTATAAATTTAAAATGTAACTGTTTAATCTAGAGTAGGCATTAGAGTAGGTTTAATCTTTGATTAGAAAGGAGAACTGTTTTTTCAAGTTGCTTCTTTTTAATAACAGTTTTTAAGATCCTTGGGTTAAAAGAGTCTTGTAATTTTACATTGGAAGGGATCTTAGATGTACTGTCATGACACATGTCATACTGGTATTTTCCTCATTAAAAATTAGGATCTGAAAAAAGTCACCAAACTGGAAGCAATCCAGAACAGAGGTGGAGCAGTATCCATTAACATGGGCAGGTCAGCTGTTTTGCTGTCATAGATTTTCTGAGCACTAACACACTGGTCTGTGGTTTTAATTGCTGAATTTATTTTTTTAATTTGGTTATCCACATATCTTTTTCCATTTGAATCCTTGTTAATAGTATGCCTGGGGATCCTAAGTGAATAGTTCAGAAGTGCAGTTGGGTGGTTTGGGAAACTGCCTATGAGCTTGGTGGATGATTTACAGGTGTCCCGCAGTGTCTGACACATCTATCCTTCTCTTGCAGGGGAATGAAAATGGCCCTTCAGCTATGCTAGGTCTATGATGGGAAGTGTCACAGCTCGCTATTTCTGTTATGGATGCCTTTTTACTTCTGCGACCTGGACGGTTTTGCTTTTTGTTTATTTCAATTTCAGTGAAGTGACTCAGCCATTTAAGAATGTGCCCATCAAGGGGTCTGGGCCCCATGGACCGTTCCCCAAAAAATTCTATCCCCGTTTTACTCGAGGTCCAAGTCGAGTATTAGAATTACAGTTCAAAGCTAACAAGATTGATGATGTGGTAGATCATCATATTGAAGATTCAGAAAAAGGCATTGTGAAATTCTCTTCTGAATTGGGTGAGTGTATTTGATTTTTTGCTTAGCATGTCAAAATATTTTATCATTGGAGGTTTAAGTTTTAATTATTATTTAAATCATGTGTTGCTTGGGATTAGAAGTTTGTCATTTCTTCCCCACCAGTTTATTTTGTTCATGAACTAGCTGGGGTCCTTATGATTTTTGATGACTTAGAGTGGTGTTATATTCTAATATGTCCAATTCTGACTTCAGTATTTTATGAGGACTTGGGAGAAACTAGTAAGTTCCAGAATAGAAAATGAAAAATTAAGTGGCTGGAAAGACAGTGAAACCTCTGGAGGAAGATTTAAATCGCTATCATTATTTAATTTCTGCTTATAATAATTAATAAGTTGCTGGAATATACTTATTAAGTAAATATAGGATTTTATAAAACCTAAGCATAAAATAGAATTTTTTTTTCTTTAAAAATTCTGTTCAATTTGGTAGCAAGAATCTGTTTGTTTTTTTGAATTATTCTAGAGTACTGGTTTTAGCAAACTTTATTTTAAGGGATAAAGGAGCCATTTTGGTTTTCGTTAAAACTAAAGAAATTTGATCTTGTGGACGCATCAAATAAGTAATATAGTAAAAGATTTTGATATATTGAAAGATCTACAGAATATAAAGGAAATGTTATATTTTTATTGGATCATAGTTTCAAAAATAAAATCAGTTCTAGCACTTAAAGATTTTTAACACATGAAGTCAAAAGTATTTATAGCCTGGCCGGTGTGGCTCAGTGGTTGAGTGTCGACCCTTGCACCAAGAGGTCATTGGTTTGATTCCTAGTCAGGGCATATGCCCAAGTTGTGGGCCTGATCCACAGTGGGGGGCATGCAGGAGGTGGCCAGTCTATGTTTCTATCTCTCCCTTCCCTTCTTTCTCAAATCAATAAAGAAAACAAATTTAAAAAACATATTTAAATTATATGAGGAAACAGAAGCTAATACTTCCATTTTAATAAGATACATCTATTGTTTTTCAAATAGCCATGTAAACATGTTAAGAGTATTAATGGGAAAAGTTCTTATTCATGGTTATTTTGGTAAAACTTTTATAAAGAACTAACACTGGGTTTTTACCATTTTGAATGGACATTGTATTTGCCTTTGAAAGAAGCGGTGAGAGAATTGTAGCTATTTGAAATGACAAACCCAAATTGCTTAACTGAAGAACCAAATTCTCAAAAGGACCCTAAAGAATACACAACAAACTATTATAGCTAGTAAATGAATTCAGCAAATTTGCAGGGTATAAGATCAACATGCAAAAACCAGTTGTACTTTTGTACACTAGTAATGAATAGTCTGAAAATTAAGAGAACAGTTCCATTTACAATACTATCCAAGAGGAATAAAATACTTAGGAATAAATTTAACCAAGGAGGTGCAAGATTTGTACACTGCAAACCACAAATCATTGCTGAAAAAAAGTAATAGTAGGTCTAAATACATCGGGAAAAAAAACCTAGGTTCATAGACTGGAATACTAAATACTGTTAAGATGTCAGTACCACACAAAGCCCGCCACAGATCGAATGCAAACTTTATTGAAATCCCCCACAGCCTTTGTTTAAAAGATGGAAAAAGTCTTATTCAAAAATTAACATGGAATTTGTCCACATGAGAAATGTTCAAACCTGTAGAGAATTTTTATTAAAATGTATTTGAGCCAAAAAGAGGATAGACCTGGGAGCAAGATCTCAACTGACCAAGAGAAATGCTCCCGAGAAAAACAGTCTGCAGTTCTTTTCATGTATTAGAGATGAAGAAGGAAGGAGCGAGCGAGCGAGCGAGCGTAAAAGAGATTACATGGAGGAGGGAAGAAGCAACTCGGGGTGGGATTCCAGGCGCATTAAGATTATGTGCTTTCTGGTTGTGACTGCCCACCATGATTTGCCCAGTTAGGAATTTTTGATCAGATCACCTTATGAGGTTCCTTTCCATAGAACCTCTTTTTTTTTTTTTTTTTTGTACACAAATTGCAAGGGTCTCTGAATAGCCAGAAAAATATTGAAAAAGAACAAAGTTGGAAGACTCACACTTCCTGATTTCAAACTTTCTACAAAGCTACAGTGTGATACTGGCATAAGGACAGACACTTATGAATACAAAATAAACCCTTTGACATCTGTGGTCAGTTGATTTTCAGAAAGTGTGCCAAGGCCATTTAATAGGGAGAGAATAGTCTTTTCAACAAATGGCACTGGGACCACAAGGTACCCACATGCAAAGGAATGAAGTTGGACCCTTACCTCATACATGTAAAAATGAACTCAAAATGGATCAGACCTAAATGTAAGAGCTAAAACAATAAATTCCTTAGAAGAAATCATAGGGATAAATCATGACCTTGGATTTGGCAATGGTTTCTTAGATATTGACACCAAAAATACAACAACAACAAAAAATAGATAAATTGGACTATCAAAATTAAAAACTTTTGTATATCAAAGAATACTACCAAGAAAGTGAAAAAGACAATCCCAAAAATGGGAGAAAATGTTTATAAACCGTATCTCTTACAGGGGTCCGTTATCCAGAATATCTAAAGAACTCTTACAACTCAATAAAAAGACAGAAATAGCCCAATTAAAAGTTATATTTTTGTCCTCACTCGAGGACATTCTTGCATTTATCTTCAGATAGAGCGGGAGGGAGAGAGAGAAACATCGATGTGAGAGAGACACATTGAGTGGTCGCCACCCACACAACCTCAACCAGGCCGGGGACCAACCACAACCAAGGTACATGCCCTTAGTGGTTCTAGCAGGAACCGAACCTGGGACTCTTCGGTCCACAGGCCGACGCTCTAACCGCTGAGCTAAACCAGCCAGGGCAGGAATAGCCCAATTTAATAGATATTTCTTTAAAGAAGATAGCTATCCAGCACATGAAAAGATGTTCAACATAATTAGTTATTACAGAAATGCAAACCCAAACCACATTGGGATACATTAGCTAGGATGGTTATAATTTTTTTAAAAAGGGAAGTAACAAATGTTCATGAGGATGTAGAGAAATTGGAACCCTCGAATGTTGCTGGTATGAATGTAAAATGATGCAGCCACTGTGGAAAAGAGTTCCTCAGTAAATAAGCGTATAATTACCATATGACCTAGCAATTCATGACACTCCTGGATATATACCAAAAAGAATTGCAAGCAGGCTTTCAAACAAAACATGTACAAATTGTCATAGCAGCATTTTTCTCAATGGACAAAAGGTGGAGACCTCCCAAATGTCCATCAGCTGATATGGAAGGACAAACAAAATGTGGTATAGATACAGTGGAATATTACTCACGCATAGAAAAAAAGTTATATATGCTAGATGAATTTTAAAAACATAAGGAAAGGAGGACACAAAAGGTCAACTATTGTGTGATTCCTTTTATATACAAAATGTCTAGACAAATTCAAAAAGAAAGCAGATTAGTGGTTGCCATGGGCTGGGGGAGGGAGGAAAGGAGAGTGATTGCTTTAAGGGGTACAGGGTTTCCTTTTGGAGTAGTGAAAACATGCTGCAACTGGGTACTTGTGATGGTTGTACAACACTGTGAACACCTAAGTGTCACTAATGGCAAATTTTATGTCTGTACATTTTACCATAATCCAAACAATGGGAAAAACCCCACTAAATTTCTCATGAAGTTGGTTTAGAAGGAATTAATATAAATCAGTCTAGTAATAGTTAAAAGTACACTGATTGCTAAATAGGGCACTATCAACAGTCAGGGAAAAGAACCCATAAAGTACATTTTAGAAAAATTATCAACAAAAATTAAAAATAGATTTTCTGATTTAATCAACAGTTATAAAATTAATTGAAATAGCTCACCTGGCATGTCATTTCATTGAAATTTAGCTATAATTTTATTAGTGCAAGAGAAGGAGAAAACTAAGCTAAAGTGATCTCTTTTTCCTCCATTTTTAAGATCTACTCTTAGCAACTTTTAAATATATGATGCAGTATTTTTTTTTTTTTTTTCCTCACCCGCGGACATTTTTCCATTTTTTGTACAGATAGAGTGGGAGGGAGAGAGAGGAAGAGAGAGAGAGGGAAACATCGATGTGAAAGGGACACATCGAGTGGCTGCCACCCGCACGACCAACCAGGGCCGGGGACAAACGACGATGCAGTATTTTTAACTGTAGTCACCATGCTGCACTTCACATGTCCAGAATTGTAACTGGTAGTCTATACCTTTTGATACACTTCATCCAGTCCACCTCCATCCCCCTTCCAATCTCTGCCAACCACAGATCTGATTCCATAGTCATGGTGGGGCAAAAGTAGGTTTACAATTGTCCTAATGGAAAATAACACAATAAATAATAACACAAAAACGAATTTTGTGTTTTTCATACTCACAACTGCAAACCTACTTTTGCCCACCCTGTATAAGTGAGAGTCATACATTATGCCAGTATTTGTCTGATTTATTACAGTTAGCGTAATGCCCTCAAGATCCATCCATGTTGTTGAAAGAGCAGGATTTCCTTCTTTATTATGGGAATAATATTCCATTGTATGTGTGTGTATATATACATACACATACCACATTTTCTTATCCATTCATCTTGATAGATAAAAAATTTTTTAATATGGAATAATTGTTCAACAGGTCTATATTAGAAAGTAAGTTTTTCCAATATTCAGTATGAGATAGTCCTTTCTTTGATATTTGTTGAATCCAGGAATATTTGTTGAGAATCTAATTTGTGCAAGGCTGGTCTAGGTGCTGGGTATCAACCAATTTTTATTTACTTTTTGTTTGTTTTGAACATAACCAAAGTCTGTATTCTCATGGAGTTTTCATCTTTATATAAAATGCTAAAAGAGCTTTGTTCTTTTGTATTTAACAAAGGATGCACTCCAACTTTAAAAGTTCTCATGGATGAAGAGGTGGTGTTTCCCAAAGTGGATCTGTAGTCATGCGGTCAGATAAATTGGGGGAACACTGCCTTCTATATACCCTCCCCATTATTAAAGGATTAGAGTTGTCCTGCCATAAAAAAACTACTCAACTTTTAAAATCTAGCATTTCCCTGACTTATTTGACTAACACCTGTTAATGTCCAGTGGAATTAGTTTTCACGACCAGACTTTGGGAAGTGCTGCTGCAAGGTAGTCATTCCGTGAGGAGAGGCTAAAAGTTGACATGGGAGAGAGAAAGCAAAAGGAGGTATGTTCTTGGTCAGGGGAAGATGGACAGAATGCTCCAGCAGGGATGTTAGGTTGAAGAAGTGACTTTGAGCTCTGCAGAGGGCTTTCTTGACTGATACTGATTAAGCCTGGAACCAGTGACTTTTTTTATTTTTTTATTTTTTATCCTCACCCGAGGACATTTTTGCATTTATCTTCAGATAGAGCTGGAGGGAGAGGGGGAGGAAGAGAGAGAGAGAGAAACATCGACGCGAGAGAGATACATCAAGTGGTTGCCACCCACATGACCCCAACTGGGGCCTGGACAAACTGCAACGGAGGTGCGTGCCCTTAGCGGGAACCGAACCCGGGACTCTGGTCTGCAAGGCCGATGCTCTAACTGCTGAGCCACACTGGCCAGGGCACCAATGACTTTTTTTTATCCTCACCCGAGGACATTTTTCCATTTTTTGTTCAGCTAGAGTGGGAGGGTGAGAGAGGAAGAGAAAGAGAGAGAAAAACATTGACATGAAAGGGACACATCGAGTGGCTGCCACCTGCACAACCCAACCAGGGCCGGGGGACAAACCACAAGCGAGATACGAATCTGGGTCTCTCCAGACCAAAGGCCAACGCTCTAACCGCTGAGCCAAACTGGCCAGGGCACCAATGACTTTTTACAGAAAGGTTTATCAAGTCTTTATTAGGGGAAGGATTAATATAAAAATTTGCTGACAACTGGGACCTGTTGAGGCATATGTGGGTACTATAATTACTGCTTTTATGGACACAAAAATCGTAAGTTTTCTTTTTTTGGTCAGAGTTATATTTTTCTCTTGAAAATATTCTTAAGATTATGACTAGTGAGAAGATGTCATTTATGGTTAAGGTACACTTTCTTTTTGAGCTGGACTGATAAAAATTGGGCTTTAACCTTAATTTACTTTTTCAAAAATGGATTGAAAAACATGGCTATTTGGTTATAAGGGTTTAAAGTCAAGGTTTTCTTAAGATCATAACATAACAGTAATTGCAGTAATCCTTTGCAGATTTCACACACTGACTTAATTTCACTTTTTTGCAGGTATGATTTTTAATGAACACGATCAGGAGTTGAGAGACTTGGGGTATCAGAAGCACGCCTTCAATATGCTTATCAGCAACCGCTTGGGCTTCCACCGAGATGTGCCAGATACAAGGGATGCAGCGTACGTTCCTTATTGGCTTCTGCTGTCACCTTAGTAACATGGTGCTTTCAGGGCCCCGCAGTGAGTCTTGAGGCGGCGTTGATACTTTGCAGTTAAGCTTTATTATTCAGGATGCTGGAAAACTTAAGGCAGATTTCCACTCTTACTTTGCTTGAATCCACAGAGTCTGAGACTGTACTAACAAAGTTCTAGAGCTTGCCGTGTCTCTTAAAAGTTAAAATCATGTGGGGAAAAGGAGAGAGGTGCTAACTGCGTATCATTTTATAACCTTCTGAGCATAAGTTTCTAAAAAAAATGTTTATTGAATTCATGGCAAAAAGGAATAAAATCAGTGAAGAATTTTACTCATCTCACTTTTGTTTTCATTATTTTTGTTTCGTCAAAGGCTTTTCATTCATATGGTTAGTTAGTCATTCCACATACAGACTTTTTTGAGTACTTCTGTTTGCTACACACTGTATTAGGCCTCAAAATAAACAGATTAAGACATTTCTGGGTTCACAGGCCTTCAAATCTAACAGGGGAGGTAAATAAGGAAACAAGTAATTGTAGTAGCACAGGAATGAGGACTGTGACAGGAACTGGTGAAATGGGTTCCCCAAACTGGAGTGGCCAGGGGGGTTTCACAGTGTGATAACTGAGCAGTGATGCAGGGGAGTGGAGAACAGACTGAGGCATAAAGCTACACAGTCTGTCCAGGGGCTGACACGATTCACTTAGGCTCTAGTGGAAGGCTCTGTGCGCCATGCAGAAGAACACAGAGTTCCGGATTCGATTCTGTAAGTTACTGGTCTTTTATTGTCTCATAAAGCCACCTATTAGTTGCTTACCTGGAAGCTCTTCCATTATCTTGATACATATCATAGTTTACTCAAATCTTTTCCTGTTATTGGGCAAAAAGTAAAATTTTAAATACAAAGTTTTATGTTTCTTTATTTCCTTTGGAACTCTCATTGAGAAGAAGCTGCACACCAGCTTACAAGTGCTGCGCTAAAACAGTGAAGGAGGAGGCCAATCAATGTCTCTCTCCCCCTCTTTCCTCTCCCAAAATCAATAAAGAAGAAAAAAAACTTGCAATGATTTTGTGTTACCTATGCACCAAAAAAAAATCAAGTTTTTAAAGTGTTGATCAAAATATGACCAAAGTAGCACATATCCGAGGCAGGAGTTATTAACAAATGTAAAACTCTTGAGTAAGAAATCACATTATTTTCTTAAAAGCTTTTAAAAAAGTTGTTATAATGCAAGGAAGAGGCTGAATAAGGTCATAGTTATTAATAACTTAAAACATTTGAGTCTTTTAAAATGTTGGGATTTTTCTCATCTTTGCAGATGTAAAGACAAGACATACCCAGCAGATCTGCCAGTTGCTAGCATTGTCATTTGTTTCTACAACGAAGCCTTGTCTGCTCTGCTCCGGACTGTGCACAGTGTCCTAGACCGCACACCAGCCCAGCTTCTCCATGAAATCATTCTCGTGGATGATGACAGTGACTTTGGTGAGGAATGTGGCAACTGGTACTGTAGATCTAGGCTGTTGTTCCCTGTGGTATTGATGACATCAGCGGAGCCAACCATTCACTCCATAGCGGATGGGAGAACCCTATGGGCTTGCAATTGCAGTGGAGCCAACTACAAAGAAATGCCTGTCCAGTGATTACGGGCTAATTTTGCAGAAACTGCATCACCTTTGTAATCTGTTCACAAACTCTGCTACCCAAATTTGGCCCTTGGAATTTTTTCCTTGGCTTACGTTTTTTTTAAATCTTTTTAGTTTGGGCCATGTATGACAACCCACAACTAACATCATACTCAAAGGGGAATAACTAAAAACATTTTCCTTAAGAACAAGGCAAGGTTGTCCATTTTCACCACTTTTATTCAGTATAGTGTTAGCAATCCTAGCCACAGCAATCAGACAAGAAAAAGAATTAAAGGCATCCAAATTGGAAAAGAAGGAAAACTGTCATTATTTGCAGAACCCTAAAGATATCACCAGAAAACTACTAGTACTGATAAATGAATTCAGTAAAGAAGCAGGACACAAAATCAATATTAAAAAATCGATTGCATTTTTATGCACCAATAATGAACTATCAGGGAAAAAAATTAAGAAAATCCCATTGGTTTGTTCCCAGGTGGCTATGGAGTAGGTGTAAGTTACACTCGCACCTCCCAGGATCAAGTTGGAATTACAACCAAATTATAGAACAGTCGACCTGAATAACAACTGAAGACTATCTGAACAGAGTTCTTTTAACTAAGTATATGCAGAAAAAGCCATGTCAAGACCGGTAGGAATAGTAGACACACGAAAAGAGAAGAGATTAAATACAGATTGACAGTCACAAAACAGTCACGGGGATGCAAAGTACAGCCATAGGGAATATAGTCAGTGATACTGTAATAACTATGTATGGTGCCAGGTGAGTACTTGAAATATCGGGGGACTGCTTTGTAAAGTATATGATTATCTAACCACTATGCTGTACACCCGAAACTAAGCCATAATAATGTTGAATGTCAGCTAAAAAAAGGAAGCACATGTTGCTGCATATTTGGTGATATAAAGATAGATCAATTTGGTTGTAGTATTGTTACCTTGATTCACCCACACTAAATTTTCCCATTTGTCTTTTACCTAAATTGTATTAAATTCAATTCATGTGCAGGTTTAAAATGAAATCTTGTTTACAGTGATATTAAAAAAAGAAACAACCTAGGCATAAATTTAACCAAGGAGGTAAAAAAGCCTGTACTTGGAAAATTATGACATTAAAGAAAATACAAATAATTGGAAGCATGTACTATGTTCATGGATAGGAAGAATATTGTTAAAATGTCCACACTAAGAGCAGTTTGTGGATTCAATGCAGTCCCTATCAGAATACCAAAGGCATTCCCTAAAATTTGTATGGAACCACAAAAGACCTGAATAGTCACAGCAATCTTGAGAAAAAAGAACAAAGTTGAAGGAATCATGCTACCTGATATCAAACTATACTACAGGGCTATTGTAATTAAACCGATATGGTACTGGCATAAAAACACACAAAGATCAAGAATGGAGAGCCCAGAGATAAATCTACATCTGTATGGTCAATTTGTGACAAAGGAGACAAGAGGCTATACTTTGGGGTAAACAGTGTATTCAATAAATAGTGTTGGGAAAATTGGAAAGATACGTGCAATAAAAATGAAACTAGATCACTGTCTTACACCATATACAAGAATAAACCCAAAATGGATCAAATCCTTAAATGTAAGACCTGAAACCATAAAACTCTTAGAAGAAAACATAGGCAGTAAACTCTCTGACATTTCTCTTAGTAATATATATCCCCTTGGGCAAAGGAAAAATAAATGGGACTACATCAGATAGCAAAGGAAACCATCAACAAAATGAAAAGGTAGCCTACTAAGTGGGAGAAATTATTCACCCTTGGACAGTCCTAAACTAATAAAAGGCATATTTACTGCTGCTATTATATAATTTTTGGTAGGGGCCAGCCATAGAAGTTGTTTCTCAATTATTCTGAAATGGAGTAAGATTTGATAAATTATTTTGAAACAAAAACATTGACATCCTATTTTCTTTGTTTTATATCTGATTTACATGCAGTAAGGGGGATATTTCACTCAAGTAGGCATTTCATACATTTTTTAGGCAAAGCATTGTGCTAACTGCTACCAAATACAACTAAGTGTATAAGGTAACTTCCTCTTGGCTAGTATTCCAACTCCTACCCTTTATCTCTTTTCCTTTTCCCCCCTTATAGCTGCAACCTTAAAGCAGAAGATTCTATAATTTTACGTGAAGTTTGTGATTTCAAGTACCATATACAACTTTAGAGTACTATGAAATGTCTCGTGGTTTGAATAATTGTGGGACTCTTTATTTTCAGATGATTTGAAAGGCGAACTAGATGAATTCGTCCAAAAACACCTCCCTGGAAAAATTAAAGTAATAAGAAATAGAAAGCGTGAGGGATTGATTCGAGGAAGAATGATTGGAGCAGCCCACGCAACAGGTATAACTTCCCGTTGGGTTTGTCGGTGGGTGCTGATGATGAGGGGTGCCCTCGGAGCCTCCGCTGGTTCTGCAGAGGTCTGGAAAGTGGGTCCCACGCGGGCACTGGCCGCCGGAGAGCAGGCTCGTCCGGCCTTGGAGAGGCCTTTTCAGAGCTCGGGCCCTGCTGTCCCAGAGCACAGACTCCGGGGGGTGGCCGAGCGCAAGTCCTCTCATCCATTTTTTTAAAGACACTTATTAATTACTGCTCCTCAGATATGTTTATATCTTGTTCTCTTGTAAGTAAGAGAGTCCAAACTAAAATGCCCTTGAAGTTTTGTAATTTTTTTTTTAATCCTCATCCAAGGATATTTTTCTATTTATCATCAGGTAGAGTGGAAGGGAGGGAGGGAGAGAGAGGCACATTGACTGGTTGTACAACCCGACCGGGGCTGGGGACGAACCAGAACCGAGCTATGTGCCCTTGACCAGAATCCAACCTGTGACTCATTGGTCCATGGGCCAGTGCTCTAACCACTGAGCAAAGCCAGCCAGGGCTGAAGTTTTGTAATTTTTTAAAAAAATGTTAAATGTGTGTACCCAAACTGTTTGATTTGAATTATGCAATAAGTCTTGAAGTGCGGAGGCATACCACTGGGAATGTTAGTTGGGCCAATAGACATGATATTAAAAAGGCACTTTCTTTAAAAATCTCCTCTTAATCCTCCCGAGTCCATCAAGGAAAAAGTCTCTATTGGTACAACTGTATCTTTAAAACCTTTCCAACTTACACTTAATTCAATCCTTTAAAAAACAAAACAAAACCGGTATCAAATTCAGAAACTTCTGCTAAAAATATATCTGCTTAGTCTTCAGTTACATTGTATTGATGCCATTGTGTAAGGTTGGTGATCCTGCTTGTCATTTATTTATTTATTTTTATTTTTTTATTTTTTTTTTTTAATCCTCACCTGAGGATATTTTTCCATTTTTTGTACAGACAGAGTGGGAGGGAGAGAGAGAGAGAGAAACATCGACGTGAAGGGACACATCGAGTGGCTGCCACCCGCACGACCGACCAGGGCTGGGGACAAACTGCAACCGAGGTACGTGCCCTTAGCGGGAACCGAACCCGGGTCTCTCCAGACCGCAGGCTGGCGCTCTAACCGCTGAGCCAAACTGGCCAGGGCCTGCTTGTCATTTATGATCTTGGTAAAAACATTGCCTTTAAAATACATTCAAGTTAAATGAATTTGTTTAAAAATATTAGGTATATAATATTGCACATAGTATGTGGATATTACCCCCCCCAGTCATGAAGGTAATTTATTTCGGTCTGGCTGCCAGTTCAGTTGATGTATTATATGGCATAAAATGTAACTGCTACCCTCCCAGTTCAAACAATTGAACCATTAGTTTTATTCCAAGTCAGAAACAGGAAGTCTTTTATCTAGGAATTCTGCCTGAAGTGTACTGTTGTGAAAAAACTTAGACATTTTTAACTCCTCTTAATAAATGTGAGTGGAAATGATGGTTTCTTTGATAACTGCATGGTTATTCTGAGCAATTGAGAAAAGATAATCTCATTGTCAGCAGCATTATTATTCTAAAGATTTATCCATGAAATGTATTGCTATAGATTTCACATGAATTACTTAAAGCACCAGTATCATCCTATTTCAGTTAATGATAGCCGAAGTCCTGCAGGCAGCCACATTCTCCACAGTGCCAGTGAGTGAGCTCAGTGTCTGACCAGCCTTGTGAGGATGCAGAGTGCGCATGCGCAGCTCGCCAGGTGGCAGGCTACAGGAGGAGGAGAGCTCACCTGTCCACCTGTCAGTGAGCAGCGAAGTCAGTCAGATCAAGGTGGTTCTGAGAAAATGTTTTCTTAGTTTTTCTTAATTCTAAAAATGTTACTGTTTTCAATTTAACTAAATGAAGATTACATACACATGGTCACGCTGAACCTGAGGCTAACTTGCCCAAAATTGGCTTGTTTCTGACAGATCCTAAAGTGTATTTGAACAGTGACCAGCAGATCATGATGAAATATAGAAACTCAGTAGCATGTTGTAACAGTGTGGCACTTCAGATGCACCCTCTTGCCACTTCCCCACCAATGCTCCAGGGTTTCTCCTGCCCCGCTGCTGTCAGTAAGTCACGCGGCTCAGTCAGCAAGTCTTTGAGTAGAATTAGATTGAAAAGTCATAAGCCTTGAATTCAGTCTGCACATGACCTCAGGCTACATGGAGAGGAGTTCTCCTTTTGTGTTAACTGGTTCAGTTTACTGTAGGTTTAATGAGAAAGGAGGGAAGTCTAAAAACGAAGTCCCAGCCAGAGGCAGCGAATGGAACAGTGGGTGTGCAGGAGGGGCGGCGGCGGCGCCTCAGCTCGCAGGTGAATATGTAGAGCGTGCTGTTTGCCTCCTCAGGGGAAGTCCTGGTGTTCCTGGACAGCCACTGTGAAGTGAATGTGATGTGGCTGCAGCCCCTGCTGGCCGTCATCCAGGAAGACCGGCGGACTGTTGTGTGCCCGGTGATCGATATCATCAGTGCGGACACGCTGGCCTACAGCTCGTCCCCTGTGGTGCGTGGAGGGTTCAACTGGGGGCTACACTTCAAATGGGATCTTGTTCCCCTTTCTGAGCTCGGAGGACCAGAAGGAGCTACTGCACCAATAAAGTAAGATTTCTGCTGTGCATTAGAAATTTCCACCATTACTCCTTCAGAAGAAAAAGTATTTCAAAGATAATCCCTTCTTCATAAGAAGCAAGTGTTGGCTTAATTTGTCCGTTAAAATGCTGAGTGCTCACTGAATTTTGTGCACTCTGCCAAATCCTATGGGCAGATTCATGAGTAAGAAATTGTCCTGCTCTCAGGGAGTCACATCTTAGTGAGCAAAGCTGATGGAACGCAGTGTCCTAGGGTAAGTTGTATAGGGGACCTTGGGAACGCCCTGTGTGCTACATTAGTAGTAACTAGCTTCAGTTCTTTGCTAGTGTGAATGCTGCTCAGAAGATCATTTGATATATAGCATTTCCTACAACCAGGATTTTTAGGATGGATTCCTAGCGTATGAATTATTTTCACTTCTCATCCATATTCTCTAATGTTATAAATCTGCTATGAAATGTTATTTCTCCTTATTTTTGTTTTCTTTTCAATTTTTCATGTCAGTTTCAGAGATTTCTCTGTATTTCTACTTTCAAATTTCTTGGACCTGTTCTTTTTAAACTTTTCTATAGTAAAAACAAAATGGCATAGGGAAAAAGTGCATATTTGCGCACAATGTAATAGTTATAATGCAGGTACCTGTGCAACTACCACTTGGGTCAACAAACAGCACCAGATGCCCCCACCCCCTTCTGGTGACAGCCCTGCCCTATGTCATCCCACCTGGAGATCAGCTTCTTCCTGTAGTGTTTGCCAGGGTGTGTGCATCTCTAAGCAATAATGTTTAGTTTTGCCTGCTCGTGGGCTTTATATAAATGAATCCATGGGACTCATGATTTTGTCCATCTGCATTGCAGTATATAGCTGTAGTTGATTCATTATCATTGCTGTGTAGTATTCTATTATATTAATATAATTTAACCAGTTTGCTTTTGGTGGGGTGGTTGGGTTGTTTTCATTTCTGTTTTGTTTTTTTACGTGGCAAACAGTGCTGGTACCAACATTGTTATTTGTGGTTTCTGGTTTACAGACGTGGAACTGCCGGGTCGTAGGGCACACCACTCTCACCTTAGTAGATGAGGTTTTCCCAACACCTCAGGAGACTGGAATGCTGTTGGCTCCTTAGCTAGCCTTTGGGTACTTGCCAGCTTCCTTTCATCTGAACCAGACTGTCCTCTAGGGTGGTTCACAGAGACCTTGGCCAGTTCCAGGTGTCTGATGTGGCTGTCTTCTGCTCTCCGGTTGTGTAAGAAGCTGTGAAGGTCATGAAGAGAGCACACCCAGCTCTCAGTCATCATCTTCACATGCTTGTCGCTGTTCTTGCTCCCTACCAGGGGTTCAGTGTCGGGCACTGCCCCTCTGCCCCACAGGCTCTGCAGATCAGGAATGTAGGGCTGCTTCTGGGCCCTGTCCTGGTCACCAGGACCTCACGTCCTGCCATTACTACCGCCTCTCGGGTCGTGTTTTCTTTATTAGAAATTGAAATATGTGTAGTCCAAAAATGTATTTCTTAAGTTTTCCTTTGCTAGTGGAAGAAGAAAGTACCCCAGACTGTTACATGTACTCTAATTCTCAGTTTAGTGCTGTTGCCAGGTTTTGCCTATTTCACCATCTTTATGGGTGTTTTTCATTATTTAGTTTTTTATATTTTTAATTGAAGACCTGTATTGAGTAACAAACAGGGAACTCAGGTGGAAAGTGGCTCTAGCCCTGTCTCCCCCCCGCAGTCCTCCCCAGAGGCACCTTCTTCTCCTCACCCAGGGACATTGTCTGCATTTATCTTCAGACAGAGCGGGAGGGAGAGAGTGGGGAAGAGAGAGAAGCATCGATGAGAGAGAGACACATCGACTGGTGCCACCCACACAACCCCACCAGGGCCGGGGACAAACTGCAACTGAGGTACGTGCCTTTCGCAGGAACCGAACCCAGAATTCTCCGGTCTGTGGGCAGTGCTCTAACTGCTGAGCAAAACTGGCCAGGGCAAAGCAAATTCTTTTAACTGGTTTTATTTTTGGTCTTCGTTTCTCACTTCAATTCTGTAGGTGATATGGATAGCCCTTTTTTCAACATCAAACCAACTTGAGACCCTTCTGGGAAAAATTAAGATTTAGTTCATTTACCTCACTCCCTTGTACACTTTTTTTTCATTCCTCACCTAAGGATATTTTCTACTTATCAGATGGAGTGTGAGGGAGGGAGAGAGACAGAGAGAAACATCGATGTGATAGAGAAACATCAATGTGATAGAGCCACATTGACTGGTTGCCTCCTGCATGACCCGACCAGGGCCGGGGGCAAACTGCAACCACTGTACGTGCCCTTGACTGGAATCGAACCCGCAACTCGTTGGTCCATGGGCCAACACTCTAACCGCTGAGCCACACCAGCCAGGGCTTATTTATTTTTTAGAGAGAGAGAGAGAGACATCGGTTAGCTGCCTCCTGCACACCCCTACTGGGGATTGAGTCTGTAACTCGAGCATGTGCCCTGACTGGGAATCGAACTGGGACCCTCTATCCTTGGGATGATGCTCAATCCACTGAGCTACACCAGCCAGGCTTGAACAGTTATAAAATAACTCTATTATTTGACCCCCTTGCACATCCGTTTTATTGGAGATTGTTTCTCTTTCATGCAATAGCTTCCTGATTGCTTGGTTATTTGCTTATTTTTGTTTAGTCCCAGACACTATATGAAAAATTGTAGAAATACATTTGTACCTGTGGTGATGTTTTCTTCTTGCATAGAGAATTTCGCTTCACTTGGGGAAAGCAGCTTGGGATGTTAGAATCCAGGATCACCTAATCCAGTTCCAGGACGTGAGGCCTGAGAGCTGGCCTTGCTGTGGGAGGGCCAGTCCACTCTGCTGTCTCCCTAACACAGGTCTCAGTTTTGACATGTTGGGCCGGATAAATTCTTTATGGAGCAGCATATCGGACTCAACCCATCAGAGGCCAGTAGCAACACCCACACCCAGTCTGACAGCTAAGAATGTGTTTAGAAGTTAAAGAAATGTTTACTTGGAGAGAAAACACCCTACTTGAGAGCCACTGGTCTAACACATGTTATGAATCCAATTCATAGTGGTGGGTTTGTCTGGTCTCAGCTTAGCAGGCTCTGGAGTCCAGCTTTTATCCCATGGCTCTGAGAGACTGCCAGGAGGAATTAATTCTTCTCAGGTGCATTTCTGTCAACAATGGTTGTAATAAAATAAAAAAAGTACTTTTGATACTTAGCAAAATAGCCTTCATTTTACCAGTTATCTAATATCACTAGTGACCTAGAAAATTTGCTTATGTGGCCCAGCTCATTCCCTGATATTAGATGTTTCACAATAGTTAGTCTGGTTTTTACTAGTACTCTTCCAAAGCTACTGTTCCAAAACAAAAGAGTAGCTAAATTGACTGTACTGAAAATTTTAAAACAAAAGAGTAGCTAATTGTATAGAATTGGTACAATAATTATTTTTCTTTTCTAGGTCCCCTACAATGGCTGGAGGATTGTTTGCCATGGATAGAAACTACTTCAGTGAGCTCGGGCAGTATGACAGTGGCATGGATATCTGGGGAGGAGAAAACTTAGAAATATCATTTCGGGTGATTTTACTTATTTTTTGCATGCTTAGATATTTGTGTGTTATTGAATATAATTTTCATCCATGATTCCATATTTTCTGTAAATGCTCTTTCATTGCCTTTATTAAGAAATTATCCTTAATGATTGCTACTTTGCCATAATCTGAGATGGATAATAACCACTCAAAATCTCAAAAGCATATAAGAAACCTTATATTTATTTAGTAAGAATTCAAAAAGGGTGTGGGATATAAATTTAGAAGACTTAATGAGCAAGCATTTAATGTAGTTTATAGTTGGGATCAGGTTTCCCAAGAGAAATTACTAATTGCTCCCCATTTCACTTTTAGAAGTAGCCTAGTTTATATGACATCATTCATCACCCCATGAATAGCTTACTGAATCCTGTATATCTACATGTCCTTCCAAGCTGAGGAAGGAAAGGGGGCGGGGAAAGAACTCAGGGACCACCATTCCTGTCTGGTCTGGAGAGCAGAGTCAGCACTCAGACACTAGCACCAGCACCTTGTGTACATGTCACTTTGTGTGTTTGCAAATGTACTCACCACAGTATTATTAACAGGTAGTTTTTCTTATGTAATCTTTACAGTTGTAAAGTTAAGAATAGATATTCAGTCTTATTTTGTAAATAAGGTAATTGAGTCCCATAAAAATTAAAATAACTCATAGGGCCTGTTAGTAAGCATTCCTTGTCCCTAAGTCCTGAAGATCAAGTTTCTTGATCTGTTAAAACAATTGTTGGTAGTAAAAAAACTACATTAAGAGTTTACTTTCTTTTAATCATAAGACAGGTGATTATAAAAAGTATATCCTTTGACTATCTTCTGTTTGAATAAAACATCTTGCAAAGTCCCACAAATGGCTGTTTTTGTTTTTTGTTTTTTATCCTCACTCGAGGACATTTTTCCATTTTTTGTTCAGGTAGAGTGGGAGGGGGAGAGAGGAACAGAGGGAGAAACATTGATGTGAAAGGAACACATCAAGTGGCTGCCACCCGCACGACCAACCAGGGCCGGGGACAAACTGCAACCGAGGTACGCGCCCTTAGCGGGAACCGAACCCGGGTCTCTCAGGACCGCAGGCCGACGCTCTAACCGCTGAGCCAAACCGGCCAGGGCCCACAAATGGCTGTTTTAATGATTAGTTTCATGACGATTCTTACGCCGACTTCACAGCACTGTGGGGCAACTATTGATACGTGTTTTGCTTCTGACCAGATTTGGATGTGTGGAGGTAAGCTCTTCATCATCCCTTGCTCTAGAGTTGGACACATTTTTCGAAAAAGGCGACCATACGGTTCTCCTGAAGGCCAGGACACCATGACACACAATTCCTTGAGGCTGGCACACGTTTGGTTGGATGAATATAAGGTGAGCTTCAATTTCTCATTGAGAGGGATGAATGGTGGGCCATTGCTCCTTTGGGGCTTGCTTTTCACGCCTGTGTATTTCTGTTGGGGACCATCTCTTTCTAGGTTTCTTTTCTCTCTTCACATGGGGTTTCACTCTTTTGTTTTTACTCTTCTTTTAATTTTCCAAGTAACCACTCAATAACAAGTAATAGAGCCAACATCAGAAGAAATTGTTTCTCTTCAGTTCCTTTAGTCCTTCTGGTCCTCCTCCCACAGACCCTGGCTCATTTCCTTTGCTCATTGGGCTTCGCTGTGACCCCACCCAGCTTCCAGTGTTAGACTCTGCTCACGTAATAGTCCTTCCGCACCTCCTGTGAGACACAACCCGCAATGTTTTCTCTCAACATCTTTATTGACATGTAATTCAAAAACCATTTAGAAAATTCTGTCACCCCAAAAAGAAACTCTATGTCCTTCAGCCATCACTTTCCCCAGCCCTGGACTGAGCTCCTTGAGGTCCAGCTCCATGCCGAGCATCTTGGAATCACTACCGTGGAACACAGCAGCCCTCGGAATGTGGCCCCCGGCCCGGAAAGCCCCGCCCACCCTTCCAGGGCCCCTGCCCAGGCAGAGCTGCTTTCACAGCCCGGTTGCCAGAGCAGGTGCCGTGTCCCGTGCCGGCGCCACATTGGTGGGGCCCAGTAAGTCATGGCTCTGGCAGCAGACCGCATCCTTCACTGCCAGTTCCAGCGCATTCAGACGCTAAGAAGGAAAAGGCCGCTTTATCTGAGCATGTCATGGGTGAAGTAGTAGAAATGATTGTGTCAGCCCTCACCTTGTCTCTCAGTGTTCGCAGTGAGTATGGAGACAGTGGTGGTTACCAGGAGAAACGTGTGCAGGAGTTTGAGTTGTAACCGAACTAGCCCTTTATGTCAGAGAAGGACTCACACACAACCATGGTTATTTGGGAATCACGTGGGAATTTGGCAGACATTTTCTCAAAAATGAGCCTCTCACCTCAAAGGAAACAACCGCCAGCACTTGTTGCTAATGATAAAACCTAAGCTTTCGGGAAAATTAGGACTTGGGGAAACTTGCATCCTCTACCATGAGCTTGACTGCTTCCTGGCTCTTCAAAACTGCTGCTGAGATCAGTGGTGCTATTTATGAATATAATTTTTTGGGGGGATATTGTATAGTGAAATTTGTCTATTAGGAAGAACTTCGAGGATCAGTATTTTCCAAGTGACTAATGCATAAAGGTATTAAAATCTTGCGTGGACAAAAGAACCATTCAGAAAGCAAGATAAGCAGGTAGATTTTAATGCAACAGTACAAAAAGCTCAAAGGGATGGTTTCATAATCTACTGCCACTAATCTTGAAAAGTTACTGAGCTTTAATGGCGTATCAAAAAAGAACAGCCCTAATTATCTAATTACTAAAATATTTTTATTTTAAAATATGTTTTCATTAACTTGTATTTTAAAAAATATATTTAACCTAACAAGGTACAGGAACAGGTTAAATGTATATATGAGTCCAGCTCAGTTCCTTTATCTACTGAGCATATTTGCAGGAGTATAAAGCAGTCACTGTTCTCACTCAATTTTTATGTTAATAGGTGGTGAATTTAAACTTCTGATGTGATAACTATCAATAGGTATAACTTACAGGATCTCCTTGGAGTCTTTGGTGATTTTTAGAATATTGAGTCCTGACAGCAAACAGTGAGAACGGCTAATCTCATACGTAGCCTGTTGCATTGATTCTGAAATGCAGTTTAGAATCAGTTTACACATTTTGCCATTTATGAAATTGAGGCTTACAATTTAAGATGTCTTATTATCATTGTCAATTATGGACCTAACTGTGTCAAAACTTTCTGTTGCCACTTTCCTGTGAATATAAGAAAACATTGGCATGAAAAATATCATAATCCATTTTTCAGTTTTTTAGACCCCAGATATAATTGATACTCGTTCATTCTCTTTTTTAAATTTAGGAGCAGTATTTTTCCTTAAGACCTGATCTGAGGACAAGAAGCTATGGAAATATCAGTGAGCGTGTTGAACTGAGGAAGAAGTTGGGTTGTAAATCATTTAAATGGTATTTGGATAGTATTTACCCAGAGATGCAGATATCTGGGCCCAATGCCAAACCCCAGCAACCCATTTTTATCAACAGAGGGCCAAAACGCCCCAAAGTCCTTCAGCGTGGAAGGGTGAGGAAGTAATCTTATCAAATGTTTTCATTAAGTGTTGTATGGTATAAGTGACATAACAAATGTTTATAGTGAGCCCTGGCTGATTTTGCTCAGTGGTTAGAGCATCGGCCCGCGGACCAGAGGACCCAGGGTTTGGTTCCTGTTCAGAGCATGTACCTCGGTTGCAGATTGTCCCGGCTGGGGTCATGTGGGTGGCAACTACTTGATGGGTCTCTCCCTCTATCTGAAGATAAATGTCCTTGGGTGAGGATAAAAACAAACACAAATGTTTAGTGATAGACTGAAGCTTGCCTTCCCTTATATTCTTTTATGAGGATTTCCTTTCCTCAGGTGTAAGACCTTAGACATTTTAATGCCTTCACTGTTAGGATCCTTTGCCTAGCATTGTGAAGAGAGCATGACTTCTAACTTCTGTGAGTTATATGCCAGCTTCCAAGAGGGATGTAAATAGGATTATACAAATAAAAGGCAGTATGAGTATAAAATTCATTTGGCAGAAACATGTCAAATAAGGAAAACAAAAGAAATTAGGGCAGCTGTATACTGCTTGGCCTCAGGTCTTGGAACTGAGTGCAGACAGAAGAAAAAGCTGGGTTCAGGTCTAAGTATTGGTATAAGTGAAACTTCACATCGGGGGTCTAGCCAGAAATTCTTCCTTTTTCCTGAATCATTTCTTGCATTTTCTTTCTGAAAGCTGTGCAGATACTGTCATTGCTGCCCAGTTTTCTTCTGTTCCAAGGAAGGCCCTCCTCTTGAGGTTCTGTCACAGGGCCAGCTGTCTGGTAGCTGGCATGAAGCCTAGAGCTTTCCCCCTTCTTGTTCTTTTCAGATGTAGAGAACCATCGAGGGGCTTTCTGTGCCTGTGCGGCTAGTTGACCCTCCCCATTATTCTTGCCTGTACCCCTAGCCGCGCTTGGCAGCCCTCGTGCTGAGGCTGTTCTCTGCTTCTTGCTTTGGAATTCCTGTGGCATTTATAACGTCTAACTCCAGTTGACCATGAATGTCACATTGATTGTGTAGTGCTTGCTTTCTATCCTTTTTAGTACAGAGATCATTTCATTTTCTTCCTTCCCTGCAGGCGATTAATAAACCTGTACCTGTAGGTAGAAATTCTACTTGACATTAACTATAACCTTGAAGTCTGTTGTAATGCTTCTATGTACTGAAGCTAGAATTTAGGAATAAAAAAGGCTTTTATGACCTTTGGAATTCATACCTCTGAAATATTATTTTCATATTTCATCCCAAACTTTTGCTGGCATTAGTCTTCCTTCAGTGCTGGGTTTCACGAGGCATCTCTTCTTTTACAGCTCTATCACCTCCAAACCAGCAAGTGTCTGGTGGCCCAGGGCCGCCCGAGTCAGAAGGGAGGCCTAGTAGTGCTTAAAGCATGTGACTACAGTGACCCAAACCAGGTGAGTGAGGCCTCTGTGTTTGCAGCCAGTCCCTACAGTGTGTCTTCAGTGAAGGGAAACTCACCAGTGTTGGAGGGAGGGCAGACATCAAGACTTGAATCTCACCTCTGATCATTGTCTTAGCAGCATTGTTCAGAGCAGTGCTTCTCAACCTTCCTGATGCCGCGACCCTTTAATGCAGTTCCTCATGGTGTGGTGACCCCCAACCATAAAATTATTTTTGTTGCTACTTCGTAACTGTAATTTTGCTACTGTTATGTCTTAGACAACCCCTGTGAAAGGGTCGTTTGACCTCCAAAGGGGTCATGACCCACTGGTTTAGAGCATTATTTGAACTTTCCAATTATCTAGAATGAACGGAAGGTTATATGAATTTGTGAGAAATGGCAAAGGAAGTATATACCTTCTCCTAACCCCGACCAATCCCCTTTGGCAACCATCAGCTTGTTTTCTATATCTGAGAATCTGTTTTTTGTGTTCTCTGTCTGGCTTAATCATTTAGCATAATACTCTTTAATCCATCCATGTTGTCACAAGGACAGGATTTCTTTCTTTTTGATTGCTGAATAATATTCCATTGTATATATGTACTGCATCTTTATCCATGCATCCATATCTTGGCTGTTGTAAAGGGTATAGATAAAGGTTTTCAAGTTAGTATTTTTTTTTTTCCTTTGGATAAATACCCAAAAGTGGGATTGTTGGATCATGTGGTAGTACTTTTTTTTTTTTTTTTTTTAAATACTCTACCAAGGATATTTTTCCATTGACTTTTTTTAGATAGAGTGGATGAGAGAGACATCGATTGGTTGCCTCCTGCACGACCAATTGGGAATTGAACCCAGCAGCCTAGACATGACTATGTGGACTCTTTGGTCCACAGACTGATGCTCTGCTGAACCAAACAGGCCAGGGTGGTAGTTTTATTTTTAATTTTCTGCAGAACCTCCCTACTGTTTCCATAGTGGCTGTACCAATTTACAATGCCACCCACAGTGCACAGGGTTCCCTTTCCTCCACATTCTCGCCAACACTTGTTGATGGTAGCTGTTCTGGCAAGTGTGAGATGATTTCTCATCGTGGTTTTAATTTGCATTTTCTGATTAGTGACTCAGTTGAGCATTTTTTCATATGTCTGTTGTCCATTTGTATGTCCTCTTTGGAGGAATGTCTATTCAGGTCTTCTGCCCATTTCTGAATTGGATTGTTGGTTTCCTTTGCTGTGTAAGAACTAGATTATGTTGGTGTAGCTCTATTTGTTTCCCTTGCCTAAGGAGAGACATATCAATGTTCTGTAGTTTTCAGAGTATAGTCTTTGCTCTTTGGTTAAATTCTAGGTATTATTCTTTTTGATGCTGTTGTAAACGGGATTATTGTCTTAATTGCCTAGGAGTGTTCCTTATTGGCCTGTGAAAACACAATAGACTCTCTAGCAACTTTACTGAAGTCATTTATTCTAATAGTTTTTTTGGTGGAGTCTTTAGGGTTTTCTATAGTATCATCTACAAATTGTGACAGTTTTATTCTTCCTTTCCAATCTGTATTTTTCTTTGTCTTGTCTGATTGCTATGGGTAGGACTCTGGGTTTTGATCTTTTGTTTTCTTCCTTAGATCTGGATTTACAATGAAGAGCATGAATTGGTTTTAAGTAATCTCCTTTGCCTGGATATGTCAGAAACTCGATCATCAGACCCACCACGACTCATGAAGTGCCATGGGTCAGGAGGATCCCAGCAATGGACCTTTGGGGTAAGAAACTTGCTTAGTGAGGATGGGAGGAGGCAGATGGATTCATAGCCTACCTTGTTAGAAGGGTGTTCTGAGATTGTAACATCCTGTAAGTCATCTTAAATGTTCCACATCTCTTCTCGACCATATTCTGCCAGTAAGTGTTTTAAGTTACCTTTTTTTGTTTTTCAGAAGAATAATCGGCTCTACCAAGTGTCAGTTGGACAGTGCCTGAAAGTGGTTGATCCGCTGAGTCACAAAGGCTATGTTGCTATGGCAATCTGTGATGGCTCTTCCTCTCAGCAGTGGCATTTGGAAGGTTAAGGTGGATGCCATGGCTGGATGGAATGCATGTCCTCCTGTGGGGATGCTTGGGAAGATTAGCAGAGGTGAGAGCACCATGTGACCATCAGGAGCTGAAGACATACGTGTCACCAAGACATTAAGGTCATGTCTAGGCTGCTGTTAAAGAATTTATTGCTTATGGTAGGAAACCAGAATACAGTTTTAACATAAAGTGTCAGGTTTATACAGAAGGACAAAACCCAGGAAATTGCTAGGTCTATTCAAATTAGTTAATGCTTCTTTTTAATCCCCTTTAATAATGGACTGGTGTTTATCTGATTGGGAACTTGTCATGATTTCCTTTCTTAGAGACTTCATAGCAGACAGTTGACTGAATCCACATTACTTTTAACTTCAGAAGGCATCATTCATAAGATCATATTTAAGAGGTAGTTAACTACTATAAATTATTTTGATGAATTATGGTACTATCTACATTTAAAATAAAGGATCCTTTTAATAATTTACCTGTCTTTTTGTAGTGGAGCCTCAGGTCTGAACTGTCCTGTGATGCATGGTAAGAAATACACTTGGATTCAGCTGATGAGATGGGTAGCAGCTCTAACCGAAGGGAATTCTCAGTTTCTTAGCTTGAATTATGAGTGAAGGTATATGAATTTGGGTACTTGACATTAAAGTTGCCAGATCTAGAGGTCAAGATTCATATATCAATTAGTGATATAAATTTAGGAATCGTGTATGTATTAAATGCCCAAATATAAAGGGAGCTTGTTTCTTTTTTTACCTTGAACCACAAAGCAGTTTAAGCGCCATAGTAGAAACATGTTGGAGAATAATGTATCAGTCATTCAACTTCAAAGACCAGATGGTACCTAAACGAAAACAGACTGGCTGCATTTAAACCCAACAAAATCAGTCCTGGCTGGTTTGGCTCAGCGGTTAGAGCATCAGCCTGCAGACCAATGAGTTGCAGTCGTGTAGGGAGGCAGCCACTTGATGTGTCCCTCCCTCCCTCCCACTCTATCTGAACAAAAGTGGAAAAAATGTCCTTGGGAGAGGATTAAAAAACCCAGCAAAATCAGTCAATGCCCCAGTCAGAAATTTTTAGATGGGGAAATATATGCATGTTGAACACTAACTGCAAAACATAACAGTTAAGGAGATTTCAGAACAAAAGAATATAGCTAAGGATAAAGAGGGTTGTTTCATAACCATAAAGGGGCCAATTCATTAAGAGGAAATAATCCCAAACAACAGAACTTAAAATACATGTTGCTAAACTGTTCTATCAGGACTTCCAGGAGAGACATTGTCTACAATTATAAGAGATTTCAACACACCTCTCAATAGCAGTAAAACAAGTGGACAATCAGTAGGATATAGAGAACTTGAACAATACTGTGAACCAACCTGACATAATTAACATTTACGGAAACACTCTACCCAACTAGAACACAATCATTCTCTCCAAGTACACATGAAACATTTCCCGAGATAGATTATGTTCTGAGATATTAAACAAGTCCCAATTTATATAGATTTAACACATGAAACTTACTTGATTTCTAATATAACAATAATAAATATACCTGGAAAATCTACCAGTAACACCTTCCCAATACTCTCTGGGTCAAAGAAGAAATCAAAAGGCTATTTTGAACTAACTGCAAATAAAAACATCAAAGACTGTAGGATGCATCTAACTCAGTACTTGGGGAATTTATAGCACTAAGCCCCTATATTAGAAAAGGATTAAAAGTTTGAAAATCAGTGAGTTAGGCTTTCATCTTAAGAAAACAGAAAAAGATCAAAGAAGCAGAAGAAATGTTCAGTATCAGAAAAGAAACACTTGAGAATGGCAACCTCCCCAGAGAGTCTACAGAGGTTAAAGAGGATAAGCAGCAACAGGAAGTCTTGCTCATTGTTGGTGGGAATGCAAAATGGTGCAGCCACTTTGGAGGTTTCTTACCAAACTAAACAGTTTCACCATAGGATCCAACCATCAAGCTTCTTGGTAGTTACCCAAAGCAGGTGAAAACTTACACGCAGGCAAAGATCCTACTTATAGCAGCTTTATACATAATTGCCAAAGCGTGGAAGCAACCAAGATGTCTGTCAGTAAAGTTAATGGATAAACTGTGGTACATCTAGACAATGGAACAGTACTCAGTAGTCAAAGAACTGAGGTATCAGTCCACAGAAAGACACAGAGGAACCTTGAATACATATTCAGTGGAAGATGCCAATCTGAAAATCTACTTACTGTATGAGTCCAGCTATATGGCATTCCGGAAAAGGCAACACCATGGAGACAATTAAATGTCAGTGGATGCCAGAGGTAAAGGGAGGGAGGGGACTGGGGACTATTGTGTGTGACATAATGTTTGTCAAATCCTACAGAATGTATAAACCCAAAAGTAGACTCTAGTGTCAGCTATGGACTTCAGATGATGATGATGATGATGTGTGAGCATAGGTTCACTGGTGGTAACAAGGCACCCCTGCTGCAGGATGGGGGGCTGTGCGTGTGTTCTATACTCGATACTCAGTTTCCCTTTGAGCCCAAAACTGCTTTAAAGAAGGATAAGGGATCATTATGACGAACTTTATGCCAATAAATTAAATGGACAAACTCCTTGAAAGAAAGAAATCACCCAATTTCTCTGAAGGAATAGATAACCTAAATAGCCCTATACCTATTAAACAAATTGAATTTGTACTTTAAAACTTTCCCACATAGGAAACTTGAGGCACACGTGGCTTCACTGATGAATTCTATCAATCATAAGAGAAAAACCTATACTTACAGTGCACAACCTCCTCTGGAGAGCTACTGAGAAATTGACATTAGCAATTTTATTATTTTATTCTTTATCAATTTTCGAGGGAGAGAGAACATCAATTGCCTGCCTCCTGTATGCCCCACACGGGATCAGCCTGAAACCTGGGCATGTTCCAACACTCAACCACTGAGCCACACCAGCTGGTATGAGCAATTTAAAAAGCTATAGACCAATAACCTTCATGAATATAGAGGCAAGGACTCACAAGACATTAGCAAATCAAATCCAACAATATGCAAAAAGGATATGTGGTGAAAAGAGGGTTTGACCCCAGAACTGCAAAGTTGCTTTAACATTACAGAATCAATGTCGTTTACGACAGTAACAGAAGTAAACATTTGACCAGATTTCAGCACCCATTTATGATAAAAACTCAGCAAACTAGGAATGGAAGGGAAATTCCTCAAACTGATAAAGAGTATCTGTGGAAAACTATAGTAGTCTCAAAGGAAAAAGAAAAAAAAAAAAAAAAAGACTGGATTAGGAGCATCAGCCAGTGCAGTAGACAAGAAGAAAGGGCATGAACATTGGAAAGGAAGAAGTGAAACTATTTGAAGACTGGAATCAAGTGTGTAGAAAATGATAGTGAGTTTTTAAAAGATTTATCAGGACCACAAAATAAAAGGTCAATATAAAATTGAACTGTACGTTTATACCATATCAACAAACAGTTCAAAACAGAAAATAATGTATTGTCATTGCAGTGTACAAAAGTGTCAAAAATATGAACAGTGAAAAGTATAAAACATTGCTGAGAAAATAAGTGGAAAAGTATTTTTAGGACTTAATTCTCCAGTTTTATCTACAGATTGAATCCTGCCCTCCATCAAAATCCCAGCAGACTTTCTGTAGTTGACCATCTAACTTTCAAATTTATATGGAAGTATATACAACTAAGTGGCAAAAATAATTCTGAAAAGAATGAAGTTGAAGGACTTGCACAAATTCCAGACTGACTGTGATAATGGCTTATAGACAACGGACAGATTGATGGAACAGAAACAACCCCACGCACACACTGACTTTCAGCAAAGGAGCCAACACAGCTTCCTGGGCAAAGAAAACGTTAACAGATGGTGCTGGAACAGAGTCGCATCCCTATGGACAGAAATGGAACCTTATACCACACACAAATTATTTCAAAACCAAAACTATAAAATGAAGCATACCTTCATGACTCAAAGGTAACAGTTATTTTTTAAAAGTTACTTTGTCCTCTTAATAGCAAACTGAGAAGTGCAAGAAGCAAAGAACAAAGTTATCCATGACCACAAGCAGTTTCCAGTTGGGTATGTCCTTGTCGGTCCCCTGTGTGTCTACCCAGCCATGCTTCCATTTTTATGTAATTAGGGTTGTGTAAGTTATGCATCATGTTTTTTCACACATCATGAATATTTACCATTTCAAAGTCCCCAAACTATACCAGTGTTTTGCTATCCAAGAATACACTGCTACCCCAACTCTATCTGGAAGAAGGGAAATGTAACCCTGCCTTTCTTGGTGACAACAGTTTCACAAAGGACTAAAAAAAAAACCCACAACAGGCCTCTAAATAAAGCTGTTGACAGGATTAAAATACTGCATTCCCTGATGTTCAATTGAAAATGAGACACAAAGCAACAGAGTAACAAAGTATAATGCTGCAACAAGAATTCATTAGGATCTATACTTTTGGAATAGCAGCAAGGAGGCAAGTTTGCACTGGAACCCGTGACGTGGCTGCGCTAGAGACAAGGGGGACTCACCAGTGGCGCCAGCGCACTGCACATGGACACGCCCACCCCTCCTGCTCCTCTGCTCCAGCCCCACAGAAGTCCCGGCGCCCGTTTCTGAGCGGGCTGAACAATTCCATTTCCAAGCTGAGGCAAAGATTCTTAACTCGTGACAAGAACTAGTCAAAGAAGATTAAAGAATTGGACTTCATCAAAATTAAAATCATCAGTTCAAGACACCATTAAGAAAATGAAAAGGTAAGCCACAAACATTGTATCCAGAGTGTATAAACAATGCTTAAAATCCAATAAAAAGACTACCCACTCATAGACACAGACAGCAGTATGGTGACTACCGGGGCAGGGGCTGGAGGGGTGAGCATACAATGCAACACACAGATGATGGATTACAGAACTGTACACCTGAAACGGTATAATTTTATTAATGTCACCCCAGTAAATGCAGTAAGAAAAAAAAACACCCCAGTTTTTAAAACAGGACAAAATACTTGACCGTTCAGCAAACATAAATGGCTCAGCATGTGAAAAGGTGTCCAACGTCCGAGTCATCAGGGAAATGCAAACTAAAACCACAATCAGATACTACTTCATATCCATGGAAATGGCAAACGTTTAGAAGACTGATCTGGGTTCTGAGGAGATGGCAGGGAAGCTTGTTCCAGCCTGGATTTCAGATCTTCCCCCAGTCTGCGTCCGTGTCCAGTTAGCCAGACTAACCCGTGTGTAAGACGCAGGCTAACTAGGTGACGAGGTGGCCAGTGTTGGGGAAGCTAGCCGCTGGCAGACCTGTGTGTAGCTGACGTGTGGCCGGACAAAAAGAACTGACAGTGCCTGGTGGACCCAAGAGTAAGAGACCCCGATGGCAGCTTAACAGGACACCACGTGTCGGCGGAGTATGAGAACAGCTAGGGAGCCCGGGAGGACTTTCCCACTCGGGCAGAGGCCAGGGTCGGAAGCATCCTAGCTCCTCTGAACTCTTGAAACTTACCTCTAGGGCTTCTGTCTGGTAGGGCGCTGGCCTAAGGGAATGGAATACATTGAGCAGAATGAGGAGAAGGGAGAGGAGATCGAACTCAGTTCCTGGAGGAGGAAGGCAAAGCCAGGCATCTGGCAGCAGCCACAAGGCACACACCTAGAAATGCTCATCACAGTATATTCTCGAGGAAAACATGGTGTTTTCCCTTCTTGCTTTGTTTATAAGGATAAACATCACAAAACATTATCAAGTAGTTTAGCACAGTATGCGTTCACTTACACTGTTTGATGTCTTAATTTCAAAACCTGTCGTCTTTCAGGGGTCCCATTAGGAAACAAGGCCCATTCCTCTGGAGCACTTCCCTCTCTGAGCTGGAGGCGGAGAGGCAGGATGGGGGACTGCTGGGGAGCACCAAGGCCCGAGCGTGTGCGTCCAGGTCGGGGCGCAGGTGCAGGTCAAGGCATTTGGATCAGGGCTGCAAGCTGGAGCTGATTGGCAGGGCACACGGGAGCAGAAGCGTCGGCCGGGGGTCCTGGGTGGGCAGGGCTGCCACCAACACGGTCAGGAAATATTAGTGGAGTGGCTTTGGGGACAATGAAAATTGAGTTGTGAGCATAGCTTTTACAGCATGAGCAGCAGCCGGAGCAGCAGTAACCGGCAGGCCTCTGGTGGTGCCTGCGTTTGGATCGGAGGAGGACAGGAGGTTTGGGAAGCTGTCACCATATGAAACACACTGGATGGGGTCAGCTTGGAGAGGCAGAGGGCAAGAGAGCCGAGGATGGAGGCTTGGGGTGAACTAAGGCTGAGAAGGCCAAAGGAGAAGTTTGAAGCTCGGGGGCCGGCAGCAGGAGTCCAGTGGGGTTGGGGGTCAGGAGGAGGAAACCAGTGTGGTGGCCATGTGGTAAGAGGGCGAGCTCACAGGGACGTGCCGTGAAGCCAAGAAGTGAAGTCCTTTCTACATTCCCGCGGTTGGAGTAAGAACTGAAATTCTTCCAGAAAAGAATTTCTGGAGCCCCAAAAGCGGTCTTCAAATATGAGAACCCAAGTTTGTAGGCAGAGAGCCTCAAACCATACCAGGGGTAGCCTGCCTCGGGAGGAGAGGGCTGTGGCCACGATGGAGAAAGGAGGAGGCATCTTTCCCAGAACGGCCCGATCTGCCCTTTGGCCTCGGCAGCAGTGTGTGGGAAGTGAAAGAAGGCCTGGGGAATGGGGATGGGGCTGCCCGGTGTGACCTCGGCCACCTGAGGGGGCCTGGGGGACCCGCCAGTGGGATGGAGGATTCCCGGAGAAGAAATGTGTTTGTCGTCGATGGGAGAAGGAGCCGTCCTGCCTTCCTACCAAGTAGACTCCACGCATGAGGAGTGTGCTGATCACGACGTCGCGCGTCCCTACCAGCCACGCAAGACGAGTCCTGGCGCTGCGTCCTGGTCTGTCATCTGCGCACAGGCCTGGTGCCCGGCTACTCACATCCTGACGGGAACCACCTTGCTCTGCTGCTTAATAATGACCTTGTTTCTTCGATGCGTGGCGAAGACTCCTTTGGCTTTGCTAGAAGATGATGGGTGCCCCCCCGCCCCCCCCCGCTCTGTTAGAACCTGTGGGAAAGTGCTGACAGTCTTTCGGGACCTTGCGAGCACACAACAGTACAAAGCATCGGTGCGCCGGAGAAGTAAAGGCTTGTCTATCCACTGAAACAGAAACACAGCACCTTCTCAGTGTGTGTCATCATGGGCCAAAAGGAACCAGACCTTGGAGTGACTGCCTGCTCTACGCAGCTGCTGGAATGCTGGTGGCTTTGACACTGTCCCACAGCAACGGGACAAGGTACCTGAGGAACAGCAGCTTTGCTCTTTCCTGTTAGTGCTGTTTGAAATAAACAGTCCGCTCTTCAGAAGTCGTCTGTGTTGCTTCTGGGCATTTGGAAGTTTTAGGGTGTTGGTGTCTGAGGCTAAAGGTTCTCACATCATAGAAGCCAGGGGTGACTGCATAAGCTGGGCTTCTGGAAGAGGTGATCTTTCAGAAGTTGTTTTTCAGATACTACATAACTCTTTGAATGAAAAAAGCAGATCAGACAAGCAGGAAGGGGCGAAGGTGAGAGGTGGTAATTTGGAAGAGTTGATTGAGCAAGTCTATCTGCAAAACCGCTGACTGCTGAAGACTGCTGGAATTCTCCGTGGTCAGCACGCTGTCCCGCCCCGCCCCCGGCACCACCAGCTCTTCTTTGGGTCAGTACAAAGGCTACTTGGCCTTCCTTACAATCGACCCTCTGCACAGCAGCAGTCACCTTTGTAGGGTTGGGTCACAGCCGCTCCTCCTCCAGTCGCTTTCTAGAGCACTTAGATCATCTGATCTGGGACTTGGATCCTGCTACTCTCTGGTCTCATCTGCCAGTGTTCCAGCCGTACTTGACTCTCGGAGACCCTTCTACCACTGATTTGGGGTGTAAGAGATACTTGGCCCTATGCTGCATTTCTTCCTAGATTCAAAACCTTCCATGTTTCCTCTTCCTGTGTCCCTCCCTCTCCCTATGACACTGTATTCCATTTGTCGATCTGATGGCTAGAATGGTCGGTCTTTCTTGCTGTTCCTGGACAAGGAACAGGAGTTGGCATCCACTCCAGCAGACAGCAGACCCCAGGCTGTGATGACTCAGAAATTTCCTTCCTTCTGTGTCTCCATGTTAGAGATCAAGTCTGAGGTCAGAGAAGAAAACACTAGAATGACGACAGCCTGAGAACCTGGCGCAGGCTGTGAACACTCACCAGCCTCATGAAACTGGCAATTCCACAAATTGTGTTTTAGAATAGTATTAAAAAAACAACAACACTCAGATGGTAGGTGCTTTGAGAATTTCTGCAAAACCATACAGTACAAAAGGTTTTTTAGGGTACTCATGAAGCACAAACTAAAAGTCTGTTGTGGAAATCTTGAGGGGGGACTCTAGTCAAGATAGTGGCACTGTGCTTGCCTCCCACAACCACATAGAAATTACAGCCGAATCGCAGAACCACCATCTCTGAGAACCAACTGAAGACCAGCCGAACAGAAGACCTATGACCGAGGCTATAAAAACCCATCGCCAACGGTAGGAGGGCGGAGATGCAGAACAGGCAGGTCCCACACCCACGCGTGGTGGTAAAGTCAGGAGGGCTACGTTGGCTGTGGAGATGGCCTGAGAAGTGAGGGGTTCCAGTGCCGGGAAGGTAAGTCCCCAACAACATCTGGCCATGGAAACCAGCAGAGGCTGTGTCCAGAAAGACAATGGTTGGTAGAGATGTAGGCGCTGCAGGTCTTGGGGGGCTGTGCAGACTCACTCGCTCTTCACTGTCTGGGGCAGCAGCTCCAAAAAGCACCAGGACATCCGCGGAGATGAAGTTGTCAGGGAAAGGGCCGGAGGGACAGCACTTAGGGCAACTCTGTCAGGGGTGAACGTGCCATTGCTCTTTGGTGGAGCTCCCTTCCCACGCCACTGGCCAGGCACCCGTGGGCACCAAGCCCAAGTCTCCATCAACCTAACACTCCACCACACCACACCACTGCTTCCCCAAGATGCTGCCCCACCCAGCTCATGACTCAGCTAGAACCTCTTCCAGCCACTTTTCCACACAAGCTGTCAGCTTCAGCCCACTTGCCTGGAATCCGAGGTCTGCAAACCCTCCACAGGCAGCGCCAGGCTCGGGGAGCTCGGAAACTCGTGCTAAGCGGCTCCCAGCCCAGCACAGCAGGAGCCAGTCACAAGTCATGTGGGCTTCATCCCTAGGATGCAAGGTTAGTTCAGCATCTGCCAATCAATCATTGTCCTTTACCACATAAACAGAACGAAGCATTAAAATCCTATCAATAGATGCAGAAAAGGCATTTGACAAAATTCAGCATTCATTGATAACGCTCAGCAGTGGGAATAGTGGGAACATAACTCAATAGAGCAAAGGCCATAGGACAAACCCATAGTGCACACACCCAGCAGTGGGAAGCTGAAAGCCTTCCTGTATGATCAGGAACAAGACAAGGTTGTCCATGTTCACCACTTTTAGTCAGCATAGCGCTGGAAGTCCTAGCCACAGCAATCAGAACAAAAAGGCCCTGTCCAGTTTGGCTCAACAGAGCAGTGGCCTGTGGACCAAAGGATCATGGGTTCAATTCCCAGTCAAGGGCACAAACCTGGTTTGAACCCCAGCTCTGGTCAGGGTCATGCAGGAGGCAAACAGTCGATGTGTCTCTCATTGATGTTTCTTTCTCCCACTCAACACCACACACAAAAAACAACACATCATTAAAAAAAACGGGCAAAGGAATTGAATAGACGTTGCTCCCAAGAGGACATACAGATGAATAACAGACACATGAAATGATGTTTGTCACTAATCATTAGAGAAATGTAAATGAAAACCACACTGAGCTATCACTTCACACCTGTCAGAATGTCATCAAGAAATCAAACTGCAAGTGCTGATGAGGATGTGGAGGAAAAGGAACCCTCATACACTCCTGGTGGGATTACAGACTGGTACAGCCACTGTGGAAAACTATATGGAGGGTCTTCAAAAACTAAAAAAATGGAACTGCCTTATGACCCAGCAATTCCACTTCTGGGTCTGTATCTGAAGAAATCCAAAACCCTAATTCAAAAAGAACATGTACACCCCTGTGTTCACTGCAGCATTATTTACAATGGCCAAGCTATGGAAGTAACCCAAGTGGCCGTCAATAAGATGGGTGGATAAAAACAATGTGGGGTACACACACAATGAAATATTACTCGGCCATAAACAAACAAAAAACCTTAAATCTTACGTTTTCAACAACTTGGATGGACCTAGAAGGTATTATGCTGAATGAAATGTCAGAAAGATAAGGACAAATACCATATAATGTCCCTTACATGTGAATCTAAAAACAAAAACTCTTAGAACAAACCGATTGTGGCAGATGAAAAGGCGAAGGGATTAAGAACTACACACTGCCAGTTACGAGGAGTCACGGGAATGCACGCTGCAGCCTAGGAGAGAGTCAGTGCTACCGCAGGGACTATGGCTCATGTCAGACTGGCACGAGACTTTCCGGGACGGTCGCTGTGTAACAGGATTACTGTACTGCACAACTGAAATGAATACAACACTGTAACTGCAAAATCACAAAATTCTAAAAATACAACAAACATATTTCACATTGCACATAGAAAGTTTTACTGGAAGAACAAATACATAAACAAAAGGCTCCAGGTTTCTTCACAAATTGTAATAAACCTCTCTACTAAGTAAAAAAAAAAATCTTCATGAGGATTCTAAGCAATTTTAATTCTTAGTAACCTCTATACATGTTAATACAGTCAATAAAGTCTCTACCACACAGAATAAATCTAGGAGAACTGAACAAGCAAACAAAAACAGGCTTTGAACAAGGGAATAAGGCACAAGTAGTTTGTAATGAGGCCTCAGTGAGCTGAAATGAAACTGAAGTTGCCTCCTTTATCCAACTGCAAGGAAGAGAGTCTCTCTTTGCAATGAGTTATGACCTGTGTCTAAACTTCGAGAAGAGAACCAAGTTGACTACATCAACATGCCAGTAACTTTGGAAAGTGGACCAGACCATCGGTGAATTTCAGACAATCCTCTGTTTCAGAGCTCAAACCAGAGCAAGCGAGGAGTTAACAGAGACTCGGTGGCTTTTATAGATGTAAAATATTTTATTTGTAAATGGTGATCTTCTAAATCTGTGTCCACAAATTCCAAAACCCATAACACTCTGTATACTTCAGAAAATTCCATTTTTGCCAACATTAGAGATACTATTATACAGAAGAGAAAACAAAACAAAAACCTGGTAGGACAAATACTGGTAGGAAGTCAGAATATTGTACAAGAGAAGAAAAATATTCAAGAAACAAATTTCATACAGCTATTTATCAAGAGAAAAATATATACAATTGATTTATTCTGTAAGATAAAAATACATCATGCCATATACATTACAAGTTCAGAACTGCATCACTGGATATACCAACAGCTTACAGTCCACTTGAATTGTGCACACAAAAACTTCATTTTATACTTAGTCTGTGAAGTGTCAGTACCAGAATTTTAAGTACAAAATAAAAAGCTAACCTGGTTCAAAATGCTGATTAAGTTTCTACAAGCAAACACAAAACAGTGTGTTTTTTATTAAAGAAATGTAAACAAACAGTTCATACAAACACATTTTAAAATTACAACTTCCAAAACCCTTTCGCCGGAGTCCTGCAGCTTGCAAAGCATGATCACGTCCCTCCTTTTTTTTTTTCTTTTTCAAATTTTTGTGTTAAATAGAAGGCTAGAGAGTCAGATCTGAGTTCCTGCTACATGATCCTAGTACATTTAAATGATTGTGGCTTGAAACAAAGTTCTAATCAAAACTACTTCTGCTGAAGAAAATTCAGCCTCCATTTGGGTGTCTTTTTAAGCAGTTATTCACAGTTATCACAAATTGTAAGCACAGAAAAACCTGACTGAAGAAGTAGGGATGCAACAATATAATATGAAAAAATTAGTTTAAATTACCAAAACAGCTATAAAAGTTGTAGTCATGGCATACACTCCGTTCTATCAGAAGGTGTATAAAACAGTAAGTACTAACTGACTGCAGTTTCCAAAAAGCCCCGAACACTCTAGGTTGAAATTTTGGTTATTACATAATTATAATGGCATATTTAATAACACAAAATTATATTGTAACATCCCTGTGTGAACATTTTATAAGCACCCGAGCTGCTGCAGAGCCTGGTAGCATTTGGTCAATAACTATTTTATACTGTATTTTTTCTCAAAATATTTACATATTTGTACAAAGTAACAGGGTCTGTTAGTTCTGCAGGTAACAGCAGCAGCTTGGCTTTCTTCTAACTTTTATTTAAAAATAGCTTCATTCACTTATTCAATAATAAATACAAAAAGTTTCTCTTATTTTACAGAAATCAAAAACTACAATAAACTGACTCATGGAATCAAGTATTTAAATGTATTTTAGTGCAAGTTATTATCCCTTAGCTCTATCCCTAAGGAAGTCATTTCAGTACATTCCTTGTTCAGTGGTGTCTACTTTATTTAAAAAACTTTAAATCAGAGGGGCCTGCCCCTTTTTCAGATAAGGCCGTGGCCAGCACTTTGGACATCTCCCTTTCGCTGGTGATTTCAGTCTTACATTCATAGGAAGGCCCCTGCCCCGGGGCAGGGCAGCCATCGGCTCTTTGCCCCAGTAAAAGTTTCTCCTTAGTGAGACTAAAACAACAAAACAAAAACAAAACCCACCCACAAAAAGAAAAAAGAAGGAAAGAAAAAAAGTGCTGGACCATCCTGTAGTTCTGGTTAACCTCAGCATCTTCAGGAGAGCTGCTCAAGGCAGCTGTCTCCTGGGGCCCCCTTTCCTGAAGGACTGAGGAAACCAGAACTCCCAGAAGCTAGGTTTCAAAGTCATAACACAGAGAACAAAAATATCTTCTGCTGCCAAATCCAAACGGTGTGTTGACTCCTCCTTCCTAGGGACAAGCTGCCCGCCGAGACAGCCGGACGCGCTCAGTTCATCCACTTGCGGCAGTTCACGGCTCCACAGTGACAGGGGATCTTGTGCTGGTCGTCTTCGAAGTCAAACTTATAGTCATAGCACAGCTGCCCACGGCAAAGACACAGAGTCAGGAGGACCGGGAAGGGAGGAGAAAGGGGCCCTGCCTCCATCCGCCCGGGGCTCACCACCAGCGAACAGAACAGAAGTTACAGGAAGGCCCGCTTGGTTGAGCTCCGCAGGGCCTGGGTGGGGCGATGGGGGGACCTCGAGAAGAAATAAAGAAACAAGCTGGCTGTGTTTACCTGGGTCCCAAAGGGACAGGAAATCGGGGGCGAGTGTTTCCAGGCCCAGCCAGCTCTGGAAAAGGGCGGCTGGCCAGAAAGGTGCATTTCCTGCAACCTCACCTCACTGCGCCGCAGGCGGAGCAATGGCGGCCCCTCCCCCACCAGCCCGTGGGGCGGGCGAGTGGGACAGAGGTGACCCGCCCTGGCCAGCTACCATCTTTCTCCTCCTCTGCTCCTCACTGGAAGACTATTTCAGGGATGCCTTTCTATAGAGGCCACCGAATTACTACCATCTCAGACCAACCCTGCTGCCAAGAAACCTGGAGTCTGCACGATCCCATGACACAGCCCCGGACCCGACACTGCCAAACACAGGGTGGAACCAACCCCTACTCTCAAGATCCACCTGCTGCTCGCTGGCACCGTGCTGGGCTTCTCACATCCTTTCTCTTACTCATCGAGTTACTTCAAAATGCACAACAGGCCCTGGGTCAATTCTTTATTTAAAAAAGGGGGGCATTCGAAAAAGATGACCAACACACACAAGGAGAAACCCACAGCTCTGTTCCCAAAGGGCTGGGGGCTCCAACAAAGACAAGACACTCAGCTCCTCATCCCTAAACGGGAGGTCGTCTACGGAACCCCGTGTCGGAGGGAGCTCCCAGCCAACGCGGATCCCAGCTCTAGGAACCGCCTTGTCGCGGGCTGGTCACATTCGTGAAAGATGACGTCGGGAAACGCAAATGAGGCAACAAGACTAATAATCTTAACAGTCATCCGTGAGACCAAAGCAGCACATGGCAAGCCCAGCATTTAACGTTTTAAAGAAAAGAAAAAAATATAAGAAAGCCAAGCTATTTGAAAATGTGTTGACTTGAAAAACCTGCAAGCTTGTACTCCTCATGAGTGACAATATAAGCGACCTGGAGCAGATGGCCCCGAAGCTGCTGCCTGCAGCCCTGTGGTGGCCTCGCACGAGCCACAGCGCCCCGAGACCACAGGAGGCCCCAAGGCCGTGATCCGCTCCGGGCCTCCGCTAGGGCCAGGCTTCTGATCGTCAAGGAAAGGGAGCCTGCCAGACTGTGCCCAGGGCAAGGGGGCAAGGAGCCCGAGACACAGGAAATGATGCCACACGAGTGCTGTGGAAATGGAGGAGGGAACACAGAGGGGGCAGTGGGCACTCAAATCTGTGGTGTGGAACATCGGGCAGTGAAACGACAGCAGGGCAAACTGGGCCCTACCTCGAGCAGACTTTCTAGCAATGAAGAACAGGAAGACCACGAGCCAGCTACCTGGACGGGGCGGAGACCACCCAGGGCGCGCCCCCAGCAGGGCTCCGACCCTCTCTCACCTCTTCTCCTTTCTGGATCCTCCGGCTGGAGCTGATGATGATTTTGTGTCCCCGCTCGAAAGTCACCACTTCGGCCACACAGTTCGGTGCACACGAATGGTTGATATACCTGCAAACCACCGTTTCAGAAAACTCAGCATCAACCGGAAGCAGCTTTGAAAACTTGCAGCTCACAGGGAAAGCGTGTCCTAATTACATTTCTATTCACCCACCCCCAGAATGAGAAGAGAGAGACTTCATTTTAAATCAAGCTCTTTGGAAACTTCCCCGCCCTGAATTTTCAATCCCAGGAAGGCTATCGAGACAGTGGCCCGTGGGGCAAGGACACGCTCAGACTTTGTCTCACCTCGCAGGCCCTCCCGTAAGTGTCGCATCGATCACGTGGTCATTATCCATTCGGAACATGTACACACCTCGGTTCTGAAAGAGAAACAACTCAAAATTCCTCTCCGAGGCCCCATCCGCATCAGGAAGTCTAAGCTGGACGTGACCGGAGATGCCCTGATCACACTGCTGCGGACATGACACCAGCCAGTCCGTGGACACTTACACGCTCTGAGTGGAAATCCACACACTGGTGGGCTGCCTGCAAAGCCAGGCTCGTTCACCCGCACACGCCTCTGCAAACCCCAGCGTCAGTGGCGGGGAAGACGAGGGAACGGCCGTCTCCAGACAGGGCTTCTGTTCCAACCTGACCCTAGCCCGGCAGTCCGCTCTGGCCGCCTCCCAGGCTGGCCGCAGCCCTAGGACAGGAGGGCAGCTGGGGCACTGACCTGAGACTCATAAAGTTTCTCTTTTCTGTTTGCGACTTCATTTCGAATGATGGTCCCAATGTATTCAATGACCATGGTGTGCTTCTCGATATCTCTCGCAGCGTACAGGCCCAGCCCCTGCAGGAGAAACGAAGGTGAGAGTGTGTGTGAGTGTGAGAGTGTGTGTGTGTGTGTCTCTCTCTCGCAGCGTACAGACCCAGCCCCTGCAGGAGAAACGAAGGTGAGAGTGTGTGTGTGTGAGTGTGAGAGTGTGTGTGTGTGTGTCTCTCTCTCGCAGCGTACAGGCCCAGCCCCTGCAGGAGAAACGAAGGTGAGAGTGTGTGTGTGTGAGTGTGAGAGTGTGTGTGTGTGTGTCTCTCTCTCGCAGCGTACAGACCCAGCCCCTGCAGGAGAAGGTGAGAGTGTGTGTGAGTGTGAGAGTGTGTGTGTGTGTGTCTCTCTCTCGCAGCGTACAGGCCCAGCCCCTGCAGGAGAAACGAAGGTGAGAGTGTGTGTGTGAGTGTGAGAGTGTGTGTGTGTGTGTGTCTCTCTCTCGCAGCGTACAGACCCAGCCCCTGCAGGAGAAAGTGAAGGTGTGAATGTGTGTGTGTGTGTGTGTTTGTGTCTCTCTCAAACACTGCAAGTCCTTGGGCAGCAGCCCTGCGTTCTTCCACACAGCGGTCCTGCCAGGAGCCACCGGAGGGGACATCTGAACTGGGCCTGTGCGCACAGCTTCTGAACAGGACGCTGTGCCTCGACTGCCTTGTTTGCGCGTCTTTCTTACACCACGCTCTTAGGGCCAGTTCACAGCGGCAGAGCCGACCGGCCAGCCACACGTGCTACCAGCTTTCTTATCGTTCCCGGGGCACCATGCTGAGGCCCCACGCACCCAGGCTAACGGCTTCTGGTCTTTACCTTGTCCCACCACTATTTCTAAAGGGACCAGACATGACAATACACTTGACAGGATACAAACAAGGCTAACTGGAAGGGATTATGGACTATAATCAGCTTTCCGATTAGGTGAGTTCCTGGAAACTAGGGCAGAAAGGAGAAACAGGAAAAGCTAATTTACTCCGATTGTCAGGGAAGCTGGACAGAAACAAGTTCTCGGGACAGGCACGTCCCCCAGCAGAGGAGCCCGAGGCAGGCTGCGGGAGGAAGGCGGAGGAGCAGGCGCGGTGAGCGGCGCGGCCCGTGGCGCCAGCTACAGTCGTCAGTGTTCCAAGTTCTGGAAAAATAGCATCCTGACAAAATATGGACAACCCCACGAAGACCTGTCTTTTCTCATCCCAATCTGAGCTTCTGCGTTCTCCACGAGAACCGCCCAGAAGGCAGCGGGGCGGCCCCGGCCCCGCCCGGGACACACGGGCGGAGCGGCCCCCGGCCTGAAGCGGACTCTTCTCTGGGGAAACGGGTGCGCGTTGTCTATTCGATTCCGGCCATGACTCCGGTGAACAAGCCAGGGCAGACGGGGTCTGTGTGGGGAGCAGGAGAGCTGTACTACAAGGTGCTTCGCGGCTGGGGATTCGTTGGAAGAAAATCGAATCATCTTAAATATAAAAAATTAAACTTCGGAAAGTAAAACAATCTCAGAGATGATATACACAACCTACAGCCTTAACCAAGACTAGAAGCAATAGAAAATTAAAGCCATAGACTATTTAAAATCAATCTTTCGTAAGAAAAAGAAGCCTACCTCCAGGTAGGCAAAGGCTGTTCTGCAGGGGAAATAGCCAATGGTGCGGCCCTAACTGAAAAATGGACAAAAAATATGCTGTGTGATTCACAGGAGAGCAAACTCCTACAGCAAACAGGAGGAGTCACTCTCGTAATTCAAGCAGCAGTGTCAGCCCACACTTAGTCAGCTGCAGAAACAGAAAGGGGCCGTAACACTTCCCACGTGCAAAACTGGCTCAGCGCCTCAGGAAGGAACAAGCAACCGCCGCCTCTCTGGAAAACTGTCATGAAACGTGCCTGTACTTTTACACACAAATAACCACTACGAGTGAAGCTATCAACACCTGAGAGGTTGGTACAGGCTACTGACGGCAACGCTGGTTGTTTTGGGAAAAGTTGTACACAAAATAAATGCGAGTCCATAATGGACAATTTAATTCATCACAGCCACTGAAGAGAATGAGACAGAGCCGCCTTGTGAGTCTAGACACTGAGTGTTAGTGAAAAAAGATGTAAGAAGTATAAATCACATGACTCCACTTCCACACGTGCACACAGATCCTGCGGAAGTAGCACCTGCTCACCCGGGAGGCAGGCGCACAGAGGATGTAAAAGGGAAATCACGCTTCGGGTGAACGGTGGCAGACTGAGCGTGGCTGTCCCGAACCCATTAACGTGGAGGGAGGGAGGGAGGAAAACCACACTCAGCAGCAGGACTGGGAAAGAGTGCTGAGCTACTGGGAGCCTTTCCAACGGAGAGGGACTGATTTAGCAGAGGGGACATCACTGCTGGGAGCAGAGGCCAAGCGTCCGAGTCCCAGGATTCAGGAGTGTCTCTGTTCTTGAGGCAACAGCAGGAAGAAAAGAAAGACTATTCCGCCTTGGCCAGTTTGGCTCAGTGGTTGGAGTGGCGGGCCGAGGACCAAAAGTCTCATGTTTGATTCCGGTCAAGGACATGTACCTCGGTTGTGGTTCTGTCCACGACCCTGGTCGGGGTCTGCGGGAGGCAACCAGTCAATGTGTCTCTATTATATCGATGTCTGTCTCTCTCTCTCACACTCTATCTGGAGATAAATGGAAAAACTCCTCGGGTGAGGATTGAAAAAAAAGAAAGACTATTTAAAATGTAAAAACAAGATACAAGATAAAAAGAGCAGAACACAGAAAGGGCCCTTGGCTAATTTTTAAAAAAAGCAAGAAGAAGTCGCAGGACAAGAACAAGGAAACCAGAAGAGGAGGAGGAAGGGCCGACCGCACAGGTGAGTCTCTGGCTGCCCTGGAGCCCACCTGAGGTCCCGCATCTCGGGACCAGTATGTGCCCAGAGGTGCAAACAAAAGAACAAACATGACGACGTTTCGCAGACTCAAGGCCACATTGCTCCAGGTTGAAAGGGCTCATCAAGTGAGGACATCAATTAAGACGGCACATTTTGTTAAATGCCCACATATCAAGAAGAAAGCCCTAACATCTTCTGGAGAGGGAAAGGGTCCAGCCAAGGAACAGAACCTGAAGGAGCAGACGATGGGCTGTGGGCGGGACTCCCTTCTGAAGGGCTCCTGAGGGGCAGGCAGGTCCGAGGTGTGCAGACAGCAAGTGGGGGTGGCGGAGTCTGAGAGCAGACTAGAAAGCTTTATAATTCCAGTCCGGGACAGCCAAGGGGAGACGCTGACAAGCCTCTGGCCTTCGGGTCTCGGCTCTGAAGGAAGTGGGCATGCTGAGCCCGAGGCCCGCCCGCAGCACCCGGAGGACAGCGTCCCATCGGGCGCACAGCTCCCAGCTCCTCTGGCTCGCCCCTGGCACAAGGCCGGAAAGAACTCCTGTGCGCAGAGGCCCAGTGCCCGTCCCCGAGCCCCGGCGTGCAGCCCACCCGCCTCTCCGCTGGGGAGCGAAGCACCCGTGTGCAGAGACCATCCGTGTGCTGAGACCGCGTGTGGATGTGCTACTGTTTGAAACGATTCTGATCAGAGCTCAGTCTCTCCTGAATGCTAGATCACACCCCTCCTTTTCTGAGCATGCGCCCTGTCCCACCTGGATCCGAGACCGGGCAAGGTACACGTTGGACTTCCACTCGGTCTTCATCTTGCGGTACTGCGAGGACTTGGAGTGGACGAACTGCTTGCTGTAAGGGGCGTTCAGTTCCCCCGTGACTGTGCTCTGGAAGGACTTGGAGGTGCTGGTGCTGTTCAGGGTGTGAGGCCTGCAGACAAGGGCGCAGCACAGGGGGAGAGAAAAGGAGAACTGAAGACATCTCCGAATCACACCCCACGCCAGGCAGATGCAGATTCGCGTGACAGGAACACACACGGAAAGCCGCCTTGCAGAGCCACACGCGCGGTCTCTGATGTCGGGCAGACACAGCCAGAGACACAGGGTTTGTAAGCAGCAGACAAATCAAGCACAGAAACCCTGGGCTGTACTATGTGAAGTTAAAACAAAATACCTTAACACAAACCTCTTGACATGGGCACTCATTTTAGGTTCAGAACGGGCACAACCTGTGGGGTTAACAGCAAGAGGAAGTTCCATGAGAGGGTTCCGGCCATATCGGAAGGTGTAGTTTTCACATGCCTCAACCCCAGGGAGCTGAAAGGAAGCAAAACAGACAACAAGTTAACTCACGTGCCGAAGGCTCCAGGCAGCCGGAGCTGGTGGAAGGGTGGCTCAACGAGCTGCAGGGAAACCACCTGTCAACAGCTTCAAAACGTCACTTATGTCAGCACGATCAGCCTACTCTCAGCTCTGAGGAAGGTGGACATGCACACTCGGTCTCAAAGCAGAACTTAGTCACCGCTGGCAAGTGTCCCTTGCAGAAAACCAACGCGCACGCCTGTGGGAGGTTAGGGCCTGAGGATGCAACATTCCCAAGCACGTCCTCATTCACGACACAGTTCTTGCACTCCGTCCCATGTCAACTCTTGTGTCTTTGCTGGGAATTTTGAAAGCCTAGTTAAAAATCACTTAGGTGGTTTACTTTCGCAATCATTTCTTCAGTTTGACATGATGAGAGGCTCACCCTCAGTGTCCCAGGAGTATGGGTGGTAAAACTCAAGGCTGGCTTGTAAAACGGCATATGCTAAGGTCTTGCTGGAACATTTCTCCGTAGACACAGCAGACACATCATTTGGGCAGGGCTCTCTAACAAAGGCAGCAACTGGGCATGTTACTCAGCAGCTTTTGGGGTTCTTTGCTTCTCCCAAGAAAGCTCATCAACAAGTTCTGAATTCTTGAAAATAATGCCTATAACCATGCGATTTTCCAAAACTGTGGAGACTCACTGACAGAGGGCTTGTAATCTTAAAGACTACAGAGAGATATGAGAGATGACTTGAGTTCTCCTGTAACCTGACAGTGGCCACAGACACCCCCACCATCAGGGGTGGGCACACGACCTCCCTGAAGTGCAGGAGACTTCACAGCAGTGGGGAGACCCCGAACCGTGTGGTCCACCTCACTGAGCGACCGGGATACCTTCCCAAGCTCTTCCAGTGAACACAGAGCCTTGTTAGAGAGAGAGGACCCAGGCCACCGGCAGGGCACCAACGGCGCATGCTGAAGCAGTCACACTCACGCCAGGAGCACGCCACACACCCACCATGTCCGTACTCACCGATTCCGCGATCCGGGCCACTGCAGAGACAGTCAGGCCAAACAGATCCTCTCCTTTCAAATAGGCCGGGAAAAGCTGCAGCATCTCAGACTGTTTCCTCACACAGGCCACCGGCTCCAAGATTTTATCCCAAACACCTACATATGGACAAAAAAAAGTCTGCATGACAAACTTGCTTTCTGTTAAACAGGGAGGCAAGCAGGATGCAGCACTGAACCCAGAGGAGAAACACCACCAAGCCTCGCGGGGCCCTGACGAGCGTCACGTGCCCAAGCAGCACCAGCTGGTGGCAGTGCCCTCCAGAGGCTTGACGGAACTCGGGGGGAAGAACAGATGTTAAGGAAATTAAACAGCGAAAATTTTTAAATAACTGAAATTTATGTAACTAATTTCATCTTCTTTTTTTTTTTTTTAAATCCTCACCGGAGGACATCCCTCCATTTTTTGTTCAGGTAGAGTGGGAGGGAGAGAGAGGAACAGAGGGAGAGAGAGAAACATTGATGCGAAAGGAACACATCGAGTGGCTGCCACCCGCACGACCAACCAGGGCCGGGGACAAACCGCAACCAAGGTACATGCCCTTAGCGGGAACCGAACCCGGGTCTCTCCAGACCGCAGGCCGACGCTCCAACCGCTGAGTCAAACCGGCCAGGGCCTAATTTCATTTTCATATTGGCCATATTAACATTAGATTTTAAAATATCCAATGACTAATATCTCTAGAATATCACTTTCCTCTCAGATCTAAATCAAACTGTGAAACTAATATTTTTATTAATGTCCTCCTCTTTAGAGCATTTTCGTATTTTTAAAAGCCGCTAAGCTTCAAAACAAGGAAACCTGCTGATCTTTAGAAAATACACGGAAGTAGTGACAACCTAGGCCAGCCCCGAGGTCAACACTGCCTCATTTCAGCTCTAAATTGAGCACCCGACGCTCCGGGACAAGGCAGTAGCATGGGATCTGCATTTATAGGTGGCCCCTGCTTCTGGGTGGGGTAAATGGCAGGCAGCCTTTGTCAACAAGCTGCTTCTCTAGTTCATCAGCTCTGCCTGGATGCACACCCGTCTCGCAGTAAGTCCACAAGTGAGACAGCTGCACAGCGAGGGCGAGGCAGAGCCCCAGGAAGCTCGGACCTGCGTTTGTAAAGAAAGGATCTGTATCGTCATAAAGGGAGAAACAAACATGAGAAAAAACATGGAAATATTTTTAAATCCTCCACGAGGATATTTTTCCATTGACGGTTTGAGAGAGTGTGGAAGGAAGGGGGAGAGAAAGACAGAGAAACGTCGATGTGAGAGAGAGAGACATCCATTGGTTGCCTCCCGCACAACCCGTTGGAACCTGACCCAGGTACATGCCCTTGACCAGAAATCAAACCCAAGACTCTTCGGTCCATGGGCCAACGTCTAACCCAGCGGTTCTCAACCTGTGGGTTGCGACCCCTTTGGGAGTCGAATGACCCTTTCACAGGGGTCACCTAAGACCATCAGAAAACACATATTTCCGAGGGTCTTAGGAACTGAGACACCGCTCCTCTGTCCGTCTCCAGGCGGGTCCGCCCACACACAACACGAGGAATGTATTAAAGGGTGGAGGCATTAGGAAGGTTAAGAACCACTGCTAACCGCTGAACCAAAGCGGCCAGGGCTAGAAACATCGACATACGGTGCGCTTACCTTTGGGTGAGGTGTCGCTCAGGACGAGATCTTCGTGGCCCTGCTCCACGATCCTGATGACGAACACGGGGCGCCCATCTTTCTCCTCGATGGAGCACAGGTAGCGGCAGCGCCTGTTGGCGTAGCGCGTGCTCCAGTAGAGCCGGCTGGCTTCGTAGCCGACGGGGAAGAGCGCCTTGGGCGAGTGGAAGGCCTGCATCTGCTGCGGGAGCAGCTGGCCGATCGTGTGGAAGATGAGGCTCCCGACGCGGAAGGTGTGGTCGCGCTCCCCTCGCTGCACGATGCTGGCGATCTGGCGCACCTCGTCCCGTTGCACGTAGACCCTCCGGAAGACCGCGAAGTAGCTTAATTCCTGCTCATGAATTCCCTTTGGTTTGTGCATGGGACAAAGCATAGTTTTATCCTTAAAAAACATGCATTGTGCTTTCATGGCGCAGGTGAAGTGATAGATGCTGGTGCAGCGCAGCCGGTGGCACCCACTGGTGGCCCCCGTCTTATGACAGAAGACACACTTCATGTGCAGGCCCCTCCGCAGGGCGAGCTCCACGTTGATTAGGGCGCCGGCCTGGGTCTCATAGACCTCGGTGGACCACAGAGCACAGTTCAAGTGGACCCACAGGTCCAGGTCCAGGTTGAGCAGCCGGGCCGGCCCGTCCGTCAGGCCATCGCCTTCTTCGTGGCAGAAGCAACACTTCCGAGAGTCTTTGGGCACAGGGTCGGGTCTCAGGGAAGTGCCCAGCTTCTTGAGGAATTCATCGATGTCGTCCTCACAAGGCGGTTTGAAGGAGCCCTTGGGGATCATGATGTGCACGCCCCACTTCTTCCACTTCACCCCGCGCCACTTCTTGGGCAGCGGCCTGCAGTCCTCGAGCCCGCCGTGCACGGCGCGCAGCCGCGGCTTCAGCTTCACCGTCACCTTCAGCTCGTCAGGCTTGGCCTCCACTTTGGCCGCTTCAAAGGCTGGAGGGAAAGTGATGGGAGGCGATGCCGGGGGCGAAGCCTTTTCCTGGAGCTGCGGGAGACAGTGCACGTCCAGAGTGGAGGTGTTGTTGCTGTACTGATGGAACGTTCTGGAAGGAGTCTCTTTCAGAGGCGATTGTGGCAATGGAGGAATGGACTCCTGGTGATAAAGAGAAGAGTAAGTCACAAGCTCTAAAAGCCATTCTGGTTGAAAAGAGAAGCCAAGCAATAGGGTTTAACGGTGTGTGATGGGCGAGTGAGGGGTAAGGCAGCCGGGCGGAGTCTTCAGACACCGAGGTGCTCAGTGTGGAGACAGGGAGGGCTGGTGAGGGGAGGCCAGCCGGTCCCCGTTCTGACCCTCCCAAACCCAACCCCGGAGAGCAGAGCTGGCGGGCTGGACTTGCAGGGGACAATGCTTTTGGAAAACAAATCTCCGCTGAGCTTGTCCCCACTCTCCAAACTTCCTGTCTGGCTCTTGGCGTCACCACTGGCACGCACACTTAAGAAGGGGGAGAAGGCCCTGCAATGAGCGAAAGAACTCTCCTGAGGCTGTGAGGGTGCAGGTCGGCTGCTGGGGGAGTCGAGCGGAGAGAGAAGCTCCGACAGCTCCCCTGGAGGGGAGCGTCCTGCCCGAAGCCCACCCACAGGCTCCCTGTCCTCACGCCGCCCCGCCAGCTCTCTGGAAGACGTGTGCGCTCTCTGCGAGAGACCAGCCCCTCTCTCACGCACGCCAACACACTCCAAGTTCTACTCTAAGCCTGCCTGGCATGTAGCGGATTTCATTCTACTGCGGGCTACTGCCTGCTAAAAACAAAGCCTCCAGGACGTTCTTTCAAGAAGGACACATGAGAGCAAGACTCTGGAGGGAGAAATGACAGGCAGGGTAACTACACGGGAGTAACGTTCTTCCACACTGGCCGGCAGACACAGGAAAAGATGCTCAATGTCCACAGTCATCAGGGACACGCAAACTGAAACCAGAATAAGATGCCACCTCACACCTGTCAGAATGGTATCAAATCAACAAACACGTGCTGGCGAGGGTGGGGACAAGCCAGCCCTCGCGCACGGAGTGGGAACGCAGACTGGCGCAGCCACTGCGGAAAGCAGCGTGGTGTGTCCTCAGAAAACGGAAAAGCGGAACTGCCACGTGACCCAGGGATTCCATTTCTGGGTATTATCTGAAGAAACCTAAAACACTAATTTGAAACTCTATACGTACCCCATGTTCACTGCAGCACTATTTACAATAGCCAAGATACAGAAGCCCCCCAGTGCCCGTCAGTGGATGGGTAGATAAAAAAGAGGTGCTACGCACACACAACGGACAGCACTCAGCAGTAAAGAGAAAGAAACGAAGGGCTGCAACACGGAGGGCTCTAGAGGGCGCTGTGCTCAGTGAAGTGGGTCAGACAGAGAAAGACAAACTCTGTATGATCGCACTTACATATGGCATCTTTAAAAACAAAATGAAAGAACAAAACAGAAATGGACCAAATTGATGGTCAACAGATGGGAGGAGTTGGAGGAATGAGAAAAAAAGGTAAAAGGAATTTAAAGAAGTACCAAGTGCCCGTTAAAGAAATGATCGTGGGGGTGTAAAGGACAGCATCCAGGGGTACAGTAACAGTGCAACAGCAATGTATGATGCCAGCTGGGCACTGACTTATGGGGGACACTTCACAAGGTCAGGCATCTGTACACTGTACACCCGAAAGTGACAGCATTGGCCCGTATCAACCACACACTGAGACACACTTCATTACACAAAGAGTAAAGCAGACCACTTCCATCATGGCATGAGCAAAATAACTTCTCCCCAAAACACGACACAGACTTAAACTGTGTTTGTGAACAGGTTTTCCCATGGGGATAAGATCAATAAAAACAATATTTTATAGTTGTAATTAAACTAAGATATCTGCAACCAAATAAGTGAAGTTAAACACGTCAGTGACATTGTTTTATTCGATTCTGAAGCTCTAAGATACATTCCAGCCTCTCCAGCTGGCCAGGTCTCTAACTCTGAACGGCAACATGGGCTGAGGCAGCTGTGCCCACTTTCTCGACCTGGGCAGCGCCTGCTTAGATCGCCTGCACCCAGCTCTGGACACCTGTCTGATCCACCATGTCCCCAGGACATGGGAGTCAGTCATCGCATACTGTCGATTAATTGAAAGTGGACTAATTTTACCTTGCTTTCTGAGATTTTTGCTTGAGCAGTCGACGAGTAAAGAATAAAGCAGTTATTACTACAGAAGACAATGTCCTTCTCCACTTGACCGGCGCTTTCGCGGGAATCCTGAAAAGCAGAGAGAAATGTGTGGGGTCTCAGCAAGTCACGACGTAACGAAAACAAGATGGACGTGCTGTTGGTTTTTACCTTGTGTTAAAAGTGAAAGCAGCTCCCCATCTTAAGAGTAAAAAGGTGACGTGTCTATTTAGCATATAATAATTTAACCACAGCGAAAATAAATTTATGAAAATAAATTTTACTATCTACATTCCATTCCATTTAAAAACACGTGTTTTTGTAACATCCACTCCACATCTGCTGCGGTTCTTTGGTCTTAAGCATGTCAACACTATATTGCTGCTCCCAGGGGCGTGTGTCCCGTGAGGCACCAGGGGGCAGGCTCCAGGGTGCGCTGCAGGACACTCCCAGCGCAGGAGTGGTGTCCAAGTACCTTGTTCAGAAAGGCCAGGTCTCTGAGAGGTTTCCGCACACCGCTCCCAAGAACGACCACTTTGCAGTGACAACACCACTGGGTTCTGAGTGCCATGCTCTCTGCGACGCCGCGACCAGAATCCCTGTACCCGGAAAGACCTGAAGGCAAGAGCTTGGTCAGTGAGGAAAACGACCAATAACACAAAGTGATGATGGCGCAGACCTGCTCTGTCAGCTTATTACAACGGCTCACTTAACTCACCTATGTTACTCTTTTTTTTTTTTTTTTCCTGGTACGTGCCCCTAGCGGGAACCGAACCCGGGACTCTCTGGTCCGCAGGCCTACGCTCCAAACCACTGAGCCAAACAGGCCAGGGCTATGTTATTCTTCATTAATAAAAACCTCATCTTCTAAGCAGTGCTCACAGGGCATCTGTTACATGCATGGCACCAGGGTACAAATAAAGGGGCAGAGCAGCTCCCAAGCAGCTGGGAGACAACGCTGGTCGCAAGGGGCAGGACGGAAGCCACAGAGCATTACCATCCAGCCAACGTGCATCGGGGAGAGATGTTACTTTCGCTTGAGGGTTAAGAGGATACAAAAACGTTTTATGAAAGATAAAGATGTCCATGTACTGGAGTCTTAAACACACCTGGACAGCCCAAGACGGATGAGCAAAGTCTCAGGGCCAAGGTGAGTGTCGGGACTCTGCAGGGCGTGGCAGTGGGGTGGGGGGCAGTGGGAGCGGCAGGAGCAGTAGAAGCCAGGGGTTCGGACTCCAGGTCAGTAGCTCCCAGCTGGAGCTCAGACTGCGAGCGGGACAGGCAACCAGGCCCAGCTGCAGGGGCAGAAGCAGGGTATGGATGCCACCCGAGCAGAGAGGAGGGGCAGGCCCGGGGAAGGCCTGTGCACAGGGTGCAGAGGGAACCAGGGGAACGGTGATGGAAGGGACAGGGAGGAAAAGGCCACCGGCAAGGCTGCCAGCCCTCTGAGCACCAGCTGAAGCAGCAGCGGGGAGGGAGGTCTGGGTGTGCAGGCCCAAGTGTGCTTCCGGGGAACCCGACCCAACACTTCCTGACCGTCGGTAGATCCCATACACCCCAAGCACCAAAGGCCAAATCCTACCACCGACGGCGGAACACCCACAGGGGGTTAATTTACTGAAGTCTACATCCCATCACGCTACCTGCTACTTGTTAAAAATTAAAGTGACATTTTAAACAGAAAAGGCGTAACTTCTGAACGCAGTGAACCAGGCTGAGGCGGAAACCAGCTCACCATTGCTCGTTGGAGGGAACGGTGCGCTGGGCGGCTTCAGCCGGTAAGAGCTTGCTAATCGGGGAGGGTTCGCAGATCCTGGTGGAGGCCCACGAAGAAATAAATGCTGTCGATACTCCAAACCTGGGTTTACTCTGTGGCTATTGACCAAACCCACGGATGGAACGTCTGGAGCATTACTAACCTCATAGCTGTTAGGGATTCGGACGTGAAGAAGGTCGGAAAAGGCAGCCACAACGCTGCTGATGTTCTAAAACAGAAAGGGCAGGGAGCACCGCGTCACCGCCAGCGACCCTCTGGAGAGCCTGCACACGCAGGACACGCGGTCTGCACGACACACCCCGCAAGCAGCTCCACGAACTCTGCCCACACTCAGAGCCTCGGGGGAAACACTGCTGTAACGGACCAACATCCAGAGAGCGTTTTCATCCACAGAAATGCTCCTGCAGGGCCTCAGCTGGGGGCAAGCACCGAACTAGTCCATAACTGTACCAGACGGTACCCAGGACGCGCCCCGGGAATGAGCCAGACGCTGAGGACTGGATTCTGGCCTGGAGGCTCAAGGGGTCCGAGAACACAGGGTCACGTGACAGCTATGCTCTGGCCACCAGAGTGCCCCACGGTAGGACTAGCTTGTGTGCCAGTGGAATGTCTTCAGAGAGTTGAGAATTAAAGACAACTCAGCGATTCCCTCGTGTCTGATACAAGCAGCTGCCACCTGGATGTTTCTATTTTGCTCCCGGAAAACTTCTGTCCATAACTGCTTTTCACGCTTAATTTTCTGTATGTACACAGTTAACCAACGGGTCCTCTCCAAAGAGTTCCCTCAAGTGCACATCCTTAAATTAGAAAATGAGAACGCGACCTCCACCCTGCCCTCCTCACGTGGACTTGGGCCGAGACCGGCCCGATGCGTGCTGCAGTACGCCGCCGCTGGCCCTAACCCACCGTCACCTCGCCCTCCAGGCCCTGCCGTGCACATTTCACGGAAAGCCGCCTGTCACAGCTTTAGAGACTGGGACACGTCCGATGACACTGAGAACCGTGCGAGCTTTACCTCAGCAGCTGTCGGATGCAGAGTGATGGCCACAGATATCAGGCCCGACCTAGGGCCATTTGGGGAAGAACCAAATGGTGGTGAGAACAAGAAAGTGCCCGGCTCCATTTTGATGTCATTCCTTCTGGGCTCGGAACCTAAGGGGGGCCGGGAGGGAGGGAGGAGGGAAGACCGAGTGTTACTGCTTTGGAAGCAAACGCGCGCGGCTCAGCAGACGGGCCCAGCGCGGAGGCTGCACGCGGCTCTCCCTACCTTTCCCAGTGTTGCTGGGGAGCATCGGGATGATGGGGGACGGCACCGGCTCCGGGGGCTCCTCTTTGACCAGCGACAAGTCTGGGTATCTGCTCACTTCCATCCCCACCACACTCTCGGGAGAGGATGAGGGGACAAAGCTGTCAGGAGAGTCCCGCTCAACACCGTGGTCCTGCATCCTGCAAGAAGGAATGTGACGTCCACACGAGCACACCTGCGCTGGGCCTTCCTGCACCGCCGGCCCCTTCCAGCGTGTCGGATAGGTCCTCTGACATGGCCGTTACCACGGCAACTGGGGCTGGAGGGCAGTGTGGCCTCAGGGAGCCGCTGCCATGCGTAGGGAGGCCCGAGCACAGCCTCCAGGCGGCATCCCTGTGGAAGTCCGGCACGGATGGACCCCTGCCCGCGGGGACCCCTTCCCACAGCTGCTCTGGCACCCCGGACTCCGCGATCTCCAGCAGGGAGGTGCAGAGGGAAAGGAGGCCTGGATTCGCAATCTGAACAAGTCCTTTCTCATCTCTGGTCCACAGCTGTCTCATTAATACAGTAGAGACTTGGACTAATGACTCTCATCCAACAGAAGGTAGTTACCAGATCTTCCGAAGAGGAGACAACGACCTGGATCTAAGCAGTCGGGCAGGGACTACCTACACAGCAACACTGATCCCCACTGGACTAAACCGACACAAAGAAATCACTCAACTACTCAGGAGAGTCCTTAAATTCTCTCCCCAAAACACCTCTGGCACCCGTGACTCGTCGCCTAGTTCAGACTCTGCGCACATCAACAGACCCGATCAATCGCGTTAACAGCGTACGAAGGACAGTGGGCTCTGACATACTTCACGTGCGGATTCCCACTGCCTTTGTCTACGTGCCTGTTCACTTCCTGGTATCATAGAAGATGTCAACAAACTAATTTTATTTAATAGCAAGAATGTTATATAAACTTTAAATTCTGAAGACAAGCCCAGCAGGTGTGTCTCAGTAGTTCAGTGTCAACCGATGCACCAAGAGGTCACTGGTTCAATTCCTGTTCAGGCCACATGCCCAGGTTGTGGGCCCGATGCCCAGTGGGGGGCGTGTAGGAGGCGGCCAGTCAATGTTCTCTCTCATCGATGTTTCTCTCTCTCTCCCTCTCCCTTCCCCTCTCTCTAAAATCAATAAAGAAGAAAAGAATTCTGAAGAAAAATGTTCACCAAATTTTAGCCCTTAAATGTTTTCACAGGCTATTCCTCGACGTCATGCTAAGTACATACCTATGTGCGTTTATAAACTATGTAATGACTACAAAATATTGTGAAAAAAGGACCTTCTACCTTAACTCCTCCTGGTTGTTGTGAGGTGGTGTCGGCAGGGACGCTGGGACGTCGACAGTCTGTGGGCCTTGAGCAATGGCTCTGGCCAGCAAGTCATCCTGGGAGCGGAACGGCAGCTGGAATGGTCTAGGGCCCAGACTCTTGGTAACTGGAAAAGCAAACACACACGGCCATGGGTACATTCAGTCAGATCTGCTGAGTGGGGGGAACACTACGACCCAAGGGCCATTCCCCATCGGCTGGTGAAGGCACAATCCGTGAGGGGTCCCGGGGGGGGGGGCTCTCGGTCATACCTTCGTGGCTCACTAACACTCCGGCTTTCCCAGCAAGCTCTTCAGTGGTGGCGAAGCCATTTGCCATCTTCTGACAGGCCACAGGAGGTGGTGTAGGAGGAAGAGAGGCAGGGGGTGTTGGAGGATTACTTAAATTATTCTGCTGCAGGAGACCAAAAAATTTTAAATTACATGCTACTGAGCAAATAAGCCATGACCTTGTAAAATATAGTTCTGTGAATTCTTAGCACAGGGGTTGCAAGACTACAGAAATGTAATCAAGGTGCCTGCTGCTCCCTACATCACACCAAGAAGGAAAGTAACTGCCCGAGGTCGAGAGGCTTTCTAGTGGAACCGACATGCTGACCGTGTGACTCACTACCGCCCGCTGCCTTGGCCCAGCCGGAGCACTAGGCTCTGCAAGTCAGAAGCAACTGCCCAGGACGCCTGACCCGATTCTATGCATCTCTTTCAAGTGTCACTGTTGTAGCTGGTGAAGGACAGCTTTCAAATACAATCAACGAATTGTACAAGGTTCTCAAAAATTCCTTTGTTCAATTCTTATTAAGATATGCCCCAGTTCTATAAAAAACTTGAGAATTTGTGGCCCTAATTCTATGGCTGCAACTCACACCTCAACATTAGAACCTGGATTATCCAAAATCGCTAAAAGAAGCCAGAGCAGGAGCACTGATGCTAAAATGATGGAGTCATTCACAATGCCGTCCCTCTTCCAAACACTTTCCCTGCTTCGCCTCTGTCACCGATTTGTCATTTGCTTTTGATGTGGGAGTCCACCGACAACAACATGCAAATCAGGTGCAAGGTGGAGCTGCAGGTCTGGGAAAGCCCGAGGCTCCCGGGCCAGACGAGGCCGGAGTGCTGGGCCCGAGCTGAGGGCTTCCCGAGGGCCCGGCCAGCTTCCGGGAGGAGCCACCAGCAGCCACACACGGAGCGCCACCCAGACTGGGCTTAAAGCTCGGGCAGAAGAGAAGCCCTCGGGGAAACCGACAACGCTCTCAAATATTTCGGCAAAAGAGATTGGTCCATTCCATGAGTTAGATGTGAAATGAAAAATGACTGATTGGGCTATCATAAAACTTGGTTTAAAAAGTAATACCTAAAGGATGCACTTGATTTAGTACGATAGTATTTTAGTAGTCTAAGAATTCATGCAAAATTCAATTAGTACCTAATTAGACAAAATACATTTAAAAAGTTTTCAGGGTCAATTCCTAACTGCATGTTGTTATAATCCTCACTATTAACTATGAATTTGGATTTGTTGTAAGAGTTAATAAAGGTTACAGGGAAATAAATACAGGGCGGGGCAAAAGTAGGTTTACAGTTGTATGGAAAAGACAGTAAGTACTAAGTAACGATAAAGAATAAACTGTTTCACATGGTCACAACTGTGAACCTCCTTCTACCCCACCCTGCGTGTTGCCCACCATGGAAACACTTGGTGGATAGTTTTCAAATCTTTATTCTTTCCTACACAAAAATTTCAAACGTTCGTGTCAGAGGCACGTTCACCAGTAAACTGTTAACCTTTCCGTTGTACCAAAGTTTAACTGATACTCGGAAGATCAGATGCAAACTAGATGGGGAAAAAAACAAAAAAACAAGACAAGCCCCCTGCCAATGCTGCTATGTATCCAGCGAGGAAGCGAGGTGGCACCTTGGCAAAGAAACATACCTTGTAGATCAACTGAGAATAGTAATCCGAAACCCCGTCAAGGGTCGCACTGCCAAAAGTTCCTAGAAGTCGACTCCCACTATTAAATTGGCCACTGCCATAAGGAAGAAAGTGCGCAAAGTTCACTCCAATGATTGGTTCCATTAGAGGGAGCAGAGAGAGCTGCTATTGAAAAACACATTTAAGAGTAATGTACACGGTAAACAAAACAGGGCGATTCTCAACTTTTCTAAGACCCGAGGCAACTCAAACAGGCTTGAGAAAAATAGGACTTAAAAATTTCAAGTATCAAAATGCTGGAGTGAGAGACCACAGAATCTTTGAGATCTACTTCAACATAAGCTGCACTGTCTGTCTCAAGGAGACGCTCCAGGCATCTAAGAAGAAAGCCCACTCCTCATCTTTGCTCAGCAAGAATCGGGGCGTGAACCGAGGCCAGGCACCTAGTGCTAGCGGAGGCCGCTCCCCACCTCGGTGACAACGTGTGAGAACAGTGTTGACCGGGAGGACCCGCAGCTGCATGTGTGTGTGTCCGGGCGCAAGTACTGCGGACAGAGGTGCTCTGTGCTGAGCTGCTTGCCTGGCGCTACCTGCCCACGCATTTCCACTGTGCTCTCTGGGCCCACCAGGACAGGCGGCCATTCTGCAAACAGTAACCCTGTTAGGCTCCTTGCCGAGATGTGTTCTATCCCCATAACTAACTCTCTACTTCAGGGTTGCAAAGCGTTTGATGTTCTCACATCCTTGAACTGTTCAAGGGCTACTGGGAAAGGCTCACCTGCTTCAGGTGGGTAAAGGTGTCGACGGCAGAATACACGGCTTGCTTCTCCTCCTCGTCCTTCCTCCTTTTCTTCGAGCGAGGAGCTGCCTTCTCCCCTGTCCTCTGGGTTCGTTTACTTCTCTGTTTCTTGGTTTCGCCTCCTGCATCTGCTTTCGGCAACTGGCTGTTGCCACAGCCAAGGCCACCTTGCACGGGAGCCCCCAGGGTTTGCTGATGTAACTGGAAAGGTTAACAAGTAAGTGAGCTGTTCACACGTGGATTTTCAGTTCACATTGACAGCCGCCACCCTGACACACACCCTTAACGAGAGGAGGGAAGCGGTGACGTGGAATACTGTTTTCTGAAAATACCCCTTTCTCCAAGCTGTTCCCACGTGTGGAAGTCAGGAAGCTACCGGCGGGAGGGAAGAGCAGAACCCTCCGCCAGCTGCGTTCCCTCCAGGGGAAGCCTGCAGCAGCCTGACACCACAGCGGGCACACCAGAGCTCCTGCACCCTGCTCACTCGAGCTCCTGCACCCTGCTCACCCGTGGGGAGAGTGCTCTTGGCCAGGGGGCTGGGTGGCTGCTGCCCGGTGGTCGGGCTGTTGCTCTGGGTTCCCCAGAGGCACAGGCGACACACAAGGTCTGCAGAACAACAACAAGCTCCAGAACAGGCTTATCCTGTGCACCCTTAGCTGGAAGGAAGAGCTAACCTGGGAGATGAACAGAACCGACCACCACGGACGGTCCTTCAGATCAGCCCACGATCATACAGCTGACCACATACTAACTGCTGCACACTGCGCGTCAATGACAGAGGGCTTAAGGGACAGCAAGCAAACCTTTCTGTACTTTTGTTTTTATAACAAACAAGTGAGAATAACTCGGTCCTCAAAGAGGTTTTTAAGAGTACTGCTATCAATAGCTAAAAACAGGTATTTTTTTAGGGCCATTACTTTGCTATATAGGCAACAAGAGCTTTTGAAGATTATAGTTTCCAATTATATTCTAAATGGCTCAGAGCATAGACAGCAACATATTTCTGCAAAGGGCTGAGAGGTAAACACGTTAACCTTAGACAGCGTCTGTCCCCACTACTCAGCTCTCGGCTGGATACTGAAAAGCAGCCATAGACAATTCATAGAGGACAAGCTTGGCTGTGTCCCAAATAAAACTTGCAGCACGGACACGGAACCTTGAATTTGGTGTAATTTTCACATGTTGAGAAATATTATTTGTCTTTAGATTTTTTCCCCCAGCCCTTTAAAAATGTAAGAACCATTCCTTCCTCATCCCAAGGACAGATGAAAGGAGGCTCAGACCGCCCCGAGGGCTGGGCCCGCAGTCCGCAAAGGGCCGCCACAGCCGCAGAGCGCACCCTGCTGGGCCTGGTCAGAACAGCAGGTTCTCTGCCCGGCCCAGATCTATGGACTCACACCTGGGGAATGAGGCCTCCAGGTGGTTCTACACGTTCCAGTTTGGAAAAGCTCGGGCCTCGAGCGGTCCTCTGCATGGACATATGTATAGGAATCACCAGGGATCTTGTGGAAAACACACTCCAATTGGTAGGTCTGTGCTGGGCATGGGATTCTGCATTTCTTCAAGAGCTCTGGGGTGAGGTCACATGGCTGACCCCAAGGGCTCCATCCACATAGCAAGTGCCTATGAGTTCTCAGCAGCTCACGAGAGACTGCTACGCGGCCACTTATGTTAAGTGGGAATGGGCCAGGCACACTCTCTCTAACCCTCTCAATTACTCTGGGGAGCTGACGTGACCCCATTTTAGAGAAGACTTCTAGCTACAGAAGAGCACAAAGATGAAAACCAACGGAAAGTCTGCCAAAGATGAAAGACAGCCAACATTTTCACGTACTGGTGTGCAGTCTGTCATTTGCACCTACATGTATTTTGTCAAACACACACGGGCTGCACTTTGCATGTTGTTTCATGTTGTTTCAGTGGCTGCTTTTCCACCTTGACAGGTGCCCGGTGACACTGGACAGCCTTATGTAGCAGGCATGGTAATGGCTGCAGACCAACCCTGCATGTCATGTTATTATTTATTTGGGACATTAAATAATAATTCAACTGGCAGCCGCTGTAGTAAGTCTACACTGCAAGGTAACGTTCAACCGAAACCATGGAAAAGCAACGGGAGCAGCACTGTGGGAGACTTATGAATACACAGGGGTGCACCAGAACCCCAGTCTCAGAACCATCTCAAGAAAGCTCATCGAAATGCAGGGTCTGGAATCCCATCGAGGTGTATTCGCGAGGAAGCTCCTTGTACGAGGAAAAGACAAAACAAAGCAGGGCCGAAAAGCAGAAACAGGAGAGGATGGCGACAGCAGCACCATGGTGGCGCCGGGCATGACACTAAGTGTGAGTGCCTCGGAACGGTGCTCCCGCTGCCCCCGCTGCCCGAGACCCGCTGCCCCCACTGCCCACAGCCCCTGCTGCCCGGAGCCCCCGATGCCTACTGCTCCTGCTGCCCAGAGGCCCGCTGCCGGAGCCCCCACTGCACAGTGCTCCACTGCACAGAGCCCCCGATGCCCCCGCTGCCTACTGCTCCTGCTGCCCAGAGGCCCGCTGCCCGGAGCCCCCACTGCACAGTGCTCCACTGCACAGAGCCCCCGATGCCCCTGCTGCCCCCACTACCCGGAGCCCCCGCTGCCTACTGCTCCTGCTGCCCGGAGCCCCAGCAGCCCCAGCAGCCCCAGCAGCGACTCCTGCTGCACTTCGAAGGCCACTGGAAACTGCTCGCTTTGTGGCAATCGACACACACAGACATTCACTTCTCTGCCTTAGTGAGAGGGACCCGATGTGGAGAGTCAGCCAACAGGCCCCGGCCACCCAGGAGCATCACGACGACTCTGAGTATCAGAGTAAGCAGATCATTACTTACTATCGTTTATGGGTCTAAGTCAAAACATGGGGTCCAAGGAGACGGACAGAAGGAAATAGAACCACAGAGTGAGGGTGACGCCAGCTGGGACCCCTCACCACTCCCAGCGTTCAAACAGGGAGACCGCCGGCTGCCGGGGCACGAGCCACTTACCGGTCCTGGGGCGGCGGTCCGCCTCTCCAGCGGCTGGCTGTCCTTCCCCCCGTCCTTTTCTGGGCACGAAGCACCGTCAGGCTTCGGGGCCGCAGGGGCCGCGGCCTTCCTGTTCTTCAGCAGGTGCTTCAGAAGCTCGTTGCCCGAGTCTCCTTTGGCAGCAGGGGCCCCGGCAGGGTGGGGGGGGCTCTGCCCCGCGGGGACTGGACAGACCGCGGCCGTCTCCGCAGCCTGACCCCCAGCTTGTCCCTCGGAGGGAGGCCTCTCCAGGCCCGGGCACTGCTGGGGCTCGGCCGTCTCGGGTTTGACCTCCTTGGCCGCGGCAGGGGTGTCCGCGGGCCGCTTGTCCACCTCCGCAGCCTGTTGGCGCGGGGTTCCCCGTGAGAACTCGCCGTGCGGCAGGCCGGTGTCCAGGTCCGCGCACCGCTGCCCGGCGGCCGCACTAGGAGCCAACGGGCCACCTGCTTCCACGGCCTCGGGCTCTCCTTGCGGGGGAAGCTCACTGGGCGTGTGCACTGTGGGCGTGGAGGTAGTTTCGGAGACACTCGGGGTCGGCGGAGCAGTGATATCTGAGTGCGGAGTGGACGGAGCCCTGGTGGAGTCTGTCTCATCATCTTTCTTCTTCTTTCTGGTTCTTTTCTTCTTCCCCTTTTCCTCTGGGATGATATCAGAGTACAGCTGGATGAGAGACTGGGCGGATCCGGGGTAGCCTGGGGCGTGGGTCACGGCGGAGTCTTGGCCGCAGGGGAGGCTGCTGTGGGCGCCCGGCAGTGCTGTGGCCAAGGCAGGCGGGAAGGGCCTCACAGGGGACTGCTGGAGGCCAGCCCCGGGGGGAGCCGTGTGTGCCTGCTTGCCAGGGTGGAAGGTCGGGCTCCCGCCAGGAACTGCCGGCGAGTCGGGGACAAAGGCGGGGGCTCCTATCTGCCTCCGCTCATTGGTCTGCATGAACGCTGGGGCGGGGGGTGAGTTAACAGACCCCTGTTGCAGGCCCCCCTGCTGCTGGTGCTGAGGAGACTGCTGCAGGAAGTCGCGCGGCAGGTCAGGCCCGTAGAAGGGGACAGCGGCCCTGGCGCTCAGCTCGGGGCCGGCCAGGCCCCGCGGCTCCAGCTCCAAGCTCTGCTGCAGAGCCCGCTGGCGGTCCACCTCCTGCATGAGCTGGATGCGCTGCCTCTCCTGCTGCTCTCGCAGACGCTCCTTCCGCTCTCGCTCTTGGAAACTCTCGCTGAAGGGGTTGTTGTCGTCAAACTCCACCCGTGGAGGCGGGCCGCTCTGTGGATTTGCATTGGGCGCTGTCCCTGGGGCTGGTGGGCAAGTTTTCATTGGTAATTGGGCAACTGGAGGCTGAATCCGGGGAGGGTTGAGGGGGAGGTGAGCAGGGGCACTGGGAGGCTGCCATCCGGGCAAGCCGGGCATCCGTGCGGGGCTGGCGTGGCCAGGAAGGACAGAGGTGTGCTGCAGCGGCGGGGCGGCCAGGGGGAAGCCAGGCTGGCCCATGGCGGGGGGGGCAGCTCCGGGAACCAGGGGTGGCTGGGGCGGCACCCTGGGCACGACGACGGGCGGGGCCACGGCGCACTGCTGCTGCTTGATCCGGTAGTCCTCCATCAGCTCCGCGTGCTCCTTCTGCTGCTTCCGGATCTGCAAGAGAGTCACAGCTCACTCGGGGCCAAGGCCGCAATGGCCAGGGCTCTGGGCCATGCCGGGGCAGTGCAGCCTTGCACGGGAAAGCACTTCGCTCCGCCAGCGGTGGGAAGTCACCAAAGGTTGGACTGACAGGCATTAACTAGACTGCCTACAATCTCATTGAGAAATAGGGTTTTTCTTGTCATCTGTCAAAGTTCTTTACATGTGAACTACCAAAAGCAAATTCAAAATACTGTTTTCTGAAACGAACAGTAAGAAAACCTCACAGTGAACGTCAAACTGTTTAAACCACACAAGAGAAACAAAAGGAACCAACTCGCTGTCACCTCAGAAGTGACATTAACACACGTCTGGAGTGGCCTGAGACGAGGCAAATGGAACCGCTGGGACCTGCCGCGAGCTCGCTCCTTCAGTGCACGTGGCACCACCTGGCCCAGCGGATTACCGCCCGGCTGGTGCAGCTCAGTGGCTGAGCATCGACCCTGCACCAAGAGGTCACCAGTTGAATTCCCGGTCAGGGCACATGCCCAGGCTGTGGGCTTGATCCCCAGTGGGGGGCATGCAGGAGGCGGCCAGTCCATGGTCTCTCTTCCTCTCCAAAATCAGTTACGGAAAGAAATACTGTTTTAATGAATTACCACGTTCTCCCCTGCAGGTTGAAAAGACTGGTCTGGGAAAACCTGGCCTTGCTACTAACATGCTCAAGGTGCTCGGGCGGCAGTTTGTGGATCTGCACAAGCTCCAAGGTGATGCTGGAGTAGTTCCCAGGAGGGTCCTGACTGCCTGGTGTCAGTGAGCTCAGTCCGAAGTCCTCCGTGCCCCGCTGCATGGCGCCACCCGAGTCCGGGGCGCTCAGCCTCCCCAGGGGGCTGGGAGGGAGGGGCGCTGGGTGACGTCCACGTCCCTCAGAATCACTCCGTCTGGGGACGCAGTATATTACCATGCCAGAAGCTGCAACAGATACAGGCTCCCTGGCGGACGGGCACACTCTCCACACAGGACCGTCCGGCCCTGCTCTCCAGCAGCCGCTAACATCTGTCTGCCTGCCTTCTCGTCTATGACCACCTCACTAGGCCCTCCTCATAAAGAATGTCTAGAAGCACACCAAAGGCAATTTAAGTGCTCAAATTACTCTAAGAAATACAGGCTTCCCCTGGCCGGTGTTGCTCAGTGGTTAGAGCGTCGGCCCGCAGACCAATGAGTCGCAGGTTCAATTCCGGCCTCGGTCGGGTCATGTGGGAGGTGACCAGTGGATGTATCCCTCTCACGTCGATGTTTCTCTCTCTCCCCCTCCCTCCCTCCCTCCCTCCCTCTCTCTCACTCTAGCTAAAGATGAATGGAAAAATATCCTTGGGTGAGGATTAAAAAAGAAATACAGGCTCTTTACAAGTACAAGGGTGGTGCGCTCACTTCTTCAGACGGTGTCGAGGAGGAGGGTGTGTGCTGGTTCTCATTACACAGACAGCACTGACTGCAGTCAATCTGCTCTGAACTCCTCTCTCCTGTTAACATTTAAATGGCTTTTCAATTTTATTGTAAAAGTTAAAATGGACAGAAGCAAAGGCAACTTTTCAGTGTACAATTCTGTGAATGTTAACACAGACACATATCAGTGCACAATCAAAAGACAGAAACTTCTCTCGTACGACTCACCCCTTCACAGTTACACCTTCCTCCCTGTCCCTCGGTCCTAGAAACCTCTCAACTACTGTCCATCTTCATAGCTGTCATTTCAAGAATGTCTCACAAATGGAGTCAGCATGTAGCATTTGGGGATTAGCTTCTTTTACTCAGTATGAGAGTCCAGAAATCCATTTGAGTCGTTCTTTTTCATTGCTATGTAGTACTCCACTGCGTGGATGTACCATCGTTTGCCTAATCATTTACCACAGATAGACACCTAGGTATCTAGTTGTGGATGACTATGAATTGAACCACTGCAAATTTTCATGTACAGGTTTCTGTGTGAAGCCAAGTTTTTAATTTACTGGAGTAAATACCTACCCATTTTGAATAATTGTTTTATTTAAATAAAAATCTAAAATTTGACTTAAGTACAATTGTTATTTCAGCATGAGCATTTGAGACATCTTGTTTGTAATGGAAGATAACAGCAGAATGGTTTTTTTTAGAAAGGAGTACTTTTTTTATGAAATATACCAATGTATTTAAAAACTGAAATACTAAGAAGCAATATTAATAGCAGACCATGAAAAAGAATCACCAGAATGACTCAAGACCTGTATCTGAAATTTCACCAGAAACCGGGGAACTAAAGGCAAGGGTCAAGAAAAGGTCAACTCCAAGCGAACAAATGTGCCTCGAGCCCAATCCCTGTCCCCGCCGTGCTCTGCGCTCAGAGCTGAGGACCCTGCAGAGCCCCCTCTCAGGCAGGAAGTGCCTGTGTTCCCCAGCGGCCTAGGTTTCATACCCGTGTGGAAACGGTTCCTCTAGGTCAGGATGACTAACACCGACGTCTTCCGTGTGACCACCACTCTGGGGACAGGGCTGGGCTCTCCCGTGGGTGAGAGCCCGACACTGCTCAGCTCCCGGCCCTGCTCGCTGGCGCCTGCGCTCACCTGCTCCAGCTGCTTCTGCACCATGCTCTGCTGCTCGGTCACGTGCTTGAGCTGCTCCGCGTCCTCCTCCGGGAACTCGCGCCCGGCCTTCTTGGCGGTGCGCTGCTTGGCCGACAGCGCCTTCTTGGACTTCCTGTGCGCGCCGATTTGTTCCTCCAGGTACTTCTGCTGCAGCTGCAGCAGCTGCTGCGTCTCCTGCAGCCACTCCTCGTACTGCTTCCGCTGCGAGTCGTCTGAGGGGAGAGGACACAGTCAGCTACGTTTCTCGTCTCAAGAGTCCGACCACGGAAATACACACATCCATTCCGTAAGGAACGCACTTTGCCATGACCTTGCAATAGGTACTCTGAAAACACAGTGCTGACCATCAGACCATAATGTAACTGCCAAGTAGAGATTTTAGAAAAATGTTTGAGAAAACCGAAAGAGGCATGTTTTTTAGGACACAGGCTAATGACTTCACACTTATTGAGACTATAAATCCAGTCTCTGAAAGCAGAAGACTTGTATCTAACAGATAAGAACAATCTACGGAACTACCAAACTCTCTCACCCCTGTGTACTTCAGTAAGTCACGTTCACAGACTTGGGAGAGACAGAGTGAGACGTATCCTGGGAAGGCCCAGAGCACGGGTGATCCCCTCCCATGCTCCTCTTCCTAAGTCGATACACTTTTCCCGATTTCTCAGCAGAGAAATCCTGTGCTCAACTGAGTGGGCGGGAACCTGGAGAGTCTTAGAAAGGACCAATCGGGTCTCTGTTTTAGAGAGGAAATCTGTAAGTTAAGAAGACTGGTGACTTCTATGAATTTTTTAATTTGTACTTCTATAAACACGCAGAGGTAGGAAATAATGAACCAATAAAATCTTTTCTACTTGGCTGACTGTCACCGATGTTGCCCCAAAATCATTTTATCGCTTCATCTTGTATCAACACTCTTTCTTTATTCATTACGGGCATTTCACTTCACTGATTCAAAGTTTAAAAAAAAAAAAAAGTCATCTCACAGTAATGAAATTCAGAATATACCTTTTTGGAGTCACTAGAAGACAAAGAAATGAATAAATACAGTTCTCAGAGAACAGAGCTGGAGAATTCCATCAATCACAGTATTGTCATACAGTAAGAACGCAGCCAGAACCAATGGGCACAGTAAAGCCAGAAAAAGCCAGTTGGTTACAGCAGTTGTTTTTTTTTTTTAATGCGAATGTGTTCAAATCATGATAAGAATTAGCGCAGGGGTAATTTTAAAGGGTCAGACTTTGGGTTTGTTCCTAAACCCAGAAGTCCGGGCCGATGGACGGACTTGCAATCTAGTCTGAATTTGAGGGGCGTTTGTCAAGAACAGGCTTTTTCACAAGGTTTCAGAAGTTCTGCTTCTGCTGGAATGAGACCTACCGCAAGGAAAGCCTTTCTGGTTTCTGGAACCAGGAGAGCAGAGGTGAGCAAAATGAAAAAATAATGGTGAAAAAAAAAAAAAAAGTTAGCTAAACAGTCCGAAGATGTCAGAAAGGTTCAGTTTGGGGAGAACTTTAAATACTATCCTGAACCACCTGGGACCCCTGGCGAGAACTCGAAAGGACTCGGTGGCATCCTGCATCCTGCATCCTGCACACCATGCCGCCAACCCGCCGCGCTCCTGAGCACCCCACGCGGCTCCCCTCTGGTGCCCTTGTCACTGAGGCAGACAGTCAGCCGAGCGAGGCTTGGAGTGCTTTGCGCAGAGATCGCGCACTTTGCAAACAAGCCAAAAAATCGCAGCCATGTCAAAGAGAACGGGGAAGACGATCTTTCTGCATTAGAATCTTTATCTAACTCTAATTCTTCATGCACAGAGGAAAAAAGCAATGAAAACACATGCCTTGAGGAAAAGACGCCAGAGAGGGTCTCGGGAGAGGTGAGGCGCTCCGCCGAAGCAGAACACACCTACACTAACTCCAAGTTTCTGCAAGGACACAGTGCAACACGCAATCCCCAGAGAACACGTAACGTATTAGATTCATACTTACTGACAAAGCCTGGACCAAAATTTGGAGGATTAGGCCTAGAAAGCTGATGTGTTAAACTGCCATCCTAAAACAAGTAAAATTTACAAATAGGTTTATTCCACATTTCAGGTAAAGGGGGAAAAAAAACTTTATAAAAGAAGAAAAAGACATGGAAGGGGGGAAGAACCCTTGAATTTCCTAAGACATCTTTAAAGCACTCATGTTAATAAAACGGAGAGGAAACTGAGTGGTGACAATCTGTTTGGCGGAAAATTCTGAACGATCTCTGAACTGTTTTATTGTATAGATTTCGGCTGAAAAACCATGATGGTGGAGGTGCGGGATCACCCAGCGGAAATAGTAGGGCACATCAAATACTGCTGGCACATGGCCAGAGACCACGCAGAACCCCATTTTCTGATGACATCTACCTGGTTTCTTCTGTGATTAAGACACAGACATGGGTTCTGGGCCGACTCAGGTCCACTCCACAGCATGAAGGTATTCATACACAAGACCAGGTCTCGAGCACGTACCAACAATAGAACAAGTACACACTGCTTGAAACACTCGTCTTCTTTTTTTAATTAAACATCTGTTTCCTTCCAGGGTGCCTGAGCGAGTAGGTTTGTAACCTCACAATTCCCTGGCAACAATCGAGTACATTTCACTTTGGGAAAACACGGGCTGGGTCCTTCCATGTCCCGTGAGGACAGGAGCTGCACGCAGGCAACAGTTACAGACGCAGTAGCAGCCAGGACGTGCTGCGTGTGACCCTGGCTGCAGGGCAGCGGGACCCTGACAGGCTGGGAAAGGCAGGTCACAGAACGTGGACAAACCCACAGGGAAACCAGAGGGTCCTTTGTCCACTGCCTGCGATGGTCTCTCTCCTTTAATAATAAAAAATATATAGTTATGAGCATAATGAATCCAAAGCACAAATGGCTGGGCAGAAAAGGGAATTCCACAAAGATGTCGCTCACGGATAGCTTTCTGTTTGGTGGTTTTTTTAAGGCAGATACTTGGGGGGGATCACAATGGAGAAAATGCTGAGATGCGCAGGCGTCTGCTCTCCCTGGCCCTGCCTGGCCCTGAGCAGTGCAACAGTCACGCCTGAAGCTGGTTATCGTGAATGGGGAGCACCCAGAACAACTAGGTTTTTCTAGGGACTAGTGAACAGAGCATGACTGCATCTAAACAGAATGACTATGATCAGTATGTTCTACTGTTTATAAGAGATTTACTTTTTTAAATAATGAATAACTTCCAAAATGCAGGACATGAAAACGTCTTTGTGGAGTTAAAAATAAATAAAAACTGGGAGAGATGAGCCAAAGAACACGTATACACAGCCCATGGACAGACCACAGTGTGGACGCTGGGGACGGAGTTGGGCAGACAGGGTGGGTGAGTGGGGACGGAGTTCTCGGTAACGGTGTCAACAATAAAAAATAAATAAACGATCTAGAGCAAAACCCCAAACCCTAAGCATTTGGTTTCCCTCCAAATGACTTTCTACCCTTAAAGATATGTGTCCTTTTCAGAAACTGGGGCTGATTTTTAACCTGAATAAAGCAAGCTTGCTTTCTGCGGAGCCGATATCTAGGGTCCTACGGCTCCCCAGAAGCGGCCTCACTGCAGGTCTGTGGGGACAGGGAGACATACCTGAGGAACGGCCTGTGGCAGGAGGGTCTGGCTGTCACTGGACTGGGCTCCAGTCACCGACTGGCCCATGAACGAGAACCTGTGAAAGGGAAGCACCAGGTATCAAATGTTGAGCGTTTACAACTGTTCTTGTTTTTGTTTTGTTTTTTTAATCCTGACCTGAAAATGTTTTCCTTGTATCTTCAGAGTGGGAGGGAGAGACAGAGAGAGAAAACCATCGACGTGAAAGAGACAACCATGGCCTGGCTTCTTCCGCACGACCCCAATGTGGCCGGGGGCAAACTGCAACCCAGGTACGTGCTTTCGTCCGAAATCGAACCCGTGACTCACTGGTCTGCGGGCCGATGCTCTAACTGTTGAGCCAAACCGGCCAGGGCACAACTACCACCGTTTTAAGTGCGTAACAATGTCCTCCTCCAGTGAAGCAAGAGAGCGGCAGGTGCCCTCATCCCAGACCTCTCTGCTCACGCTGCCTTCTGGGTGCCGACCACACTCGACCCTCCTGCCCCTATGAAGTCACTGCTGACCTGACTCCTGAGGGAGGAAGAGACTGTGAGACAAGTCACTGTCCCCACAATGACCAGCGAGCCCGGACCGGCAGCCAGGCCAGGCCAGGCTTGACCTACTCTCTGTTAGATGCTTCCTTGTGCCTTAAAATAAAATCACTTCGGATTAAGAAAAACCTAGTGAAGAAATAGTTTCATTACATACATTCTAAGAAAAATTATTTCTTCTTCCAATCTTAATTTTTTTAAATGCCTTTCCTGAACTAAAAAAGTGTAAGTAATTGAGAACTCAGCTCGTTTGTAGTCTAAGGATGCAGCCCTCAATGAGGAAGTCTCACACGTGCTGTTACATTTCTATACGTAATTTAAGGCAAATTAAAGATTGGTCACAGACCAAGGAAGGAACGTCTACAGGGTTCAAAATATCCGGCCAACGTGCTGATTCACCTGTCAGCCCTGGCCCCGCCGCAGCCTGGGTGGGGCTGACCTCCGAACCCAAGCGGCACTCACCATGACCCTCAGCAACTCCGCAGAACAGCAAGTGCAGCCCAGCCCGGGGCCAGTGAGACAGTAGCCTCTACTCCAGGGAGGGTGGCGGTGAGCCAGCAGGGCCTGGGATTCTGAGGCCCCTCTTTTAAACTAAGGGCGACACAATGTCTAGCATCTCCTTCTAGTCTGACCATAGACGACAAGGCATTATTAGCGGCACAGGAACCACCAGCAGAGTCCACGTCACCTCCACAACAGCCTACTGCACAAACCTAGCATGGGCCATTTGGTGCCAGCGTCACCTTGAAATGACGGTCATCGTCAGACCTGCTGCTAAATTTGTTGATGCCCGGAGCACCCTAACGTGAATTTAAATAACTAGTTTCCAATGTGACCGATCCTTCGCAGCGCTATGCGTTCGGTTCTGTGTATGAGACGGTGAGAGCCAGGAGCTGAGGACAGAAAAGGAACCCCTGGGAGGGAGACCCAGCGGGGACCACCACTGCGCAACAGCGCGAACTCCACTTAGACCTCAGCGAAGTCCTAACCCTTCCCAAACTACCTCGACACGAGAAGAACCACACCTTTCAGGTTTCCTGGCTTGTCGGAAGTCTCATGGTTATGATATTCATGTGGATTTTACATTCGAGTCTATAATCGTCCTTTTCATGAGAAGTTGTTCAAGATGCTGAGGCCAAGTGCAGGCTGGAGGCCTCTCCAGGGACAGCGGCCACCGAAGGGCAGTCTGTCGGCTGGCGGCAGGGGAGGGCCACGGGCAGATCGTCTGCCTCGGGGGCTGCTCCGGAGAGCGAACATGCACTTGAGACACGACCACAGAGCGCTCTGACTGTGGTCCGCGATCAACACCTAAGCTGACTGCCCGAGGTCAACACCCTTCAGGGGAACACGGGCTCTATTCCCAGAGACTCCGACGGGCAAAACAAGTCTTAGAATCTTCTTCAATACAGAATTTCCAGTGCTCTGCCAACATGAAAAGGTACACACAGATCCTTCAACTGCTAACTTTCAAACGTGTTCTTCTCTAATCCCCTCATTTTTTTTCTTTCTCGGATTCGAGTTCAGTTCGGGGCTTTTTTTCAGAACCTGACTCATTCGGTCTCTAGTGAAATAGCCCACGTTTTCCTTTGCATTGCTCCTTTGAGAAAAGAAACAAAATACTCACAGGCTTGAATAAACTACTGTCTTATCTCAACACAGAACAGTTTGGTTCCTGTTTTCCCATTTACCTTCTCATCTCCAATCAGGACCGAAGGTCTTCGCCCCAAGGACCTCTAAGCCAGGACCAACTATTCTAAAGGTATTTACATGAACACACGTAAAACACTAGGACTTCCTCATCAATCCAGTCACTGTGCCAAAACTGTCTACGATGTTTCACTGTGCTTGCCCAGAAACTGAGAGAAATTAGATCCTGACATTCGTTTGATCATATGCAGTTGACATCATATAACAATAAAGACAGTTCAGTCATAGAATACAGGTTTCTGAGTCACTAGACATTCTGTGTAGGAGCCAGCTATGACCCCAGGCCCTTCGTGATGCTGAGGGAAGAGGAGAAACGTCTTCACCTACCTGTTCATGACCATTGGGGGCATGCCCATGTTGCTCTGTGCCATGACCTTGTTTATGCCTTTCAGGGCCACCATCTTGGCTTTCATGATAGGGTCTGTAATTGCATCAAAATCTAAAGAAGAAATACATTTTAAAGTTACTTATTTCCTAGTACGTGAAGTTCACGGTCACACACATGATGTGATGTGCAGGCTCTTGCTCCTCATTGTTTAAGAACCACTCTCAAAGGTTCGGGACGAGGTGAGGAAGGCACAGGTGCCAGAGGCCGAGCCCGAATGGAATCCCATCTCAGTGACCCTTCGCTGACGCAAGTTTTAATACCCTAATCCTGAGAGAATAAAACCCGGAAGTAATCATCAAAGCAGTGTGACTCCTTGTCACCCCGACTAACCCAAACTGCTGCTTTGGGAAGGTCAGCACCGTGAGAATTTGCCGTTCCTTCGCGTACTAAGGAGTTCCACTAAATTAGCTATCACCCTTTACGGGAAAAACGTGTCAGTTTCTCGAGGCCACAGCTCACAAAAGGACAAGGTACTGAGAAGGGATCTCTTTGCATGAAAACGAAAGCGAGATGGTCAGGGTGACGAAACTGGTGACGTGTACAGGACAGAACATCAGTTTTACTGCTCAGACACACGTCCTCTGAGGGCTAAGTCCTATTCCTAGAGACACTCAGAAATGTTACTGCCCTGCTCTTTTGTGGGGTCCCCCCCCATCAGTAAGCTGCTGGAAACGAGGTAAAGAGCTGTATATAACGAAAAACTGCCCAGCATTTACCGTGCACAAATGGACATTAAGAAGTTTATTTCTATCCCAATTTCTTTAGATCAATACCCTGCAAACAATGGTTGGAAGGAAGGGACTTAAAAGACGACTCTTGGCCCTGGCCGGTTTGGCTCAGCGGTTAGAGCGTCGGCCTGCAGTCCTGAGAGACCCGGGTTCGGTTCCCGCTAAGGGCACGTACCTCGGTTGCAGTCTGTCCCCAGCCCTGGTTGATCGTGCGGGTGGCAACCACTCGATGTGTCCCTTTCACATCGATGTTTCTCTCTCTCTCTCCCCCCCACTCTACCTGAACAAAAAATGGAAAAAAGTCCTCGGGTGAGGATAAAAAACAAAAAAACAAACAAAAAAAAAGACGACACTTGTTGCTATGAAATAAGACCGCGCACAGAACTAAGGTCAGACTCGGGGTCCTGAACCTCCTGATTTACCCTGAAAGACTCTCAAACTCTCGATCTCTATGTGACCCTCGGAGACCTAGTCCTTAGGAACGTGGACGCTGAAATCCCACAAGCATGCCGCCACCCCTGCCGCCCAAGCGATTCCCGGCGCGCGGGCCCCCTACCGATGTTGGGGAAGAAGGGCTCCGACCGCTGCCGGATCATCGCCTGCATCTGCCTCTGCTGCTGCTGCTCCTGCCGCTCTTGGTCCAGAAGATCCTGCAGCAGCAGAGGCTGCTCCTCCAGGAGGAGGGGCCGCTCCCTGCTCTGCTGGGCCAGCGTCGGGGGCACCGTCAGCGGCTGGGGTGCCGACAAGCCAGCGGCCCCAGGCTGGCTGGGGAGAGGCACGGTCTGACTCACAGGTTTTCCTGTCCCGAAACCATGACTCACTGCGGAGGGACCCGGCAAGAATCCTGGAGTCACCTGCACGCCCTGAGGAAACGCATGGTTGACCCTAGAGACGAGGGCCACGTTGGAGTTCACGGGGTGGTCCAGGACAGGCCCGGGCGGCGACATCAGCGGAGGCGGCAGACTCGACACGTGGCTGGACGGTGAGGCCGGCAACGTTGGCGGTGGAGACCCCAATGGCCTCATGTCTGGAGCGTCTGGTTTTTCATTCGCAAGTAAACTGGAGAGAACGGGCGCGGAGCCCGGCACGCCGCAGGAGCTGGCCGCGTCTCCGGCAGGCAGCGGCGTGGGCCCGGGAGCTGCTCCGGCGGCGTCGCGATGCGCTCGGGGGTCGGGCAGGTCCACGTCACTGGGCGGCAGCGGGGCCTCGTTGCCCCCGCGCCCATCTGCGGGCGTGGCCGCCTGGGAGCAGGGCCCGTTGGCCTGACCCGGACCCTCCTCGCTTTGCTCACTTTCGCATCTGGTTTCCCCCTTAGACGCTGGGGACAGAACTTCTGTTTTGATCTCACTGGCGACAGTGGGCTTTTTCCATGGGGGATGTTTATCAGAGGGAACCCCCGTCTTCTCCTCGTGCTCCTTTTTTTTTGGTTCAGACACACACTGATTCTCTAACTTATCGTCGATTGGGACACTGAGGTCCAACTCCTCGTTAAACACGCTCTTCTTATCTCCCAGGTCGAGTTCTGGATCTGTGTAGGCGATGAGATCGAATTCTCCCGACCTCAAGAGGTCGTCCAGGTTGGGGTCGTTCGTCTCCAAATTGCCCAGCGTGTCCAGTTCGTCGCCCTTGCCGTCCTCGGCGTCCAGGTTCAGATTCTCGAGGTCCTCGTCGTCCAGGTCCTTGACTTCCACCCCCTCCAGGTCTTTGACATCTAATTCTTTCACCGACGGGTCATCAGAATCAAGTTTCTCTTCGAGGCCGTCGGAAGAAGGGGCAGTTCCCTGTAAGTTGTCAGACGCCGTCTCGACGGGGGCAGGTGCTGGCAAAGGGGCCTCCGAGAACTCAGCACCTAAGGGGTGACCCAGGGACCGCAGGACCACAGAAGACGGGTGGACAGGGTGTCCCTGCTCCGGCTGGGAGGGAGGCACGTGTTCCATGGCCGGGGGCACGGGCAGGGGCTGGGGGAGACCCTGAGCAGGCCGTCTCACGGGGTCCGGGTGTCGAGGGCCTGGGAAGTCCGGCCGGGGGGTGAAGCTGCCAAGTCTCGGAGGCGGAGGCGCCTCGAGCACATGGCCGGGGGCGGCGGCGAAGGGCAGCCGTGGCCGCCCCTCGGGGACCCTGTGCCGCAGCTCGATGAACGCCTGGCCCAGGATGCTGTGTTGCTGCACCGGCAGGCCCTGCGGTGGGAAATGCTGGGGAAGGCCGACGGGACTGCCCATCTGGGAGCTGTTTAAAGGCCTGGGCATGTCGACGGACAGGGACCTCCTCAGCTGGGGAGGGACTCCAGACGCCTGTATTTGCTGAGGAGGCACGAGGAAGCGTTCCTGACTTGACAGGCCACCGTGACCACCTCCTGGAAACCCAAATCTAAAAGCAAAAAAAAAAAAAAAGCCAACAGTCTATATTAAGTATGACATTCCATTCAGAGTTGGGTTGAGAAAAGGGAAAGTTTCAGATTAAACGCAGACACAAGTGTCGCAAAGACCATGACTTGGGAAAGACGAAAGGATCATGATTAAAAAGCATCTGTAAAGTATCCACGTGCACATAAATGTTTGCTAACACCCCACAAAGAACACCGCGTCTGAGCTCTGAAGACATGTGCTCCGCAGACTGATGGGCTTCATCGGTGAAGAATTAGCAAATGAGTCAATCCCAAGACCACCTTGATTCTGTACCTCAATCTAGAGAGAACAAGAGGCAACTTACAAATAGAGATGAATAAGGACAGACCTACACTAAGACTGAGGAGGACAAAAGGGACTTAAGGGTCAGCCTGCATCACACGGAGCAGGTATCACCTGCAGAACGAGCCCCTCAGGCTGCCTGGGCTCCGGTCTTCCCACTGGCCCCCTCAACAGACAAAAACCCCCACCAACATGACAACCTATGTCACCACGAAAAGTTCCTGAAGGAAAACACCCTCTCCCTCTGGAAAGCGCCACAGACAGTCACAGTGTAGACTAAAACCAAAGTCGGGGTCCCCAGGGGAATGCTCAGGCATCATGTCACAGGGGGCCCTGCCTGAACAGGGGTGATGAGCCACGCCCTGTGGCTGTATAACGTGGCTCACACAGAAAATCACAAGGGGGTGTCTGGGGTCTTCGTTAAAGGCGAATAAAAATAAAACCCACTGGATCAAAAAATTTAAGGTACTGAGGTCAAGCATTCGCCAGGGAGCCCAGTGGCCAACGGGTGAGGTTTGGGATGGGAGCAGGGAATACACGGAGCTGTTGTTCTTAGAGTCCAGTCAAACCACCTCCCGAGGCTGCCCGAGCGGGGTTTAGGTCACCCACCCCCGAGGAGAGCACACAGCTCTCTGCCTTGAAAGACTTATCTATGCTTTAGCATTGTTCCTCTGTCCTCCATTCTAGCCCTTCCTGACCTCAGATCCCACAAGTCTGGGCTGTTTTCAAACAAACAAAAATCTTTCTAAAGGTAACAAGAGAAAATAAAAAAGTTAAAAAATAAAAGTTTGCCTGGAAATGGCATTTCTGTCTTTTTCTAAATAAAAAATTATTCGATGTGGAAAATGCAAGCAATATAAAAACACAAAGTATGAAAGATCAACTTACTTAAAATTTTCCCAATAACCACTGTCAACATGTTAGATGTCATTAAAGATACTCATCTATGCAATTATGTACTTTCACACAAACAAAACTCTGTGGTTTACACATCTGTATCAATTATTAAAGAACGGCATTTTCAATGGTGCCTTGTACTCTACAACATAGACATACCATCACATATTTCACCGATTTTTTTCTGAGCTACGCTCTTCAACCTCTAGAGTATCACTGAACCTATGTAAAGATTTTATAAACGCCTGGCGTGCACAGAACAGCACTTCACGTGAAGTCAACGTTCAACAGACGTGAGCCGTCCCTGCTATTTACCACCATTACAGATGCTATTTCGATACTGTCTACTTTTTTGTTCTTCACAACCAACAGTTGAGAGAATACCCTTGAATACAGTCCCTTGCACACTGCACACCTGTGTCTGTGAACATCTAAGTGCCCAACTGTCCATGGTTGAGCCAACCGACGGACACGCCCATCAACTTGACTGGATTGCCCATTTTCCTGAGGAACAATCTTCAAATATTTTCCAATCTACATAAAAACGCAGTATTTTCTTCTAATCCATGACCTCTCGTTAGTGGAAATAACGGGATATAACCAGTAAAAAGCAGTAACAACTTCTTAATCACGAGTTAACGTCTAACAGCAACTGACATCTGGTGGGAAATGAAATCCGTTACCTGAATCCATGGGGTCTCATCCCCATACCAGGGACGTCGGGGGGATAGGGTCCCCGCGGGTCCTTTGGGAAGACGGCATATCTGGGTCCCAGCGGAGGCACGGCGGGCGGCCGGATGCTCCCGGGATAGGGGGGCGGAGGCCTGCTGAAAGCCTGGCCCACCCCCTCGGGCTGCCAGTGCAGGTGGCCGGGGTGCGGCACCGCGGGGGCGTCCTGCGGCCCCTTCTCCTGCCTCCCCGCCATCTTCTTCTGCTGCTGCTGCTGCAGGATGATCTCGCGCAGCTTCTGCCGCTGAAGAAACAAACAAAAGTCACGGGACTGCCGGTCACTGAGGCCTTTCTAAACCCCGTCGTTTCCCATGTGTGACTGCGGTGGGGTTTCAGGGGTCCTGACGCCTGGCGCTGGCCGGCGGCTCAGCTCAAGCGCGGCTCTGATACACCAAGGCTGTGGGTTCAATCCCCAGTCAGGGCACACGAAGGAATCCGCCCACGAGCGCGTGGCTATGTGGAAAAACCCCTCTCTCTCTAAGTAAATGAATAGGTGAGTTCTAAAAATCTTAATCTTTTAAAGTTTGATGACACCCTAGTTACACTCACCTGCTCAACAGGCTATAAAACAGACACCGATTACCGTGGGCCTGCTCCTCACCCCACAACCATCGGAAACCAAAGCTTCATGCAGAAAAATCCCCAAGCCCACGGGTACCGAGGTCAGGTCAGAACGAAGCCAGCCAAACCCACGCTCCTGCCGCCACCCCCGTGCAGGGGCCTGTTTGCAGTGACCGACTCCACAGAAGGTGGACTTAACATCTGTGCCGGAATCACTCCGTTTGCTGAACTCAGCAGCCTTCTCAAGGAACCCACACGAACATCTGAAAACACACGTGTGTTTACCTGTCTCAGCTTCTCCGTGTCCGCCTGAGACATGTTGACGGCGTTCTGGGTGTCGGTGACCCCTGAGGTCGGCACCGGGCCGGGCAGTTGGGGGGCGCTGGGGAACTGCTGGCCTTGAGGGTTCATGGGGGCACTGGCAGGAGCACCGAAGCTCCCCTCGGACCCCGGCCGGGGCTGATCGCCAGCATCCGGGGCCACAGGGCTGGCTCCAAGAGCATCCGCCTGAGGCCTGGGAGTCGCTGGCGGCCGGTCGTACGGATCCCGAGCAGCGGATGGGGACACGCGGCTGAAGGTGTCTGCGAGGCAGGGCCCCGGCCCGGGCGTCTGGGAGCAGGCCTCCGGCGTCCTCCCCACAGGGCCCGGTAAGGCTGCACCTCGACTCTGAGCCGCCTGCAGGAAGGCGTCCTGGCCCGGCATGAGCATGGGTCTGGCCGCTGCGGACCGAGGAAAACCCTCCGACGCCCTTGGCCGAGGTGCTGCTGGCGGCTGAGTGTAGAACACGGAGACACCCGGCCTCGGGGTCCCAGGAGCGCGGGCGTACGGGTCACAGTGCCTGGGACTGGCTGCCGGGGGGACGAACAGCTCAGCTTGCGTAGGCGGCCGTGGGGTGGGGGGCTGCTGACTGTACGGATCCATGGCGGGGGGCCGGGGCGTTCCAGGAGGCTGAGAGTAAGGGTCTGGGTTGGAGCGGGCTGGTCCCGAGGGCTGGGCGTACGGGTCCTGAGGCGGCCTGGCCATGGTGCCAAGCTGGGGAAAAGCCCTGGAGGGGTGGGCGAAAGACTCGCTCACTGCCGGGTGCGGGGGCAGGGGAGGCTGGCTGTAGGGGTCGCTTGACTGACCGTGGGGAAAGTTATCTGCAGGTCTGGGCGTCAGAGCCGGCCTTTCGTAAGGGTCATGGGGCAGCCGCCTCGGGGCCTGGGACACGGATCCATAAGGGTCCTGGGAGGGTGGCGGCGGCTGCATCGGGGTCTTAAACGGCCCGGGACCGCCGTCGAGGGGTGCAGGCGCCATCAAGGCTCGTGCGTACGGGTCGGGGACCCGCTGTCTGTGAAGCACTTTGGGGAAGTTGTCGCTGCTCCCAGCTGCCAGAGGACCCTTCGCAGTTTGCTCCGGGGCCCGGGGCAGGCCCGAGGATTTGGGAAACTGGTCTCCGGCCGCAGGCCTGGGCGTGTCTGGTGGCTTTGCATAGGGGTCGCTGCTGGCGGAGGAGGAAGAACAGAACTCGCGGGCGGGGGACGGCCTGTGGGCTGGGCTCTCGCTCATGTGAGGGGGCCTGGGGCCCGACGGCGAGGACGCACAGCTGTCCACCAGCGCGGAATTCCTTCTGGAAAAGCCGTGGCCCCCAGGAAGTGGCCTTGGGGTACCAACCATTTTCGCGTAAGGATCCATTGGGGAGGGCGGCCGGGAGTTCGAGGAGCCAGGTGAGAACACCTGTGGTGAAGGCGGCTGAGGTGTCTGAGACTGTGCGGGGCCCTCCTGGAGGGGGACCCGGGAGGGGGTGGGCGGTGGCGGCGGCGCCTGCGGCTTCACAAACACGTCGTCGGCTGGGGCGGAAGTCGGGGTGCCGGGGAGCGGCTTTGTGAACAGGTCTTTATGGAATGACTGCGCGGGGGACACGTTCCCAGGGCCCGGCTGGGGGGTCAGGGGGCTCTGCATCCCGCTGCTGGGCGTGTCCGAGCCGGACGGCGCCGGCAGGGGCTGCGGACCAAACTGCTGCTGCAGCTGCTGCTGCTCGTTCTTCACCTGCTCCAGCTTCTGCGTGGCCTCGATCTTCGCCTGCTGCTTGCTCTTCTGGCGCATTTGCTGTCGGGTGGAACAGAGAACGCGGTCACGGGGGTCAGGGAGAGCTCACTGTCACGGGGAGGCTTTGGCCTTTCTCTTCCAACTAATCCTAAACTCTGCTGAGAAGTCATCCGTGTGAGGTCACCAGGACCCGATCGCGCCCACCTTCGCGTCCAAGGCTCCTAAACCGGAGCACTGTTCACTGGATGCCCACCCCTGCCCGGGTCAGCATGTCCTTCCCAGCACTTCAATAAACTCCCCAGAGCAACCTACGGCATTTCACTGAGAAAGCAGAGTCTAATTCTAATCAAGTTGTTATGTTCTAATAAGGAGTAGGTTCTGAGATAATGACCCAAATCTCTCTTCAAGCAAAAATGCAATTTAAAAAAGCTAATTTTTTTGGTTTGCTTATAAAAACCACATATACCTGTCTAAATTTCCATTCCTGCTCGTGCTCCGACTCTCTCTGCTTTAAGGGATCTTTGAAGAGATCCGAGTCGAGCCGAGAGCCGGGGTCGCCGCTGTCCGGCTGCTGCTGCCTCTTCAGAGAGTCGCTGGACATTTGCACTTTGTTGATGCGCAACGCGGCTCTGTTGTCTCTGGCTTTTTGCTTTGAAAAAAGGATCAGAAAGTTATCTCCCCGTTTGTGTCAACAAAGTTTAAGAAGTAAAAAATAAAATAAAACCGATCATATAAAAACAAGGAAAAGGTCGTATTGCGGAGTTGAACTACAACCCTTTACAGCCACGCCTATGAAAGGACCTGGGCCCCGCCCACTGCCCCGCCCTCTCCCTTCCAGAATCCAGCTGAATGGGGCTAGAGACCCCAGGTGTCATCTGGTATTTTCAATCCTAAATCTCTTCGCAATGGGAGAATCCACATCTCTCAATTTAGGCAAAAGGAAACTATCAAATCAATCCTCCGAATCGAAACCCCGGAGTTTGAGTCTTCACATGCCAGACAACCATCTGGATGCTGTAACTACGAGAGTGCAGGTAGAGCAGATGCACGGCATCAGCACTCGTCAAGAACAGGCTCTGCTCTGCCCACAGGTGTCACCGCTGACAGCGCGTGCCAAGGTTCACCTGGGAAGTAACTGTGCGCATTTTTCAGAACAATAATGTCGACCGAATAGGCGGTAACACAAAAGCAAGGGCTGGGAGCCAGCTGACCATATTAATTAGGCTCCTTGGGAAATGTCCATCCACCCTGAACTGTGAATTCTGTAAACACCCGACGACTCTGACAAAGGGCGCACTTCACGAGCTCCCTAAGGCTGTCTGGGTCTCTCTCGGGTTACAGGGCGACTTCCTACTGGACCTCGTACAGAAAAAGCTGATTGTGGAGGGAACGGCCAAGAATGCAGCCTCAAAACTCAGGGATCAGAAGGGGAAACATCTGTAGCAAAAATAAATTAATAAAAAAAAAGGAAAACAAAAACAAAAACTCGGTACTCTATTGAAGAGAGAAAACAGCTTTGACGTGGGATGAATTCAACACGCTCCTAAAATAACAGTTCAATCTTCAACATCCCTGTTCTGTTCAGCGGCTTATAAAAATGCCCCACTCCGTGTGAAGATGGGAAGGCGTCCGGGAGTCACTACATGAAGGGGACTGCGTGCTGCACAGGCAGGAACGTGTTTCCTGCGTGGACCTAGGCAGTAGAAGCAACACCCGGGTACGGGGCTGAGGGATGTGACCGCAGTTCGGATACCACGTATGGCGCTCTCTCCTGGGAACTCGCTTTCCGCCACAGCTTCGCGATCTGCTTCACTCGGGTGGTCCAGTCTGCAAGGGAAACACAGCGCGCGTTCAGAGCTGCAACCAGGACCCGGCCCGGGCAGAGGCTGCCGAATGTCGAACAGCTGAACGCCTCCCGGCCAGCCCTGCCCGAAGGGGGAGGCCAAGTTCACGGCACGCAGCAGGCTGAAATCACATCTTCTGAACAACGTGTTGTCTTATTAACAACCTCGCGTGGAGAGTGGGGAAGTTTTTAAATCACAGGGTGAAGCAGCCAGGTTAATTTAAGCCGGAGGTACACAGTTCCCTCAACCGCGGAAGGTGCCAGCAGAACCCCAGTGGAAAGTTCTGCAACAGCTGAACCCGAGAGAAGTCTCTCCACTTTGACCCAAAGGAAGTGAGATTATAAACAAGCATTTCCCTGGCGTCTTTGCAAAGACACGCAGACGTCACGACTCCAGGACATTGCTATGACAATTTTCGGAGAGCATATAAAATGAAGCTTGGGTGAGATGAACAGTTAGTGGTTAATGCAGAAACAACTTAGTCCATATTAAAAGAATTGCGGGACAGAGGGAAGAAGAAGGGAAGGCGAGGAGGAAGGAGGGAGGAATCGGAGGGAGGGAGGGAGGGAGGGAGGGAGGTTGGTTCAAAAAAGCCTCTGGAAACGGGCAGCAGCTGACAGACCAGCAGCTTTCACGTGTTATTTCACGAGGTTCCAGGACCATCATCAGAGAAAACCAAACTGCCCTGGCTGGCACTGCTCAGTAGTTAGAGCGTCGGCCCAAGAACCGAAGGGTCGCAGGTTCAATTCCCAGTCAAGGGTGTGCACCTGGGTTGCAGGTTCAATCCCCTGCCCCAGTCAAGGGGCATGTGCAGGGGGCAACCAACCGAGGTCTCACTCTGACACTGATGTCTCCCCCCGCAACCCACACTGTCTAAGAATCAATGAAAAACATACTAGGGTGAAGATTAGCAAAAAGAAAGAAAGAAAACAGAAACCCCAACTACAGCTTCACAGGGACCCAGTGTGACTGTGACCTGCTGGGACCAGGCGTGCCGGCAGCAGGTCAAGGGCAGTGGGCTGTGCCGATGCCCTGAGCACTGTGCTCCCAGCTGGGGAAGGGGCTGCACTTCCACACCACAGCGGGTGTGTCAGCAGGCAGGGGGTGTGTCAGCAGGCAGGGGGGTGTGTCAGCAGGCGGGGGTGTGTGTCAGCAGGCAGGGGTGTGTGTCTGCAGGCAGGGGTGTGTGCCTGTAGGCAGGGGGTGTGTGCCTGCAGGCAGGGGGTGTGTGCCAGCAGGCAGGGGGGTGTGTGAGCAGGCGGGGGTGTGTGTCAGCAGGCAGGGGTGTGTGTCTGCAGGCAGGGGTGTGTGCCTGTAGGCAGGGGGTGTGTGCCTGTAGGCAGGGGGTGTGTGCCTGCAGGCAGGGGGTGTGTGCCAGCAGGCAGGGGGGTGTGTCAGCAGGCAGGAGGGTGTGTCTGCAGGCAGGGGGGTGTGTCAGCAGGCAGGAGGGTGTGTCTGCAGGCAGGTGTGTGTGTCTGCAGGCAGGGGGTGTGTGTCAGCAGGCAGGGGTGTGTGTCAGCAGGCGGGGGGGTGTGTCAGCAGGCAGGGGGGTGTGCAGGGGTGTGTGTCAGCAGGCAGGGGGTGTCAGCAGGCAGGGGTGTGTGTCAGCAGGCAGGGGGGTGTGCCAGCAGGCAGGGGGGTGTGCCTGCAGGCAGGGGGGTGTGCCTGCAGGCAGGGGTGTGTGTCAGCAGGCAGGGGGGTGTGTCTGCAGGCAGGGAGGTGTGTCAGCAGGCAGGGAGGTGTCTGCAGGCAGGGGGGTGTGTCTGCAGGCAGGGGGGTGTGTCTGCAGGCAGGGGGGTGTGTCAGCAGGCAGGGGGGTGTGTCTGCAGGCAGGGGGGTGTGTCAGCAGGCGGGGGGGGGTGTCAGCAGGCAGGGGTGGTGTCAGCAGGCAGGGGGGTGTCTGCAGGCAGGCAGGGGGCCCCAGGACCCCGAGAGCCTGGCGTGCTGGCAGCTGGGAGCTATGGCAACACCCAGCATGAACCACCTCACGATCCCGGTTTGTCCAGCAACACGCACTTGGACAATGACAGCATTTGCTGGCGAATACTCTACAAAGGACAATCACTCATCCAAACGGCTCATCCTCTGGTCAAACAGAATTTTCAGGAAGGATCCCACTGTATCATCTGCTATTCTTATTCGAACCAACCTGACCACTGGAGGAAGGGGACATAATCCCGAGTCAGTTTCGATGGGAACAGTCCCAGTCCAGTCTGATGGACCCTAATTCAACACTTTGGATCTCTGAGGACTCGTCTCCAGGACAGTTTCTGTACGGTGACACATACAACACGACACGGAGTTCCACACACACACGAAGTCTCTAGGAGCTGAAAAACGGAGCATTTCACTCACTGAAATGCGCTTCTGGGGAATCTGCAAACGGCCGCCAGGGCCCAGGACTAAGAAAAGGCAAGGTGCTTCCAGGACCCAGGAACTGAGACCATCACTCTGCACAGTCACCCTCGATGACCGCGTGGTGGCACCTGGCTCTCTACCGCAGTGAGAGAGAAACAAAGCAACTCCTGTCTTCCGCCTGCGGAAGCTGGTACCGGACGGGCGGCAACCATCTATGCAGCGCTTACCAGGGAACTCGTCCTTGAGGTTGGGGAAGTTGATGTTCGTGTAGAGAACTGGGGCGACCGTGGCCATCTCCCCCAGCGCCTCCTCCTTCTCCCACTTGAGCGTGCTTCTCTGGGCGTTGGACATCGTGTCGCCCTCCCCTTCCAAGGGGGGAGCAGAGGACGCCCAAGAGCTGTTCGGGTCGCCGGCCAGTGGATTAAATCCGGGGTTCTTATCCCTGGCAAATAATATACAATGTTACTTCATAAACATCAAAATGAATTGCAGGTACAATCTCATTAAATCCTATTGTTACAAAACTGCTAAAATGTTGGATGACTTTTAGCAGAGATCACAATAAATGTAACGAGTGCTAAAATGCACAATAGCCGACTAACATTCACATAACAAAAACTACTTCCGTTTCCGGAGGACGTGGAGGCGGGTCCGTACCTGGCATCGGGGTAAGGGGACTGCACCATGGCGGAGAAGGTCCCCAGCCCGCTCCCGGGAGGCAGAGAGCTGTGCGGGAGACGGGGACCAGGTCCAATGAGGCCGTTCACGAGGGGCATCCGTGAAAAAACATCTTCAAAGAAAAAAATACTCAGTCTGTACATTATGCATAAATCATTCTTAAAAATCAACAGAAATATTCAATACAAACTATTTTATCGAGATAAATGATGCTTAATGATAATGCCATTTAAGAATAATCAAGCTGGATATTTCATTCACGATTATCCTGTAAAAGATTGTTAGAGGGACCGGCCATACCTTTTTGAAATCTGGTCGCTATGAGCCTGTTTCGTCAGCCACCCCACACGCAGGAAGGAGGATGAGTTTTGGGTCTGCCTGCCCTGGGCCTCTACCTACAGGGATTTCAGCTTACTGACCTCGCATCTTGCAACACCCCTTCTCCACTCTGACCTACGGGACCACGGCCCCTCCTCGCCACAGCCACCGGAGTTAGTCCACGAGGGTCTGCCCTCGCCTCCCAGTGAAACCGCCCAGCACACACCTCACTGAGGGCCTCTACTGGCCTCATTTCTAAGACCCTACACCTCTCATTCCACGTGCCAACCTCTCTGTACTTTTCCCCTTACACCTAACCCTTTAAAAGGAGAAATATGTTAAGTGCACGTGCAGTGGAAATCAGGGAAGAACGCAACGAGATTCTGCACCCGCCAGCAATGCTGCAGCCAGCCCACGTCCTGGGCTCTCCCCCTCCCACCACTTCAGATCTGCCTTCCATCAGCACTGCCGGTGGATTCACCGAAACCCAAACTTCCGCTCAGTCCCAGCTGTAACGAACTCTGCACACACCCCTTCTTCGCCTCAGATTCGGTTCCCATGTTCACGTGAGTGCTACGTGGCCAACACATGTAACTCATGAGGTCATTTCAGTGCCGTGTGGTGTTCAGTGGCTCGGAGCCGTGGGGAAGGCAGGCCCCCTGCCCCGGGCGTTTCTCAGCCACCTACGTGCCACCTGCCCCAGGGTACTCTCTCCAGTTCCTCCTCCCGAAACACTGCCCACGCACCTCTCCCCGGCTTCGGGAAATAATCCAGTGGCCTTTCTTAAACATCTGTGCCACCCTGTCTGTGACCTGATCGTGCATTATCCTGAAACTGGATTATTTTTTCAAACATGAGTGTTGAAACCTCAGTGACCCATAGGTTCTACTTGAACTGTGCTCTGCTGTAAATTAGTTGTAACCTGGTCTATGATCCCAGGGTTATACGTCTTATGGGTGGACGGCTTTTCTCAGCTTTACATCCTACAAGCATCTAGGAAAAGCCACCTCCTCAAAGCCTTCTACATGAGGCTCCAGAGAGATGATTTAAATACTGATCATAATGTCTTTGTCCGAGTGTGTGGCACACGCCCAGGGTGTGGGCCCGATCCCCAGTGGGGTGCAGCAGGAGGCGGCCCATCGATGTTCTCTCTCCTCGATGTTTCCATCTCTCTCTCTCTCCCTCTCCCTTCCTCTCTCTGTAAAATCAATTAAAAAAATTTTTTTAAAGAAATACATCTTTAACTCATCTCATTTCTAAAATCCATACTTTCCGTTTCAGACGACAGGGAGACAGATCTTTTCTCTAGGTTGAGAAGAGAAGCAGCGAGGAGTTCACAGTCCCTATGACCCCACCTGGGGGTCGAGCAAGGCGAGCAGCACCTGGGAGGAGTGTCTTCCCCCAGGGTAAGTCACATGCTTTAGCCCAGCGAAAATTAAGTTTACATCTGTGTGGAGAAGCTAACCTGGTAGACACTGATATTTTAATTCTGCGCGGTGTGGAGTTTTTCATGTCTACACAACACTGATAGTCAGGATAACGTGAAATCATCTGTGCGTTTCGGCGCTTACATGACAACCACGTGAGATTCTACAAAAGCATCACTGGGTTATTCTAGTCCGTGTATCATCACAAAGCAGGGTGATCAACGGGACGCAGAGATGGGACCCCGCGCTCCGAACTCCCTTCTAAAGGGGACCCTACACCTGCAGCTCTCTCCTGCGCACCCCGCACGTCGGCTCTGCCTCTAGGCTGTCGGACCCCAGCTCCCAGCAAGAGGCGGAACTAGAGCCTTCGACTCACTGGGTCTGACAACCGCTGACGAGGCAGCAAAGAAAACCAATCATAAAAAAAATAATAATAATAAAAAAACAGGCCAATGTCCACAAAGTCAGGCATTTCATAGCTGACAGCAGCAGAAAGGTCACGGCCCCTCGGGAGCATGTGCACACTCCAGGGCACAGAGATGACGACAGGTGTGACCAAGCCCTCGGGGTGCTCTTAGCCAGAGAGAAAACCAGTGTGACCCACGTGTCCTACGGGCAGCACCCCTAGAAATGAAAGGCCACAGGGACCAGCTCCCCCGTGCTGCACAGCAGGTCTGGGCGAAGGTGGGCCGAGCCACGGAGGGGAGGGTGACACGGCCACGCTGTCCCCACTGCCGATGCAGTGGTGGAAGAATGCCGGTCACCAAGTGAACCGTGGATTGCAGAGGCAGCCGGGGAAGCAGGTGTGGGACTGGGACTGAATTCAGGGTCGGCCTTTCCCATCGTCACAAAGGAGGGCTTTCGCCCTGGCCGGTTTGGCTCAGCGGTTAGAGCGTCGGCCTGTGGTCCGGAGAGACCCGGGTTCGGTTCCCGCTAAGGGCACGTACTTCGGTTGCAGTTTGTCCCCGGCCCTGGTTCGTCGTGCGGGTGGCAGCCACTCGATGTGTCCCTTTTGCATTGATGTTTCTCTCTCTCCCTCCCTCCCTCCCACTCTATCTGAACAAAAAATGGAAAAATATCCCCGGGTGAGGATAAAACAAAAAACAAAGGAGGGCTTTCTCCTCTCGGCGGTGTGTGTTGTCTCTAAGGGATGGGCCTGGGTGCTTTAGCGAACGTGCAAACGCATGCGCACACACGCACACCCCGAACCACACTGGCACACTCTGCGGGTGACCTACCCTGACTGTGGATGGGCATCAGCTGTGGCGCAGGAGGAGGGGGAGGCTGTGGCAATGGAGTCGGCTGGGCGGTCACAGGGCTGAGCACAGCGGTAAACAAGTCTTCGACGTCCTTCCCTCCAAGCTCTAGGAGACACGATTGTAACGATAATACAATTACAAGTCGATGGGAGCCATACAGGGAATGCCACTTTCGTCAACTTAAAAAAAAAAAATCAGAACACGGTTACCTGGAATTTTATATAACTTCCCGAGAATGGCTCCTATGATGGAATAGATAAGAAACATTAATAATTACCACTTCAGAATACTGATACAAAAATAGCAAGTCACAGAAATCATCAGAATAGAAGTTAAATGATAGATAAGCATGCAAAATTCTTTGAAAATCATATTTACTCATGTCTTTTAGAAAGCCTAGCTGTAGGGCAAATATTTTACCATCTGTGACCATTTTGTCTAGTTCGGGACTAAGGATCCCATCCAGCTGCTCCTCACTCAATGGTCGTGAACTCTGATTGACACCTGGCTGAGGCACGGAGGCGGGGTCATGGGCGACAGGGCCAATATCTATTGCTGCTGGAGGAACAAGGTCAAGAAATAGAAAGTGAGGTCAGAATACACACAAAATGCACAACACTGTTCACCTGCATGAGTGCACAACAGTGCGATTCAAGTCAAGCAATGAAAAGTCTGTGACTGAATTCATCAGATTCTTCTATCTATCTGGACAGTCAAAATTAGGCACAATGTATTTGCAAAACTAGCTGCCTCAAAGTTGCGTTTTAATAAAAATAAATAGGGATAAAAGAACACTTCAGGGCCTAAAATGCTCATTTCCATATAAAACAAGCACCGTTATTATTACGATAGGACCCTGAAGACTCTCCTATCTACAATATTCACCGCACAAATAATCGCTTCGCCTTGGAAACAGCGGTCCCGCCGTATCAGGCACAGTTCAGCGATCATGGGCAGCATGTGAAACAGGCCTACGTTTCACACAGATTCATGAAGAGCCCTAGAATTCTTAACTCGTGTTTGGCAAACATCATCCTGGTGAACGGTGTCTACTACAGCTCCTACTCTTGAATTATTCTGCAGTCAAAACACAAAATATAGGTTGTGTTGAGCACCTGACGTGCTCTATCGCACACAAACCGGTTTTGAAAGCAATCGCCACATTTAAAAGTCACCTATCGTCGGAACCCTTTACCATGCTGCCTCCACATCACTATTATTAGAGAGTAAAATGTAGTTGGCTCCTATTTGATTTCATATTAGAAACTACCTCTATAACATTTAGGTAAAATGGCAAATTACGTATTAACAAAAATAAAACCATAAAAAAAAATAAAATAAAATAAAAGGAACACTACTGAGAACGTCACCCAGAGCAGGTGCTGGGGCACCAAGCTTTGGCTCACGCACACGCGGGAACGCAAGGTACGGATTAGTGACACGTTAGCACTACGACCAGCACGCATGCACCGACAGGCCGTGGCAGCTGAAATCACTGTAAAACTCTACTCTAGTCAGCCGGCACCCCGCCTCAGGTTCTTACCAAACGGAAAAGGTGAGCTGTCAACCTGGAAAGTGCATAAATCAAGACCTACAGGACCCAAACCAGATAAAATGGGTAATTACCACAGGGGCGGAGGCGGGGAGCAAGGAAAACAAGAGGAGGAGCCACACACAGCGAGACTTCGGGGCGACACTCAACCGTGCCGCCGTTAGAGAGACGACAGGAATTAACTGACTATTCCCCCCCGCCTGGAGCAGAAAACCCGAGGGGGTCAAATTATACGAGGAGTTCGTTGATAACAACGTGAAAGAAGCTTTTCTTTCCCAGTTTTAGAGAAAAGACTAGAACTTGCTCCACACACACATACACCCTGAGAGAGACGCCGGGCAAAGAGCATTCAATATACCTGAATGATCAACTGATTTTGCAAGGTCATCTGAAATTATTCCAAGAATGTCATCCTCTGTGTTTAAGACTTCAGAAATGTCAGCTAAGGGGTCGTCAGCAGTACCTAAATATAGTAAGTATATTTTTAATGTCTTGATATTTTCCCAGACATTAAATTCTAAAACACCCTTATTCATCGACCACTTAGTACGTATCTCGAGGGCCGCAGATGCTGAGGTAGGTGCAAGGGTCTCAAAGATTAAGATCGTTACTACTGGAGAAAAGGGTTTTTTCACGGAAAAGGTACTCTGATGTTTTGAATAATAAAACATTAAAAAGTAAGACCATTTGGGGTTGGTAGCTAATTTATATTAAAAAGTAAGACCATTTGGGGTTAGTAGCTAATTTATATTAACAATGAATATAAAAACCTATAGGCAATGAAAGTGCAATAGAATACTATAAGAAACAAAGCAAAAAAAAATTTGATTAACCAAGTGACATCTCTAAAAATGACATCTGGAAAATAAACACAGAAGATAAATAAAATATGAAAGACACACCCATTATTTAGAAATTTGTTGTAAATTGTAAAACAGCCCCCCTCACCTAACACCGGACTCCCCCACTTCCTGATTCCCGGGGCACCCACAGAACCACAGCTGCGGACAGGGCCAACCAGCCTGGCTGCAGCCTCTGGGAACACAGAAGGTGCGGAAACCAAGGACCTGCCCTCACCGAGCTTTACTCGGAGGGGGGAGAGTCAATGACATCAGAAGTGCCATGAAGACATGTCAAATAGAGAGACAGGACCGAGACTCAGATGTGGGGGCGCAGTCTCAGATGACGGGGTCGGGGAAGACCTTGTAAAGGACACGGCCACACCTGAGGGTACATGAAATCAGGGAGCTGTGAAGACCGCAGCAGGCGGGCGTGGCCAGCACAGGGAGCCAGGGTGTGTGGGGTCTTACAGGTGGTGCCGAGGACCACGCCCCTCCCTCTCAAGTACGATGTGTAAGGGGAAGATGCTGGCGGGAAGAGGACACATGCACAGGTGCCCGCGGGCTGCCCCGGGCAGAGCAGACTGGGCTGCGGGGGGCTAGGCGAGAGCGGGCAGGAGAGCCGAAGTCAGAAGTGGTGTCCGGGGACACTCAAGGCAGACAGGTGTGTGGGTGCACAAGATGGAGTCGGGGGGCTCCACAGACACGGAGGGACGTGTTTAGGCTCGCTGTAGCAATTATCTTTGTCATTTAAATTAGGGAATATGATTTTTTTTAATCCAAAAGGGACAAATAGTCTGGTCCCATTAAATGCACACTTTACAAGTAGGATTCACTCATAGACAAGAATATAATTTTTCAAATTAAAAGGAAATATAAATTTTCTTTGCCCAAATAGTCATCGAGTTTTAAGAGGAATAAAATCCTTCCAGGTACTGTATTCTCTAGACAACAGCACACTTGAAAGAAACAAGATACTGGTAATTCCTTCAGGGGTCATCTAACGTGAGTGGGGGCATTTTAAACTAATGGCCTCCTGCACACAAATTCAACACACATTTGAAAGGCATGTTCAAAAAGGTTGCCCCTCCCTGAGCAGACTTTATATCCTACAAACAAACGATTAAAACTGATGTCACGGACTGTATTAAATGAAATGTAAAGGAAAGGAAGGGAAGGGAGGGAGGGAGGGGAAAAAGACAAGACAGCCATCACTTGTGCACGCTCCTTTTTTAAGGCAACGAGTGATTGAGCTGCCGAGACCATCTAAGTTCTGAAATGTTTCTCTTTCCTAGTCCTCCTACTTGGCTTTATCTTCAAACCGTTTCTCTCCAGCAATTTTGTGGGGGAAACAAGAGCGGATAAAGGAAAAAGGAAAAACAAGGTGGGGTGATGTCTTTCCCATCACAAGACGGCCGCTGCTCAGTTTCAGGCCTGTTTCTTACAAACACCCCCGTGCAAGTAACTTCTGTCGAAGTGCTGGGTGTGATTCTTGTTCGTCCTCACGCGAGGATATTTTCCCACTGATTTTGAGGGAAGGGATGGAGGGAAGGGGGGAGAGAGACACATCGATTGGTTGCCTCTCACACGCAGCCCACAACTGGGACTTTGCAACCACAGTATGTGCCCCCGTCAAGAAATCGAACCCGAGACCCTGCGGTGCAAGGGCCAATGCTTCCACCTCGGAGCCACTCCGGCCAGGACGCTGGTCCTAATTTTACAGTAAGCTTTACCTTTCAGAGTTAGGGTGTCCTTTGAGGGACCACAGGTTTTTCACTACTCGTCACCTGAACAACAGTCCCGCAAGGACAAGAGCAGGTAAGTACTGAAAACAACAGAGTGAGTGGGAAACTGATGGACAACGTGCTAAAAGGGACGAGCGGAGACGGCCACATGCGATCAGAGGGGCTGAGGCAGCTGTCCCTCCCTTCAGCCGAGAAGTTAAAACCAAGTGAAAGCGTGCGCTCGACCCAGGGCATGCCAAGGTCGAAGACGCTGCAGCGACTTCCTGCACGTGACCTCCAGGGGACGACTCCTGGGGAGTGCTTCGTAAGGGAGCTTGCTGAACGGACGGACGGGCGACCCACGCTATCAATGCTGAAAGGAAGCTCGTCAGAAGAACGCTGACTTGTCACTGCTAGTGACACAAGAATGTGGGAGAGGTGGGGGTTCTGACCACAGCTCCCACACCCTGGACCAGCTCGACTCCCAGAGCCCGGCTGATGCCAACGCAACAACCTGCTGATCAGGTCTGACCTTCCTCCAGCCTAAACAGTCCCCGTAGGCACCGCACCCGGTTCTCAGTCGGGGGGGACTGTGCAGGGGTCACCTGGCAATACTTGGAGACTCTTCTGAGCCTGACGACATCACAGGGACAGAGATGTCAGCAAATAATCCACATGGCAGGGTCTGCCTCCCTCCTCCAACTCAGACTGATCCGGCCCACGCTGTCGGCAGTGGGAATCGATCTAAGGTGGTGGATCTCACTATTGACACGGCCTGTCAGCCAGCCCCTAGCCCGGCACCCGTGGCCTCCTCTCAATTTCGCTGGGCTGTGTAGTTAACAAAACTCTACCTTACTTAAGTTGAAGGTGATCATATTCACAAACTACACCCCCTTACCTTACCCTAGTGTAAACCTAGCATTTCCCTTTACAACCACTGCTTTCGGTGGTAGTACCACGGAGACATTTATTTCCAACATACTGTAGACCTGCCCACTTAGAACAGTTACCTTTACTGAACACAAGGTGTACCCCAATAAAGCTGATTGTAAAACCGCCTAAGAGGCCAAACAAAAGCATTTCAGAGGTCTTCTTAACAGGGAGAGACTGTCACAGGATAAACACACCACGTACCGTGAGCTGCGGGCTTCGCTGGCGTCGAGGACGCGCTGAGGAGCGGGTCTAGGGAGGGGTCCAAGAAAGGCGTGTTCACGTGTGTCTTACAGGACAGCTGGGCGGGGTCTTCCGACAGGTTGTCTACATTGAGCCTGTTCTGTCTACTCGTATCCAGAAGATCTTTTCCAAAGAAAGCTTCCTATGTGGAAACAAGCACACGGGGTAAGATTCTAAACTGATTACAGCTCTGGCACCGTTTCTGAAGAGGAGGCAAGCTTGGTGCTTAATAACACAGACATTGACTCCAGAAATATATGAACGACACAGAAATGTCCTGTCAATTCTGCTATACAGATATCCCTTAGCTTAACCGTACAGATTTTTTTGTTTTACTAGAGAAAAATAAAATTATGCTAACAATAGCACATGCTTCTGTGAAACTGTTTCTGGCGACTGCAGTGTAATAACTCGATCATTCCAGATTAGGCCACAATTAAATTTAAAGGCTGATAAATTTATAAACTATTGGCACCTAGTTCGTGTTCCAAGAGAAACTCAAGCATGAATGTCGTTATTACTTATAGATTACCTGTGGGGGAGGGCACAGGGCCTGATCTATAGCTTCAATACGTACAAGTCCCCGATAGATTAGTAATCTCCTGCCGGTTCTTGATCACATTAAAGACTGAACACATTATCAATCTGAAGGGGTTTGCACAGCCATTTTAATCTTACTATGTGCACAAAATTTACTTCTCGTAAAGGTGTTTGGCTTTTTATCCATTTACTCCCATGAGTATTTCTCCATGTCGACATACGTTCTCCACCCTAGAGACCAGTGTTTCAGGCTGGTCCTTACAACGCGAGCATCGCTCTGCAACAGCTCGAGGCCCGATACAAAGGACAAAGAGAAACACTTGGGGTCATCCCCTCGCTTTAACCCAGCAACTATGCGTTAGTCTGTTTCCTGTAACGAGGTCTCTCTGGAAGAGGGGTCCGTGCAGGACAGCTGTGTAGTGTCTGTCAACAGGAGCACATCCTTGACAGAGACACACAGAACAGGGTCGCTGCAGCCTTCTTAATGCCAAAATCCAGTTAAGTGCCTGGTCTTTGTCAAAAGACATAGAACTAAACAAACTGCAGACACCCACAAAACGGCTGTTTTTACAAAGGATGCTAAGCTATGCTGACCAAGAAAGCAAGTTGAAGATGTGTCCAGCTACACACGAAACACCAACCTAGACTAGTAGGGCTGTGCCAAAATAAATTATTTTGAAAGTTATGAATGAACCAGCACCAGACTGTTCACCATGCTAACTGCGGGAGGAAAAGACGGCATAATCTGACTTTAATTTTTCACGTATTTTACATGAATGATGTTGATAACATTCTTATTAAAAATTTGGTGGCTTTTTACTTCCTGGCCCCCCCATGGATTCTAACTTGATCACGTGGCCAGAGACTCCCAGAACCAACCGGAGACACAGGATCTCCAGGTCCCAGGGCACCCTGGCTACTCGGTGGACCGCACAAACATTTCAGTGCACAGATCATACAATTATGTATATTTTACGTTGACACTGTTGAAAATAATAAAGAGAACCTGGAAAGACACTGTGCCTGAATTCCAGCGGGGTTTTGTCACTGTGTATTCTGCCCACACCCCACCCACAAAGGAAGAAAGTGTAACTGCTATCACAAGATGTCCGGGAACCAACCAGGAAAAAAGCGGTTAGTACCACTATGTACCAGGGAGCAACGTCCACCAGAGGGACAACGCAGCTTCCTGGGGGGCACAGCCGGAAGCAAGAATCAGGCCCTTCTGCTCATGGGTGAGCTCGTCAGTGTCTACGATTTAACAGTTGAAGAAAGCTTCCTAAATATAGATTACACTTCCTAGAAGAACCAGGAACAGGAAGGGGGCACAGGAGGGGCGGGTCTTCTGCGCAGGACTCCCGGGAAGGGCTGCTCCCAGGGAGGTGGAGAGAGCAGGAGACAGCCCAGAAAGGGAGCAATTAGAGACGATGCAAACAGAAGCAGGCCCAGTTCCTGACCAGCAGGGTTACGTTACCCAGTTAACAGACACACAGCTAGGATGAATGGGTACCTGATGGGAACGGGGAAAATAAAACATGGATTAAAGATAGACGGTATGGGCCTGGCCAGTTTGGCTCAGCGGTTAGAGCGTCGGCCTGCGGTCCGGAGAGACCGGGTTCGGTTCCCGCTAAGGGCACGTACTTCGGTTGCAGTTTGTCCCCGGCCCTGGTTGGTCGTGCGGGTGGCAGCCACTCGATGTGTCCCTTCACGTCGATGTTTCTCTCTCTCTCTCCCTCTCTCTCCCTCCCACTCTATCTGTACAAAAAAATGGAAAAAAAAAAAAAAAATGCCCTGGCCGGTTTGGCTCAGCGGTTAGAGCGTCTGCCTGCGGTCTGGAGAGACCCGGGTTCGGTTCCCGCTAAGGGCATGTACCTCGGTTGCAGTTTGTCCCCGGCCCTGGTCGGTTGTGCGGGTGGCAGCCACTCGATGTGTCCCTTTCACGTCGATGTTTCTCTCTCTCTCTTCCACCCCCCCCCCCACTCTACCTGAACAAAGAATGGAAAAATGTCCTCGGGTGAAGATTAAAAAAAAAAAAAAAAAAAAGATAGACGGTATGTAAGGCACAGGGTTAAGCACTTTACATACTTAATTCTACTTAATCTCTCAAGATTTCCGAGCAGCTTCACGGAGGAGAGGCCTGGGTCACACAGAGGCTGAGCAAACCCAACCACACAGCGACCGGGCAGCAGAGCGGTCCTCAAACCCGGACTCCTGAAGGCTCAGTCAGCCCTTTCAACGGACACAGCCCTGGAGGTGTTGGTCGTTTAACACAAACTGACACTTGCAAATATGACTCGATACTTAAGTGACTATGCTTAGAAGTCCTACTTAATGAATACAGACGACCTTTCCCTTAAATGAGTGTTTTACTTCTATGCTTCTCATACACGAGGAAGAACGGACAGGGTCAGGACGGGAGTCAGCTCGACGCCGAGACAGACGGTCTGTCTGTCCTACCTCTCATCCGGGGCTCTTTCCAACACAGACCCCGGCCTGGGACTTTCCCGTGGCCTCCGGTTTACCAGGTGATCCAGAAAGAGGTCTGTTTGCACCTAGTCCACATCTCGCGAGCACAATTTCTTTATACGGAGGGGCATTTTTCTGATGGATGTTTTAAAACGCAAAAACAGTTCTGCTTAAATCTCGGGTTCACTGAACCTCGAAAAGTGGTCAGTGGTTATTACAGCTACACCTCTGGCCGCTGAGAGCCCATCCCCCCTCAGTGAACATCATCATGAGAACCCCGTGCGCCCACGAATCTTCACAACACACGATGCTGGAGTCTTCAGTCGGGCACCACCTCTTCTCCCTTAGGTGGTCAAGTAACAACAAATGACAACGGCCAACACACTAGCTGTCTGGTGTGAATGAATCAAAACTACACCTGTTGGGGTTTTTTCATTTTGTCAGCTGGGCAAAGAAGGTATCTTGTTTGGCGTGCCCCAGAGTTGCGTTAGCGTGTGTGCTGTGGGACGGGAGAGGCTGAGGACCGCTGGGGTGGGCGGGAAGGGAGGGGGCCGCAGCACCCCAGCACACGCAGCTGTGTCTGCTCTGCAAGACGTCTCGCTCTGCCCGTGTGTCCCTGCAGACCTTACGAAATAGTCAGAAGTGGAAAACTAGGATGAAAAAGAACTTTGCATCCAGCCGGTGTGGCTCAGTGGTTGGGCGTCGACCCTACACCAAGAGGTTGCTGGTTCGATCCCCAGTCAGGGTACATGCCCAGGTTGTGGGCCTGATCCCCAGTGGGGGGCACACAGGAGGCAGCCAATCCATGTTCTCTCTCATCCATGTTCCTCTCTCTCCCCACCCCCCTTCCTATCTCTCTAAAATAAGGGGAAAAAAATTTTTTTAAAGAACTTCGTGAAGTGTCTCAAAGCACAGAAAAGTAAACATTCATTTTTACGAGCCCCTGGGAGGTAAAAATGGCACTTATGATAACTAACTAAAAACGAGTAAACCAATGAACAAAAACCAACAACCCATTTCCCAAAACTCCACACACTGCATTTCTCTCACGAACAAACTACGGAACGTGAGGAAAAACAAAGCCTTACTTGCAGATAGGCCGGGAAGGTCTCCTCGAGCTTGTTCTTCCTCTTCCGGTATCTCTTCTTTATCTTCTCAGTGTTTCCGGCGACAGAAACAGCTTCGTCAGCCAGGGAGTCTGGCAGCTGCTCGCTCCAGCCTGCAGGGCAGTCAGCTCGTGAGCGGGCGGCACCGAGACTTCTCCGACCCGCGCCCCGGGCGCCGCGACAGCTTACCGTCGTCTCGGCTGGGTAACTGCTCAGAAATGGAGCCCGAGGAGTCTTTCCTCATCACAGATCTCTTGGCTTTTCCTTGCCCGGTCCGACTTCTTTGCCGTACCATAAATCCACCAATGCCTACCCAAGAAAAAAAAATGACGTAACCTCATAAATACCTAACTTACCCCTCTATGTCCGCAGTAAGTAGGGTGAAATTGCTTAGTCTTCAACAGTAAGGCATTCGACATAATAAATAGCTAAAATGGTTAACCTCAATTTCATGCAAAACCACGAGAGTTCGGAAATCAGCAAGTGCGAGAGACTGAAGCTCCTGTTGCCATATCGCTAACAGGACAGGAGTGGACATCCACTGGAGGACACAGGGCCGCACAGGCCTTTCCTCCTGCACGTGGGGTCAGGGTCAATGTTTTCACCTAACGGGTATCAGTAAGTCGCAGTCATCACTTGAGTGCAGACCAAATGCAAACGATTCAGGGACCCGAGTCCTGCACCTCCTCTGGGGGCCCTCAGACCACACACAGGCGCAGCTCTGAGTTCAGGCCACAGAACCGGAGCCAGAGCCGGAGCTCTGGTCACACTGGGCTGGGCGATGTATTTAACTCCGCGGGGCTCCAGGCCCTCACGGCTACAGGGACAGTCCTGCAGACAGACAGGCTGGGCTAGACGGGCAGGTGGAGGTGCTGGAACAGCTCCTGCCACGCGCTCAACACTGCCAGCTTCCGTCGCTGGACCCAACAGTCCAGCATGTGCTGTGCGACCTAACGGCCCACTCGGGGGGATGGGCAAATCCCCAAGAGGCAGAGAGAGAACAAATCAAATGTGAGCTCCTGGGAGGAACTGTCTACAAAAGTCTACGTATAAGCCTTGTAACTAGGGAAGAAGGAACCCTCCTCTCCAGTGATGGGGTGATGCTGGCCCAGGTCCGCCCAGAGGGCGCCCGGGCCGCAGGGTCCAGCGAGCAAGCCCCTCCTCACAGGAGTTCAGCTCGCTCTTCAACAACGTGAGCCATCAGAACAGAGATGCAACCGTCCGACGTAATGCTCAGTGACTGGTAATAAACATGATGGACTGCCCGAGGGAAGCCTGTAAGCTCTGTATTGTGACCACTGCAATCATTGTTTCCAGGAGAGCAAATAAAAGGTGACAGGCAAGACGGCCTCTCGACCACCCGAGGCAGAGGGGCGGTGAGTCCCATCGGCACAGCGCTAGTGGCACCGCGCACTGTAGGAGCCCGAGGAACCCACGGGTCCCCTGCACAGTCCTGCATGACACTCGAGTTCACAGGAACAGAAAAGCGTCAGAAAGGCGTGAGCAGAGCCACCCTGCGAGGCATTACACGGGGACGCAGGGGGAGGCTTCGGATTCAGCGTCAGCGATCCGCCACCTACGGGCGCATCAGTTTGGTTCTTTAATTTACACACACGATTCATTCTGGAGAGGTGCCGAGAAGCTATTTCACCCTGACTGTGACTAAGTGAAGCCCTCGCAGGTCCCTTTCTGGGAAACAAACCACGCGGGGCGGGGCAGGCCCACCTGGTCGGTAGGGCTTCCGCTTCCTCTTCTTCACGCCCTCGGCTCCTTCGGCGCCCTTGGCCTCGTCATCCGCGGCTTCCCGCTCGGGGCTGGATTCGGACTTCCCGTCACAGTCCATGAGCTCTCCCTCTGGGAAAAAGTGAATACGCAAAGAAAATTGGAGAAACGTGGGGAATCCGCCGATCCTACGGGAGGACACACAGGCGAAGCGGCTGTCGAGCCCGCGGACCGGGCGTCGGGTGGGGAGAGCATGGGGAGGCGACAGGTCCCCAGGGCCGAGAACGCATGCTCCTTCAGCCCTATCTCGGGAAAGGAAGCGGAGTTATGAGGCAGAGAGCACATTACAAATCGATTTGCTCTCGAATCGCCCCCTTGCTTTTCATTTCGGCTTCAGGCCCAGGACCACGGGGTTCACTCTCCTGCCCAGACCTCCGCTGGGTTCCACCTACCGCTGTGACTGATTTCACCCAGCTACCGAAACTGCTTCCAAACAGAGCCACCGACTTAAGACAAACCTCCTCCCTTTCCAGGGGTCACCTAGCCTCATTGAAAGGCATGGAGATGCACCTGGAGAAGCCAGACTCCTGGGGGGAGGCCCTGACAATCCTAGCCTCGCCTGCGATCAAGACGCCTCAAGCTTCCGCAAACACATTTCACTTCTCTACGTCTTAGTCCAGCCTTGACCTGCCGTCTACCTCGCTCCCCTGCCTCCGAGTATAGCCAGGTCTCACATCAGCTCTTGAAATCGCAGGCTAAGTAATCTCTCCATGCATGTGGATCTGCTTTCCGCTTAAATTCTTCACGTCTGCCCACCAGCCTCAAAGTGCAGTTCAAACCAGAGGGTCCATTACACACGAGTCTCTGTGAACTCGCTGGCTCACCGTCTTACAGAATTCCTAATGCTCAACAATGTGACATTCCAGTTACATGTTCCTGAACGTCAACATGATGCTTTATTTTTTTTAATTTTTTATTTTTTTTCCCTTTATTGATTTGAGAGAGGAAGAAAGAGAGAACACTGGCTGCCTTCCTGCATGCCCCCCACTGGGGATCGGGCCCACAACCTGGGTTTGTGCCCTGACCGGAAATCAAACCAGTGACCTCTGGGTGCAGGGTCGACGCTCAACCACTGAGTCACACCAGCCAGGCATGACACTTAATTTTAATTGGTTCTTTTGTGTCATTATTAACCCTCACCCAAGGATATTTCTCTATTGATTTTCAGATAGAACGAGAGAGAAGAATGTAAGGAAGGAGAAGAGGGAGAAATAGAAATATCGGTTGCCTCCTGCAGGACCCCGAGGCCAGGGATCAAACCTGCAACCCAGGTACGAGATCTTGACCTGAAATTGAACCCAAGACCCTTTGGTCCACTGGCTCAATCTCTAACCTCTGAGCCAAACCGGTCAGGGTTAATTGGTTCTTCTAATGTCTGTCTCCTTAATGTGGTACCTAATAGGTATTCAATAATTATTTCACTGGCCCTGGCCGGTTTGGCTCAGCAGTTAAAGCGTCGGCCTGCGGTCCAGAGAGACCCGGGTTCAGTTCCCTCTAAGGGCACAAACCTTGGTTGCAGTTTGTCCCTGGCCCTGGTTGGGTCGTGCGGGTGGCAGCCACTCAATGTGTCCCTTTCACATCGATGTTTCTCTCTCTTCCTCTCTCCCCCTCCCGCTCTGTCTGAATAAGAAAACGGAAAAATGTCCTCGGGTGAGGATTAAAAAAAAAAAAAATTATTTCACTGAATGAAGTAAATGATGAAATTAAGTAATAAATACCAAAAAAATGCAGTTCGTAGAGAAAAAGGCGATTTTAACACTGTAGTGATCAAACCTTTGCAAGTTGTATACGGTTTACACTTCTATAGGAAAAAGATGAAGTTACCAAATACATGTAAGGTTAAATATTAACTCTCTTCTTCACAATTCTAAGCATTATATACATTTTCTGTAATACCATTCCCTAAATTTGCGACTGTTTTTGATAGTATTTGGTTGATGTTTGAGGCCAATTCCGTAACAATCTGATAACTGCTCTATACAGCTAAGACTAAGTGTTAGAAAGAAATGTTTCCTTACTGACGCTTAGCAGTAAGGAAATTTTAAAATATCCACTGTTCACCATAAAATAAACCACTCTATAAACATATGGGGGGGACGTGGTTGAGAGGGTAGACTAAATTCAGATCCAATTTCAGTCTCTAAACCCTACTAGGCTTGGTTGCTAGGGTGATTGTTTATGACTTATTTTCCTAAAGACACATGTATCAGAAGGGTTGAAATTCAACAAACAATGGGTAATGTTGCAATGTAACACATGTAACAGGAACACGAGTTCCCCTGGAGCCTGGCACCGTGAACGTTGTGTACGGAATGTAACGGAACCTAACGGGACTTCGACGTCTCCGGGGATGTATCTTCTAGAGAACAGCCACCATCGGACAGTGCTGGTCGACCGGACATCAGTCATGGGGAGAGGGACCCTCTCAGGTCTTGCGTTCGTGTCCTGTTCTGTTTTGAAAAGGTTCTATCATCTCATAGCTTGAAGACTAATGTGCACTATCAAAAAACCTCCCGGATTTTATGAAACGCAGCAATCCCTAACGTGAACTGTGAAACCATTTCGCAGACAGCACCTCAGAGCCTCCGACGCCAGGGTTCTTCCCGGGGCTCGGGCTGGTGATGGTCCTCTGACCTGCGCCTCCCAGATGCACAGCCTATTTCTTCACAAGCACCAAATCGCTTGAACTCCAAAATCAACTTTCCGTTCAACCGTACCCGAGCCCCGGTCACACGTCAGCATTGGGACGCTTCCCTCCCCACCACAGACCAGAGACGCGGCACTGCAGACGCGCTGCAGGCTAGCTGACAGACCTCGGGAAGACGGAGGGCAGCGTCCTTCTGAGCCCCGGTTCTCTCCCTGCAGCAGCCTCCTAACCCTCCCCCTGCCGCAGGGGGCCTCGCAGTCTGCGTGCATCCCGGCCGAGTCTCCCCGACACAGGCTCGGGCCTCTCTCCTCCCCGGAAACCGCCCGTCCCAGTGAACCCAAAGGCCCGAGCACCACCGCACGGCCCGGCAAGGGTCACCCTCCTCTCCTCCCCTCTCACCCAGCACCTCTCCTCCCCCAGCTCCCTCTGCGGGACCGCTGGGCTCCACTGGGCACCTCGCACCCACGGGCACCCCCACCCGCAGGCACCTCGCACACGCGGGCCCCTGCACTGCTTTCTCCACGCTCTGCCCTCACGTGATCCGGTGGCTCACTCACCCCACCCCGCAAAGTCTGTGCCCAAACATGCTCTCGGTTCACCTGACCCCTCACCCCCCTCCTGTGCACCCCAATTCCCCTCTCTCACTCTGTTTTTCCCCATAGTACTTGCCAAACACATTATCGTTAACGTACTTATTGTCATACATTTCAACAGCCTTTTCTCCTAACATCAAAATGTAAGTTCCTGGAGAGAACGATTTTATGTTTTGTTCGCTGATGAGACTTCCAACACAGGGCACACAGGAGGCATTCAATAAACACTGTTTAGTGACAAGATGTGATAGAGCAGAAATAATCATCGCTTCATTTCCCAATCAGCGGAAAAGACATCACACCCTGAAAATAAGCAGCCCTGTGGTCGTCCGCTTCAAAGATAAAGAAACACATAAGTCAAACTGAATTTACTGCTACTAAAAACAACTTTGTTGTATCTCAAGAATCCAGCTAGAAAAGTCTTCATATTAGAGCAGGAACTTTTATAAACAGGTAGTTTATGCTGAATCTGTGACTATAAACGTCTACGACAGATCAAGGACGGCGTTTCCATTTCCTGAACAGGATGCACGATCGCACTCTGGCTTTAACTTAACCCTGTGCCCAAGCTCACAGCCTCTGGAGGCTCAAGCTGCCATCCAGTAACCTGGAGCCAAGCCGTGCCCTCTGTGATCCTCAAGTGCACGGTGCTCAGGAGGTTCTTGCAGCTCTGTGTCAGAGGGCCCCTAAACAGGGAGGGGCCCCTAAACAGGGAGGGGCCCCTGAACAGGGAGGGGCCCCTGAACAGGGAGGGGCCCCTGAACAGGGAGGGGCCCCTGAACAGGGAGGGGCCCTCCAAAGGCAGGTCCAAGAAGACCACCCACATGGAAAGGGCAGGTGTCACATTGGAGGGTTATCTAAGCCATTGGAATTTACCATTAGGAAAAAAAACCGTTCGTATTTTTAAAAGCTATTATGTATGCTTTATATTCTCGCAAACACACTCCACAGAAAATAAATTAGTGTTACCTCGACTATCATCCATTTCACCGTCCCGAGAATGCTCTGACTGGATGTCTGGGGGGGTCTGCAGGACGGCCACACTGTTCTGATTTATAATCTTCAATTTCAACTTTGGTTTCGACCGTTTTCTCCTTGGAGCGGTGGCTACGAGGCTCTGTAACTGAGCCCTCCCTGATTCGGTCAGGCACACGCCATCCTGGGTGTAGGTCTTGGGTGGATCTAAAATTACAATGTCCAAGGATACAAAGTAAAACTCTCGCTTTAATTCTGCGCAATAAGTTGACTAACGATACAAAGTGCCCGTGTCAAGAGAATATTACTTCTATGGAGCAATTATCTACGAAATGCCCAAATGGTTAACTTAAGAGTACTCGATGAAAAGTACGAGTAATTGGCCAAAGTCCCTTAAGTTATAGGCAGAAAGGCTGCACGTTTTTCTAAACTGGTCTTCCTGGCCTGTCTTTCTTCACGTGTCGATGTGAGGATTTAGAAAGACAGCAATGAAGCCAGAAGCAACGCGTCAGCCTCCCAACTAGGAGCCTTTCCCTGCAGACTCCTGTCTGAAAGGTGAGGACCCATTTATTTAAGAGAAACAAGAACACCCCAGAAACTGGAAAGCAAAGTAGCAATATAATCACTTTCAGGGAGAGGTATAAATAAGGGAGAAATCCTGCAATTTTCTAAATCCACAAAATTGCCGTTCGTGCAAACCATGTCTGAACTATCCGAGTATTTTTTGTGTCGGATGATAGCAAATAGAAATCAACAAGAGAAAGCGAATTTAATAAAGCACATTAGTCATCTTTCTAGGCTGATCTAGCCTGGAAGACGATAGCAACGGGCGGAATTGCGCTGAAGAAGTCTGTTAGCTAGGCCCCGCTTTCGGCTTCCTGATGATATGGGACAGTCGCATATCAATGAAAACACAGCAAACAGGAGTTGGGGGTAATTTCCAGAGCAGTCATGTCACTGCCTGCTGGGTGAGGCACAGGAACACTGCCCCCTAGGGGCTGGAGGACATGAGCACCACCATCAGTTGCAGAAATGAGCACCCACAGGATCAAGGCGGGTGTCCTGCGCATGGGGACAGTCAGGGACCTCGGCAGGGCCACGTCCACGTCCACGAGCACTTCTGGCAGGAACTTACCTAGCTCCTTCGCTTTCGTGACGATCTGCGCCACCAGGGCGGGGTCGCAGCAGTCCGAGGGGGGTGCTGAAACGAGAGGGGTCCACGCAATTGTCTTTCAGGAACAGGTGAAACGTCCTTCCAGGACTACGAGTGACCACGATTTCTATTTCTAGGACCACTTCACTAAAATAAATGCTGGGAGGCGAGGCCGGCGTAAAGGCTGCCTCAGAAACGGGGGTGAGGGACATGCGTCAGGAGGAGAAACAGGGGGGCTGGAGAGCCAGGCCCTGGATGCCCCACATGGTGACCCATGAGGCTGTCACAGAGGCTGGGAGCCAGGCCCTGGACGCCCCACACGGTGACCCACGAGCTGTGATGGAGGCTGGGGAGCCAGGCCCTGGACGCCCCACGAGGCTGTGAAGGCCAAAAGCAGAGCTACCTTCACCGCTACAACACGTGCTTCCTTTGCTTTATGGGGACAGATGGCTGCACTATACGAAGCTGGAGCAACAAGAGTTCATCTACCACACAAGTAACTTGACTTCCGGAAATGGCTCCAACAACAGTTTCCCAGAAAGAAACAGGAAGGAGCGGCGTGCCCACGGTGGGTGTGGCCGCGGGCACAGAGTGGGGGCGGAGGCGGGCGGAGTGGCCGTCTCACCGTGTGGGGGCGGCATGTAGGGTCTGCACAGGCCGCAGTCGAAGCCGGTGTCGGCCACGTTCTCCACCTCCTCTTCGGTGTTCAAGTTCTGACAAACCGCATGCATCCATCTAAAAAGACCACACTTGTGCATTAGAAAGATACACACACACCCATGCACACACACCCCCACTCCCCATACACACACACCCATGCGCGCACACACACACTCACCCACACATACCCACACACACCCCCACTCCCCATACACACACACCCATGCGCACACACACACACTCACCCACACATACCCACACCCCCCATACACTGAGATGGTTTTCTTTTAAAACAGGAGTTGAGACTTGCCTGGCCGGTTTGGCTCAGCAGTTAGAGTGTCGGCCCGAGGAACAGAGTCTCGGGATCGAGTCTGGTCAAGGGCATGTACCTCAGTTGTGGTTCATCCCCGGCCCTGGCTGGGTCATGTGGAAGGCAACCAGTTGACATGTCTCTCTCTCTCTCTCTCCCCCTCCCTCCTGTCTTCCCCTCCCATCCTATCGAAAAAGTCAATGGAAAAATATCCTCGGGTAAGGATTAAAAAATAAGTTCATTAAAGGAGGAGTTGACAATCTCCACACTTCAAGCCCTTACCCTCAAATGCTCCCGTCTAGACCAGGTTACCCTGTTCTCCTAACCTTGCCTGTTGACCCACAGACGTTTCCAAAGCTGAGGAAGAGGGAAGAGAAAGGAAGGAGGCCGTGTACTGGGAAGGAAGCAAAGCACAACTACGGGGAGGCAGGGACAGCCCGGGACCGGTCGCACACCGAGCGTTTCGGAGGCTCGTGGGGCCCCCACTTGGGGGGTACAGCCACGCAAGTGAGGCGGGACGGTGACTGGGAGACACAGGAGTTGTCTCGCCTCAGAACAGGACTGGCGGGGGAGCCATGTTTAAGGAAAACCATGTGTGAGGTCCTCAGCAGAATCTGGTAAATCATCCAGAAGCCTCCCAGAAACACGCATGTGTGTCGGCGATAATTCGCCTGCATCTCGTTCCAAGGGGTTTGTAAGCCTTCCAGCAGCTCTATGCTAACAATCTGCAGCCTGGAACCCAGAAGGCAAAACTGGAAACGTCTGTGGGTTTCTAGCGGCCTAAACATCTGGAAAGCAAGGGCGTCGTTCCCGACGTCCGCCCGCGGAGCAAGGCCCGCGCTGCAGAACCAGGTCCTACCTGTCGCACTGCCTGCACTGCAGAATGAGGTCCTCCTCCCGGTAGCTGCGGCAGCAGATGGGGCAGGCGGACAGGCTGGCACAGGGGGCGCACTGGGTGTAGTTGTTCTGCCACTCGCACCTCAGGCCAGCGGACGTGGCTCCGCAGTGCCGGCACCACACGCACCTGGAAGTCGACACCCACCAGGGCCCCGTGTGTCAACCGACCCAGCGGCCACGGCACGAGAAGCCGCGCACGGACAGGACGGGGAAAGCACTTCACCCCCCTCTGCGAATTCTGATGGGCGGCGATCGAGCGCGGAAACACGGATCGTGACCGCGAAGCGCACGGGGCTGCTGTTTGGCACTGGGGTCGCGTGGGCAGGTTCTGAGCCTGAACGGGGAGCAGGGCACGCGTCAAGCCGAGAGTACCATTTGCACTTCCAGCCTCCTTTGGGGACGGTCTGCAGGGGCGGGTCCAGGCAGTAGGTGTGGTAGCTGATGTCGCAGTCGTCACACAGCAGCAGCCGGCCGGGGTCGGTGGCCTTGCCGCAGGCCTCGCACACGGTGCACTCCAGGCACCGCCAGCCTTTGCTGAGAACCACACTCGTGACCTGCAAGAGAGGCGGCCCCGGCGGTTCAGGCGCGGCCCCCGTGGGGCGCGTGATCCAATACACCCTATGAATGAACATGGCGCTTCTGTCCCGAGGGCGAGGCGGCGGCCAACAGCTAACGCGGACGGGCACCCACCGGGCCCCCGTGGAGGTGGGCACCTTCCCCTGCTCCCTGGAGTCCACCTCCTGGACGGGGTAATCGAAAGGGGCACGGACGTATTTTAATGCCTTTTTCGGTCCAGGTAACTGGCCTGTGGTGCGGGGCTCATGTCCACGTTCTACGTGTGGTGACCGGGTTTGTGGACATCAAGTCACCTGCCCCTTTACTGCTAATAAAGGACTTCAAACGTATCCCATCGGGTCCCCTCGGACACTCTTGAATTGGTGCTTCTGAAACGTGGGTGCTTGCAGACACACTTGTGTATTAAAAATCAATATAAAAGAGAAAAGAGGAAAGGAACGTGAGTTTCTGAGAACACGTCATGACGTAGAGAACCAGGATTTTCCAAGCTCACACTCGCTCCTCTGTCTCTTCCGCACAAGGGTCCAAACTGCTCTGAGAAACTCTAGGGACGTTCGAGAAGCCCTCTCCTTGCGAGAAACTCCTCGAGGCAACCACCACACGTACTATTAAGAGTTTGGAATCCACCTCGAGACCTCGGAAGACCAGAGTCCACGGCCAGAAAGGACCAGAGGGCCCGCGTCACAATGAGAGACGCACGATAAAGCGCAGACGCGAGGAGCGGGGTCTGAGGGGCGCCTACCAGGGCCGTGAGGAGGGTTCAATAAAGGAACAGCCATCGAACTGGCATCAAACTGCACTTCAGCAGCCGGACTTGGGAAGTTTCATTTCACGGGATAAAAACACTTTCTAAGGTACAGTTCTTAACGGAATAAGCCAGTGGTCCCCTGTGAAAGGAGAGTCCCTTCAGACACCGAGGACCGAAGCCGGCTCCGGGAGAAGCCAGCTCGGGAAGCTGCTGGAAGCTATGGGGACAACAGCGGTGTGTGCCGAGCCAAGGAAGACGGGGCTCCAGGAACGGTGGCCCCAACGAAGGGGGTAAGGATGACAGCGAGCAAGACCCAGGCTGGGACAAGGGAAGGCAGGAGGGGGCGGCACCCCTCCCGGGAAAACAGGGACCACCCAAACAACTGCTTCTCTGGTGGAAGCACACAACAGGAGCCGACGGGGATGGGAATCATTTCCTTCCCGCTGGCGAACACTCAGTGGAAAACAAGAAGAAAGTCACCGTGCGCCGTGCAGACGGTCAACGAACATTTACCGAGTCACAGGAACGCGGATCACTGACAAATGCAGTGACGGGCGCCCAGGGAGGGCAGGGCTGTGTTTTGAGAGTTAAATGACACCTGTTCGTGCCCGGGAGGAGGTCGGAGCCGCGGCCAAGTCCAGTGACGGCGGCAGCACTTGAGTTGGAGCCATGGCGTCCACCCTGAGGACCTGAAAGGATTGGAAGTGGCCGCCTGAGGGGACCGGGGTTCAGGGTTCAGGGGTGGAGGTGGAGGCAAGACGGGGTCACCGTGAAGCTTCCAAGCCATTTGACACCCTCAGGCACGTGTACTCATCACTTCGATCCGTCAATTAAGTCTTTTAATCAGCCTCCCGTTAGCACGTCGTCCTATTTCCCAAGTGGAGGGAAGAGCCCGGGGGGAGAGCAGGGCGCAGAGCAGCGGTCAGCAAAGTCCCGTAAAGGGCCAGTGGGGCCTAGACGTCGTGGGCGTGGGGCCTGCTGAGCGCCACACCTGTGGTGTTGCCGTGTGAGGCCGACCACGGACAGGTGTGGACACAGCAGCGGGTACTCTGGTGGAACGGAGCTTACAGCAGCCGTCGACGGGCCAGATATGCCCTGGGTGCCTAGTGTGCCAACCCCCGGTGCAGGAGGAGGACAAGGTGGGAGACAGACCCTCGGTCCTCAGTATAGCAGTGTGTTTTACAGACACCTGCGCTGTGGTCCTGACGGCCAAACTCAAGTTCTCGGTCTGCACTGGCTCCCCAACGCCCTGATCTGGTGACTCCGCCCATCCCCACTGACCGTGCTCTCGCCAGCGAGAACCCTCCGGACTCCCAGCCGCAGTCGCCACGTCTTATCTGACCTCTCGAGTGTATCCCGACATCTGAGCACCGCCCCCTCACACACCCGGGGGGGCCCCGCTGAGGACAGATCCCAGGGCTCTGCTAGCAACTCGTCTCCTCCTGCTGACTGGTTTAGTCTTCATTTTTGAGGACCCTCCGAGGGAAGGATGGTCCAGGGCTCCCCCCAGGGCACCATGACTAACGGCAAGATGCATGCATTTCATTGTCTACAATTTGCATCTGCTTCAGCCAGGGTGCAGTTGCTGAGACGCAACCTTTCTCCCATCATGAGACACTAGGAAACTGGACAAAGTGTCACGAAGCCTCGGTTCCGGGCACTGGACGAGGCGGCCCAGGCTCCGGTGTCTGCCTGCAGACATCCCCGGTGCTGCCAGGGAGGGAGAAGCCCAGCCGAGCACGCCGGTCTCACTGCGCTGCATGCACGTGCCAGTCCAGGGAGGCAAAGGCAGCCGCAGTCTGCCGGACAGAGAGCTGGACAGGAAGGAGCCGTCCACACAGGCTATCCCTGCAGCCTCCGGCTGAACCCCAGGCTGAACCCCAGGCTGCGAAGCCAGAGCCCCCAACCGGGACAACAGCTACCGGGAATGCGTGAAGTCATCAGAGCCCACGCAATGCTGGACAACATCTGGACCTCAACCCGTCGGAGTGCGAAGACCGGGTGAATGCGGGGAGGGGCAGCCAAGCGGCAAGAAGGGGTAACTAGTGCACGGCCGCCGTAAGGTGTGATCTGGGGAACCCCAGTGGTCCGGGAGGTCAGGACTATTTTCTGCCTTCACACATCATCATATCGACCCCGTAAAGCTGGGCCTGTGCAGCTCAGTTTTAACTATTTCCAGTTAATTTCTAAAATAAAATAGTCAGGATTAATTATTCTCATGAACACTCTATGGGATCCTTGACAATGCTTAAGAGCGTGGCAGGGTCTACAACCAAACGTTTCAGGACGGCCACCTCATGCCGGTTCCCTGCAAGGCACCAGGAAGGTTAAAAACAAGCTTCCAAAGGTCTGAGCTTACCCACAAATCACTGCCACCACCAAAACTCAATACACTCCCAAGGAACAAAACCCAGACTCCCTGCAACGTGTAACCACAACGCACAAAGTCCACATTCAATCCAAAATCACAAGATGATAAAAAAACAAAGTAAAAAATAAAAAATGGCAGGAAAACATCTCCTCATGATGAGAAAGATGATTTAATACAATGAGAAACCCCACGTAAATATATACAAAGATTTGAAGGGGAAAAAAAAAAAGTAAGGAAATTAAAAACTACAGGATAATAAATTGTAAAATGGAACTGAGATGAAAGAACACAGCTCCCTGAAAAATCCACAGGATGGGCTCGAACAGATGACACGCTACCACAGTGCCTTTGAACAGATGACACGGCACCACAGTGCCTTTGAACAGATGACACGCTACCACAGTGCCTTTGGGGAACAGAACAGAAACCGTACAAACAAAAGCAGAGAGAGAAAAACTGGAGATAAAATCCAAGTGTCAGTAATCGGGGCATATGTTATGCAGTTTCACACACACACACAACTGAGATTCCAAAGGGTATGGGGGCAGAAAAACTTCGTAAGAAATATGGCCAAGACTGACCCAAACGAATTAAAAACATCAAACTACTGACCCAAGAAGCCAGCAGAACACGCTCTGGATATGGCTAAGGGTTGAGCAGGGGGGATGGGAGGAGAGACCAAGAAAGGCTGACACGTTTTTTTACTAAGTACTCTAGACACTTTCAACTTTTATAATTAACAAACAGAATGTGTGAACTAAACCTCATGCCTTAGAAATAATGGTATGAATTACCTTTTAAGTTACGTGTGTTTTTTTTAGGTTTAATTGTTTTGATGACAATAGCGGGGTGATCACGACAATTTAAGACAGCAGATTTACGGAGTCACTTTCTGCGGGTAAACCGTGAAAGGCAGTGTTGACAGTATTTAAGTATTGTCCCATACGCACGGTTATCCTGATGATTTCTGATTAATGATAAGAACTGGAAGCAGCCCACTAACCAAATCAAATCAAATCAAACGTAAATGCATTTCTGTTAAGTCACTTAAACGCAAGCATATTTACCTTAATACTGACACAGTATGGGTGGTAACACTGACCACATTGAGAACAGGCCAGTAATCGTCCCTCTGCTCCTTGGCCAAAACTGCCACAAACTACGCACATATCCTGAAATTAAGAACACGTGAACACGTTTCGAATGGGGCGCGGAGCTATGGATGCACCGATTTTGTAACTTTGTACAAGTGCAGCGCTAAGCTAGGTGTTAGATGGCGTCGGTGCACAGGAGACACAGCGGAAGTGGGCGAGGAGGGTTCGGAAGTGGAAAGCCGTAAACAGCTAAGTTCAAACCTGGTGCAAAGTGAACTTGTCGCTACTAGAAAACAACACAACCGTGTTGTGCATGGAGTTTTCTTCTTCATCCTTGTTCGATGAAATGTCCGCAGCAGACACCTAGAAAAGGCGATAAAAAAGAGAGAGAGATAAAATATCATGACCAAGAAGAGTGACCCCAGGAACACAAGACAGCCTCAGCATACAAAAGGCCAACCGGTCTCATTCGCCACGTCAGCAAATGAGCTGTAAGAGTGTCTGTATAAACCCGGAACAGGCATTGGAAGAACCCAACATCTACGTCTAGTTTAAAAAAAACAAGAAAACCTCAACAAATTAAGGATAGGAGCTTCCTTAAACTGATTTAAGATGTCTAAGAAGAAAAAAAAAAACAAAGCGAGAGCTCACACCGTATGTTGTGACATAAGACTAAACGCTAACTCCTCAGTGTCCACAACAGGACGGGGCTCCCTGTTCTCATCGTGTCTACCCAACGCTGCACTACAGGTAATATCAAATGCTATCTCATCGATGTTTCTCTTTCTCTCCCCCCTTCCTCTCCTTCTAAGAAAAACAAAAACAACAACATCAAAAACTTAAAAAAAAGAAAGGCCCCCGCCCTGGCCAGTTTGGCTCAGCGGTTGGAGCATTGGCCCACGGACCAGAGAGCCCTCAGTTCGGTTCCCGCTAAGGGCACGTACCTCGGTTGCAGTTTGTCCCCGGCCCTGTTTGGGGTCATGTGGGTGGCAGCCACTCGATGTGTCTCTCTCGCATCCATGTTTCTCTCTCTTCCTCCCTCTCTCCCTATCTGAAGATGAATGCAAAAGTGTGATCGGGTGAGGATTAAAAAAAGGGAAAGGACTCCAAATTAAAAAGACTTAACTCTTTGCAGACTTGATTGAGTACGTACAAAATCCACCAAACTCTACAAATAAGTAGCTAGAAGGAATAAGGGCGTTGAAGGCTGGAGAAGACAAAATCAGTACGTGAAAATGAACACTTTTCTAGATACTGGCAACCAACCACCACAGACATGGAGACGACACAACCATGTGCACTAGCACGGAGAAGAATCCGAGAAGTGGTGTGGAAACATGCCGGCTGCACACTGCACAGCATCAGAGAGAAATGAACGACCGAGAGAAACAGACACACCAAGCCCAGGGGGGAAAGGGCTCGAGATGGATCAAATGTCCCTTTCCTCTCAGGGGTCGGCAGTTTGAATGCAAACCCAACCAAGAGCCTACCACACTTATTTGTAGAAACTGACAGGCTAATTCTAGAATTCTTCCAGGAACACGAGGGGTTTAGAACAGCCAAGACATCTGTGGAAAAGGAGGAAATGAGAAGACTAACTAACAGTGTCTGATTTCAAGAGGAGTCACAAACTGGAAGTGATCAAGTGAGCACCATCCTCGCCCAAAAACAGGGAAAATTGTCAAGATTTAAAAGTCGGATCCACAAATATGCAGATAATTTTCAAGAATGATACAAAGGTGACTCAGAACATGGCACTAAGACAACCGGACACGCAGTGAGACAGACAGCAGGCTCTGCTCCGTACTCATAGCTGCGTGAACAACAGCTCCCACGGGATCGCAGACGCAAAGCCGAGCACCACCACCGTCTGCAAGGAAACCCTGAATACGTGCGGAACCCTGGGCTGTAAATCTCTCTGGCACCAACGGCACAATCCACAGAGGAAAATGAATTGAACTTTGCCAAAATCAAAGCATCTAGTCTTCAAAAGACACAGTTAAGAAATGAAAAGACAGACCAAAAAAAAAAAAAAGGCAAAATATTTGCAAATCCTGTCAATGATAAAAAAAACTGGCACCGAGAATACGTCAAGAAATCTCCACTCAGAAAGTTGAAACACTCTTCCATTTTTAAAAATGTACTCAAGCCCGGCCAGTGTGGCTCAGTGGTTAGAGCATTGGCCTGCGGTCTGGAGAGACCCGGGTTCGGTTCCCGCTAAGGGCACGTACCTCGGTTGCAGTTTGTCCCCGGCCCTGGTTGGGTCGTGCGGGTGGCAGCCACTCGATGTGTCCCTTTCACGTCGATGTTTCTCTCTCTCTCTCTCTCCCTCCCACTCTATCTGAACAAACTATCAAAAAAAAAAAAAAAAATGTACTCAAGCCCAGCCAGTGTGGCTCAGTGGTTGAGCATCGACCCTGCACCAAGAGGTCTCTGGTTCGATTCCCGGTCAGGACACATGCCCAGGTTGTGGGTCCAACTCCCAGTGGGGGGCGTGCAGGAGGCAGCCAGTAGATGTGCTCTCTCATCGATGTTTCTCTCTCTCCCTCTCCCTTCCTCTGGCAATTCAATAAAGGAAAAACTTTTTTTAAAGACGAAGACCGGAATCCGTGTTTCCTTACTCCTTCGGGAGTAAAATTACCAATCCCACCTGTCTCCTGGACTCAGAACAGCAGCTAGAATGCGGCACACAGGGCCTGGGGGAAGAGCGTCTGCAGGAAGTACTCCCTGCCCACACACCTCTTCCGACACATTTAATAAGACAGCCTCGCCACGCACTGCCGAGCAAACCGCTGTCCATCTCAAGTCGTCAGAGTCACGACACACCCCAGGTCTGCACTGACCTGCAGCTTCTCCAGTCTCCCCTGCGAACCATCTCACAACCCCGAGAGGAGCTACGGGCAAAACGGGAGAACGCCGACAGGATGCTCCAAGTCAGCGAGAGTGCGCCGCGAGGCGCCCTCTCCTCAGGAATGAAGGAAAGGGGCTACGTTGGTTCGGGGGGGACAGTGGGCAGAGAAAGAACAGAGTCAAAAAGGGGAGGCAGGAATGGAAAAAAGGGTAAGAAAGTAAAAGCCTGACCAGATTTTTGGGGGGGATTTTTTTAAAAAGTAACTAGAGATAGAGTAAAAACCAGCGTTAGCCTGTTTCTGTGACTCGCAGCGCCCCATCTGCTAGCCAGGAGGTGACCGCCACCCGCCGGCGTTGGGCCGCGCGGAGCGCAGGGGCGGCGGGCCTTACCCCCGGGAGCAGGACGGCCCCGATTCCACTCTTCAACTTGGACCTGCCTCTGCCGCCGCGGCCAGACAGCCCCGCACCTCGGGGTCTCCGCCGTCCTGGGAAGCCGGAGCCTCGGCCCTACACAGCAGACAAGGGAACATCAGCAAAACCCAAGTGGGAGGTGCAACATTGTATCAGACGTCACAACAAACAGTCGCTTCTTTCTTTTATTCTGACCCCATCAATACTGAGAGACCAGGGTTGTTTCGTTGTATCTTTTGATATGTATTGTGCGATGTAAAAGAGATATAAACATAAAACGCCTATAACCTCAAACCTCGTGATCAAACTGGGTCTGTCGCTGGGCATGCACTGTGTCCCCAGCCCTGGCCTTGCTCTCCGTGGCCTGACCTGCCTGCCGAGCGCCCAGAACCCCCACCCCCACCCGAGTAGCTCTAGGAGCAACAGCGGCTCTCAAGCCACAGGAAGTAGGACTGACTTGGCTGCCTGGTCTCAGTACCCACGGTAAGAGCTCACATGTTCGGAGTGCTTCCTATGGGTTGCTCTAAACACCTTTGACTCTCCACAATCTTATAAAGGCAGTCTTATTTTTTGTCCCTTTTAGAGATAAGTGCACTGAGAGATGAAAAGTTAAGTAACTTATCCAAAGGGTTAGCCAGACTCTTCTCAGCCACTGTCCTGAACGGCAGGAAAGCTCGCTTTTCCTAGTTCACAACTGTACCTCTCCTTGCCACTGACACTGTCCGTTTCTCCCACTATTCAGCAGTTGGCTGTGTGGGCGGAACAGGCGTGCCCTTCTTAGAGCAATGTGTGTGGAGACAGGAGAACTGTCGAAAGAGACAAGGGCTGCCTTGAGTCGTCGCGATGAGGATCCCTTACAACGAAAATAACTTATCTGAATTTTTCACCCAACGTGAGAAAAAACATTCTACGGGAAAACACGTTCTACTCTCCGATAGTTTAACAAGTACGTACGCAGGTTATTTGCTGTGTTTTTTTCTTGTGTACATACACTCAGACGGCTTCGTTACCACCTGAGAACACCTGACATCTACACAGCCGTCTACGTTTAAGGTTAAAATACTCGGGAAAACCCTTTGCTATGCTGTCCGAGCAAGCTCCAGAGCAGGTCTTATGCTCATCGGATGCCGCTAATCGCAGCCTGGAATGCTAATCGCATTCCCTATCCAGCAGCTCGGTTTCTCGGTCGGTAACTATCGCTTCTGCTGTGAGCGTCAGACGATGCGTGTGAAGGGAAGGGAAGTGTTTCTCCCTTCAGTTCTAGCAACTGGCCCACCCCTCTCAGCGGTGCACCCGAGCTTCTCCGCACGCCCCTGAAGGAGGGGCAGTGCGGGGGCGCTGGCTCGCTCCTTCCTGCTCCTCGCTCAATAGGCAGGAAACACCATCTTGTAAAGCTAAGTCAGTGACGGACTCGAGCCTGTGATAATCTCACAATTTACGTTTCCCCAACATCCTGACACAGATCAAACTAAGTAAAAATCGGTGGTATGTGCTTCAAAACCATCCAAGAAGTCATCTTTTATCCTCTTCAAACAATTTATACTTTCAACACCCTGCGTGACATCAGAATGAGTTGAAAAAGTAGTTCTTCCGATGCTGATGGGAAATTAAGTGGCATCAACAACTCCTCGAAATCCTTGACTCGTCTCAAGTCAGCGCCCTTAGATGCACAATGACATCAAATGTAGGAGACGAAGAAAAACTGTGTTCTCTGATCAGCAAAATGTTTTAACTTTTCAGATGATTAACGTTTTTCAAAATAATTTTTTATCCTGTCCTGGCCAGGCAGCTCAGTTGGTTAGAGCATCATCCCAATATGCCAAGACTGTAGGTTCAATCCCAGGCCAGGGCATTTGAAAATAAAATAAATAATAATATTTTTTTACCCTTCAAAGTGCATTAGACTGCCCTGACCGGTTTGGCTCAGCAGTTAGAGGGTCGGCCTGCGGGCCAGAGAGTCCCGGGTTAGGTTCCCGCTAGGCCAGAGTGGTTCTCAACCTTCCTAATGCCCGACCCTTTAATACATTCCTCGTGTTGTGTGTGGGCGCATCTGCACGTGGGCGGACCCGCCTGGAGACAGACAGAGGAGCGGTGTCTCAGTTCCTAAGACCATCAGAAATATGTGTTTTCCAATGGTCTTAGGCGACCCCTGTGGAAGGGTTGTTCAACCCTCAAAGGGGTCACGACCCACGTACCTCGGTGAGGGTTTGTCCCTGCCCTGGCTGGGGTGAAAACCACTCGATGTATCTCTCTCACATCGATGTGTCTCCTTCTCTCTCTCCCTCCCCCACTCCTCCTGCTCTATCTGAAGATAAATGCAAAAGTGTCCTCAGGTGAGGATTAAAAAGTAATAATAAAATAACGTCATAAAACAAAGTGCATCAGACTACTTAACCTCCTCCAAGGACTAGTGGGGTCACCAAGGACACAGGACAAAGGCCTGTGATTCTGAGGTTAACGCAGCCAATGGGATCAGCTGGGACTCTGTGGTTATTTCTCCTCCCTTAACCCATTACTAGCTTAGTGTAGTTTTCCTTTTGTTCTTTTCTAAGCAACAAAATTTCATGAAATCACAAATAAATAACCAAGTCCTCCACTACATCATGGCCATGTGACAAGGATTTCCCCACACACTGTGAATACAACTGAACAGGAAGAAACCATGGAAAGGGGCATTAACATTTCACACTTAAATGCAGGCATATAAAACAGCGATTTAATGTCCCCCCGAGTTCAGATTTTTAAGTGCTTCTTGATGGTTAAAACGTTCAGGTTAAAATGTGGCTCTGGGAGCTGAACCAGTGAGGAAAGACAAGGTTCAATTCTTAACTTCTACCCGGAGAAAAGCGGAGAGAAATGAGACATGAATGTAAATGCGATTTTATTTACCACTTTGATGCTCCAAATGGCACCGCCAGGAAGCTGCCTGGGTTTAAAAATGTCCCGACCTTCTGAAATGTCTGGGGCCCAGGAGGGTGGGCTCACTGTGTTATGGGTACTCCAAGCCCCCTAGGGTATGGCAGGTGAGAAAACAGATGTGTAAAACTCAGCAACATAAAAGGTCCAAGCCAGCAACTCAAGAACTTTAGAACAGCAAAAACAATGCAGACGTGGGGGTATTCTGGACAACTTAGGGAAAATAACTTATCACCTTCAGCGGACTTCACACTTAGATGTTTGCAGTAACAATTTACATGAAATATTTTATTCCGGTTAAAACGTCAGTACCGTGAATCATTAAAAATTAAGGCTTAGATGACATCAACATTGACTTATGAACTACAATTGTAACACCAAATATAACTAAAAGTCAAGTAAACTCTAAAATTAACACCGTAAGGAACTATTTAAGGATTACTTTCTTTTAACTATCACTCCACTGGAAAACAGAATGGATGACCCTAAAGGGCATTAGGTAACCTGTTGCTATGAACAGCCCAGCCAGCAGGCTGGAAATGAGCAACCCGTAGACACGGTCACTGTGAATTGTGTCAAATACAGTACCACTATAATCCTGGCACTGAATTACTCTACCCTCAGTGACCTCAGCTGTGGGTTTCGGCTTTTCGCTAGAGGACTATTATACTTAGATCACATCCGAGGGATTAACTTGAAAAGTGAAAAACGTTAAAGCAATTGTCCTAAATTTTAAAATGAAAATGCCTCGGTTACCTGATTATCTATGCAAGAAATAGTACCTTATTAGAATAGCTACAAGAACATTAAGACACTTTACTCCCCAATGACCACACTCGGCAATAACCTGAACCACTCTGACGAAGACGCTCAGCGGCATGAAGAAGAATGGTTACTCCCACAAAATTACATTTTTAAAGGAAAACAAGACGAATGTCCAACAATAAGGTAATTCGACAATGCTTAAACGTAGAACACGCAGTACTTACCAGGTTTCTAGATTATCATCGAGCTAACACGTCGCAGCCTATTTATCACATAAAAACACCACCGGGAATGTGAACCACCAACCGGAGAGAAGAGCACGTGCCCTTTGTGGAGCAGATAGTTCACGGAATAACAGTATTTAAGGAGAAACCGACACAGACAGACAGACAGACAGGTTGCACGTTTAATCAACCTACCTACCCTCGGGCTCGGCTAAGGCCCCGCTGATTTTGCTCCCTTTCCCACTACCACGCACACTCGCCCGACATCCTCGCTGTTCTTACTGTACTCAAACCCGCGCCATCCGCACGGTTGGGTTCGCGCCTGTGAGGGCCCTCTGCCGGCCTGCAGACCTTCGTCCCCAGGCAAGTTCCTGCTGCGATGTCGTCCGAGCCCTGCCTCCCCAGGGCCCAGGCCGGACAAGTCCTCCCTTCGCGGCCTCACCCTGCACCGTCTGGTCGGCGAGGAGGGCGGTCAACACCCTCCTGCACCTGTTGGCTCCCAGGCTGTGTTCTCAGCACCGAGTTGCTAAGAGTTTCAACGTCCCTCCTAGCGTGTCCACTGTCCCACGCGAAACCTCTCACGTTGGCCACGTCTAAACTCTCCCCTCAACCAGCCCCACCTCAGAACCGGACCCGCCTTTCTAAACGGACTGGGAGTCACAGGACAGACCGGGCGGACAACCGACGGGGAGACGGCAGGAGAGGACAAGCAGGGAGGAGAGAGGCGTCTGAGAGGAAGGGACAGGAAGGGGCAGGCTCAGGGACCGGCCGGGGACGGAGGCCAAGCAAGCCCAGGCACCCACGCCTGACCCTCCGCACAGCAGCAATGCTGGCCACGCAGGGACCCGAGGACGGACTGAGGCAGCCTCGCCGACAGTGTAGTCCTGGCTTCAGTGGACATGCAACTCGCTTAGCAGTCACTGCGAACAGCTTAGTTCAGAGAAGAGGTGGGCTCAGTGACAAAAATGTCCTGTCCCAGAAAGAAATGCACCGGGAGGCACTGGATCCGCTCTCTTCCCTCCTCTCTCCGCTCCTCCCTTCAGTCCCCTCCCCGGCCACGGCTTCAGTCCAAACCTGGCAAACTCGGTTCGCCTCACCCCGGCCTCCTCTGAGGCCCCGCTTCTCTGTCCCGTGCTGCCTGGCCCAGGCCTGCGGCCAGCACCCCCTCAGGCCCCGCCTCTACCTCACCTGCACCCCCTCAGCCAGCACTTCTCTTCTCAAACACGCACATCCGATCGCGCAAGCTGCTCCTTCAGCGAGGCCCCGGCTCCGAAGGCCACGCGTGCACAGGGCCTCTCCAACCTGGGCCTGAGGCACCGTCCAGCTGCCGCTGCGCCCTGGCTCCCCCTCCTCCAGACACGCCCCGCTCCTCCCTCCTCAGAGCCCCACGGACCCAGAATAACCCCAACTCTAACGGCTGCTTCCTCCGACCCCTCAGCTCCGGTCCGAACATTCACTCATCAGCGGGGCTCTAGTGAACCGTCACCTCCCTGATCCCTCCAAGTCGGGCTCTTATGTCGAAGGCGCACAGTTCTTCAGTGGCACAGAGCAGGGACAAGGACGTCTGCATTCGCTGTCCAGGTCCGCTGGTTCTTCCCCGGCGACACCTGGCTACTGTCCATCTCCGAGTCCTCGGGCGCTTGTTCCATGCTACGTCGGTAGGCGGTACGTGAGGCGCACTCGATGATGCTATGTTACCCGTCACCATTTACAAGTTAGCTTTGGCACCAACTCTGTACCTCATTTTAAACAGCATTCATACTTCAGAACACACAGAGGGACGAAATGAAGGGTTCTATAGATCGAAAATGTTTGGATGTCGTTTCAGGGATAATTAGAAAACCACTCAACTGCTATGAAGAACTTATGTAATAAAAGCCGGGGTAATTACGTTAAGAATTTTCATAAGTAGGCGATCATGAGACATTGGAAGATAAATTGTGTGCAATTTTGTGGGAAGAGAAGAAAAGTTATGATACGCTTAGGTATTCTGACAAAGGAGAAACGACCTAATGTACTCCCCTTAGACCTTAAAACTGAACCACAGCTGTAAAGGTTAACGTCACAATGACCCTTCACACCTCAGCGTTGATCAAAAGAACCGGCCGTTCTGAGGAGGCTGGCACCCCACTGGCTGAGCATGGTGTGCACCGTTCTCACACTTGAATTTACATGGATTTACACGCGCTACACTTTCATCTGTTGTCACTGGGGCGTAAGCTTGATGAGAGGAGACCGTCCTTCCTTTTCACAGTTATTAATGATTTTGCTCAGCATTTATTCAACATCTACTGTTTTGCCTGCTGAACATTTATCCCCTTTTGCAAGCAAAAATGCATCAACAAACACTTAGTATAATATGAAACATACTACTTCACCTACCAGCTACAGCCTAGAAGCTTGAATTTCCTCACCGATAAAAAATGAATCTGTCCACCCTGGCCGGTTTGGCTCAGGGGACAGAGCATCGGCCCGCGGACCAGAGAGTCGCGGGTTTGATTCCGGTCAGGGGCACGTACCTCAGAGTTGCAGTTCCCCAGCCCTGGCTGGGGTCATGCGGGAGGCGACCAGATGATGTGTCCATCTCACATCGATGTTTCTCTATCTCCCTCCCTCTCTCTCTCTTCTCTCCCACTATCTGAAGATAAATGGAAAAATTTCCTCGGGTGAGGATAAAAAAAATAAATAAAATAAATAAATCTACCCAATGCCCTGTTACTCTTTACAAAGCATCTACACAATGAATTAAAAGCCACAAGAGGCTTCCGGCTGTACAGCTAAACACAACCACTGGCTACCAAGTCCTATAGAAACGTAAACATAAACTACTCTGGCAGAGTGAACTGATTCCAATGATAACTCCAAACCCAAAGTCTATTTAAAGTTGGTTCCACTGGTTCTGCTTCGAGGCCAATCTCTCAGGGGAATGAGTGCATCAGCCTCGTAAATGGTGCAGCGGCTGCCGGGACTGTGGGGCGGGGAAGGGAACGGGCCTGGCAGGGGGATGGGCTCCTCCGGGCCACTTCCTGTGAGAAGTCGAACCCTGTTGCTGTCTGCGAACGACCCACGTCATGATGGGAGCCCAATCCACCGCGTCCGTTCAGGAGAGACGGGAGAGGGCTCGCCGGCTCCGGGCAGACCCCCCGTCAGACAGTCACCCAGCCCCCTCTCCAGTGCACTGCACAACCAGGGATGCAGGAAGGATGAGTCTGGCTTAGAGGAAACGAGACAAGGGAGAACAGGAAACAGCACAACGAGGAAGAGAGAACAGTGCGTGTGTCGTGTCTTCTGGGGCACACGTTCGCTCACACACGTCACGGCCACGCAGCCAAGGGCTCGCTGTGCTTGTCGGCGTCCACTTCCCAGCAGCGAGTCTCAGGTACAGAACGGAGGTCAGAGGTCGCACCCAACAGAGCGAGGAACCTACTCCCAGCTGGACGCGAGGTCCTACAGCGGAGACGTCGCGCCAGCAGTGGTTCTGGTAGGCGTGGCTTCAGAAATGTCACCACAGGCCCAGGGACACTCAGAGGAAAGGGTGATGCTTCTACTCTGTGTGTGTGTTGGTTGACTCCCCCGAAGAGCTAGACATCTTTTAGGGTTCAAACTACATCTTAATTTCTCAGTGGTCTGGAGGAGTGCTGCTTGGCCACTAGCCAGCACAGGCATCTTCTTAAAAGACGCACTGTCACTCAGGTTCAAGTGGACCCTGCAAGCCTGCCAGGCGCTGTGGACGTTCCTGGTCCGCAGGCTGCACTTTGGGGTCGTTGGTTCTCCCAGCATCCGGGCCAGGCCTGCAAGCCACCTCGCCTGCTGCCCACAGTCCCCTGCGGCTCCCTCCACCCCGGCACACATCACACACGAGGTGAAGCCTGCGCAACCACGCTGCGGCTTCGGGCTCCAGACACCCCCTCCGCATCCCCTCCGCTGAGCAGTGCCAGACGGGCCAAGGCCTGCAGCTCATCGGACCTGCACGTTCCAGCACAGACCGTTACCCCCCCCCCCCGCCCACTCCAGCTACCCCGAATCCGGGCTTCTATCCTTCTCGAGTCTCCGTTCTCATCGAACAACATCTGCACTGCTCTGCGGCCCGAGGCAGGGACAGGGCAGCAGCCCCCCTGCTGGGTCAGGGGCGTGTACCGCCCCAGGGACAGCCACCCTACCATGGCCCAAGACCATTCGCAAGGGGACTTGCTCAGTCACACAGACGACAATGGAAGAAGGGTGCACACCCACGCAGCTGCACCGTGGACACGTTTGTGCTGATTTTTATATCAATTTGCCCTTCCTAGAACCGATCAATCATAGTAGAACCGACGTGCACAACACAAAACACTTCTTAGAAGTCACTTTCTCAGAAGACAGCACCTGCCCCTCCGCCACAGGGAGGTGACCTGCCGGCATCTCGGGCCCAGCTGGGGACACGACCTCCTTCCTCCCTTGAACTAGCCCAGCTGACACCAAACTGGAGCAGTGAATTTAAAAAAAAAAGGGGGGGGGGTTGAAAAAGGACAGAAACTAGCAAATGATAAACCCAGAGAGAAACCAGGATTTTAGGCCTGAAAACGTTGGTTGACGCCCACGTGCCGTAAGGAACCCTGGAAGAAACCCTGCGTCTTCCTTCTGCAGGGCAGGTGGACACATGAGCCATCCGCACGACCTTGACGCCGGGAGCGACCCAGACTGCATGGGCCAGCGCCACCCACTCTCACCCTCACAGGAACAGACGGAAACTGATCTGTTCATTCGAATCCCTTCATGTAAAAGGTTACTGCGGTACACACGTACGTTATAGTTTCATGGTTCATAATAAAGTTACTTAAAAGTAGTAAAAAATAAGAAATCCAGGTCACACAGTGCGATGGGGACACAGTCCGGACCTAATGAAGAAGTGTCTTTGGGAACCTACAGTGGAGAAACTTCACCTCTTCTGAGAAACTCCGTAGACACCAGTCTCAGAACTTACAGAAGTCCCTACGCTGTCCATGCTGATGACATTAGCAACAAAAAATGGTGGGAAGGCAAAATCAAAAATGAAAAAAAATTCTTAGAATTTAAAAGTTATCGAAACTGAATTTCTTTAAATAAAATGTTCTTGCAATACTTACAAGAGTGTCTCAAGTAGGTCACAGTTGTGTCATGACATTAAATATTTTCCTACAAAATACGATGCTACAGCCCTGGCTGGTTTGGCTCAGCAGTTACAGCGTTGGCCTGCGGTCCAGAGAGACCCGGGTGTGGTTCCCGCTAAGGGCATGTGCCTCGGTTGCAGTTTGTCCCGGCCCTGGTTGGGGTCGTGCGGGTGGCAACCACTCGATGTGTCCCTTTCACGTTGATGTTTCTCTCTCTCTCTCTCTAAAAAATGTCCTTGGATGAGGGTAGAAAAAAAAAAGAAAAAGAAAAAAAACATTAACCTTCAGCCTGGCCGGTGGGGCTCAGTGGATTGGGCATCATCCCATGGACTGAGAGGTCCCGGTATGATTCCCAGTCAGGTCACAGGCCCAGGTTATGGGCTTGATCCCCAGTAGGGGTGTGCAGGAGGCAGCCAGTCAGTGTTTCTCTCTGACATCAATGTTTCTCTCTCTCTCTCTCTAAAAAACAAACAAAAAAACATATTTACAAAATAAATAGAACATTAACCTTCAATTACTAAACTGTTCTAAAGGAAAAACAGTCCTGTATGATTTGCCATTTGATAAAGGACTTCCAACACTTGAGAAAGAGATTCCATGCACTGTGTCCTGACATGGTCCAGAACGGCAAGGTATGTATCCATACCTCAGAACCATCACATACACACTCGTGTACATGTGCGTGTTTATGCACGTGCTCATCTATGCGTGGACGGATGTGAATATATGAGTCAATGAGAGTATGTATATGTATATGTATATGGATTGCATACTGACAACCTAATGTACATTGAAAATACAGAGGACTTGCTGCTATGACAAATGGTTTTGTTATCTGTTTTAAAATGTGTCCCATGAGCAACTGGAAGTAGTAGAATGTTTCTACTTCAGTCCTTACAAATAGTGACAGCATAGCAACATCTTTGGTTCATCAATTTTAAATTCGCTGAGTATTTCTTTAGTTTCACCAGTAACTCTGGGACTCAAGTTTCCATACATCGGAAAATGCCCTGCCGTGTACTGTGCATCCGGGTACCACTAGTTACCGGCGACGAAGCCCACCGAACGTCGCCCAAACACTGTCGCTAGAACACAGCATGAGAGTGCACGGACAGTGTCTCATCGATCGTTTTATGTAGACTTAACACTGAAATGCAGTGGGCTCAATAAAACATGAAAATTTGCCTCACCTGCTTTTTGTTTCTGCGGTGGGACTACCTGAAAACCTGAGATCGGACCTGAGGCTTGCCTGTTTCTGCTGCACGACGCTGGCTAATGCCACCTCCGGAAGCACCCGACAATCCCATCAACAACTGGCACGTCGAGGCACACTTTCAGATTTTCTTTGTTTCCAATTAAAGTATTCATTTCATTTCTAAGTGAATTATTGGAAAAGCTCATGTACTATTAGAAAACGGTTAAGAGAAACAAAGATTTGGCTACTCTGAAACAGAATTTTCGTTGATGAAACCAAACCGTTCTTTGATGAGGATGGTATTCACTATACTGGTAAAGACCATAAAACTGAGGACATTCAACAAAATACGGAAATGCCAGTGATATTAACAATTTAAAAAAAAAGATGGAAATCAAACAATCTCAATTATATCTCAAGTAACTGCTATGAAAATCCATCTCATTTTATAGCCAGCCCCCACTATCGAGAACAGGCAAAACAGCCCTGGCCAGTGTGGCTCAGTTGGTTGAGCATTGTCCCATGCACCAAAATGTCTCAGGCTGTCTCCAAGTGCGGGGTGGTGAACTCAATCCCACGTAAGGGGTGTGCAGGAGGCAGCCAATTAATTGTTTTGTGCGCTCTCTCTCTCTCTCTCTCTCAAAATCAATAGAAACATTTAAAATATTAATAAATTCAGCCCTAGCTGGCATGGTTCAGTGGTTAGAGCGTGAAGTCGTGGGTTCAATTTCCCAGCACTGTTGGGGTCATGGAGGAGGCAACCAATCAATGTGTCTCTCTCACATCGATGTTTCTCCCTCTCTCTGTGTGTGTGTGTGTCTCTCTCTCACACACACACACACACACATTCTATCTTTTAAAAAAAAATCAATGGAAAATATCCTTGAGGATTAAAAAGTAATAATAAATTCAAAAAAATATGCATTAAGAGATATGCACAATAAACACAAAATAAAACCAAAAATATAATACAGGAATGCCTGATAGTAAAGAAATTCAGCCCTGGCTGATTTGGATCAGCGGTTAGAGCGTCAGCCTGCGGTCTGGAGAGACCCGGGTTCGGTTCCCACTAAGGGCATGTACCTCGGTTGCAGTTTGTCCCAGGCCCTGGTTGGGTCGTGTGGGTGGCAGCCACTCGATGTGTCCCTTTCACGTTGATGTTTCTCTCTCTCTCTCTCTCTCTCTCTCTCTCCCTCCCACTCTATCTGAATAAAAAATGGAAAAATGTCGGGTGAGGATAAAAAAGAAAAAAGAAAGAAACTCATGGAATAGAATAAAGGACTTCAGGATTCCGGACAGAAGGCTGCACACACTCCCGCTCACGTGCACACCATGATCCCAGCGTCTCTGTGCAAGTCCGGCGGCGGCTCAGCACCAAGGACTCACCAAGGCAGGCTGTTTGCTGCCCGGCCACCACCAAGACCATGGGGAGGTAAACACGACCGACTAACCGCTCCTGAGACTAGCAGCCAATCAGGGGGCAGCGAGTCATTGTCGGCTACACAGAGCGCGAGACCCCACCAGAACTGGGGATGGGAGAGGACACCACAGAAGCAAATATGCAGACATGGCTCATACAGAACGGGATAAACCTGGAAGAAAGGACGGACACACACACACACACAGTATTTCGGAACAGAAGTCAACAGAAAAATAATCCTAACGGTCTCTCAGTTGGAACAGAAGCCTCTAAGGAGAAATACTGTCAAACTTAACAGGAACATTTATGATGCCGTATCCTTAAAGAATGTACATTATCTGAACCAAAATTAAATTTGAGAATCAAATTTCCATTGCTAAAACCTTTTCAGAGACAAAAACTACATAATTATTATGTAACAATTTAAGAAATAAAAAAGGAAAACAAACACTGAGAGGTAGGAAAACTGGTTTGAGAATGAAAAACCTCCCTATCCTCTTTAGAGAATAAAAATACGTCTGTACTTCATCTAGAGACTAATTCTCACATTTAAATAAATTACAATTTTATTTTTCTTCTGGCATTACAATTCCAAAATTAGATGATTAAGATATTATTCCTATCAAAAGTCAAAGTTTTAATCAATTTAAATCATGAGACTTGAAATTCCAAATTACTGTTGTGACTGAACATGTCTGTGCTGTTTGATATATGGTCATTTTATAAAAACTTCAGAAAGCAGGAATTTAGTAGAATAAATCAATCTTAGGTACCATGTCTTCACTTTGCATGTCACTTCTCTTAAATCCCACTTCAAAAGAACTGAAATTTACCCTCAAAGGGTAGAACAATCCCGGAAGGAGCTCCCTTCACTTCCTAAAGACCAACAATGTAATCCTAAGATTCTTCCATGAAACCACTGATATAGTAAGTCCTAACCTGAAATGTTAGTTACACTATATCCAAAACTTCAATGGCTTTTAAGGCTCTACTGTTACTATGGCATAGAAATAAAAAATGTTAAGTGTTTTCTATTAGGAGTTACTACCAAATAGGTTACATGCGTATGTTGCAACTGAGCTGAAATCCAGAGATCACTTCAAGTTTAACAACCTTCATGAACAGCATGTTTTTGTCAACGGCCCAAACACCGAAGTCAACACGACATGCGAGTTCTCTCTGAAGATAAATACTGACCCCTGCAGACCAAAGCTTGTTTTATAGAAGAGCTCGGACATCTCTGGTCAACATCATTAAAAGCACCCTACCTGTTTGGACCGAGGTCTACCGGGAGAAAATTTTCTTTTGGTAATAGCTGGTTTACCCATGCCGATTTTTGGAGTGACTGCGAAGTAAGTGGTCGGCATGGTGTTTCCCACAGAGGCGTTGAGCGCGGACGGGTAGTTATGCGGCAGGTCGTGGGGAGGCAGGTCTGAGGAGCGGGGAGGGGAGGAAGACACGGCGGCCTTGCTGGTGTCCGCTGCCGATGGAAACGGTGACCCCGTCTCGGATGGTAACTGGACAGGTCTGTCTTGGCATAAAGCATCCTTCGCACAGCTCTCAACGGCAGGAGTTGTTTCAAAGTCCATAAAGGCAGTGGGAGAGTCAGAGCTAACTTTCTTTTCCGTTTCTTCTTGTACCTTTTCTACAGTCGACTGCTCCTTGGGGCATACGGTGCTCTCCTCACATAGGGACACCACGGTTCCTGGTGGACCGGTGACAGCATCGATGATCACGGTGGGAGACCTGGACTCCTCCGTGGACCCTGCCGTTTGGGGTTCCTCCAGCAACTGCAGCTCCTCTTGCATGGGGCCCGGGTGTGCAAGGACTTCGACGTTTTCTGTCACCTCCATTCTGCTGTCGCTGTGATCTTCGGCACAAGTGTGCGGCACTTTAGAAGAGGTTTCCATTTTTTCATCATCGACTGCGTGAGAAATCTGATTTTCCAATTCGGGGTGCATTTTATCTTGAGATGATTCTATAAAACCCAGAACATGTGTTATGTTAATGGACACATGCATTTTTTTTTCATTTCTAACTATGAGCGGGTCTACGGCATTAATGTCTTATACGTCTGTAGCTTTGCGGCTTAAAACCAACAGGTTTGGGCAGAGTCGGTCACAGATCAGATCAGAAAACCTACAAAAACATCGCCTCAAGAGGATCCCCAGAATGTAAGGTATTTCTGGTAAGAAGGTTGAAATAGAACTTTTAATATAATTCTATTAAACGGTAAGCTGTTTTATAATTTGAGCACTTATAAAAGTATTTAAAACCTTGGAGGTGAAGTTATACTCGTTTAGCAGCTAGGAAAAGGAGGCTCAGCGATGTTATGTGAGGTCTCCGAGCTGAAAGGTGAAGACTCGTCTAGAAGATACGGCTATTTTGCAACAGCAGGCACCCAGAGGTAATGCCTTGCGACTCACGTGGGTAATGACCAAGACAGGCAAACTCATTTTGTCCAGCTGTGCCTGCTAACATACTCAGTGCACACAACCCCTGTTCGGCCTCATCTCCATTAACAGATGAAACTAGTACGAAGCAAGTCAATAAACATAATTAGATATCAGAAATCTCTCTCATCTCGACTAGTAAATTTTAAATCAGGGGACAAGTGTGTGTCAGGCCACTAACCCAATCTTACTTAATAAATTTAGAGGTCCAACTGACATGAACCCTAAGTGCTGCATTCAGTAAGACCACTGACAATAAAAAGCACTTGATTTCAAATACCACCGAGGTGACATCTAAGTTACATGAACAGAGACTCGTTTCCTCCTTTGTGACGTGCTATGGTGACTGAAATTCACCTACATTCCGATGAAAAATGAAAACGCACCTCTCGTTCCCACTTTCTTGCAAGAGTATAGTTGAGGATAGAGGAAAAAAAAACAACAAATAACAGATCTGATTGTATCCAATATTTTTAAACACAAAATGCTTAAAAAATACTTAATATAAAATTAAACACATACGAAGAGTAAACACTTAAAAAGGTTTAAAACCAAAAGCACCATCATGTGAGTGACGCGAGGGAAAACACCTTAACCTGATACCTCAGGAGGCCTGAAGCACAGGCTAATAGAAGACCAACCGCCCCCGGTCACACTGGCAAAGAGGAGCGAGTATAACACATGTACAGACCACAGGTATATATATTCTTTGTTCTACGTTGGAAGTATTAAGAGGAAAATGTGAACACACAGTTCAGTTATGATCAGCTACTAGTCTTATACAATAATAAACGTTTGACTTAGCAACTGTTTATAGAGAATGTAACCTCCTTCAGAATTCCACTGCCAATTTTTTTGCAAGAAAAGGACCGCTTAAGGATTTCACTCCCGGTATGTGTCAATAAGCAGCAGTTAAACAATTCTTTGGGATAGTTAGTTTGACAAGTCACCACACAATGACAGAAATCTATACAGAAACCGTAAAGCATGGCTGTGGTGCAATCCAACCAGACAATAGGAACATGCTGCTTACCAGAAATGAGAAGACCGTGTGTGTCGAGACTTTCTGGTGGATTCCTCTTCTGTTGCTCTCCAGCGTGGATCTGAACTGCTGTGAATAACACACGTATGGAATCTCTAGAAAGGAGTCAAAATTTCCCTAACCCTGCTCTCTCAACAGAAACTTGAATACAAATTTTTATCCTGTTGCCAAATGCCAATTTCCAACACAAGCACAAAACACAATGCTATGATTTTTTAGTGAGCAGGGTGTGAAGATGAAAAAGAATGAGGATTATGACTATGCACTATGACAAGACTTATTATTACAGACAGCTTTGCCTTATTCATCTTCACTTTACGTACCTTTTAATGAGTTGTTAAATATAAATTTAATCTAAAAAACTCTGAGACTTTGTACATATATATTCAATCTATAAAACACGCAATTTCACATGAACTACCACAGACCATTAGATGAGCCCATGATTAAATTTAATGCGTAGTTTTTCCCCAACCTGGTCTCTCATTAATTTCAGATGCTGAAGTACAGTAATAGCTATTATCGATATTGCAAAAGCTTAATTGAAATAACTGAAACAACCCTCAACAGGACTCCTGAGACAACCTAAAATGTCTCATTATCTCATCACAGAACATCTCACAATTAGCAACAGCTCGAGGTAGTAATTAACAGGTGTAACAAAAGAAGAAAATAAACTAGTTTTTAAGGGAAATCACTTGATTCCTAAACAAAGTATTTATTTGTGATTAAGTCTAGATCACAGCTGAACTACAGATAATATATATATGTGCCCTTTCTCATTAATTTCTGTCTAAGGTTATTTTACTAAAATCTCCTCTGTAATTGATTTCCTAAATACTGCATGTATCTTGGCTCATTTTAATAAAGGGCACTAAACTTTTAGCAGACATTCACATATTCGCTGCGCATACACATTTTCTCCAGAAAACGGACTATGCCCATGACGGAAACAGCCTTACCCTCTGGAACAATTCCAGGTGTGGACTCCTGACTACTGGCATCTTTACGAACTGCCTGCTCCAGAAACACCACTGGGTCTTCAGGGCCTTCAACTTCCATTTCATTGTTATAATCTGAACAGAAATGCATCGATTCTTGAGCTTGGAATGAGTTTTCCTGTATTTCTTAACTAAGTCAACAATTATTACTCTGCTTTAGTGACAGTGTAAGTTATCACCAGAAATGCCGTAAATTCCTCTTCGACACATTTTCCTATTTTGAACCCAATATATATTTATGCTTTGAAAAACATGAAAAGTACCATGAATTAAGAGGTCACTGGCACTCCACTATTAGAAAGCACATTCCACAACTGTATCCTGACGTCATCCTCCCGGAGGAGAGGAAAACACAATTAACACGTAACAAGCTACGTGCGGAGAACAACACAGGGCGTTTTACAGACGATGCCACACTCGCCAATGAAAACAAAAACATTCTGGCAAGAAGCTGTTTCCTCACCATCTAAGCATCTTATCAGGTTTATAGCCCACAGCACACAACTAAAAACACCTGAGCAAAATTTGGGGCCTAATGGTGAAATTTAACATTTAAGAAAGACATTATAAAACTAAAGCTTGTGTCCACACGGTGTGGCTCAGTGGTTGAGCGTCGACCCTGCACCAAGAGGTCACTGGTTCAATTCCAGGGCACATGCCCAGGTTGTGGGCTTAATCCCCAGTGGGGGACGTGCAGGAGGCGGCCAGTCGATATTCTCTCTCATCGCTTTCTCTCTCTCTCTCCCTCTCTAAAATCAATAAAGAAAAATAAAATATGAAAAACTAAGCTTGTTTGGAGTGAAATAACCCAGATTTTGAAGCGCAAACGAGGTCCCGTTGCTATACACGGAGGACCCCCAATGCGGGCTCAGGGAGCACACCTGGGGCACAGCTCCCCACCAATCCCGGACTGAGACACCAGCATCACAAGCTTACTGAGCCGAGAAATCAAGAACAACGGGATCTGGCAGACGGGACTCACTCGTCATGACTACAGTAGCCCATTGGCGGCTGGCCGGCCCAAGCGTACCTGGGTTGACGTCGGCCATGTCCACACTGCTGCCCGTCTGCAGCGCGTCCATCTCGGCGGCCAGGTGTCTGCAGTACGTGCAGACATACTCTTCTCTGAGCTGCGAGTCCAGCTCGGGATCCGCTGGCTTGTCACATTCTGAGTGAACCCACCTGCAGTGATCAACAGTTTTGAATAAAACTTTCCAGTTGAAAGTCAAGTTCATCATGTAGGGCAAAGAGAGGCACTTCCTGAAAAGCCGGATGAAAGAGGGGTTGAGGATGCCAGAGAGGCTGTTGCAGGGCTTGGTGACCAGGAAGGTCCTAGGTAAGGCCCTGGCATTTCTGCCCGGCAGGACAGCTGCTGACAGGCATTGGTCAAACTACTTCCTTTTCCGTGTGTCCCCTCTTAATGCTCATTTCTAGTCTCATCTTAGCCTTTGCCCTTTGACTTCCTCATGCGATCCAGGAAAAGGTGACTCCACTGCACCCGGGGCAGCACTCAAAGGGACCCGGGGCAGGGAGCGCGGATGTGGGCGGAGCGCGACCCCGCGGGGCAACGGTCTTCTTACCTTTTGCACATGTTACAGTGAAGCATGTCCTTCTGCAGTTCTGGGCTGTAGCACTTCCCGCAGAAAGGACACAAGTTATCCTGCTGCTGGTAACAACTGTCACATACCAGGCAATTGTGGTGCCACTGAGAACTGGACCGCGTGCCGCACTGGACACATATCCTGCAGTTCTGGACGCGGGGGAGACGGGAGAAAACCAGCGGTTACACCTCGGGCGCGGACTGCAGCCCTGGGGGGCGCCGCTCCCCACTCGACGAAGCCCACGCGGATTGTTCGTTCAACCCGAACGTTCGCGAGGCTGCTTTGAGAAAGCCACTTGTTGAGAACATCTGACAAGACATCACTCAGTTTCCACTAAAACCGACAGGAAAATGTAAACAGGGGGTAGACACAGCCAAAGAAACATAAAAGGGGGGGGTGGGCACAGCAACTACTCAAACGTAAAAAAAACAGAACAGAGGTCCCGAATCAGGAAGTGGCTGTGTGGACTTCGTGGACTTGCCCCACTGGCTACGGCTGCTCAGAAACCACAAACGAGGACTCGCACTGGAAAGTATCGGCACCGATTCCAAATGGCCTGGTGTCTGAAATCGTGACAAGAATCACCCCGCATCAAAAGCCAACTACAGCTTCTCCTGTTTTCAGAACAGAACGACACTCTCCTTTTCAAAATAGAGCTTTTCATGGAGTGCGAGGCCAGCCAAAGCCTTCCTGTGCGCCTGTGAGGGAGCACAAGCCACACTGCGGGGCTCCCGCGACCCGCCCTGACGTTCCAGCCACACCGCCAGCCGGAGCCGCATCTTTCTGAGCCGCTGGACAGCGATGCGAAGACTCGCTCGCCGGAAAAGAGAAAGTAGACTGAGCCATGGTCTGCTGAGGTCTTACAGAAGTCACGAGAATGCACTAATATGAATGCAAAACTCCTGAATAATATTACAAATGGACCCCAACAGCAAATCAGGAAGATAATAAGCCACGTCCAAGTGGAATTTATACAAGAAATGCAAGGATGGTTAAATAGTAGAAAAATCTATTAATAAAATTTAACATATCCTTAGGTCTGAAAGAATACATCATTTCAACAGATGCTGAAAAAGCCTTTGGGGTGGGGATCAAAACCCATTCCTAATTTTAAAATTCTTGAGAAAATAAAAATGGACGGGTATTTCCATAACATGATGTACATACTCTAAAGCCAACATTTTATTTAACTGGGGAACACGAGAGGTGGTCCCACAAGGGTCTGCTGCTCTGCCCACTACTCCTACCACAGTTCTGAAGTCAATCATTGAGACAAATAAAAACACAGTAAAAAAGGAAGAAACAAAACTCTATTTGTAGATGCCAAGACAGCACACTTGGAAAACCTAGAGAATTGGTCATAAATTCAATTTTAAAAATTTAAGAAACTAGCAAGATATAAAACAGGCAATGAAAAATCAAGAGAATTCACATACACAAATAATAACCAGTTAAAAGATACAATAAATGAGAAAATGCATAAGAATGAACTTAAGAAATGTCCAAAACCTACACAAGGAGGATCACGGGCACTCTTATAAGATGCTGAGCTAGACCTGAACAAACATTGAGACACCTGCTCTTAGTAGGGTGTCTTATCATCAGCAAGATGTCTTTCCTCCCCTACATCAATTAATAAATGTAAAGCAGTCCCATTGAAGACGCCAACGAGGTTTTTCGTGGCGTTAGGTAAGCTGGCCCTGAGTTCATAAGGAAAAACACGCAGAAAGGCCAGAGGAAACGGGTTTAGAGAAAGCTCTGGAGGACCAACCCTTCCACACTGCAAAGCTTCCGCATGGAAACAGGATGGTAGAGGTTCACAAACAGAAAGACAGACCAGGAGAACAGACTAGACATTCCAGAAATAAACCCAACCAAATCTAAACTCCAGTCTGGAATCTCACGTCGCTGGGTGAAGGGAGTCTTCTCAGCGACTGGTCTGTGGCCAGCTGGAAAGAGACCACTCACACCACACAGAGGAGCAACTCCAGATGAACTGGAGGTAAAAGTTCACGTGAAACTCTTCCACAACCTCGGGGTCGGGGAAGGATACTTTTAACTAAAACATCCAGATGTAACAGAGATTGATAAATCGGGCTATACTGTGTGGCAAAAAAATAATAATAATAAAAAAAACATAAGCAAAGTCAAACAGGAAATAACTAGAAGAAAATATTTGTATCAAATAACACAAATAAAGGCCTTATATCCCCCAATAAATATATAAAAAAAAAAAACACCTTAAATTGGGGGGTTAAAAAAAAATCACATTCTTCAAGTATAACAGGTAACTAACACACATGAGCAGACAACTCAAAAAGAGATCAAAACTACCCTTACACATAAAAAATAATAACCCACTGCACTCAATAGAGAAATGAAAATTAAACTACGTTGAGATACCACTTTTCACCATAAAACAGGCAAAAGTTCAAAAGCCGAGGAGGACACTGTTGGCCAGGACACGGAAGAGAAGTTTCGTACACTGCCTCCCGGGGCCGTGGCTGCAGCGGCCCCTGGAAGGAACTGGACACTGGGGTTGGCTTCAGGTGCTCGGGCCCCAGCCAGGAATCCCACTTCCGGGGGCGTGTCTACAGATCCCCTCAACCATTCAAACCCCGTGCACAAAGTCGCTGCTTTCAGAACCCTTTGTTATGTAAACACGGGAAACTACCTAAATATCCCAGCACAGGCCACTGGCTGAAATAAACTAGGGTAGGGAAGGGGTGGGGGGAAGAGAGGGAAATCTCTATGCACTGATGTGAAGTGACTTGTCGGATTTGTTAAGTGAAGAAAGCGACCTGCCGAAGAGCATATATAATATGCTACCTTCGGTGTAAAGGGAAATAGTGTATCTGCTTATCATTACAAAAATAAATACAAAAAAGAGAAAGCAAGTTAGTTAACAAATGCGATGGCAGTCATACAGGAGTTGACAATTCTGTGCCTAACTTTTTATATAACTGGCTCTTGAAGGCATGTTAGTATCCTACATATTTCTCAGATTTGAAATCAGTAAGAACAGGGGAATAAGATCTACCACCGAGTGCAAACTGAAGGTTTGTTTATTGCACTGAGCAACTGGGTCAATGTGGGGGTGTCGCTGGGACCCGGGATTCTTACTATGGACATAAGGACTTGCAAGATGGGAAAAGGCAGACACCTCAGAGGGAGGGATCAGAGCTGGAGGCATTGGTGTAAATCCGTTACTTATAAACGATGCATGTGCGTGTGTGTGCGTGTGTGTGTAAGTGCGTACACATGAACTGCTTCCTGCCCCGGATGCTGAGGGGCAAGCCCACTGCCCCTGCCTACTAAAGGCACCCGGTCTAGGAAGCAGGGCTGGTCCAGGGCTGCAGCAGGGGGGTGTAAGATGAACCTGAACATCTCGGTAGCCGGAATGTCAGAAAGTGCTCAAGTAAGTGGGGAGGGCGTGTCACAAAGAAGGGGGGGGTGAGGGGGCAGCTTGAAGAGGCTGCCAAAGGGGAACGTGGGACAGTCTGAGCAGAACACGGACCGGCTGCAGTAAGGAATGAAAGAGTCATTTTACCACCAACAGGTCCCAATGGCATGGATGGCAGGTTGGACGAAAATACTGCACGGATGCAAATGCATGAAGTAGGAACAGTGCTTCCATGATGAGAGAATAGATCATGTAAGAACATCCCTACTGTTGAGAAATGCACGCTGAAATATTCAGAGGTGAAGGGGTCACAGTGTACGTAACTTACTCTGAAATGGTTCAGGGCCCCCTCAAAAAAAAAAAAAAAGGGCGGTGGGGGGGTGGAAAGGAAGGAGAAGGGAGATGATACTGAAATCCCAGCAACAGGTGAATCTAAGCAAATGGCATATGGGCATTTTTATTTTCCAAACTTTAAAAATTTGAAATCATTCTCAAATAAACGTTTGTCTAAAATGTGTAATACACCAACTCGCAAGCATTCCCGAGCGAGCAGGGAAAGAAACCTACATGACGGTGACCGGGACACTCTGCCAAGACCCTGGGACCACCCTCACTTCAGCCTCACGAGGCCAGAGCCGCCCTGAGGGCTCTGCCGCTCCAGCCTCACCGCAGTGTAGGACGCCTGCCAGGCCTTCCAAGTTCAACAAGTGAGCAAGTTATGACTCAAGACCGTAGAGACGTGTGCCAGTGCTCAGGTGCTCCTCTGAGGCATCAGGCTGGGCACTAGACACCATCGTCATGCTAAACCCAACACCCCTGTGAGCTAAGTACTGCGAACATTCCCTCCTGAGGAAAACTGGCTCAGCCAAGTCAAATAATTGCCAGAGACCAGGCACTTCGTCAGCAAGAAAGCTGGGGCCTGCCGCCACGACCTAGCCTTCTACCCACTTCCTGTGCCTCCACAGAACAGCACTGCTTTAGAAACACAGCTTCCCGGTCTGATTCGCAGCAGGGTTATAAATGATTCTGTCCCCAGGAAGAGGGAAAAGCAGAATAAGATAGAAAGCAAATGAGTAAAAGAAAGAAGGACAGAGGGAAGTCTGAGAACAATCGTGAGAAGTAAACCTGGAATTCCGAAGACATTTTCCAAGATAATGAAAAACATGACAAAGAAGATAATACATTAAGAACAGGAAGCAAAAATCACCTGGATGCACTACGTAGGATTAAAGAGAATGTAAAAAACACTCTTCTCTAGACCTTTCCATCGGGCCCAACCGGAGACCGAGGGTGGTCACCATGTTACATCCACTCTAATTTGTGTACAATCAGAAATGCGGCCTGGAAACAAATATGAAGAAACAACCAAAAAATAAAATAAAAATCCGAAAGCTTTTAAGCAGAAAACAGGATTATAACTAGGTTGACTTACCAAAAATTTTTTTTCTTCTGTGATAAGCTGAAAAAACTCTGAAAACAACAAAACCACAAAACTGTTTCCAGAGTATAAAAAAAGGTATAACACAAAATTAGAACAAACCAACTCCTTGTGGTAGTCCAAAGGCAACAGTCTCCTTTCAGATACGGCATTTCGGAAAACTCACCATTCTTTTTTACAGGAGAATAACAGGGACATATCCTTGTGACAAGGTTTATAGTCGGTGTTCATTTTACCAAGACAAAGAGAGGGAAAAGAAACATCTCTCCTGTCTTCATTTTCAATGGGAAGCGAGAAGAAAAAAAAATTACTTTCAACATTTATAACTTAACATTCATAAAATAAGATTTTGAATTGCAAATCATTGCAGGAAATAGGACGAGTCTGTCTTAAAGTAGCCAAGTATTTCCATCACAACCATTAATCACAAACAGTTAGCTCTATTAAACCTTTCAGAAGATACATTTAAAATTACAAAGGAGGATCCAAAAATTTTTTTTAAAGATGTGAAAAGATCATTCAACTGGTAAACTAGAGCCCCCCGTGGCCATATTGTCAAGCAAAGCAAAGATATCTGGTGAAAAGCATCACACAGAATAAGAGCAGTTTTGCATCAATAAAAGGCACAACCAATGCACCAACACCGGCCTGACCTACTTGCTCAGTAACAGCCACAAAATAATGGTTTCATTAAAAAAAAAAAAAAAAAAAAGGCAAAAAACAAGGAGAAACTATATGAACAAGTACAGAAGTCAATTTTATCTATATCCTTACATGATATTGGATCAGCTAGTCAAAACACAAGGACGTTAATGAAATGAAATTACAACTACAAATACTACACCTTAAAAAGTCACTATTTCAAGCGTCAAAGTTATTTGCAAAAAAGAAAACCACACTGGTTCGACTATCTGGCTAAACGCAATTACAGCAGAATTTAACATGCGAAATACAACCTAAAAAACAAATTTACTAGCTCAAATGCACGTAAATGCAGATCAAGTTAAAAACATAACCCATTCGGGGACAGCCAAACCTAGAATCAAAGGTACATGTATAGTCTTAAATATCCTTTTCCTTAGAGAAACGAGGAAAACGAATGACGCTCCCACGTCCCCTTTCAGAAAAGGCGGGCGGAGGCGCGGCGACGGGGGAGCGCACACAGCGGCCCGCAGCCGGCTCTCCCCGGCCCCCAATCCCGCCGCGAGGACAAACCACACCACCTCGTCCCGCAGACGCCCAGGGCCCGGATGTGCTGACCGGCGGCCGCAGCTTCGACCAGCGGACTCAGCGCCTTCCCCCGGCGGGCGGCCGCACCTGAGGGCAGTTACCGGGAGAGCAGCCCTCCGCCCCCGCAGCCCCACCCTCCGGCCCGGAACCCGCCGCCGGGGGCCAGGAAGCGCCGCCCCGTCCAGGCCCGACCCTCACCTGCGCGGGGGCGGGGGCGGGGGCGGGGGCGGGGGCGGGGGCGGGGGCGGGGCGCAGGTGTCCGCGGGCTCGCGATGCGCCTCCTCCCGCCCCTCACCCACCGGCCCTGGACCCCGCCGCCAGGAGGACAAACAGCCCCCACTCCAACCCCTACCCCTGGCCAGCGCCTCGCTCCAGCCCTCAGGTCTCCACCTTCTCCAGCTCCGGACGGGGGTCCCTGGAGCAAGACTGTGGGGCTGCTTGATTTCTGCGGGCTTCCAAGTTTTCCAGAGACGTGCCAACCTAAAATACTGTCGAACCCAACGGGCCTGCAAGGCCCGCATCCAGCAGGGTCCGCCACTGTTAGTCCCCGAGCTGAGACCTCGGGAAGACGCGGGCGGCGACGGGTAAAATCGGGCCGAGGGCGCAGCGCGGGCCGGGGGCGTGCGCCGCGGCCTCGGGCGGAAGGTCCACGGAGCGAGCGGAGGTTCCAGCTCCATTCGCATCACGTGGCAACAGTTACGCCGCGAACAACAGGCCAGGAACTCATCATGCGGACCCGCTGTTCGTCTTCTGGCAGAGATTGGATGGGTGCCCTCCACGGGGCACCTGGGAGCGAAGCTGTACAGCGCTACCCGGGACGCTCGGCTCCATCTCACGCTCCGGGACCCTGCTGGCGTCCCGAGGCCTGCGGCTCTGGGCTAGGAACCGCGTCATGACTATCAGTACTGGTTTTACACAAACACCTACCCGAAAGCCATGCTCAGGACCAACGCTGTTCACACCAAAGAAAAACCTGACGCACTGATCGGGACCTGAGACAGTATCTGTCTACTGAACCCAGACCTGAGAATTTAGTTTCCAGGCAAAAAAAACCAAAAACGGTTTGTTAGATTCACTGAATATTTTACTTTATAAGTTATATTGAGGTTTATGTTTAAAGTCAGTGTAGTTACTGTAGATAAAAAAGTTTACGCCTAGCTTCATGTCTGTGCTATAAAACATCATTTTTAAAACCCTCAACGTGGGGGGGAGGGGGCATAAATGGCCCGTGGTTCTCGAGTGTTCCGTGTTTTACGATCCACACCCTAGTACAACATGAAATGAGATCCGGAAATGCTCCTGGAGAGAGCCCAGTCCTCCTACTCCGCCAGTACAGGAAGACAGCCCAGGGAGACGGTTCATGTGGGATAAAGTAGGACAGGACAGGAGAGAAGGCCCGAGTTCTAGTTCCTATTCGGCTTTTACAAATCAGTCACCTTCGACGATTTAATTAACCATTAGGCCCTCACTGGCTCCCAACCTGGAATTTATTAGTTAACCTTACAGATTTCAAAGGAAACATGAACGACTTTTAAGACTCATTCAGCCTAGAGAACATGCAAGGAAAAGTCATAGTAAATATTTTTTGTAAATATCTCCTAAACAGGAAAAAACAAAAAGTTTTATCCAATCAGTTAAGAGTTAAAGGTGGGCACACAGCACAGTACACAGATCCCGTATCATGGAAATGCACACTTGAACAATATGATCCTAATGGCACCCAAAAAATTTTAAGTTAAAAAATAAAGGTAAAGGAGGTAGTCTTACCTTCTACTTTAAGAATTTAAATAGTGTGTGTTTCCACAGACAAATAATTCTAAAATTTGTTCACCGGGTCCTAGACTCACTTTCCCTATAGGTAGAGTTGTCAGCCAACTCACAGTTTAGAGGCATGGAAACAGAACCCCTGGAAGTTAGAGAGACCGGCATGGAACACCTCAGGGCCACAAAGATGCAGATACCAAAACAGACGGAAGAACAGAATCAATGACTCAAAGAAAACCCAGAAAGAATTGAAAATAACTACAGAAAGTCTGATCGTGTCAACTGGAAATTATTTCACTGAATGTGGTATGTACGATCGATAATGCTATGTACGAGGCAGTATCAAGCACACTGATATCTTAAGCAATAAAAAGGGGAAATGTCTATAGGTCTTGTCTCTTAAAACTCAAGAGAAACTTTAAACAACATCTAAAAAATCAGTATCTAAGTCAATCATCACTTACTAAAACTACTATGGGGGAGACACAATATACATATACATATGCATATATCATATTCTAAAAATGTAATACAATTGTTACATACATACATAAATATATGTACGTATAAAAATCACTGTAAAACCACCTAGAAACTTATCTATCAAAATGTAATGTATTTTATCTCTGGATTTTAAATTAATAGGTTTCAAAATGCATCTCAGTATCTTCATATGGGGACACTACCTATTTCAGAGATTTCTGAGAAGATTAAAGATAAATCACTCAAAAACAACGTGTAAGCCATGAAGTACCGTACATGTTAGTTAACAGATTCAGCAGCATTTTTATAACAGCCTAAAACTGTGAACAACCCCGATGTTCACCAAAAGCGATTCAATAAACAAGCCATGGTGTCTCCACTACTCAGCAACTATATGGGTGAATCTCAAAATAATTATATTGAGTTTAAATGCCAGAACAAAAGCAGAAAGAACAAAAAGGGTATATACTATACAATGTCCTTCATATAAAATTCTGGAAAATGCACACTAACCTACGGCAAATTGACTGGAAGTCGAGGGGCATCAACCGGTGAACGGTTGGAGGGACTCACAGGGGCACCAGGGAACTTTTAGGGGACATGAATATGTTAATTATCTTGAAGGCGGTGATGATTTCATGAGGTATACATGTGTCAGATTAAATTATAGACTCTAAGTATGTACAGTTTAATGTATATCAATTATGCGTCAATACAGCTGTTTATTTTAAGTGATGGCAATGTATATAAATTTGCACAGGTATCCAGTTTGTCTGCTCTCTATAAAAAAAAAAAACAAAAAAACATACAGATGCTGATATTTTTCTTAAAAAAAAAATAAACAACTTACTTTGCATTTCCAGCCATTGGTTGGTACTGATTTCATAACTGGTTGAAGACAAAAAGTATGATACCCTTTGTCACACGTATCACACACTAGCATCTTGCTATCTTCTCCCGATTGTCTAAAAAATAAGATAACATTAATGATGCCTGACCTTCCAACTTATGTTTGTAACATAAGTAATCATCTACTGAATCAACCCTGGGAACTGCCCAGTTCATAAACACCTCTGTGTCTGTTTTGCCCACGTGCGGACAATGGCAAAGGCAACCCCCGGACTCTAGGGCCTAGAGGATGTGACAGCACTCTCCCAGCTGTCCTTACTGAATGCTCACCTGCGGGGAACCTGCTTTAGTCATTTAGGGACTCCTGCAAAGAAGGAGGGGTGACGGCAGGACAACGGACTCTGATCCCACATGTTAAGCCTCCCCTTTTTTGGGAAGGAGCTATAACTGAAAGCCGATGCTGAAGGAACACATGTTGGCGCCGTGAGTTGGGAAGACACACTCATAATAACAGGAGGATCAAATCTGGCATCAGCCCTATCTTTGTATTCGAACCGCTTTCTAGCTGTGTGACTCCTGAATAACTTGGACTTGAGTTCTCTTAGTTTCAGATAGTAAAATGTAAATAATTACCAAAGATTACTGTGGGAATTAAACATAATTCTGGTTGAAGAGCTTAGAATATTCATTAAGCAATACATGCTAAATAAATAGGTATAAGAATAACAATCTTATCATCATTAAGCACGATACTCAAAAAGACCTCTGCCTTGAAACCTGGCTATTAACCACTCTCAGATGCGGAGAGTTTAACTCGGGAGGAGGAGGAAGGGAAACAGGAATGCAAAAGCAGAGCCGAGAGAAGAGACCTGCATTAAACCTGGGGATCAACAGAAGTAAAAAGGAAGATGGGTTAGTGGGCCTCCAGTTATGTCTTATTCAGCTTAACAAATTCTACATACAGAATTGTGTATTTTATCTCTTCGGCTACATAGATAGTTCTCTTGTTCTCTCCCAAGAAACGAGGCACAGATCCAAGGTACCAAATAAATGTTTACTGATGTTTTCTTTAATTTTTACCAAAATGTAACAGCATCTGGTCCTACTTAACTCCACGCAATTCTGAAACGTTGATGTTTATTGTTAGCAAATTAAATTATGAGTAAAACAGACTGATTATGGCAATGGTGGGCATCATTTCTCCTGGTTACAGAAGTCCTCAGCTTGTAAATAATTGGAAGACCGCTGTAGGTATGGGTAACATCCCCAAATTCCCATGCTAATTAGTAGCACGAGAAAAAAATAATCTCAGAAAAGATTGGAGAAGGGACCTACAATGGAATAGAACAAACAGGGAAAGATCACCCCACTGCAGATGTTTACATGCCACATGCTACTTTGTGTCAGTCCTACGGTGACTCTACTGAGGTAACTGTCTTTCAAATAGATAGACTTTTTTTTTTTTTAAACAATCTTAGTATAAACTGTTCCTTCTGGAAGGGAGGGTAGCTCAGTCTAATAACTACTTTCCGAAGTTAGGTTTACTTTCCTATTAAATCCCCTCCCCAGGCTCACTCTGAAGAAGCTACTTTACTTTTCTAATACTCATTAATTTGAAACTCAATATCACCCATTTAAAAAGTGTTGGCGCCCTGGTCGGTTTGGCTCAGCGGTTAGAGTGTGGGCCTGCGGTCCAGAGAGACCCGGGTTCGGTTCCCGCTAAGGGCATGTACCTCAGTTGCAGTTTGTCCCCGGCCCTGGTTGGGTTGTGTGGGTGGCAACCACTCGATGTGTCCCTTTCACGTCGATGTTTCTCTCTCTCTCTTCCTCTCTCTCCCTCATACTCTATTTGAGAAAAATGTCCTCGGGTGAGGATCTATGAGAAAAAAAAAAGTGTTGGCAAATTTAGGCAACCAGAGGCAATTTCATTGACTAAAATTAGTTTATGTTTAGACTTTGTTGCAAAGTAATAAACATGTTAACACCTATGTAGCGCTGACTGTTTAAAGGAAGGCACGATGAAGTCCACGTGAATACACACAGCCACAGCCCGAGAGCCTTCAGAGCCTTCAGCACATCACGCGCAACCTTCCGCCCCGGCGGACAGGGTCTCTCGTAAGGCGACACACACCTCGGGGCTGAAATGGGAACTTACTTGCAGTTCTGGCACACTTTGCACTCAGGACACTGCCACCCTGCGCGCTTTACCGGAGTGACCGCGATATCCAGGCACATCCCGTGGTAGTGCTGGCCGCACGTGGTGCAGAAGAACTGATCGAACAGGTCTCCCGGGCTGTCGCACACCGCGCAGTTTGCATCTTCCTTGGCTACAATTAAAGGGAAACATGACATTGTTGGGTAAGAATTTACTATTTCTCTGACTTTCCAGTTTTAAAAAATCACTCTAAGGGGGTTTGCATGGTACAGCGTTCAGACACTTGACGTCATCCACACAGAAGTGTTATCCAATCAGAATACGGTCTCCATAAAAACAATGCGATCTAGTTCCTCTAACTGTGATCACGTCAGGTTTAATCATCTGGTTTTGCGAGCCGTGTACTTGAGACCAAGCGGCTCTCGGGTAGCGGTGCGTCCCTAGCACAGCGATAACCCGGTCCGTGCTCAGCAGGTGCCGCTGAGAGAACCCACCTGGAAAGCACCTGAGAGACGGAGCAGTGTGAAAAGAAACATTTTATTTGGATGTTCTGAAATTAACCAAACCAGATAAAAGACAAACATTAAGAAACGTTTGTATCGATTAGATTAAGATGCTTCTTAAACATTAACAGATGAATTTTTATTTAAATCAAATAAGTTTTTTTTTTCAAATACTGGAAAATATCATATGAGGGATTACAGATGGAAGCTACATATTCACACCCAAAGACAATACTTTATACACTGTTTCAATGTTCATCTATACTAACTGCCAATTGTAAAAAAAGCATTAGATTCTCCATAATTATGAACATCATCTATCCCCTAACTGTGGATCAAAAGAAATGACACTTTTTAACAGTTCTTTTACCACTAAAACAAATAACCGTAAGAATAAACTGCCTTGCCAAGTACACATTCAGTCACGCAACATTACAAAATAAGGAAATATAATGTTTTCTAAAATGATACCAATTTGTAATATATATGTCATTATGCCTATATCCGACACTTAAGGTCATAACTAAATGATCTGATTAGCTGATTACCCCAGGACTGTTCTAAACTCTCTATATTTTTTTCTCTCTTGTATTTTGAAGGTTTGGTCAGTCCCCTCTCTGACTATGAGCCCTTTCGACCTTCTTTCTTTCCCAGTCAAGCATCTTGAACCAAGTAATAATTTATTCCTTTTCCTTATACCTGCGGTCCGCAAACTGGTTTTATGGGCCATAGAACTCTCTAGTGTACAGACTTTTGTCTTTATTTTAAAGTCCTTTCAAAATGGTAAGAAACCACTCCTAGCTTGAGGGCAGCACACAAACGGACCCTGAGGCTGGGGAGTATCTGGTCTCCAAGGCGGACCGGTAGTTCCACACCCACCACTGTCGGAAGCTACTTTAATGAGGCCACATAACCTGTGAACTCCAAGGGTTACTTTGTAGACCTTCCCTCATTTGCACCTCACAGCACTGACATTACCATCCACGCCCTCAGTAAGGTCTCCCTTACCTTGGCTTCCAGGACGACCTTCCTCAGGATTTCTCTTAAGTTCCCCTGCCTCCATCCCTTCCTCCTGGGCCTTGGCCTCTCTAAATGCCGGTGTCTGGTAGGTCTGCATCCTGACCTTCCTTTTCTCATTCCCCGTAGCTTCTCTTTGGGATCACGTACACTCCCCCGATTCCCCAATCCACACCACCAGCCCCAAACTCCTTCCTCAACCCAACGCATTGTTCTCAAGTCTTCCTGGACCTCAGTAACCAGATGTTCTAAAAAATGCACACTCGACACCTCTAAAATGAAATGTTTTAAATATCGAAATCTCCCCCTTTTCCCTCAACCAACTTTTTGTATTGCTATTGACTCTCTACCTCTTCCCTGACCCCACATACCCACGGTCACCAACTCCCGCTGAGCCAACTGCCCACGTCCCGGCCCTGTTTGAGAGTGGGTCCTCCCACTCCCTGCCTCCCTGCATGTGGTCCCGCCCTGCTCCTACATCTTCTCCTTCACATCAGGGCAATTCTCAAAACTGTGAACCTAACGGTTACGCCCTGCTGAAATTAAAACTTCACCAATACTTCCTTTTCCGCCTTAAAGTAAAAAATTAAAAGCTTTCTAGTATGAGGCAAAAAACCTACACATAAAACAACAAAAACCCCACAAAAACAGAAAACCTTCACCTCCCTTTCCAGTGGACTCCCAGGACCACTCGCCAGCACCTGGCCACACCAAGGAGCCTGCTGTGCATGTGGCACACCCCACTGTTGTCCAGTGCCATGGCCTGGCCACGCTCCGGCCCTCTGTGTGAGATGTGGGACCTTGCTGTGCCCCGAGTCCATTCCAGAGACACCTTCAAAACTCGGCTCAAACATGGTCCCCAAGTATGAAACATTATCACACCTAAGTGTCTACGTAAGTAAAATGTTGAGTATTCCTGTCTCCATAGGCTAGAAGAAACTGTTCTAAGACTGATTATGACACAGCACTGTGCTCCCTTGAAGGGTAGGGACCGTATCTTTTTCAACTTTGCATCCTCGACCGCCTAGCACTGATAAAGTCTCATTAAACATATACTTTAAATAAATGGCTTGCTTCTAAAAATCATTTTTAAATGGCTCTCTGATTGATAGGCATTCATTTAAAAATGGAAATGTCATAAATTAGTTCATTTTTAATACAAATGACATAATAGGGCAAATTATTTTTCTTCATACTAAGAGGGAGTACCAATATTGACACATTCAAGCCAAGGACATTAGACTATCCGCCTGCAGACCAAAAGGTCTCGGGTTCAATTTCCAGTCAAGGGCACGTACCTGGGTTGCCGGTTCGATCCCCACCCCTAGTCAGGGCGTGTGAGGGAGACAACCAATCGATGTGTCTCTCTCATCGATGTTTCTGTCTCTCTCTCTCCCCTTCCCTCCCTTCTGCTCTATCTGAAAATCAATGGAAGAATATCCTCAGATGAGGACTAACAAGAAAATAAATAAAATAAAATAAAAACAAATCCTTGATATTTGCCCACCCTCAGAACATGTAGAAATTGGGGCAAGTACTGGCCCCCGACGATCAGACATTCAGCTCATCTGCCTACTGTCACTGCCAGGACTCCTGCCTAAAACGTCTCGTTCGGCCCTGCCCACTTTGGCTCAGCGGTTAGAGCGTCGGCCTGCGGTCCGGAGAGACCCGGGTTCGGTTCCCGCTAAGGGCACGTACCTCGGTTGCAGTTTGTCCCCGGCCCTGGTCGGTCGTGTGGGTGGCAACCACTCGATGTGTCCCTTCACGTCGATGTTTCTCTCTCTCTCCCTCTCTCTCCCTCCCACTCTATCTGAACAAAAAATGGAAAAATGTCCTCGGGTGAGGATAAAAACAAAAGTCTCGTTCGCCAGGCTGCCACTTCTGCTTGCCATGGCTGCCACGGCCGCCACGTGTGGCTGCGAAGCCAACGGAAGAACGTGACCAGTCCAGACTGAGGCGAACTGTACATACAGAACACACCCCAGACGCCACAGATGTCCTGGGGGAAAACGTCAGGCATCGCAAAACGCTCCGACTAGGTGCTGAAACAGCACCGCCCTGTGGCCACCAGGAGAACGGACAGCACTTCTGGGGCTCACGTCCTGCTTCTGCGGCACACTGAGCCCTTCGGCACCCAGAGCGCTGTGCATGGGGCTCTGGCAGAGGACCTCCCCGCTCCACGATGGAGTCCGGCCGTTCCTTAATGACGATTAAGCTGCCGTACTGTTTGATTACTATGGATCATCAGTAATAAGCAAAGAAAAACATCCACAGGATAGCCTGGGTCCAGAAACCATGACTGTACGTGCGCTATGTGAAAACAACAACAAGGAAAAGTGCTACATGAAGATGGAGAGTGGTTGCACCCCACTTCCAAGTCGGGGAGAAGACACGCGCAGAAACGCAAGCCCGGCTGTTCAAGGGGCACATGAGAGATGGCATCCCTGGGTGCTTCGTGACACGTCTCACGTAGGTGTGTGTACAGAGGCCCACGTGTCTGCGAACCACCAAGACGTGAAGTCTGGAGAAGAGAGATGGTGTGTCTGAGTAAGGCTAGTGTGCGGGGACAGGAGAGAAGCCAGGTCCACCTGCTCCGAGGGCCGTGCTGGGCACAAGTCCTCAGCACCAGCTCCCAGGGGAGGTCAGCGGAAGGAGGTGTGAGCAGGCACAAAGCGGGAAGGGCCAGGCCAGGCCTAGAATGAAGAGGGTAGATGATGGGGGGGGGGCAAGAAAGAGCGGAAGAAACAGAAAGATAAGCTTTGCACAAGGTCACCCCGAGTGACGGCTGTGACAGGAGATGGAGGGAAAGAAACAAACGAGGAGCTTAAAGCAGAAGGGAGCTCGTCACGGACGCTTCGACTCCATCAGGCTGAAGGCGAGACCACTGCTCACCAGCGTCGAGAAGCCCGCGAGGGCAGATGTGCGGGCAGAGGCCAAGAGCGGGAAACGCCAGAGTGACGCAGGCGCATCAGTGTCAGGAGGACCGAGCCAGCATGACAGCTCCCCCATCGACGCCCTCACTGCTGGTGGAACACCGTGCTGGGGGTGACTTGCCTACCACAGGGCATCTCTGCAAAGAAAACGTAAATCGTGGATGCTGTCCGGAGAGGCTGGCCCATGTGGTAGGCAGGTAGGTAAGAGAGGTCGGGCATGGGGTAACACAAATCAGCAGGACCTGGTGTCAAGAGACACAAAGACAACCAAGAAACAAAGTCTGGAGCTAAAAGCTTAACCGGAGTCAAGGGAGCGGAAGCTGAGTGGTGGCAGTAAATACGCTGGGGGGGGGAGGGGGGAGGGCCTGAGAGAGCGGGCATGCCCACGTTTGGGCCCTGCCAAGGGTCCCACTGCAGACAGAATGAGATCAAACCCTCTCCCGGTGGGACCTCGCCTGTGTTCTCCGGGCTGCTGTCCCTACGACCCACCTAGCAGACGCCCCGGTCCAGGCACGATGACTAGCGGCCGGGCCCACAGCCGCGCCAGGCTCCCTGCTCGAGGCCTGCAGAGGGCTGTTCGATCTGCCTGTAATGTTCTCTGCTCGGACCCTGCGTGGCCGGCTCCCCGCACCCCGCTTTCCCAGGGAGGCGAGCGCTCCTCGGAAGGATGGCGGGCTGCGTCTCCGCCGCGGGTGCTCAGTGCAGCTTCCAGACCAGGCCCGTGCACACCTAGAGCACCACCACCACTTCCTATGGGAAGTCCCGGCCTCGCTCCTGACGCCCTCTCTGCTGGCATTTCTTTCTAATGAGGTCCGTATTCAGTTAAGATTTGTCAACTTTCACGGAAGGACGTCAGTCGGACTCCCAACTCGGCTAACGATCCCTCTAACATCTTGCTCTACACTCAGCAGCAGCACAGAGTGTTATATGCGGTGTATTCGGATAGCTTGAGCCTTAGGCAAGAGCTAAAACCACTTTGCAAAGCGAGGAGTGCAGACAAGGTCTGCCGCTCCGTGACAGTCACTGACAGTGTCTCTTCACCGCTTTGTGAGACAGAGTTTCAGACTCTGTGCTACACACAACCCTGGCGGCCAGCAAGGTTCCGAAGACCAGTGCACAGCCCCGTACATCACTGCGATGCATCGTGTGTCCTACCTTCTCTACACCCTGGGAGGAAGACCGGTGGTCAGAGGCTGTGTATTTAGACTTGCACTGTTCAAGGTCCCCAAGAAACATTGGGCTCTGAGTTTATCCCAATGGCTTATTTCGAGGACCGTCATAAGAAACTGCCCTGCAGGACTTGTTTCCTAGGCTGCCAGGCAGCTACCTGAGGACAGTTTTTCACTGCAGTGTACAGTATCTACGCAGTCTCCGTATCAAGCGGATTCTTGTAACATTACTATGAACCAGGTAAATCTCCATCGTCCACGGATGGGCAGCTCCGGAGCCGAATCCAGGACGTGGGTTTAGGAAGCAGGCGTTTACCTGGGCATCAGCCTCCCCACTACCACGTGTTTATGCTCTCCTGATCCCCTGGCCAAATGTCCTTGCTCGTGTGCAGTCTGACTTTACCCTGCAGTGCACGTGTGTTCGTGCGTCTCCCTAAGTCGGCCTGGAGACAAGGCACAGCACCAATACTCTCAGAGCGTCTGTCGGTGCGAACCTTTCACCGTGGGCGTAAGCAATGATGGCAAATCACGTCACCCGCGCTCTCTCACGCCATCGCCTCCCAGAACCATCTACGATCCCTCACCCACAGATGAGGTCTATGCTGTAGCCTGCAGCAGAGCATGGTACTGCCATTAGATAATAAAATCGCCAACACCGGAAAACACAGTCCTAGAGAGGTTCACACACAGCTCACTGAGCTGTCTGAAGTGTGGCTTACGTGCAACAGGCTGAGTGCGACTCGGACTCCTAAGTACACAGCTGTTTGATTCACTGGCGGAGTGGGACGCGCCACTGAACAGAACCGACTGTGATGACTGGCGTGGCCGTCTGTGCACTCGGTGAGGTTATTCCCTGCACGAGGTCTTAGATAAATAACACCCGTGAGAGTGGCTGTGCCTGAATGTTCTTCCTCTCCAGATTTAATAGTGTGTAATCCAAAACATTTTTTTAAACTTTAAATCCCTTATTAGCCTACATACAATTTGACATTTCAGCTTGCCTTACCTATAATTTACTTCTGCTATGATGATTATACGTGTAGATACAAAATAATTTTAACCGAAGATAAAATTATGGTACTAACTAAAGATAAAAAATAATGATTATGAACCCTAACTGTACGCAAGACGACTTCCTTCAAGCCTGAGGCAGCTGTGTCTCTGTTCCCCAGAGATGAAAAAGACAGGGGAAAACCTCTCTTGGCATCGCTAAGGAAAAAAGTTAACAATTCGGTTCAAAGAGATTTCACAACGAGATTGGAAATTCAACTGACCAGGGACAAAGGTCCCAAAGCACACGTGCTCATTGGAGATGCTCAGGAAGGAAAAGGTAAAGATGAAGACAGGAAAGAGCTGTCATTTTCTGTGCAACGTGAAATTCAAATCCGTAAACATTTCCCCCTTCATGACGCTGTTTGGAAGAGAAAGGAAAAGGCAGAAGTGGGGGTCCCCGTGAACCCCAGAGAGGGCTCAGAAGCAAGTGGCGGGTCGCTGGGAGGTCCTTCAGCAGCACCAGCTCCAAGAACTCAGAAAGTCCGTGGAGACCTGCCCCCGGCGCACATCCCGAAATAACGCCTGACTCAGCAGTTCCCAACCTTTTCCATCTCTTGGCGCGCACACACTAAGTATTAAAACTCTGTGGCACGCCAAAAACTATATGGTATTTTTTGCTCATCTGACCCCCGCCCACAAGAAAAAGGTGTACTTTTTACTCACTGGATGGCTAGTGCCATGTTGGCTGCTGTCGTTTCTTTATCTGACAATCTAAGGGGAACGAGGTCAGTGCCCCGACTAAACGGTCAGGCACTGGAACAGTGTCAAAGTTCTCGCAGCTCACCGGTGGGAATCGCAGACCCGAGTCAACCATCTAAGTCTCCAGCTGGGTGGTTTTTTGGTGTGAAGGACACTGAATGCTGCCTAACATTTGGAAAGACTGACTTCATCGCGTGGATGAACATATTAGATACTCAGTATTTCTCTCTTTCAACAGTGGCTTGAAAAACAACAACATTTTTTTTTAATAAGAAAAAACATGTAAACTACATTTGAACTTGTGAGGAAGTCACTTCTGGATTGAACGTCAATGATACTGTTGATATCAGATTTCCCCCGAGGACCTCTGGCAAAAATCCCTGGATTATCAAGAGTCTACATTGTTACCTTTTTTAACACAAGCAGAATGACGCTCAGGGAACTTGCGACACGTGTTACCGGAGGAAGGAATCTGTAGGACACTTACATCTTTCGGGAGCTTGGTCGATGTGCTCTGGACAAAGAAGGAAGAAGTGACTGACGTCCTGAAAGGTTCCGGCCCCCACAGCACAAGGGTAATGGTACCTCTGGGTACAATTCTCTTCACAGCATTTGATAGTGGCTCCAAGGTGCTTACAAAATGCACATCGCTGAAGGGGCAAAGGGGAAGAAATCGCTTTGTAAGACCTGGTAGAGGAACATTCAAAGGCAGGGCTAGGCAGGTATCAGATATCTTTGCATATCACTCATAAAACGATTTGTATCTGCAGAACAGCAAATGAAGGATCTGTTCAAAATAGTAAGACATAAGGCGCTCAGCTGGATGCTTCCATTCAAGTTTACCAAGTTAGCATTTCACTGATGTTTTTTTTAATCCTCACCTGAGGATATGTTTATTATTTTTGAGAGAGGAAGGGAGGGTGGGCAGGGAGGGAGAAAGGGAGTCAGAGGGAGGGAGGGAGAGAAACAGATGTAAGAGAGAAACACTGATCCACTACCTTCCATATATGCCCCAACCGGAGATTAAACCCAAAATGTAGGTATGTGCACCAACCAGGAACTGAACCTACAGCCTTCTGGTGCACAGGAAAATGCTCCAACCTGCTGGACCATCAGCCACGGCAGCATTTCATTTTGTTCTACTTTGTCAAAAACGTACTACTGGATTTTTTAAAATTCAGTTATATAGTTAAAAAGCAGGTTTCTAGCCCTGGCTGGTTTGGCTCAGCGGTTGGAGCTTCGGCCTGCGGACCACAGAGTCCTGGGCTCGGTTCCCACTAGGGGCACGTACCAAAAAAAAAAAGGGCAGGTTTCTAGCCCTGCTGGTATGGCTCAGTGGTTGAGCGTTGAACCCATGCACCAGGAGGTCGCCGATTCAATTCCCGGTCAGGGCACATGCCCAGGTGGGCCTGATCCTCAGTGGGGGGAGTGCAGGAGGCGGCCAGTCTATGTTCTCTCTCATCGATGTTTCCATCTCTCTCTCCTCCCTTCCTCTCCCTAAAATCAATAAAGAAAAAAAATTTTTTTAAATCAGGTTTCTAGTTCAGAGTTATTTTATTTTTTAATGCATTTTTTAATAAAGTTTTTTTTCTTTATTGGTTTTAGAGAGACTGAAACACCAATGAGAGAACATCGATTGGCCGCCTCCTGCAGGCCGCCCACCGGGGATTTGGCCCACAACCTGGGCATGTGTCCTGACTGGGAATTGAACTGGTGACCTGTTTGTGCCTGGATCGATGCTCAACCACTGAGCCTCATCAGCCGGGTATTTTAAGTGTTTAAATCCTATCAATAAACAAATGAAACGAGAGTATGGTATTCATAGAACATCGTACTATCACCCAACCTAAAAATCAGCACGACATCAACTAGCCCAGCACAGAAGGTAGTGACGGATGACCATACCATTACAGGCAGCATATTTCACTGTGATAATTCAGTGTACGCGTCCTCGTAAATGCTGGGGGTGAAGAAAAATTAGGTCGTATCTCCTCCCCCCTCCTCCCACCACGTTCAACCCGCTTCCACTCTCTAGCAAGCAGTACCCTGGCTGGCGTGGCCCAGCTGTTAGAGCGCAGGCCCTCGGACCACAGAGTCACAGGTCCCCCATCCCTGGTCGGGGTTGTGCGGCAGGCAGCCAATCAATGTGTCCCTCTCACATCGATGTGTCTGTGTCTCTCTTTCTTTCTCTCTCTCTCTCTCTCTCTCTCTCTCTCTCTCTCCCTCCCTGCCACTCTAAAAACCAATGGAAAAAATATGCTTTGGTGAGGGTTTCGGGGTTTTTGTTTTTTTAATCTTCACCCGAAGATGTTTTTCTCTTTATCTTCAGATAGAGTGGGAGGGAGAGAGAGAAACATCAATGTCAGAAAGACACGTCGACTGGTTGCCTCCCACAGAACCCGACCAGGGCCGGGGACGAACCACAACTGAGGTACGTGCCCTTGGCTGAAATCGAACCTGAGACTTATTGGTCCACGGGCCGATACTCTTACCACTAAGCCAAACCGGCCAGGAGGATTTTTGGTTAAGGCAAAGAACTAAGCCACCACAATCCACAAGGTGAGCCCAGGACACTGGAGTAAGAAGTTGGTTCAGATGACCTGCAGGGGTCCCCCCTCCTTAGCTCTCTTCCCTCGGAACCGCCTAGAGTCTGCCACCCTCGCCAGCCCGGTGCAGGGCCTCCCCGTGGGGAAGGGCCGTATCACACAGACGCCGACTCAGCCCTCATGCCGAGTGCGTGCAATCCGTCTTCTCCTCCTGGTCCTGGACCCTTGAGCAGACGCGGCTGGTGGTCCTGCCCGTTTCCGCAGCACCCCGAATGCTGCGGACAGAAAGGCCAGATGTACGCATCCTGAGTGGACCTCACTCCTGGGACATCCGTCTGTGGGCGCGGCTCACAGATGGCACAGCTGGGACACCCGGGGCGGGGGCCCTCGAGTGGCCAGAAACAGAGGGAGCTGCTAAGGGTACTGTGGACACCTTCACATTCTCATGTACACACTACATTTCTTTTTTTATTTTTATTTTCATTTTTATTCTTTTTGATATGGAACTATAATCTCAGCTGGTTCCTGATTTTTTATTTTGTTTTATCCTCACCGAGGACATTTTTACATTTATCTTCAGACAGAGCTGGGAGGAAGAGAGGGAGGAAGAGAGAGAGAAACATCCACGTGAGAGAGACACGTGGACTGGCCGCCACCCTCACCCAACCGAGGCCAGGGTCAAACTGCAACAGAGGTATGTACTCTTAGTGGGAACCAAACTCAGGACTCTCTGGTCCATGAGAGGACACTCCAACTGCTGAGCAAAACTGGCCAGGGCTGGAGTCAGGTTTTAAATCTAGGTCTTTCTGCTCTGTGGTGCAAGTGACTCACCTTGGGCTTGGAAAGACTCAAAGAGCTAATGCACACTCAATAGGCAGTTAGTCTGTACTATTCTTTCCATCATCATCATCATCATCATCATAAAGTACTGCCCAGCCAGTGTGGCTCAGTGGTTGAGTATCAACCCATGCACCAAGAGGTCCAAGGCTTGATTCCAGGTCAGGGCACATGCCCAGGTTGTAGGCCCAATCCCCAGTGCAGGGCGAGCAGGATGCAGCCAATGTTCTCTCTCATCGATGTTTCTCTCTTCCTCTCTCTTTAAAAGTCAATAAAGAAATATATGTACGTGTGTGTGTGTGTGTGTGTATTTAATCCTCACCCGAGGACACTTTTGCATTTATATTCAGATAGAGCGGGAGGGAGAGGGAGGGAGAGAGAGAGAGAAACAACGTGAAAGAGACACACAGACTGGTTGCCACCCACACTTCCCCAACCGGGGCCGGGGACAAACTACAACCGAGGTACATGCCCTTAGCGGGAACCGAACCTGGGACTCTCTGGTCCGCGGGCCGATGCTCCAACCGCTGCGCCAAACCGGCCAGGGCAAGAAAAATATATTTTAAAAAATCAAGTATTTGTATGTGGCAAAGGAGGGAAACACACTAGATGCTGGGTCGTCACTAGTGACGACAATGAACATCTTTGACCTTTAAACGGAGGGCACGGAGACAAACAAAAAAAAGAGGGTCCCAAAGAAATATGAAAGGAAAAGGAGGCTGGGTCCAAAAGAAGACGAGGCTTGAGGTGGTGAGTCAACTGACACTTGAAAAATGAGGAAGAGTTAGGCCTGAAAGAGGCGGGTAGGGACAGTCACAGGCTGTGGAACCTGACCTTGGGGAACGCTTGTTCAGTTGGGGGACTAAACGAGGTGGGTCCTGGAGACGGGGGCGCCCAGAGGTTCTGGCCCTTCACTGCGTTCATGTCTTGACCCGCGGTGAGGCCTTCCCTATGTAAAATTTCCACGATCTGCCCTGGCCGGTTTGGCTCAGCGGTTAGAGCGTCGGCCTGCGGTCCGGAGAGACCCGGGATCGGTTCCCGCTAAGGGCACGTACCTCGGTTGCAGTTTGTCCCCGGCCCTGGTTGGTCATGCGGGTGGCAGCCACTCGATGTGTCCCTTTCATGTCGATGTTTTTCTCTCTCCCTCCCTTCCTCTCTCTCCCTCCCGCTCTATCTGTACAATAAATGGAAAAAATATCCTCGGGTGAGGATTAAAAAACAAAAACACAAAATCTCCACGACCCACCACGCCTCCATCTCTTGCCTCCCGCCTGCCTCCCCCACTGGGCCGCGAGCACCACAGCGGCTGAGATTTCCGCCCCGTGCTGCAACATCTGCTTCTGGGACCCAGGAACGGATCAATAAATATTTTCTCCACTATTACTCGCTCTAGGTGGGCTTCGCAGACACAGCAGCCAGGGCCGAGGCCCCCCTGGCCCCGCCGAACAGGACCCGCCATCGCCCGACCGGAGATGAAAGCGATTCCCAGGCCCACGCTTGGCCGACTCTGTTCAAGTTCAGTCCAGCTTCACCCAGGGCCTCCGGACCTCACTGTCGAGTCTCAGGGCCCCTGACAATCCATTCGCCGCGACCACCGCCGCCCCCCCCGTCCCATCCCCCAACTTCCCGCCAACGCCGCCATCACCGCCATCGCCACCGCCGCCGCCATCGCCGCTGCCGCAGTGGTGTTCGCTCTGCGCATGCTCGGCGGCGTGCAGCCGCGCGGCGCCGGAAGACGAAGATTACGCAACATCTCACCACGTGTGTGTACGCACAGGCCAGCACGTGCCACCCCTCCTCCCTCGGCCTCAGGCCCACCGACCCGCACGAGAGCTCCCAGCTCCCGGCGGTTCCGTGCAGGGGTGCGTGCAGCCCGCAGACCGCTCGGCCGCGCGGGACCACCTGCGGCATCGCTGGGTGTGTGAGGTCCGCACACCTGCAGGCCGACACACATTTCAGGGTGGCTTTTTATTTGTTGTTTTTTTTTTCTTGGGTGCTCAAGGACATGACTGCCTTCAAAACAGGGGAGCCCTGGCCGGTTTGGCTCAGCGGTTAGAGTGTCAGCCTGCGGTCCGGAAAGACCCGGGTTCGGTTCCCGCTAAGGGCACGTGCCTCGGTTGCAGTTTGTCCCCGGCCCTGGTTGGTCGTGCGGGTGGCAGCCACTCGATGTGTCGTTCTGACATCGATGTTTCTCTCTCTCTCTCCCTCCCACTCTATCTGAGCAAAAAAGTGGAAAAATGTCCCCGAGGATTAAAAAAAAAAAAAAA